AGAAAAAACCATAATGGAAACCGGTGGTCATTATGTTGTTGATGTTGATGATGATGATGACCACATTGACCATCATGATGATGATGGTGATCAAAATAAAAAATAAAGTTTTCGCTGCACTTGGCCTTCAATATATATTCATCATATATTCATTCATCCATAAATGTTTGGAAAGCAAGAAAAAAAAACTTCATTTTTTTCCCTAAAATTAGACAGCAGCCCTGTTTGTTGTTGTTGGTGTTTGAATTGTGTTTCAAGAGTTTCAGAAAAAAAAACACTAATGGGAAAATAAAATCCAGGTCAATCAGCCGGTTATTATTCGGTTATATTTTTATTCATTTATTCATTGTCATTCTTCGATTAAATTGAATTTTCATTTTTGGTAAAAAATTCTCTTGAATAAAATGTCTTAATCAATTTATACTATAATAAATCAATTAAAATTAATTCAAATTCTGGCCTCTGGGTAAAAACCAAATCCAGAAAATAAATGGTGAACATCATAATTACATTAACTACCACTAAAAAAAACGCCACTATCAACCATAAAAAAAGGTGTGACATTCTATTTGATGTGAAAAAAATGTTAATTAACCAGAAATGAATAACCAAAAAAAAAAAAAAAAATGAAACATGTTCATTTGACCTCGAAACAAAACAAATTGTCAACGATGAAAAAACATTGTTGCATTTTTTTCATAAAGTCATACCATTTCTTATTTTTATCAATGCATCATATAAATTTTCCTGGTTCATTTATACCGGAACAATTTTCTTGTCATCATCATCATCATCATCAGTGGACAGAACCAAAAGAACAAAAAAAAAAAAAAAAAACAAACAGGCAAACCCCTGTGTCTGTGTGTAATCGGAAATGAAAAATATCCGTATCCACAACACACACACACACATATATATAGAAACAGAGATGGAGATTTTTTTTTATCTATTTATTTTGTTCCACATTTACAGAAATATTTCACTGAACATACACACACACACAAACACTGGACAATTATCCATTATATATAAAAGCATCAAACCGAATGATAAATGAGAAAAAAAAACTTTTCTTAGCTTCCGCAACATTTTTTTGTTTTTGTTTTGCTTTCAAAAAAAAAAAAATCTTTGAATGTAGACACACACACACAACACATTCGTCAACAATGTTTTCATTGTCCATATTATTATATAGATTTATTCAAAATGGTGCCAGGATTAAGTTTTTTTTTTGCAAACACATATAACGAGAAAAAGAAAAAGAATTTCATCAACACCTAAAAAAAAAAAAAAAAAAAAATCTAAATTCAATTTGACCTCGATCGAATGATAAAAAAAAAACAGTTACATAACAACCAGGGTTAAATAAAAAAAAAAAAAAATCAGACGTCTGATAACTTTATTATCAATCCAATGATATGATAAAACGTATTTATATCGATTTAAGATGATATATCAAAGATTTACCCCTCTTTCTTTAAAAAAAAAGTTTTCATCAACAATACTTTGATGACCCTATTATATATAATCCAAAACGTCAACACTATATATTAGTAGATTTTAAATCATTAGATATCACATCATCCATGTTGTCTTTGTTATTATTGGCGTTGTTCATCCACAAAAAAAAAAAGAATGAAGGGTTACACCTATATGGTATATATGTGGTGGAGGTTGTGTTTGCAAATGGAGAATTGATCTTAACCCATTTTTTTCGTAATGTGTTAAAATCAATTCCATACATGATGATGACCTCGATTTATTTGATTTGAATAAAAAAAAGGATTAGGATTTTTTTTCGGGTAATTGAATTTGTGATTTTTTTTTTTTTTTGTTTGGCCATGTAAATTGAAATTTTATTTTATTCAATATTTATCAAAAAGTTCAATGTGTGACACACACACACAAACATAAACACATAAACACACAAACGATAAATTGATCGATCAATCGATTTATCGATTAAATGCATGATGATATCACATAAGAAAAATAAAATCGACTATCCATTAGGTCACATTTGGACCATAACAAGAGACAACAAAAAAAAACAAAGTTAATCGATTATAACAACAATGGACAATACTATGGCCATAATAGTTAAAAACGGGACACAACAATAACCGGATACACAAAAATTCCAATTTATCATCATAATGATCATCATCATCACAATAATGTTATCTCAAATAAATCAATCTAAAATTGAATCGATTAACGTAATAACAATGAGATGAAAAAAAACACATGCACACATTATATGAAAAGCGAAAATTTCATATTTTTTTTGTCCACAATAACCAGTAGCACGATTCATCATCATCATCATCATACAACTATTATATAAACACAATTCGTACCATACGTGACTTTGGCATTTTTTTTTCTCGCCTCGATCCAAATAATAATCATCATCATAACCGATATGATCACACACACACACACACATACAGTTTATATACATTACATTAATATCATGCAACAGGTTGATGATTGTAATCAAACAGCACAGGTATATATAAAAATAGACCAACACACAAAAAAAACAACAGCCAGCAAACAGGTAGATCTCTATTCACACATAAATAGGATTTCAATAAAATCCATAAAATAAGTGCTCAAGAAAAATTTTTTTTTTTAAACCAGGATCTTTAAACGGATCTCCATTTCTTCAAAAATTTTTTCATTTTCAAATTCATAATCCAATGAGATTATAAAATTAAATTTGGAAATGAATTCATCATTCATTTATTCATTCATCCAAAGAAAGTGGGCAATTTATATTTATTATTATTTCATGTGAACCACACCACCACCACCACCACCTACGATTTGGCTATCACTTTTGTGTGTGTGTGTGTTTGTGACCAAAAATTGAAACGATTTACAATTTTGGATCATCCAGCAAACATTAACAAAAAGCAGTCACTATATATTGGATTATTATTGCATCATCATCATCAACAACAACATAATCACACAATGATGTAATTTCACTTTCGCCATTTTTTTTTTTTTTTTGGTTCCAAAATTAGTTTGAATTTTAATAGCAGCAACATATCATCAACAACAATAAAAAGTAAACGATGAACATATAAATTCATCATTTTCTCATCAACTAATCTTCATTCATTCATTCATATGGATATAAAAAAATAGAAAAAAATGAAATTCTTGGAAATTAGAGATAAAGATTTTGACCAGAAAAAAATATGTGTAACAAGCCTGTCTGTTGCTATTGTTGCTGCTGTTCTCGTTATATAACGGCGTGACTCATGCATCTTAATCCTCCCTACTCAAACTCAAAACGCCCACACAAGCTGAATAAAAACATCTTTTTATGCTTAAACATCACTTTCATTCATTAGCAAAAGAAAAAAAACAGATTCGTATCATCATCAACATCAAACACGAACAGCACATACACGCACACACACAATGGCAAAGCCACAAAAAAAGAGATCCATTTAAAGCTTTGTAACAAAAACACAACACTTATGGAGAGAATGGAAAAAAAACCCGAAATTCTTTTTTTTTTGCGAATCTAGAACAAAATTCGATCAATCAATTGGATGAAGGGGGACGGCATACAATTGCACAGAAAAAAAACCAAATCAATCGTGTATTTTACCGTTAATTTCACATACACACACACACACATGTTTCAAGGTGATATTAAATGATCCAGTTTGAATCACGAATCAGCTGGTCGATTGTGATGGTGGTGGAAAAATCCAATATCACGATTTTGGACATTTTTCAATGAACGACGAAATGGAGAATAAAATAGAAATTTTCATTTTACCTGATCAATTAACATTGGAATGGAAAATGATTAAAAAACAACCATCAACATAAAAAAACAGAAGCTTTCGAAAACAAATAAAACAAACAAACAAACAATTTGAATATATTGATCATGACTAAAGGATTCTTTTAATTTTTTCTTTCAATAAAAATTCTCCACACACACACACACACACACACAAATACACACCCTTTTGGAATTTCGTTAATCGTTATTGTTCACATGTATACACAGTGCATATTTTTTTCCAATTCAAGTTCAAAACACGTGTGAGTAATATGATAAATGAATTAAAAAATTCAAAAGAAAAACCTGTCAAGATAGATATACATCTCACGCAGTCATATATTGGTATGTATGACTGATTTGAAATCTTAATAAACACACACACGCACACCAAGGGAGAGAAAGAGAAAGATGGTATGAAAAGGGTTTTATTCATGGCTAAATTTGTGCAACAACAACAACAACAAAAAACTTGTCATCATTTGTAAGTTAATAATTTGATGATAAAATGAAGAATTTAAAAGGAGGAAATTTTTCTGTCACCATTATAAATTGTGATTGAAATTCAAATAAAAAAAGATAAATTCCACTTTTCCATACAAAATCACATCACATCATATCAGAAATGACAAGCGAGGAAAACTTTTAAACACACACACACACATGCACACAATAATGTGTTCAAGGTTATATGAATAAACTCGAAAAAAACCCAGATTTTTAAAAAAGAAGGAAACAAAAAAAAGCATGACAAACACAGTAATGGAGAAAAAAAGGTCATATGGCTTACGGAAGTAAAACCCAGACACAGACAATGAACCATATGGACCATATGGTCATCATCGTCAATCAGCTCAATATGTCAAAATGACACGCGACCATATCCGAACAGTCAAAAATATTAAAAAAAACAGATGTTCATAGATCAAATTTCGATGGTGCGTGTGCGGGTGTGTGTGTCAAAAAAAAAAAAAAATGGAAAACACGTGTCCAAGTGATTGTTGTTGTTGCACGTATTATAATAATTGACCCATGAACAACAGCGCGGACAATTTATTTATGGTTAAAAAAAACGGAGAAAAAATTTTCTTTTCAAAAACAAACAAGCAAAAAAAGCAGATGTTTTTCGGGATGGATTTAAATCAAAAAAAAATGGGAAAATAAAAATTTTCTTTTGAAAACTTACCGTGCAAACACTTCCCGTTCAATATGATAATAATCTTCAATCGATTCATTACGACGTATAATCTTGTTCAATTGATCATCACTTATAGTGGAATTTTCAGCAATTAATAGTCCTTGTTTTGGCTGCATTTTTTTTGTTGTTGTTGTTGTTTCGATTTATGTTCAAAGTATGCAAGTAGATTGATTGATTGATTCAGTCGTTAGTATCGATGGCTGTATAGTTTAAAATCTGCTGTTTTTGATGAAAAAAAACGATAAAAAATTAGAAAAAAACAATAAAATAAAAATGCAAAATATTCTCTAGAAATTCTTAATTCACACACACACACACTCATTAAAAGTCATCTACTATTCACTATACACACATATTTCACAGTCATATTTCATCGTCAAGAAATATTTGAACAAAAAAAAGAATAAAAAGTTCATTACATCCACTCAGCTCAAGATATTAAATGCAGCAACAACAACAACACAAACATGGGCCAGAAATGAAAAGAATGTCTTTTTTAAAAAAGCAATTTCAAATTATTACAAAAGACGTTTTTTTTGAATGAAAAGAATTCCTACATTCACATTCTATATATATAAAATAATCAACATTTATAACCAAAATATTGCCAAAAAAAATCAAACCAGAATGATGATGATGATGAATATTTCATCAACAATAAAACCACTGGGACCAAAAGAAAAAAAAACCATTCCATATGTAATGATAATAAACATACCAGAAAAAAAACTTGGCCAACAAACAAAAACAAAAAAACAAAACAAAAAAAAATGTCATTCCATCAACATAATCCATATAAATTTTGATGATGATGATAATAATGATTATTTCATTTCATATGACTCTATAATATATTTTTAATGGATCAAGGATCAAGGGAAAAAAATCTTATATCACAATATATAATGGTTATATTGCACAATGTAAAGCACTAAAAAGACCCAAAAAAACAACAAAGAAAACATGATGAGTTTAATTTATGATTATTTCATCTTTTCATTGTTATTTGTTTGTTTATGACTTAAATGTCAGTTTATTTATTATTTATGTGTAGGGTATTATAATGGATCAAATACATTAATCAATCAATGGGGAAAAAAAATTAATAAAACAACCAAAACAAACAAATATCAAAAAAAATCTCTTAAATTTGGTAATAAATTTCTAAAAGAAAAAATTTTTATTCAAATGAAAAAAACCCCACAATATAGTCACAAACAGTATTTGGAAGTATATAAAAAAAAAAAGAAAATCTATTTCAACCATCATCATCATCATTAGCAAAGGATAATTCCAATTTTCCCAAAATCTATAACGACAAATCTTTTATATAAAAGCTAGTAAATCCGATGAAATCGATCCAGGAAGAGATGAAAAAAAACGATTGATCAATCTATCGATCGATCGATCGATTGAACGGTGGACAAAATGAAAAATCGATAAACATTAACAACAACAACAACAACAAAATGGCATTTAAATCAGAACGACCGGATGTTATCGTTTCCGGATATGAATGCATAAGAGCACGTTCAGACACACAAATAAAGTCACAAAATGACACATGTTTTTTTTGTTCATCCATAACTTTTTTTTATCATCACCACATCATCGTTATATTCACAATGTTGAACATTATATCAAATTTCAACGAAAAAAAACCACAAAAAACGTACAAATACATTTCATTCATTCATTCAAATGTTCTAATTTTTTTTCCAATGTATAAGGTTTGACGAACCATTCATTCAATGATGATAAAGCTTAAACTAAACTTTTACTTAGAAATCTCATGTGATCATTGAATGAAATGTTACCAGAAATGTTGATATGCGAAATGAAATTCAATGAAAAACAGAATGATGATGATGATGACAGACTTTTTCTTTTGTCAGTGTTGACCTTTTCACATTTCACATTACGCACACACACACACATACCAACATGCAACATGCAAAATCGAGGGTATCAATCACTTATCAATTCAAGAATTGATAATTCAAGAACAAAAAAAAAAACATTCATAAACGTGGGCGATTAAATATATAAAGAATTTAATATTCATGTAGAAAGGTCACCGATAAAAAAAAGAGAAAAGATCATCATATAAAGGTGATGACCTTTGTATGACTATCATGGTGGCCTTGTGTCATCCATTCAAATAAATAATAATCTATTCATTCGTTATGATGAAAAGATGACATGAGAATTTATCGAAAATTTTTAAAAAAATATGAAAAAAAATTCATAAAACAAATTAAAAATGTCATTGATGTTCATGATGATGATAAACATCATTAACTGGATTGAATATTTCCAATGCGAAATGGCAACAACAACAACAACAACAACAAAAAAGACATTCAAACAACCTATTCAATCATGTAATGATATTTGTTATAATCTGATGAATGATCGGTTATTCAATCAAATCATCATCAGTAAGTAGTAGTACAAATGTCCTAATAACATGAAAATTTCGTCTATTCGATCATCGTCGTACCACGAGGTCAATGATATGGCTAATCGAAATCGATTATCACCATATAGCAAATGGCTTCCCTATCTACTAATTTTTTTTTTCTAACGGTAATTCATTCTATTACCACCACCATCACCATCACTATTAATATCATCATTAACATCAATATATAACATATATCAAGGTATCATTATTGAATGAATGAGAAATTTTTCTTCTTTGAAAAACTCAATCTTTATATATTGGACAATTGAAAATCATGTATACAATTATTTTTCTACGGTTGATAAATATTATTTCCAGATGATGTATGCGTAGGTAGCCTTACAGGTAGGCAGGTAGGTAGGCAGATAGGTAGTGAAAAATTTCTACAATGAAGATGGTGAGAAAAAAAATACCTACCATCTACCTACCTACCTACCTATCTTAAAGTCTAAATTTCTTTTCAAAAATGAATTGGAAAAAAAGGGTAGACATAAACATCACATCAAATTATCATCAATCGACCTCGACCCTAATAGGCTTCAATTTTCAAGGTAAATTGAACGCAAAAAAAATCATCGCCAAAGGTAAATAGACAGAAAGATAGAAAAAAAACAAACCACAACATCATCAAGTGTGTGTACAAACATTCCAATCGATGTATGTTGGCATCATCATCATCATCACACATATATCAGATATAAAAGAGGAAGTTCTGTATGTCAAAGTGGGAAAAAAATCTGGGCCAAAATATAACTATAGATCGATTGAAAAAAGAAAGAAAGAAAAAACTGGCCATCAATTTGCACATTGTCTTTTTTTTTGTTCATTTGATTAACATCAAACAGATCATCATCATCATCGTCATCAATTAAAGTGGTGAAAAAAAAATAAAAATTGCTTCTTCAATGAGAATTAATTCATTATATATATAACCGGAAGAAAATTTTCCATTTCTGAGTGATTCATTTATTTATTTTAACAATGAAAAAAAAATTAACACAAACACAGACAAAAGCTTCCGTGTTTGATCATCTAAACAAACGAATCTTATTTTGTTGTTGTGAATGGTCAAAAAAAAAAAAAAAAACGGAAAAGAAAGGAGTGAATTATATCTCAAGAATATCCAATGATCTCATACTGCATAATTAAATCGTATGGGAAATTTTTTTTCACAAACACACACACACACAGATAAACACCATCAAGATATTATTTGAGGAAAAAAAATCACATCAAGTGAATTTTAGGAATTTATAATACCCCATATATACATTCGCACAACCAACCAATCGACCTATGGACTGAATGAATTATGTGCTACCCGAAATAATGTTATCTAAATCTTTCTCAATAATAATAATATTATGATAGGGTTGAAATGTTGCTGTTGCTGTTGTTGTTTTTTTCAATATTGAAAAAAAGCAACATTCTCATCTCATATACTCCTTTATCATTAAAATAAGAATTGAATTTCAAAAGAAAAAAAAATTGGAAATGGTTAAACAGACACATAGAGGGTTATTGGTCACGATGATGACCCTTTCATTGTTGTTGTTGTTGTTGTTGCGGCTGTTTATCATGTCAAACTGATAAAAAAATGTCATTCATCATTCGATAATCAAAGGGTTGCTGCCTTTGAAAAAAAAAAAAAAAATGGTGCTGAGAAAATTGGCCACAAGCAAAAATAATCATCATCATCATCATCATTATTCATCATGTTATAATTGATATAGATAAGAAAGAACAAAAAAAATGGTTCTAAAAAAGGCTAAAGGCCATTGAAGAAATTCAAGTTCATTTTTTTTTGTTTAAATGAAAAAAAAGAAAAATCTATATAACCTTAAAGGTATTCATCATCATTTGAAATGTTACATTTTTTCCGAACAACGACGACAAAAGAACAAAAAATTTATTCCAGATTTTTTTTTGGAAAATTTCAAAAATGTAGATCGAGAATATGTGGGCGATGAATTTTTTTTTTTCTAAAGCAATAAAAAAATTCACAAACATAAAGACATAATTCATGTTTCTGTCTCTGTGTGTGTGTGTGTACGGATCAACAAGTGGCCACAAAAAAAATCTTGACATTTATGGAAATTGTTCCAACAACAGGAAAAAAATGAACAGTTTCAAAACATAGAATGACCGAAAATCCAAATCTAAATCCAAAGGTCAAGTTTATATACAAATAGTAGGCAACAACAACAATAAAAACAAAGAAAATCCAAATCCAGATTAATAAAAAAAAAAAAGAAATCCCATGATAATGAATAGTAACATTTGATAAACAACAACAAATCGAATGGAGCAAAACACACTTACATATATTGCAGATGAACACGTTTTTTCTGCTGTTGATACTATTCAAATGAATTATGCAAAAAAAAACTTACAAGAAATAAAATGTGAATGACAAGAGTGTTAAGATTTGATCAACAAAAACAACAACAACAAAATCATCACGATCCGGTTCACATAAATAGAGAGAGAGAGAACACAATCACATCAAAAGAAAAAAAAATCACGTTTTTTCGAATTTACTCATCATCATCAGCAATCAAAAAAAAATAAAAAAAATCAAAAAAGTCAAACTTGGTCACTACCATAGTTAGATTTAGAAAAAAAAGAGAGATGTTCCAAACATTGATTCATTCATTGTGTTCATTATAATTATCATTATGTGAATAAATAAAGGTAATAATGATGATGATGATGATTTCAATCACCATGTTTGATGATGATGATGATGATTGAAATAATAATAACAAAACAAAAAATGATAACAATAGAGGTGAAACAAACAAACAAATAAACAACAACAACAACAACAACAACAAAAACACCTACATTGCCTACTTTTATGGTTTTACATACATTCAAATTATTTCTATCTATCGATCAATTGTAAATTTTTTTTAATTTGACCAAGTAAAAAAAAAATTGGAAAAATCATTGTCATTCTCTGTTATCGGTAATCAGAATATCTATAGGTAGTGGTGACACAAAACATACAGAATGATGATGATGAAATTACATATTTTTTTTTTTTTGCTTTCAATCATCATCATACAAATGTCATTCATATATTTGACTGATGGATTTGACAATGATGTTGCTGTTGACATTCTACACACACACACACACACATATGTTATGTTTACATTTATGGATTTTTTTTGTGATGCATTATTATTATTATGATTATTTGGTTAAATGGTGATGATTTGACAGAAACAAAGAAAAAAAAATCCAGAAAAAAAACCAGTCATCATATTATCATCATCATCATCATTGAAATAAATGGATTGGATATATACGTATACGTAGATCCTGTTTGTATGCATTTTGTGTTTCTGGTATTACCATTGTTATTGTCATAAACCTTGATTACAACCAAATAGAACAAACACATACACACACATACTGGTTGTACAAAAATCATTTCAGAAACAAAACAAAAAATTAAAAATTAACCCCAAGACTACCACCTATTATCATAAACTCAAGTGTTATTTTCTTATAATTGAAAATCAATTATGACGAATCAAATATACAATTTTAAGATATACAAACACAAAATCATCAATGACATAAAAATTGTAATTGACATTTTATAATGTAAAAAAAAATAGAACGTCAATAAAATGAAAAAAAAATACGCGCGTTAAACCCTGGATATAAAATCAACACCAATACGATTTGCAATACACAAAATTTGGCAGATGGCCAACCAGATTTGGATTTTTTTCGTTGTTGTAGTTGTTTTGGAAAAAAAATCAACCGGAACAAAATTTTAATTCATTTCAAATAGAAAAACAAACAAACAAACAAAATAAATGCGTCATTCATCCTTGAAAGATAAGAAAAATAGATTTGAAAGTGAAACACAACACAATTAATTCACCATCATTATCATGACAAAAATGGACATGGAATTTTTCACATTGAATATATAATGCCAAAAAAAAACTTTAAAGATCCACACAAATAACATCTGTAAAGGTCATAAATGAATAATTAGAATATATTCATTAGAAATTACGTATCTCAAAAAAAAAGATGCAACACAGAAAAAAAAATATCAGATATCACAATAATTTACTCTCACATATATACACACACACACAGAAAAAAAGAGCGATAATAATAAACGAAGCGAAACGAAATTAGAATCCGTATAAAAAAAATAGACAATAAGGGTCAACAATAGTAAAAATATATATGTGAAAGGACACAACAACAATAAACATGAGGCAAAATAGACAATAGAAATGATTGGAAATTGTCATTGTCACATTCATTATTCTTACTACATTTTTTGAATGCATTAAAAACAAACAAAGTATTTTCTACTAATGGGCGTACATTAGTAAATGTTTTTGGACACTTTAACGGATATTGAATATATCCGGTATATTATTTTCTATTTCCAAAACAATGAATATTTACTATATACAATGATAAATGATAAATGAAGATGATGATGATGATGTTTTCAAAACACAAGATCAAGATCAATGACAAAAAAAAATTATCATTCAACAGGCACCAAAAATCATCTTTTTAAAATGAATTGTAATAACAACAACAAAGACAGAAAATTTTTCACATACCTGACGCTAAAGTTTCATCGGTGAGAATGAATTTTTTTTTCTTGTTGCTGCTGATTGAATTCAATTTGAAAAAAAACAATCGTTGACATGTGTGAAACGTTTAGTTTTCGTTTTTTTTTTCATTCATCAACAATATTATTCCACCACAATCACGAAATTCAAACGTAACCGATGACGAAATGAAAACGTTCGATACCTAAACAATGCTGCCACTGTCATTATATGAAAAAAATGGTTGAATTTGGTTTGGGATTTCACCAACAAAAAAAAAACTGAAAACAAACACAACCAACAACAACAATTAGATGCAATGATGATGATCAACAATTTTAAAATGTTCGTTTTTCTTGTTTTCAAATTCGAATTTTAATTTTTCGAATCAAAGTTGTGGATAGTGGTGAACACAAACACAAGTACACACAAAAGATTCTATTCGAAACGAATTTCTATTCAATCATTGTTGCTATTGTTATTGGAATGAAATTCTTTACAAATTCTTGATTATGTGTCTTATATTTCCTTGTTTTTGTTGTTGTTGTTGTTGTTTAGATAAATTCTTTACATTTGACAATAATCATTCATTCTTTTTTGTTAGACTTACTTTGAATGTTTGTTGAATGATGCTGATGGTTTGTTGCTATTACTGAATTTGGAATTTCTAATTTCCATCACCAACACATACACACACACAGTGAAAGAAAACGCCTAAACATTAATTGTAGCAGAATTGTTGCACTTTCAAACACATAAACACACACATAAATAGAATTTCGAAATTTTACGATTCAACGATGATGATGATGAGAGACGGAATTCATTTTTTTTCTCTCTCAACAACACCAATTTTCGTTATTTTTTTCTAAAAATAGAATCAAAATATTCCGGAATGAATAATTGAAAGAATTCAAAATTGTTGAATGCAATCTTTGTGTTTATATAATAAATACATACACTATTACAACAAACATTTGAAATGATAAATGACTATTTTAACCACATGATGTGATGATGATGATGATAATAATGGTCGATTATCAATATAGAAATATATTTGGTTATTATATATGTAATATTTAAAATCCAATATTGGTAATATAATCGATTGTAGCACATTGATAATTTGTTGTTATCCAATTTTTAATGATGATGTTGTTGTTGTTGTCACAAATTTCAAATTTCAAATTTTAATCATCAAAATGACATACATTCATACACACACACACACACAAAAGATTTCATTGTTTGTCGTTGTCATCATCATCATCATCATCATAATTTCACGTTCGACAAATTTTGTTTTGTTTTCATTTTCATGACAATTTTATGATGAATAAACTGAATGAAAAAAAAAACAGAATTTAGTTTTGATTGAATTCAACAACAACACAAAGTCAGAAAATTCAAAAAATTCACAATGTTTTTGATGAACATGTTGATGAACAAAAACAACATCCGATATTTTCATTCAATCAATAAATTGATAATGATGATGATGATGATGATAACACAGTTATATTGTAGAAATAGCAAAAAAAAAAAAATAATCTCTGTGTGTATATGTTTGATACATTTGGCGCTGTTTATGATCACATCACATCACATAGACTGCTGCTGCTGCTGCATGGCTACTGATGACGATAAATGAGAAACAGAAATTTTTTTTTTTTCGCAATGAATTTGGTTCCAACTCTCCTATGTGTTGTTGGACCACGCGCTGGGCTTCTCTTTCTCTCTCTCTCTCTCTATATTTCTCTCACTATTTTTCTGTATCAAGATTTATCGTTAGATTTTTTTTTTCATTTTCTCAAAAAAAAACGAACTACAACAGACGTTTTATATGGATGATAATAAAAAAACGTTTTTCTCTTTCTCTCTCTCTCTATCTCTCAGTTATTCAAATGTTTATAATTGATAAATTTTTTTTTTGTAGTAGTGGTTATAGCTATTGAAACTATTACTTTTGGTTGTAGTGGTCGTTTCGAATATATATTTATATTGATGAATGTAGCAACTAGTGGTATTTGAATTAACAACAACAACAAAAAAATGAGCATGCGTAATGTAAAAAAAAAAATTAAGAATTTTCAAACGAACGTTCAATCAAACTTTTGTCGGTTGACTGTTGTGTTGTTCGAAATGATGATGACGGTTTGACATTTGAACCAAGATGGCCTTGGCCATCATCATGGTCTATGAGAACTTTCACACACACACACACACTTGCTTTGAAAAGTAAACTTTCACACACACACACACCCAAATGAATTCATTCATTGAATTCAACGATAACAACAACAACAAAAAAGAAGAAAAATTCTTCATTGAAGAAAAAACATGGTTTGACGACCTTGATGATGAATCTATTTGTTTGTGTGAGTATGTGTGTGACCTATTAGAAAGGGATGACATTTATATAAACAAACAAAACGAAAAAATAAAAAATAAAATGAATGAGAATTCTGACCTTTATATGTGGAAGAATATTATTATGATTGTTGCACATTTAAAAAACACAATGTTACTCAATCATGCACCCAAACAAAAAAAAAAAAACACCAGGTCATTATCATCACCTTAAATAATGCCTCCATAACCTTTGTCTCTCCATTAACAAACACACACACACACACACACTATACAATAAGGTAAATGACACTTGTTGTTGATTTGGTTTGGTTGATGTATACATCACATTGGCTTGTTATTATTATTATATAACCATAAATAGAATTTTTATTTCATTTCCAAAAAAAATAAAAATAAAAAATTAACTTTTTCATATCGCTGACCTTTGACCATAAAAAAAATTAGACATCAAACTGATTTACACAGTGGTTTTCAACCATTTTTTATTGTTGCCATCTGTTTGATAAAGAGATACGAAAGAGAAAATATTTTGATTAAACTCATCAACAGAATATAATTATCAAACACATATCAAACCATCACATCATTTAATGATGCAGATGATGATCAAGATCAATGATCTTCTTTTTTCATTCCAACAGGAACACATTACATAACATGACATGACACGACATGACATGAGTTAATTTAAGGAGGTAGGTAGAGAGAGAGAGAGAGATGGATCGGAAAAAAGGTCATCCACAAGCACACAAAAGGTTATTTTTTTACAATGATAATGGCATTAAGGTGTTGTTGTTGTTGTTGTTGTTGTAGTGGCCTCTTGTTGTGTATTATTTTTTTTTCTTCTTTCATTCACTTTATAATTACGAATAGAGGGTAAAAGTCAAATGTCAAAGGTGGTATATAGAATGGTTTTTCATCCTTACAATCAATGAAGAGCGAATTTCGTTTTTTTTCGATTCGATTTGAATTTGAATTGAAAATAATACAACCAGTGCCAAGGTATTGTGTGTGTGTGTGTGTTTTATTTACTTTTTAGATCAAACAAACGATTCCCTCACACACACAAACACACATGAACTAAACGAAAAAAAAAATTCTCAGGTGTTGAAAGATTTCAACCACATTCAGGCTGTTGTTGTTGTTGTATGTGTGTATTATCATCTTCATCATTGAATTCAATGATGATGATGATGAGGAAGTGATGGTGATTTAAAAAAAAATCAACAAGCCAGGTGGTTATTTGGTAATGGATAAGATGATTTAATGTGAATATATCCAACAACAACAACAACAACAAAAATAAAGATTTTGATATTAATTTTATTAGGAAATGCATGACCAGAAATCGATATATGGAAATTAAAAATATATTCATTTTCGGATAATTCTGAATTATTATCGAATTTCGTTTAGATTACAACAAGTATTTTTTGTGTGTGTGTGTGTGTCAACCAAAACTAATCAATCAATATAATAAATATGTGTGAGAGCATTACCCAAATCTTCTCTCACAAGGCAGGGAACCAAAGTGCGCCATTTGTAAAGCAAATGCCCGAAAAGAGTGTAAAAAATGCAATGTTGGATTGCATATGGAATGCTTCATTAAATGGCATAAAAAATAAATGTGGTATGTACCATGATCCCCATTTGGGGATCGACCTAAAATTGCGAATTTCTCCCAGAATAATGTTTAAATTTTTTTAAATAGGTGATTTTTCTCTTATTTGAATGCAAATTAATATAATTAAATAAAAAAAATTGAAAAAAAAATTTGGGACGAAATGGGTTAATGTGAATATAACAACAACAACAACAACAAAAAATAACCGTAGCGAATTTCGTTTAGATTACAACAAGTATTTGTGTGTGTGTGTGTATGTGAGGCAAAAGTTCAAAGTTCAAATGATATATGATATAACAAAGGAACTTGTTGAATTTTATTTGATTAAAAATGATTGAAAAATAGAAAAAAAATTTCCTTTTTTAACCAAAACAAAAAAAAAATTCAATTGATTGATTGATTGATCAATCATTGATCTAATACAGACACTGTGTACAGTAGCCATAATCAAAAAAAAACGGAAATGAAATCAAAAAAAATAATTCGTGAATACAGTATATGAAATTTAATTTTTTTTTCGTTTTTCAATTTCAAAATAAACCACCACCACCATCATCAGCAAAAAATGATTAAAATTCAATTCACGTTTTTCACATTCACTTTCTCGTTTTACATTCAATGATTTCTGGATCAAAAAGAAAAGAAAAAAAATGAAAATAATAATGATAATAAATGAATGAAATTAGTGAAAGTGTCCATTTGGACATTCGGCTACCGTGGCTAGTGAAACAAAAAAAAATTATTAGCCAAAAAAAAAAATTGTTGCATATATATAGGCTATCAGTGTGCGTGTGTATGTGTGTGTGTGTGTGTGTGCGTTTTTCATTCGGAATTTTAATCGAGATCGTGACCATAGGTCATTATTATTGATTGAAAAAAAACAAAACAAAAAATTTACATAAAGATTTGATTATGGCATTTCGACATGCAATAACAACGATCCATATATTTCGAAAAACATCATCGTCATCAATCGATCGATCGTTCATCATATCATCAAATATAATAATTTTTCAGATTCAGATATTTTTTTTTCTCTCATTCAGTTTTTTTATAATAATAATTATTTTACGTGTTGATGTTTGAAACTGAACTGAATGGAAGAGATTGAATTGAATTTGGATCTGTTAAAATTTTTTTTGTTGATTTTCAAATTTTTCACTTACCATTTTGATTTATATTGAAAAAAATTACTTTTTATCGATGGATGGCTATTATCATCATCGTCATTATTGATTGTGGATCAATATCTAGGACGAAGCCAATTTTATCAACAACAGGGCAAGGGGTCAATATTTGGTTGACCTTTTCTCTTTTGATTTTTTTTATCTTCACTTTTTTTTGAACTGTCATTTTCAACTTTTGATTTGTAGATGAAGCTGATATTCAACAAGAAAGAAAAACGTCCAACTTATGATGAACACATAGAGATAAGTTGATTTCATTCATCTTTCAATCATTATGATAAAAAAAAGGTTATAATTATAGAAACTAGATTTTTTTTTCTTTTCAGTCTTGGCTGTCAAAAATAACTTTTTCCTTTCTTTTTTTTTTTCTGTTTGATTGGACACTGGTGACACAGTGTCCAATCTTTGATGATGATGATGACGATGAGCCATAAATCGATGATGATGGTCATTTAGATCGGAAAATATTGATAATAATAACCAGTTGAATTGGAAAAATGATCAACAAGTGAAAAAATTTTCAACATCATCGTCTGTTTAGAGTCAAAATAAATAAATTAAAAAAAAATGAGAAAAATAAATTGCAAAAATACACACACACACACACACAAACCTGAACACAAATCAAACGGTTGATTATTGGTGATGGTAAAGAGTTCAAATTCAAATCATCGAATCCTTAATACCAAATATTATTCATAGAGACGAAAAAAGATATATATGTAATTTATGGATGTAGAAAATAAAAAATTTCTCTTAAAATTTAAAAATGGTAAAAAGCAAGAGAAAGTTAGCTTTACTTACTTTCTAAACACTTACGTTGTTTTTTTTCGTAATGGGTGAATAACGGGTTTCACACAGATCATCATAAGAAAATTTTGGGACTTGAATTTCTTTTTTTTTCAATTTCAATTTCTTTTTTTTATATCGAGGATTTTTTTTTCTGCGGCAAGCTACCGTGGTCATCTTCAATTTGGTCTGTGATGTGATCGACCAACGACGGCGGTGATAAAAAAAAAAATTGTCTCTGTTCTGTGTGTATGGGAATTTTTTCTTCTTCTGATTTATTATTATTGTCACATTTGCATAGATCTAAAAAAAATTTATGAATGTCGCATCATTGATTTTTGTGGTGTTGTTTTTTTCTCCCATTGATCAAACAGCGGTTGGTTGGTTTTTAATTGATCATGATCATCATGATGATGATCATAAAAACGACAATAAACATGTGATTAGATGAGGATCAATTTTGTTTTTCAAAATTTTCACATCACCTTCATTCTCATTTGACTAGCAAAAAAAAAAAAAAAAAAAAACAGCATCGACCCATTTTTTTCTTCAATCAAAGAATTCCACCAAATTGAATTCAAGGTAAGATTTTTTTTCTCGAATTTTTTTTTCTTTCACATTTCGATACTATCGATTGTTTGATGAGAAAATCAAATTAATCGAATGCTGAAAAAATGTTCCAGAATTGTTAAAATTTTTTAAATTTTGAATTTGAATCTGGACCAAATTTTGTTGTTGTTGTTGATGATGATGATGATGAAATCGAAATTGAAAATGTTACCAATTCATTTTTCATTTCATTTAAAATTCAGACCATGAAAGTGGTAGCCCTATTTTAATGAACATGAAAAACAAAAACAAAAAAATAAATGAAAAAGATTTTTCAATCTGATAAAAACGAAATTGAAATGAGATGTAAAAATAAAATCAAAAAAAAAATCCAGCTATTTACCATAATAATAAAGATAAGTTGTTGTGTATTTCAGTTTCAGGTCAGCAAAAAAAAAAAAACGGGATTTAAAATGTGTTTACTGCATTCATTTTTTGAAGAATTGGATTTAATTTTAGCACATATTTCTCCATCTTCATCATCGTCATCGTCATTTTCATTTGTCCACAAATTTTTAAAAATTTTTTTTTCGAATCTTTGCATTATAGATAAGTGACGTATTAGATAAAAATCTTGGTGAAAAAAAATGAAGAAAAATTTTTTAAAATTGAAAATTTCCCAATGTCCAACATTCAGAATACAAATCAATACAATTTTGAATAATAAATGTAATGATGAATTTTTTAATCTGTAATGAAATGAAAGAACAAAAACATTATTCAATTGAATTGAATTGTATTGATGATGTGAGAAAAAAAAACTTTACATTTTCCTCACTCGGAAGTGACCATATCTTAGTTGTTGTTACTGTTTCGTAGAGTGATTTGATTTTTTTTTGTATTGTTTCAATCTTCGAATCCATTTGTTGTCGTTGTTGTTGTTAAAGTGAAAAGGTATCAACTGGAACTGCCCATCATTAGATATGTATCGCAAGATATCAATGGAAATTCGGTTCATTTTTTTCACTTTCTGTTGTCTTGCCTTTTTTCCCATCAAAACATTTGTTGTGTTTGTGAGTGTATGTGGTAGAATTATATTTGACAAATGATGATGATGATGATGGTGATGATGATGATTGTTGATTGAAATGATTGTGATTGGCTTGAAACAAAAACAACAACAACAAATGACACTAATGGCTTTTCTATTGTTGTTGTTGTTGTTGTTGGCTGTTAAGACATATCAACATTGCAAAAAAATGATTCCAACAACATTAACAATCGATAAAAGACATTAATTTCCCCCTACATGATAAACAAAATGATACTGAACAAAATTGTACCACATTTGGGACACACACAGTTATTGTTTTATAATGATGAGATGAGATGTTCATTTTTTAATTTCCTAAATTGTTTCATTTTTGTGTGTGAAAAATAAAAATTAATATATAAAATTCTCATGATTATAAAATCATTACAGACCCGATTTCAAAGGCTGATTCTACAAAATCCAAAACAAATCTTTAAAAAAATGTATTACTCATCATCATATCATTCGAGGTAAGTCATTTGATCTGATGAAAAATAAAACAAGACAAGCTATTATTTAAAAAACAAAAAAAAAATTCCATTCGAATAAAACCAGGCTGTTGTGTTAAAATAGATTCAAATACATAGGTACAAATAGCCGATTCTTTTTTTTCATCATCATTATCAATCCAAATGTGTTTTTTAATTGCGATCGAATTTCGGTTCATTAATCGATTATTTTTCAAATCAAAGAATCATTTACATATTTTTTTTTTAATATTAACGTTATTTTTTTCACATCCTAAAGTATACGTGTCCGACGTGATCCACGGCAACCGGTTGCATTTTTTCTTTCAAACTTACCGAATCCATCACCATTACCATCGATTGTTGAAATGCCATTACCAACGAAAAAATTAACGAAACGTACAACACCACCGCCGCCACTGCCGCCACCGTCTCTTTCGGATCCACCAACACTTCAGAAGCCATCGACCATTAAATTATCAGCATTAGCAATGTATGATGATATGACTAGATATTCAAATTCAAATAATTTGGTCGATTTTAATGAAGTAAACAGTAAGTATTATTGATTTTATTATAAGTTATTATTTTTTTTTGTTTCATTTTTTTCCACATAGAAATCATTTCATTGGTAAAGAATTTCGATGAATATCGAAAAAAATTGGCCGATGCATTGGATACGATTCATGAACGTGATGAAACGATCGTAAAACTACAAGAGGAAATACATCGTCTAAATATTCATTGTGAATCGATGAAAAAAGCTTTGGCACGTGAATCAAAAGCCAAAGAAGAGTTTCAAAAAGAATGTAATGTAATGAGAAACAAAATGGCTTTATTACGATCGATGGTTGCCGATCAACAACGACAACAAAATGATGCTGAACATCGAACATCGAACGATTGTATTGCATCCAGGTACATTGATAATACTGATCAATCAAGCATTGGTGATGATCAAACAGATACAGATACTGGTAGCCTTTTATTCGATAAATCTGATGATGGTCTTGAATCGACGCAAATTAAATCAACCGAATCAAATCATCGATTTGAGCCGATAATCGAAGTGAATGATGAAATGGAAAATGAATCATCCGAATCAAAACCTTTGTTTAAACCGAAATTAACGGTAAAGGCCATACGTTCAGCATCAGTAATATCTGAAAATCAACAACATCGACAACGGCCACAACCAATGCCACGTACGGTAAATCTTGTTCGTAGCCAAACAACAAAACTTGAAGCTGATCGTCTTGATTCTCGGCCACATCGATTTATGGAGAAAAAAGCATTCAAAACATTACCATGTACTGTTTGTTCGGTAGCAATCGGTTTCTATTCATCATATTCCACATGTTCAGAATGTCGAGCAATCGTTCATATTAATTGTCGTGGTCGTTTGGCATGTCCATGTCTTCCATATATGGCACCGAATACCAGTATTCGAAAAATGATTAGTCTTCCAGGCGATAAAGTTTTAAGCGGTGGAAAATTCCTGATCATTGGTGATTTTGTTCCGGATCTAACTAGACCTTGTGTTCCAGCAATATTGATTCATTGTTGTAATGAAATTGATCGACGAATACGTCAGGCAATGGAAGATTTTACAACCACTAACACTACAGTATCAGTACAGGATTTTGAATCCCCTGTTGTTGGTGTATATCGAATATCTGCTACCGATCAAGATGTTCGCCAATTACGGAATCGAATTCTACGTGCTGAACATGGTCTGCCAAATCTTGATCGTATTGAATCCATACATACAATTTGTGGTGTTGTAAAAATGTTTTTACGTAATCTTGAAGATTCCCTTGTTTCACGTATTATGTGGCATAATTTTGTTCGAGCTTCAAGTATGTTTTTATATGCTTTTTGTTTATTTTTTTTCATTCATTTTTTCATCAATACAATTCATAGGCCAAATTAATGAAACGATTCCAAAACAATTGGCTATGGACGATGTCAATGATGATCATGATAAACGAGATTCTGGTGTTGATGATAATATCAGTGATCATACTAGATCTGATGGTGATGGAATGGCCACCAATACCATGATGAATAAAAATCGACGATTATTAGTGTTGAAAAAAGTCATTTGTGAACTTCCATTACCACATCGTGATTCATTGGCTTTTCTTATTCGTCATTTAAATTATGTAGCCGATTGTGAACGAGTAACATTTATGAAACGTAGTGCATTGGCTACGATTTTTGCACCAACCATTGTTGGTAATTCGAAATTTTGTCCACAATCACCGGCCGATTTACAGCGTGAAATACCCAAACAAATAATGGTTATGACAGCTTTATTTGAAATTGACGATAAATTCTGGCAACAATTACTCACTGAAAATGATTTTTCCATTCAATCATCATTTCAAGGTTTGAGTCAATTTCAATTTTTTTTTCATTTAAATTAAATGAAATTGATACATTTGTTTTTTTTTCGTTTGTAGAAAATGGTCGAACAACCAACCGATTGGTGAAAAACATGTCATCGACAATCGATCAATGCGATGAACAATCACAACAACAACAACAACAACAACAACAACAACAATCAAAATTGGTGAAAAAATCAGAAACATTCAAACAACCGTCACAACAACAGCAACAACAACAACCGGTAAAATCGGCTACAATTAAACGTCATAGATCATTTGTTGAAAATATTCGTAAAACTTTTTATTGAAAATTTTTTTTTTGTTTATCTTCATTTCTTTTTTTTTGTTCTATTCAATTTTCAAAAGATTTATCATTTCGCATAAAAAAAATTAATCAATTAATAAAAAATTAAAAGTGTCTAAAAAATGTGAATTATCGTTGATTATGTACAATGATGATGATGATGATGGTTTGATTAAAATAAAAAAAAAAATTTCTGTATTGTTCGAAAAATCAAGAAACGATTCGATTTTCATCACTATTAATCGATGATGATGTATAATCATCATTTGATATGGATGAATTACGTCGTGTTTGCCATTTTGTACGTTTTCGTTTAAATTCTGTCCACGCCACTCGTACGAGACAACAAGCAGCAATAAAATCACCAACCATACAAACATAGAATACTGAATCCCAGGTAAAATGATCGGATAATGGTCCAGTAATTGCTGGACCGATTGCAGCACCAATCGATCCAGTACCATCAATTATAGCCGATACTGTAGCTGTTGCTGCTTTTGATGGTACTTTACAAGCTAGATTTGCCGATACTGATGTTATAATCAATGAATATGGACCATTGATAAAAAATCCGGCCATAAATTGTAACAATAGATTGATGGCTAAATTGATTGATGAAAAATGTGCAAGTAAAAATAGCTAAAAAAAAAGATCCATTCGAGAAAAATTCATTATCATAAAGAAATTCAATCCACATCAACAATAATACTACACACATACCGATGGAATGGCCATCATAAGGAATATTATACAGGTAATACCACCAGCATTGATTATATCAGACATTAAACCAGCCATAATTGAACCAACACTACCACCAATATCAAACATGATCGATATGTATGCCGATTCAGATGGTGAAATTTGATCTAAATTTGAATTGAAAATCAATAATCATTTTGTATCGAATGTTATTTACAAACTTACTAGTTGTACTGATGAATTTTGGTAACCATGTTAAAAAAATATACGATACGGATTTAGTAAAAAATAAGCATATAGAAAATTCAATAACACCCGGTATTAATAATGCATCCCAAATACCGATTGCATTCAACGATGATGATGATGATGAATTGGATTTTGTTGATGACGATATTGTATTATTATCATGTATAATATTATCAATTGTCGATACTGTATTTGTTGATTCTTCGTCCGATAATTTCATTGTTCGATCATCTTCCGGCAGTGTCATGTTTACAACGAGATCAACATCCGATGGTTCTGTGTGGGATTTAAAAAAAAAACCAAAAAATTATTCATTTATTGTTAAATCAAATCAAGTGGTAAAGGAGTAAAAAAATTTGACTTACTTTCAACCAATAAAAAGAATATCACTATAGCGATAGCTATACAAAACAATCCAGGCACGATGAACGATAGACCCCAATCAAAATCGACAAAAACACCGGCAATAGCTGTACCAAGCATATTTCCAAGTGAAGTATGTAATGCCCAAATACCGAATATGAAACCTTTTTTCGTTGATCCAAACCAACCACCAATAATAGCCAATACAGCTGGCCAACCAGTTGATTCAGCCAGACCAGTCAATACTTGTGTAATAATGAAAAACCATAATGAATGAATTTGAAAGTAGAATGCCGAACCGGATACAATACAAAGAACACCACATGTGGATAATGATATTGAAAGAAAATAACGTAGATTACTTCTTTCAGCTATATAACCGGTGAAAAACATTCCAAATGCATATGTTCCCCAATAAGCACCATCCAATATTGAAAGAAAACTATTAGCATTTGGACCATCGAATGGTGGCCAATTATTTTGATGATCAGTACTATTACCATTGAATAGACGTGATTTAACAATGGACATTGGTTTTCTTGACATATGATATATGGTATATACAATGAATGTTAACAATAATACCAAGAATCGATGTAACCATAATTTACGATTCGGATCATTCGTACGAATCAAAAATGATTCAACCAATTTTGAGCTTAATGTTTTAGCCATTATTATTTAAATATATATTAGTCGTCGTTGTTGTTTGTTGTTTGTTGTGTATCGATCAAGGATGTATAAATGTAAGTTTGATTCAAAATGATAATTGTATAAATAATGATGATGATGATGATGATGATGATGACTGATTGAAATTAATATTTTTTTTCAACTTTTTAAAATTATCATAAACTTTGGACTGGTTGTAATATCCGTTATAATTTGGATTTGGATTTTTTTTTCTTGAATCGAGATTGTATCTGATTAGATGGTTCACCATACATTTCACATGGAGAAAATATTTAAATCACAATGTTTTGGTTGGTGGTTACACAAGAAATGGATCAATATTTATCAATCGATGATAGAAGAACAAAAAAATTTTTTACCAATCCACTTATTTATATAACGATTGCGAATCGAAGAAAAATACAACATTGATGATGATGATGATGATTCGATTGATTAGTGTACCACACCACAATCATTGTGTTGCAGCCCTTTGATTCATTTCATTATAATCTATATTGATGAAAATTGATACAAATTTATGAATATATATTAATTGCACATATTGAATATTATGTATATAATAGATATATATGATGATGACAATTGATAATAGTAAACTACTACATACAACTATACCATCATCATCATCAATTTCATTGATCATTGGTTGAGAAAAATAAAAATAAAAAGATATGGGTCGAGGTAAATACACTTACCATCATTTCAATTTACAAATCAATCATTCAATGGAATTATGTGTTGACATATCAATTTGCTGCTTTAACCCCTCTTTTTTTTGTTTCTATTTGAATCATTCGAACGTCCTTATCATCATCATCATCATCATCATCATCGATTGATTAAGGATGATGACAAAATCTTTATAAAATCAATGCCACATCAAATGTTGTCAATAATAATAATTCTTAATTTATTATTATTCCTCTTTACTTTTTCAATTGTTGTTGTTGATTTTCACTTTTTTTCAATGGTTATTTTTTCAAAAAAAATCCATTGAATCAATAATAATTCCACATAATTGATTGACATCGATTATCGTTTTGATTGATTAATTATTGGCCTTGTTCCATCCAAAAAATGATGATGATGATTATATGAACCAAATGGAAATTTTGGATTAGAAAGATCGAACGCTTTTTCCGTCGCAATAGTAGTTGGTTTTTTTTTTGATTGATAATTTTTAAGGCAGTTGTTGATCAAATTTTTTTTCTCTGGGTAATTTTGAAATTCAATACTGATATGAATTTTTGATTGATTGATCAATTCGTTTCCGACATTGATTAATGATCATAAAAATCAATTAGAATTGTTTTGTCATTCCAATAAGAATGGATGATGAATTGATTCTGTATGTGTATGTGTGTGTGTGTGTGTGTGTGTTTATTTACAAAAAACAAACAAATCACATCAGCAGGAAATCACACAATGTTTTGGATATCGATTGTCATATCGATATAATCGATATTCACGAATTAATGAATACAAATGTTGTTGTTTTTTTGTTGTCGTCGTTTGAAAACAAAAAACAATTTCAATCCGCAAATTTTTCAATAATTCACCAAAATCTAACTGAAAAAGAAAATTCAACCAAAATAATGTATGATGATGATGATGATGATGACGACGTTAGTCAAAATTTGATTCGAACTGTGACTGACAGCAACAACAACAACAACAACAACAACAATAACAAACAAATAACGACGACGACGACAAAATACTTTGATATCTTCGACTTTTTATACGTCGTTTTTTTCTGTTTTGTTTATATGATCAACAAGGATGCAGAAACATTTCAAAACAATTCAATTCTGCAACCAAACACACACACACACACGCACAGAACGCATACTTATGACGACATGAAAAGTATCGTTTTGTTTCTGTTCTGAGTGAATAGAAAATTTTTTTTTTGTTTCGCTGTCCATTACAATGTGTGAATGATTGCAATCAAACAAAAATTTCATTCCATCAATTTTTTCAGGAAAAAAAATTATCATCATCATCATCATCACCAGTTCATTCATCATTCACTAAAAATACAAATCCCTGTGCGTGAATATTTGAAACATTTATTAATTATAAAAAACTGTTAGTTATTATTATTATTATTGATTAACGTGGACAACATGGATTGTCTTTACACGCGAATTATTATAGAAGAGGTATATTTAATAGAAGTATAACTTCATCTTTTTAAACATGCACACAATTGAATTGGTATATCCGATAAACATATATTTTTCTGCTGTTTGATCCAATTTTGATCGTTTCGATTTATCGGTATGAATGTATGCAATACAACCGAATGTCCTAAGATGATTATAAACAGGTTTTTTATTGAATAATTTTTCATATGGTGACTTTTCATCTTCACGAATCCAAGTATTTATTGTATAAATGGCCGTGCACATGGCTTCAGCCCAATATTTAAACGGTGAATTGGATGAATTTAAAAATAATCTCACCGTGCTAAACACAGTTCGATTCATCCTTTCTGCTACACCATTTTGTTGCGGTGAATATCCAACCGTTGTTTCATGATCAATACCGTTTTCTTCAACGAATGATTTTAATTCATTATTCAAAAATTCTGTTCCTTTATCTGAACGAATTCTTTTTACTTGTGTGTTGAACCGTTTTTGATTACGTTTAATAAATTTAATTAATGCTGGTGTTGCATCTGATTTTGCTTTTATTGGAATACCAAAACAGAAACGTGAATGGTGATCCACAATAATTAAAGCATAACGGTTACCACTACAAGATAATGATGGTGACTCCCAAAGATCAATGTGCAAAAATTCAAATGCTTTTATATCATTATAGATCATTGGAGTTCGATGTGGTGATGAGAATGATTTATTTTTGCAACAATCTTCACATTTTTCATAATTTAAATTGATTCGTGGTTCAATACTTTTAATTTTTGTCAAGATATTTCGGCAACAATGGCCCAATCTTTTATGCCAAAGATTATAAATCTTTTGTATTGGCTTTTCAGTTAGTATCCACAAATCATCATGAAGATGTGCATCGATAATAATATTATCATTTTGCATAATATAAGCTCGATCTTGTTCAAAAAATATTTTATATCCATCCAAGGTCAATTGTCGAATGGAAATCAAGTTCGAGTTGAATTTACCAAAAGCAACATTTTTAAGAATCAATTGTTGATTGGCTTTTGGTTTAATAATGACATCACCGATTTTTTCAGATTCAACTGTTTCACCACTAGCTGTTTCAAATTGAATTTTCTTGAATTCAGGATCAATAAGATTTTTATCATTAACTGTGGTGTGTGTGGTACAGCCTGAATCGAGAATCCAAAAATTTGAGGATTTATCAATATTTTTTGTTATAATTGATTTTGCAACTTGTTTATTTGATCCATTTGATTTATTATTTGATGAAGATGATGATGCAGATTTGGATAAAGATGGCACTGATGAAGATGTAGATGATGATGATGATTTATGTTTTTCATCCCAAAATTTAAATCTACAATCTTTTTCTTGATGTCCAAATTTCTTGCAATACGAGCATTGAACATTATTTTTGAATTGTTTTTTATTACGATTTCTCATCATTTTTGCCACTTCTCGATTATCCGATGTCGATTTTGATGTTAATGAATTAATTTTCATATTTTCATCATATTCGATAAATGCATTCATTATATCTTTCATTGAACAAGTTTGTAGAGCAGTAATTCTGTCTGACAACTGTTCAAATTTAGGAATGGATCGGATCATACCCAATGTAACAACACATCGATGTTGATCACTATAATGGCACCAATCAGATTCAACTGCTTCAAATTTAGCAGTCAAGGTTTCAAGCCAAACACGTAGTGGACCCGATGTATATCTGCAAGACGTTAGTTCCATGTGTTTACGAACAGCAGTAGCAAATGTATCTTTTTCTATTTTAGCCATATATGACCAAACTTCGTATACAGTTTTGCAGTGTTCGATTATTTCCAATTTATTTGACTCGAACATCAAACGGATGGTACCGAGACAATTTTCATATGAATTATATTGGGGATCATCAGGTAGAATTTCACTTTCAAGAAATCTACTATAGCCACAGGATCGAAATGCAGATTTTACAGTTGATAGCCATATTTTGATGTTCGAACCATAATTATTATAGAAGAGGTATATTTCACACACACACATGCACACAATAATATTATAATAATATAATAAATGCCCTTGATTGATTAAAATCGATTCATTGCCATTGCCGTTTTTGATAACGTTGTAGAAAAAAAAAATTATTGAAACATTGAAAATTTCGTCATAAAAAATGATGATGATGAATGTCAAAAAAATACATACACGAGTGTGACAAAAAGAGGCTCTTCTTTTATTATCAATTAGATTTCTTTTGTTTCAATTGTGATACCCATAATTTTCGTTGATGATCATCGAATCATCATCATCATCATCATCATAATTTATTTTCCTTTTATGAAAGTTTGAAATTTTTTTTTACCAATTTGAAATCATTTGGATTGTTTGATGATGATGGAAATCTCATATATCGTTCATATTACACAATTTCCGACTAACCAAAAAATTTTTTAAAATCGTTCGAATCGATATAATCGATATCATGATATAACACAGTATATCAAATATAATGTTGTCTCGAAAATGATTCGATGATTTGTGTCTGTCTGTGTGTGTCGACTAATCATCATCATCATGACGACGACATATTTCATTCATTTTTTTTTGTTCAAAATCAATTATCAACACTAACCGAAACCAATCAGCAATGGATTGCGTTGAATTTGAAATGAAAAAAAAGAACGAAAAATAAAACTTGGTACATATATGGTATAAAAATAAACAATATATATATGTGGCCATATATTGTTTATCATCGATATATTGTCGTCAAATTGAACATGATAATAATCGAAAAGTTCAAGAATCTTATTTTTTTGCCATCATTTTAACTACGAAGAAGGAAAAAAATGAAATGAAATGAATGCGGTATCGAAAGCAAAAGAAAATTCAAAAAAGAACAAAAACAGGATTGTCGTCAAGCTGATTTGTCACTAGTGATGACTAGATTGAACAAGATTCATCTTTCCATCCATCCATTCATCCATCAATCATGGATGGTTTACATTACTTGAACGATTTAAATGATTGATTGCAACTTTTTCAAACAAACAAACAAACAAGCGAACGAACGATAAGGAAGACCAGAAATTAATGTTTTTCTCTTGCTCTCTTACAATGAATTTGAAAACAAAATTTAAAAATAGAATCAAAAAAAAATCTAGAAGTGTTGTAATTTCACTTTTTTTTCATTTCATCTATATTGATTACAATTTTTTTATTATGATACAGAAGATGGTCAAACAAACAAATCAACAAAAAAAAAATTTGAATTAGAAATCATAATTCAATTAGCCGATGGTGGTGGTGATGATGATGATTTATTATTATTATTGGAAAGATCACGAAGCATTTGTTTATAACGTTGCCGTTCTTGATCACGTAAAACACCTTCATGTAAACGTTGTCGATCAATAATCTGTTGTTGATGTACATTCAATATCAATGCTAATGATCCGATTATCGATATGGCCAAAAACAATTTGGCAATTTTTATCGATCTTGATGATGACATTTTTTCTTTCCAAATAGCTGAGATGTAATTTTAATTTAATTTAATTTAATTCATTCGATTTTTTTTTCGTAGTTTGCAGACGATATATAATAATTTTTTTTTTTTTGTTGTTATTAAAAAAACCAACATGTGATCAATTCATGCAACATAGATTTAATGGAAATATTTCCCGATGTGAGAATGTTTTTGTTTGCCCAGGAATTTTACCACAACTACAAATGATTCATTGATTTTTGATTTTGTTCTGTTTTTTTTGGGGATTTTTTTCACTGGTCATTTACATCATCAGGATTTAGGTAAATTTCTAAAATTTTTTAAAAAAGATATGATAATTGATTTGTTGTAATCATGCACGCACAGATATGACAACAATGAAATGCGATGAAGAAATATTCGAAATTAATGATTTTAGTACATCATCCGATTGGGAACGTTTTATTGCCGATATTGAAGAGATACTTACACATTGGAATCTAACGAATAGTGTGGATAATTCATCATTGGATTCAATCCACACACCATCATCACCAACACCACAGCTTCCAATTACGAAAATTGCTACATCAAAATTGTTATCCGATCCACATCGATGGCAACAACGACAAGAATCGATCAAATATCGTAAAGTTGCTTTTTCATTACAATTTTTTCAATTCAAAAAAGATCCATTACCAACACCGTCCGTGTCGATTGGATTACCTGAACATTGTCCGCAGTCGAATCGTAACCAATCGAATCAATCATGGCGTGATATGTCATCAATTGAGAATGATTGGCCCGTCACTGGACATCCATTAGTACGTTATTATGGGCTCAGTCAATTCCTGTTACTCATACCATTGAATGGTGAAACTATCAGTACAGAAGATCGTGCAAGACAATTGCTCGGTTCTGCTTCCATTGCTTTACATAATTTAGATTGTGAAATTCCATTTTTTTGTCAAATATCAACTTCCAATCGTCGATTATTTATGGGTGTCGGACATCAACCTAATGGGTTTCGTACCTATTTTGATATAATACAATTTCCGGATATTCCACCATCATATCGTTATTTCAATGAACTAATGGTGCTGTTCAAAAAGAAACTTTATTCTTCATTTTCATATCATTCGAATGTTATAACACCAAAAGATGAATCGGTCGATGAATATCGATCATCATCGTCAAACGATCCTACCGTTCGGGTTTCCATTCGATTCACATATCTATTGAACCGATGGCCAACTGAATATCTGCTATTCAATCCATCCATGGATGTTCATAATTTATTTGTTCGACAATTTTCTTATTTTGGAACATCTCGAAACAATTCAAAAGCTCATGAACAAATAATGGCAAATTTTGCAAATCTTTACGGTGATCCACTTACACAATGGCAATTGGCAACAACATGGCCATCTGTAGCAGAAGAATTAATCACTGATAATGCATATCATAGTGATTTACAGCCACGTAATGCACCACGATGGTCATTACGATCATTATTCACAGAAGATTCAAAAAATAGCCAACTTTATTGTCGTCATGTTGAATTGTTTCGAATTTTCATACAACTTGGTAATCGTAGTCCAAATAATCCATTGTTGAATTTATTGCTGCGAAATACTGATAATCACCAACAACAAAAAGATGAACAGGAAACACAAGATATACGTCAGGCATTGGATCGATTATCAACGCCCATCCATTCATCGGCACAATCATCATTGTTGAAAACAACAAATACACTGTTGGTGACTAGTCAATTATTATCAAATCTAATGTCATTGGCAGCCGGAACTGGTTCTAGACAAATTCCATCCGAATATATCGAAGCATTTGTTGAGAATTTATTCGATGATGATGATGATGAAAAACCGGTGAAGAATACGGATATCAAATCGAATGATGATGATAATGAGGATGATCAACTTGGTAAATTGAAATCTGCACCACGTGATAGCCTTAGTTGGCGTCTAGCAAATCTTGTTGTGAATATCTATGGTCAAACTCGACAACCATTCAATCTGGCTCAATTATGGAAATTTTTTCTACAAAAATTACGTACTCATTGGAGATCTGGACGACTATTGCCACATCTCGATGAAAATACTACGGACAACATTGATCATGGATCATGTCTGTTTCATCAAAAACTTCAGATGTTCAATAGTTGTATTCGACAGAAAATTAAACGTGAACATCAACTGGATTCGAACGTAAAGCTGGCTGAAGATTCGGATGAAGAATTTTTTGATGCCCAAGATGAAGAACCCGAAATGAATGAAAATCAAACAGCCGAAGGTCAATTTTATCCGTTGAAAGATGTGAAAGGTCAACCAATGTATCTACTTTCATACCCAAATCGACCAATACAAGTGCCACAAACACAGGATCCAGCACCGATGACTGAAGATGTTCTTGCACGACAAGTAACACATCTGGCTCAAATCGATGATGCTCGAATGAAAATCCGTCTACAATCAGCTGGATTATTGTCCGATATGGAAGCCTTCAAAGCGGCCAATCCAGGTTGCCAATTTGAAGATTTTATTCGTTGGCATTCACCACGTGATTGGATACAACAATCGTCTTCCGATTCCAACGATGAAACTTCTGATACATTTGGCCTAAGCCGTAGAATGCGTGAATCTAATACATGGAATGATCTTTGGGAATTGGCACGACCATGTCCTGTTCGGCGACAAAAACGTCTATTTAATTATACGAAAGAAGCGGAAGAAATTCTACAATATTTCGAAACAATTTCATTGGCAAATTTGGTACATTATCTTTCGCCAATCGTTTGTAAATCAATCATTTTACAATTATTACAATATCGAAAAGAAATTCTTCATTTTATACGATCCAACAATCGTGGCGATTCAAATATCGATTTCTTATCTATTGATATGGTTTCAATTGAACATTTATTCACCATTGGTGATTATGAGCGACTAATCGATGTACAATTGATTGAACTAGAATTTGCAATGTTAAAATTCTATTCATTATTACATAAATTCTTTCATTCATATGAAACATTTTTTCATCGGCAAAAGAAATCATTTGCTGATTTATTTCGTGATCAACAATCTACAACAACAACCATAACTACAACAGTTGCGAAAAAACAACCGATAGCTCGAATATCAAAATTGAAAAATATAGGCCAAACAATGGGCGAAATAAAAGGATCAGATTTCATTCAATTCATTCTGGAATTAATATCCGAACCAGAAAAAGAATTCACTAATACCGATATGATTGCACAGCTTATTGTACAGATTTTTGCCGATTCTGATCGTTTTCAATATGAACAATCAACAAGTGTTGGTGATCGAATACCAACAGCAACAACAACAACAACAAACGAATCATCATCCGATAATGATAAAATGATGAAACCAATAACATCTGGTTCGTTGCCGCCACCTACTGGTAAAGAATTTATTATACGTGCAACAGGAATATCAAGACCAGCACCATATTCACGGCCATCATCACATCGAATGTATTGTTTTCTTGCTAATGATTTTCGTATTGCATCTGCATTCACTGAAGATATAGCTTATTTTTGAGAATTTTTCATTTTAACAAGAAAAAAAGTTTTTAACATTTTTTTCACTCTTGTTTGTTTGTTTTTTGCTTGCAAAATTGTTGAAAACTTGATAAATAAATTTCTACTACCATGTGATTAATTGCAATTGAAAGTTTGAAAATAGACAAAAAAAAACATTCAAATTTGGGCGTATTTCTTTGTCTCTGATGATTGATTTTGCCACTGATGCGATGCGATGCGATGCTATGAATAAATGAAGGTATGTATGAGCTAATTATAGCTCGATGTTTAAATACGATTCTTGGCAGATGTTTAATGATTCTGGCTTTTGAATGCAAAAAAAACAGCGTGGTTTTTTTTGTTTGTTTGTTTGACGATTGTGTCTGCAAACAAAATCATTGATGATGGTTTTTTATTACTGATTCGTTGGTGGTAACACAATTTCGAAATATAGATCAAACCAAAAAAAAATGAATAGCCGTCAAATAGCCGAATCTAGCCATAATTATCAACCTGGTGATGTTATATTTCGTTTAAATGAACCATTAGTTTATGTAACAAAATATGAACATCGATTGTTTACCTGTGATCAATGTATGCGTTCAATTGATTCATCTATTGTTTGTCCTGGTTGTCATAAAGTTTATTATTGTTCAAATGATTGCCAAATGAAAGCATGGTATCGTTTACATCGTATTGAATGTTCGATATTGGCTAAACGTGAACCAATGCAGTATGTAGTTTTATTCTATTTTTTTTGTTGTTTTGTTTTGATTTTAAATCTTTTCTTTTGCTACTATAGATTCGAAAATCAAGGAATCGATTATATGCAACGTTTAACATTACGTCTCTATCTTTTAATGACATCCAAAGATGATAATAATGGTGATAAAACAGGACTACAACGATCATTTACATTACCACATAATGGCCAACAACGAATTATTGATGAGATGGAAACACATTCAGAACAATTAAAGGTAGAAATGGATTATTATTATCCCCTTGATCTTGTTTTTTTTTCTTTTGATTGATCGATTAATAATTTTTTCATCATCATCATCATTCAAGGATTCGGACCAATTTCGTGGTATTATCAATTATTTTAAATTCTATCAAATTGATGATTATGATGCTGAATTATTATTACAATGTTATGGCCTATTACATGTGAATAGTTTTGGTATCGATTGTTATGATACCGATAATCTTACTATCGATCATCGTGGTTGTGGCCTATATATAGAGGCATCAGTTTTTGATCATAGCTGTATGCCGAATGCATGTGCTGCTGGTGATGGATTGGCATTAGAGATTCGTGCCCTTCGTCCAATTCGACCCGGTGACCTAATCTATTTGGATTATGTTCAAGATATTTTACCAAAAGATCAACGTATTAAACATCTTGAAGAACGTTATTTTTTCACCTGTAAATGTATTGGTGGATGTGCCGATAACATCGATAGTGATGATGATCATCATAATAATGCATTCGATTCAAATGTTGATTTTAAACGCTACCGAGTATTGGATAATCTAATTGAAAGTCTTAATCCAAACAACAACAACAACAACAACAATGACGGCGATGATGATGATGGTGAAAATTCGGATGATCTTGATGAAGATACATGGCGACAATTGTATCAATTATGGACACAACGATTAACCATACAAGAAGAATATTATCGTAAATGTGTATATCATCCATGTTTGTCATTATTTTATCAATCATTTTTAAGATTTTTAATATTAAATCATCATCGTTTCTGGATGGATGGTATAGAAGCTGAAATGAATCGTGTAATGGCAAAAACACGTGAACATCTAGCCATCACTCATGGTAATCATCATGAATTCTATCGATGGACTGTTGGTAATTTTGATGGTTAAAAATAAAAAAATATAACATCAAACTTGATGTTTGTTTTCATTTTATAATAATAATAATAAAAAAATAAGACTTTAATCAATTTGACATGATGATGATGATGATGATGATGAAAAAAAAATGTTTTTTTTTTGTTGAATTCTGAATTGATGATCAATAAATGAATATATAGTATGCTGTGTGTGTGAAAATTGAAAAATTTTTTTTGTTTTAAAAAATTCTGATTTGATTCAAAATAATTATCATCAAATCACAATCAATTAATAATAAGCATGGCTTGATGATTGATGATGTCTTGCAGCAGATGGATTTGTTGCATATAAATGTCCTGGTGAATAGATTAATTCACGTGTAGAAAATTCCGTTTCATTATAGACATCATGTTTCTATATTTATTGAAAAATAAAATGAAATATATATTTTCAAATGTTTTTTTTTGCAAAAAAAAAAAAAAATAAACATATGATGATGGATAATGTATTCCAGTTGATTGGCCACCTGAAATGGTACCATTATTATTATTATTATTATTATTATTGTGATTATTATGTCTACGATCATTATGATATGAATCATGATGATTATTATAATGTCGAGATTTTGATGTTTTATTATTATTATTGGCCGTACTAATTGTACGTGTTGAATTACGGCCATTACGGCCATTATTCCATATTGATTCGGTTGAATAACCAATATTTGATGATGATGGATCATAATGATCAGATGATGAATGATGATGATTATTATTATTATTCGGTACAACTCTTACTGGTTGTGCATACACGTGACTAGCATTTGGATGCTGTAAATTTGTTGTTGTTGTTGTATCCTGCTTGAATAAAGTAAAAAAAAAAGAAAAAGAAATGAAATTTAAAATTTCAATCTAAATTATCTACAGCCAATGGCTATATATTCGTAATAATAATTTATTATTATTACTCAAGGCTATAAACTTGACCTAATTTTGATCTATCCCATGATGATGATCTAGATCTTGATTAGAGAATTCGGTTCCAATCGAATGATTCGATTTAAATCTAATTTAAATTTAAATAAACTTCTTTCTCTTTCTATCTATTTGATTTATGTATCTAATTAATTATATCTTGACAAATCCTAATTAATGGCAAAGAAAAAAATGTCAGTCTCATACCACACAGTATGACCACTTGACCTTTGTGTGAATAAATCAAAATGTCCACTTTACCATATTATTTGTAGCTGTTGTACCACCACCACCACCTGTATAACCATAGCCATTTGTACTAGCTGAATTAGTTGTCGTATTTGTCGATGATGATGATTGTAATAAATGTTGTTGTGAATCAGCCGAATATGCATGATGATGATGTATTTGGGGCCATAATGATGATGATAATGATCTACCATATCCACCGGCACCAACAACTGTACCATCAATAGTTGACATACGTGACATTGTAGCCAATGCTGCTAATGATGCAGCTGAAGGTTTATTCATATAGCTAAATGTATGACCACTTGCAGCTGACATTGCTTCAATTTTTTGTTGTTCATGACGAAATCTTTGGCTGAAACGACAAAAAATATAAGAAAAATGAAGTAGAAAAAACAAAGAGTTAAAATGAACACTACTTACTTCCACATATAAAGACAGATGAATGTAATGACAATGATGACCAATGCAGCAATGGAACCACCAACAGCAACACCTAAAACTTCAGCATCAATATCACATTGGCTACCAATAAAGTTTGCCCGACATCGACAAACACGTTCACCTTTGATGATTAAGCATTCACCACGATTTGAACAATATGATGGTGAACAAGTTGAACAAACACGACCGGTTTGCCATCGATCACCATCAGCGAATTTATCTTCATAACCGGATTCACATTCACAACGGAAACCACCGAATTCATTCACACAATGTGCATTACGTGAACAATCATTTAGATCGGGTGCGGAACATTCATCCAGATCATCGATTCGTGTGATAGCATTTGAACCAGAATCCACTGATAACTGTGATTCACCAAGATTATTTTGTGATTCAATTATAGCTTGCGTTAATTCTTGCTGTAATTGTCGTTTGATACGTTGTGATGTATTGATCGAACTATCATTCGATCGTAATGAAATGGTTGCATTGACAATGGTACGGCCACCAACAGCATAGAATCGATTAATTTTGACAGCCATCAAATAAGTATTCAATGATTTGGTCTGTGCAAACAATGAATTCATTGCATGTATAGATTCAAATTCCAAATATTGATATTCTTCAGAATTAGCATTCAATAATGAACGAGTGAATTGTACTTTATTACCAGCCATTTTATCCACACGAAACGATAATGATAATGATATGACTGGTGAACAATTTGTACGTGGAATAATTCGTGCAAAACCTGGTCGACATTGACATGAACTAAGACCTAGTTCGGTAATGCATTTTTCATTCAATGAAATATCACATGTACTATCATCACCAACGATACAGGTATCAATACGTACGATCGGTACATTTGGCCGTGGTCGAAATGCCGGACGACGTACATATGGTTTTGCCAATGATTTTTTCGTTGTAGAATTTGAATTTTGAGTACCACCGTTATTAGTGTTGCTGAATGAACCGGTCCCGGGTATTTGATTACCTGGTGATGATTTTGATGGTTTTATCGATTCGATTATACCAATTTTATTATTCGATCCACCGACATTATTTCTAGCCGTAGCTATTGTTGCATCAATCATATGTGTTGGGTCAAATTGTCCGATTTTGGGCTTTACATTTTCAATTGGTAATTGCATGATTACAGGTTTTCCATATGATACACTTGTTGTTGGTAAATTTAATGGTGGTGTTGAAACAGTAGCCGTTTGGTACGGTAATTCTTGGCTAGCTGAAGTTTTATCCATTGTAGATGATGATGAAATCGTTGAGGAGAATGAAGTTATCGTTGTTGATGTAAACGATGGCTCTAAACCGACAGTAGATGTAGTAACCGGAATACGTTTTCCATAAACAACATCGTTTATTTTAGATGAATGAATTGGATTCGATGTAACACGTAATATATGTGAATATTGATTACCAGGATTTTGATGCTGTTGCTGCTTATGGTGATGATTACGAATTTCGGTTACATCAGGATTGATAACGGTCGAAATAGTTGGATTTATTGTCGTAGATGTTGGTCGAATTGAATTAGAGGAAATCGTAGTCATCATAGTTGTAGTCGATGTGGTTGTAGGTCCAATTTTATGTTTAACAACCATTTCGAATACACTTGGCCCTTCATCCTCTTGCATTGTTATAATTTGTGGTGGTGGTTCCGATGCCGATGATGTTATCAATAATCGATTATTATTAATTGCATTATTACCATTTGATGTATCATTGTTATGATGTGCACCGAAAAATGGTATGAATGTATCAATTTTATTATTACTTGAATGATCTAATCGATCTCCGGATGATGAAGAACTAATTTTCGACATTAGATTGGCAATCACATTGTTCATCATCGTTTTGTTGTTATTATTTATATTGGCCGATGGCGATATGAATTGATGAATTAGGGCATCCATTTCGGCTTTAGATAGTCCATGTAATGTTGGTGGCATCTTCATCATTGGATTATTATTATTGATACTATTTGAACCAGGTTTCACAGGTGGCATTAGCATTGGTGGATTATTTAATGGTATTGCCGGTGGTGATTGTTGTGGTCTTGAATTAGCACCAGTTGATAATAAAGGAATGAATGGCAATTGAAATGAAGGATAATTAGATTGACCGAAATTGGCCGATGGTCTACCATTAAGTTTGGGTGGTGGTAGTGGTGGCGGTGGCGGACCAACAGGACCACCACTAAAACCAGTCGGAAAATTTGGACCACCTCGAGGTATAAGATGTGCTAAATGTGCAGGTATTCGTTGATTTAGTCCACCATTATTGGCCATTTGTCCTAATAACATTTGTGCTAATTTTGCCTGTTGATCCGGATTGGTAAATAGATGCGGCTGCAATGGTAATGGTGGACCATTTCCTGTAGTTGAAGTAGGCATTTTAAGATTACCACCAAGTAATTGTGCAAGTCCACCAAGAAGATCATCCATTCCATGTGATGAGCCACTATTACCGTTTTTATTATTTGAACGTGATAAATCTTTGGAATTTATACGTCCAGCGGCCGGTAAATCGCCATCTTTCTTGATTGGAGGAAAATCTTGTCCTAATTTGGAATTTCTTCGCGGTTCACGTACTGATCGTTTTGTATCACTATCACTATCGTCATTTCTAATTAGATTCAATGATGATGATTCATGATGGGCGACATTTGTAGAAACTGGGCCATCATGATGATCAGACAATGATGAAAACAATTCATTTGCATTCGAATGATGATGAATTGGACCTGTGAACAACAACAACAAAAAAAAACAATGTGGTAAAATTAAATGGGAAATTAATTAGTTTCGGAATGAAGAAGAAAATTTTCAGGAAAAAAAATGTTTCAAAAAAAAGGACCGGGAAAAAAGCCATCAACCTAAATTTATGGCTGTGTGTATGTGTGTGTGCAAAGAAAGAATATTTTTCAGTATCCACCTTTTCTTTTCAGTTTCAAATTTGGATCAATTTCATTTTCATATTTATTTATATAAAAAGCAAGCAACAGAAGCAAGACGAAAAAACAAAACAAGAGAAATTATCAATGTAAGTAGAACTCTAATTGTAATTGTAATTGTTTTTTGTTGTTGTTGTTTTGAAAAGAATTTTTTTTTTGTTCATTCCATCAACATTTGTCTGTCATGATATGATGATGATATTATTTAAAATTTAAAATTTAAATTTAAATCACGAAACAAACTTATAGAACAAAATATAATTATTATCATTATCCATGGTGACAAAAGATGAATATATTTTTTTTCTTCTTCTTCTGTCATCCAATTTAATGGATAGTGACATATTTGGTTTTGTTTTGTTTTTATTTTCTATAGAGAATAGAACAGAGATAATTGTAAAAAAAAAAAAAAAAAAAAAATAATAATTGAAACTAAACTATTTTCATTTTCATTTTTCGTCTTCTTCTTCTTCTTGGTCATTGTTTTGTCAGAACAATTGTTTTCAATTCTAAACAAACGAAATTTTGGATTTTTTTGGGATTTAAAAGAAAAAATTAAATATAAATCACGTAAAGGAATTTTCTCTTGTGGCCGAAAATTGAACGAATAAACTAAGATACAGAGACTGGTAATTTTTTTTTTGTTGATATGTGCCGGAAGCTGGGCCCCTCAGAAAAAAATCAACTTGAATATGGGAATTCTGAATGGCCATATTTGTTCGAATTTTGGTAAAAGTTTTTTTTTCACTTTCAAAAAATGGTCAGTGCCGTTTTTTTTGAATTTTTAAAATTTGACCATTGTTTTTGAAATGAAATGAAATGAAATGAATCAGGTCAATGATTTTTATGATCATTTTTTTTTCGTATGCAAAAAATTATTATTCAAATTCTATTGTATGTTTAGTTTTCTAATTATTTCTATGATGATTTTATAATATTAATTTCGTTTCATTTTTGTTTCTATTATCTTAACAATACATATATAGAGGTTGATGTACTAAATTTAGCCATTTTTTTTATTAAAAATGAGGGTGACAAGCAAAAAAAATTCCAGGAAAAATTCAAACTGACATTTAAATTTAAAGAAAACACATAAAAGTTGCTAACCTGTTGATTTCAAATCCATGATCGATAACAATGGATGATGATGCTGTTCGGATAGCCGCTGTTGTTGTTGTTGTTGATGGAAAGGTCGGCTTCTTTTATCATCATCATCATCATCAGCATTATGATCATGTGAATCACGATGATGATGACCATTAACAACAAATGTCATTGTAGCCGGTCTATTATGTTGATCATCATTATTATTATTATTATTATCTGATCGTTTTGAATGTATCGAATGTAGAGGAGGTAGATGATGATTTGGATGAATTAAAGATGTTGATGCAAATAATGATGATGATGGTGATTTGATGTCGAATAGGAAACGATTATCATCGACATTTGATATCGATGTTGGCTTTACAATGAAATGATAATTCGATGATGATGAGAATTTGAATTCATTATCATCATTTGCATTGACAATAATCGAATTTATTGTTGTTGAATGAATTAACGGGATAGAATCATGAATGATCAACAATAATAATAATGATGATGATGATAATGATAATAACATAAACAACAATGATGATGATTTTGATGATTGTGATGAATATAGCCTTTGATTTGGTAAATTCGATGATGATGATGATGATTTGGACAATAATGATGACCATTGATTGTTTATCGTCGAATTATAATGATAACCTAAATTCTTATGATTCGAATGATGATGGTGTTGGACATGTGGAAATTGCCGTAATTTTTGTTCCAATTTCCAATGTTGATCAATATAATAATAATCATCATCATCATTGTTATTATCGATATTACACCCATCATCATATGATGGGAAATTTGGGTTTGGTTCATTCATTTTGACATTTATACATTCATCATTTGTCCATTCATCGTAATGAGAATAATGTTGATCAACAGTAGCAGTATTGTTTTTCCGATTAGAATCAATCATTTTATTATTCCGTAGGATATACCGATGATTCATTGAATTACATTATTGGTGATGAATGAAAAAAAACAACCGTGTCTATCGAATAGTGAATTTCAAATGTGAAGAAAACACAAATCATACATACATGAAACACGTTATTTCGTGAAACAAAATTTCACATTTTCACATTGAATCATCATCAATTTTTTTTAAATCAACAAAAAAAAGAGATAAGAATGACAAATGATGATATTTACAATGTTGAATACGTTATATTAGACGGGGACACACTTACACACACACACACACGAGCAACAACGAAAAAAAAGTGGCACGCAAATGGACAATTCATTCTTCATTCGAGAGAGAAAAAAAAAACAAAACGGAAATTAATCACTTTTGAGACAAATACAAAAAAAAACCAACAAGGTCTTGAGACAAATTTTCTTGATGATGCGACAATCATCAAATTATTTAACAACAACAAAATAATGTATGTGTTTGTAAGAAACAGTCTTTTCTATTCAAAATCAACATACATGCATGATGAATGACGACCACAACCAACAACCATCATATAACGGACAATGGCAATGACGAACAACAACAACAACAACGAAAAAAAAATGTCGAAGACCGACAAATCTCAACCGAAGAATTCAACAAAACGAAAGCAAACGACGACACACACACACACATAAGTCTCTTACTTCTCTGTGCAAATTCAGTTCTCTCTGTTTATCTCTCTCTTTCTTTTTAAGTGGAAAAAAACTGGTTCTCATCATCATTGATCGAATCCAAAAAACGGGGAAGCAAACAAAATGCCATAATGATAATAATCATGAAGAAGAAGAAAAAGAATCCTGTCCAGTCAAGTTTTTTCTAGTGTAAGAAAACAAAAAACCAGAAAAGAAAAAAAATTGGCGACAAGAACAACAAGATAGACATGATTACCATCATCAGAAAGATCAGATCAACAACAACAACAGTAACAACGAAAAAAAAGATGAACGAACTTGACATGGAATTCGATGACTAGGGGATAAAGTCGAAAAACTTCTTCATCATAGTTGTGATCGAAATGTGAATAATAATTTTACCGCCATTTCAGTACCGTTGGCAATTTATCATCATGTCAAGCAATGCGAAGGGCAAAAAAAAGGGTGGCTATCCGGTTTGAATTATGCTAGGATCCGTTTTAACCTTCAAAAATATTTTTCTTGTGTTCGTGTCTGTGTGTTTGTGTGTGTCTGTCTGTTGATCAAGAAATTTCGTTTCTTCGTCAAAACATTTCATAATTGAAGCCTCAGCCTAAGACAGGTGAATGTGAAATTCAATATTCGCGAATATTTATCCTTTCTCACTCTAATGTTACTATTTTCTTTGCACAGATCATATAAGATGGAATTTTTTTGTCCGAAAGAAAAATCATGGTACAGAAATACTTCGGTTAACAGAAAAAAATGTCTTGGTTTTAACGATAACCAACTGGTATAATTATCCCTATGCGCATAAGTGTGACCATTAAAATCATCGAATCAGATCGAATCGGATTTTCCACACACACACACACACACATGATGATGATAATGACCCGTTCGTCTACCTTACCAATGAAATAGATCAAGGTTATATAATGAAATAGGAAGTGAACATCATCGATGCATGTCTATGTATATGTGTGTGTCTGTGTGAGTGGTATTGAGAAATTGATTATTCACATGAATTCATATAAACTGAATGGTCAAATCAATTTCATCACTTTTCAAATAATCAACCAATCAAACAACAACAAAATTCTACTATCCTATACACACATACAAGTTCTCGAATATAAAAAAAAGGAAGTGAAGTTCAATAAATTTTATTCATTGTATTTTCAATGTTGTCAGGTAAGAAGAATGGATTCAAGTTATTATTATTATTATCATTGTTACTATAATCGATAAATATCACAAACCTGTCAAAATAATGTCTAATCTTTCTCTATATGTTTTTTTTTCAGATTCTATTCTTTTCGGTGAAAAAAAAATCGTTCCATTCAAGACAAACATCAATCAATCAATCAATCAATCAATGATTGTTCGAAACCCCTTTTTTCCTATGATGATGGTGATTATCATAGCAACAACAACAACAATCATTATTATCTTGTCTTGAAAATAATATTCGAAGGGTAGAAATAGATTCGAATAATTACAAATTGTTCGATGTTCTTTCGTTTTTTTCTTCGAAATTGGATTCAAATCATTTATTATTATCCTGAATATTTGAATGTTTAACAGCATCATTTAAACATGCACATACACACACACACACACACTGGTTTAACTGACCTGATGTTTTCTTGAACAGGTAAATATTTGGACTAACAAGTAGAAAAAAAACGATTTAACTATTTTCACCTGTAGTAAGACAAAGGAAAAAAAAGGTCACGAAACTAAGGTAAATATATCCATCAAAGTGCAATTATTTGTCGGTGAAAAACAAAACCATGAAACATATCTTTAATTGAATTTTATTTTATTTTAAAAAAGAATTTTTTTTAAACAAATTATGTCATCATCATAATTGATTATCATTATGATGTCATCACCTTTTTTTTTGTCCATTTAATAGATGTTGATGATCGTTTTCTTTATGCAAATCAGATAACAACAACAACAACAACAAAATAACAATTTTCAACACATTTAAACTTGATTTTTTTTGTTCTGAAGAAAAATTTAACCTTTTTTCATCTGATTTTTCTTTTCTTTTTTTTTTTTGACAGCATTTGTTAATGGTGAACGATTGAATCCGGAAAAGTAACCGGATCATAAATTTTTTCTCATCATTTGGTTCATTTTACTACTACTACTACTACCTACCACTTTGATGATGGCTTAGTTTATCACCATCACCATCATCATCGATTATTTTGATGATAAAAGCACCAGATATATATATTATACTAAGTTGATTACCCATTTGAAAATCGTTTTTTTTCCAACCTTCCAAGTTAATATATTCTGAATGAATGATCCTTGATTGTGCTTTCGTTCTATAATCTAGTCATCCTAGTCCGTTTATTCAATCAAATCATATCACTTAAATTTGATTTATTTTCTCAACAAACTACACAACGGTAATAACGTTTGGATGATAGTAATGATGATGATGATGATGATGGTAATCGATTACCAATGTGAGAATAATGGATGGATGCCATTTGAAAATCTACAGCCAACAAACTGTATACCCTATCATTATTATTCGAAAAAAATGTTTGTTTTCTGAGTTAATTTAATTTTGTTTCATGCAAAACAAAACAAAACAAAACAAAAAATTCGAAATTTCAAAGCATTCATTATATAATCGTCGAGCAATGTTTGATACGTAAGTCAATGTTTCCGATTTTTTGTTTTTAAAGTGCTTTTTTTGTTTCTTGATTTTAATTTTTGTTTTTGTTCCTCTTTTTTTCCCTCTGATTGATAGCAATGAATTACAAATTCTTCATTAATGGATCGATATTATTATTATCTGTCACTTGTCTGTCGTTGGTACAAAGTATACCCGTTGATCAATCGAATGAAACATCATCATCTAAACTGCCGATTATGATTGATGATGATGATGATGTTGGTGGTACATACAGCAAAACAAACGAATCCGATACTTCATTATCAATTGATGAAACAACAACGATGGAAAAATTTCATCATCCAGAAATTTTAATATTGGAAATTGTATCACAACAACAAAAATCTGATGATGATCATCCACATGCTCAATGTATAAGAAAATGTTCATGGATTTATCGAAAATTATTAAATGATTGGTGGATCAATCATGCAATTACATCATTATTAGAAAAATATCAATATGATAATATTGTAAACAAACAAAATGATAATGTACAACATAAATCCAATGAAACTAATGATGATAATAATAATAATGATCCAACAATGATTGTATTTGAAATGATACATCAATTACCTTATCATTATCGAATGGATCTATTATTTCGACAACAGGAACGTCGTTGTTTTTCTGTTTGTGATCAACATTTTCTTTTTCATCATAACCATCATCAACATCATCATCATCATGGAATAGGAAAACGTAATCAACTAGCAGCTGGAATATCAGCTGATGGTGTTCAACAACAACAACCATCGCAACGTTTAATTTCAGATTATTGTCGACAATTTACACGAAAAATATTTCAACATATTCCAATGATATTGATGGCTATTTCAGCAATGCTTATAATGTTTATGTTTTTCTGGTCATTAATTGAATGTATGTTTCAAGTGGAAGATCCAGCTATTGATCATACATTTATTATTAATGATGGAAAAAATGGTCAAAAATCGAAATTATTATTGGATCAAAAACAATATCAGCAACAACATCAATTTCAACAACAGCTATATAAACCTGTACAAATAATGGCTGTACCAACTGTTGATGGTGATCGTAATGAATGAATGATAGATGGAATTTTGATTTTTTTTTTGAAAATTAAAACAATTGTAAAATGTAAATTCTTTTCTTTTTTTTTGTTCAAAATTTTGGCGCTCATGAAAAAAATAATTTCATAACGCCATCTAGCTAAAAATATTCAAATTTTTTCTCCCATTCGATTTTCAATGTATCTTCTCACATAAAACATTATTGTCATTGACTTTTTATATAATGTTGATGAATAACTATACTGCTTTTATATATGATGATGATCATCATTGATGATACGATGATAATGATGGTGATCATCTTCATCATCATCATCATCATCGATTTCCATAGCTACAATGGTAGTAGCAAACAAACACTCATATGCATACACACATGCAAAAAAACGGATCATCCAATCCAAACATTTACAACTATCAAAATAGAATGGATATATCCTAACTACAACAACAACAACAACAACAACAATCATGACGATATAGAAGATCACATCAAGCGACAAGTCCAAATGCTGGTATGTAATTGGTATATGATTGAAGCTTGTATTTTGGTTTTTTTTTTTTTTTGTTATTATTATTGTTGTTGTTGTTGGACTGTGTTGTAGTGTTGCTTTTTTTTCATTTTTTGCTGTGATATCCTTCGATGTTATATTTATCAAAGTGAGGATGAATCACCATGCATCAATGAAACTCGGTTGAAAAAAAACAACGAAAAAATATTTCATTCATATCAAGTACTAAATGATCATCATCAACATCCAGTCACTTAGTCAGTCAGTCAGTCAGTCAATCAATCAATCAATCAAAGAAAAAAATAATCCAATCCAAAATATATCAATTTCAAAGTTCATAATCATCATTATTGGAATTGTAAATTTCATCATTAAATCATAAAATTTCAATTTGATTCAATCATCATCATCATCGAAAATATGATGGACATACAAACATCAATAAAAAAAACCTTGAATATTTTTTCCTATTTGTTTAGATTGATTGATAACTTCTATTGTTATTGAATATATCCGTGTCTTTTGTATGAATACAAGTGTAAAACTGGTTTGAAAATTTTTTTATTTGTTTGTTTCCTCAGAATTTTTTCATTTATTTATTTTTTTTGTTTCATCGAAAATCTAACGTGATTTTGGTTTGGGTCAAACTCAAATCGTTTTTTTTTTTGCTTGTTTTCGCCTGTCAGGCCACCATTATATAAATAAATTGGACCACAAATGTGGTGATAAAAGAAAAAAAAATGTCGACAGAAAATTCAAATTCAGATCCAACAAAAACAACAGCCACGACGACATCAGCGGCAACAACAACAACAACGGCTGCTGCTGCTGCCGCTGCTGGTGGTGGTGGTGGTGAATCGAAAAAAAGTCCATCAAAAGAATCTAGTAATTCGAAACCAAAAATCGATGTTGCCATTGTCATTGATCTGGTATGTTTTTGAGTCACTAATATTTTTTTTTAATTAATTAATTTTATTTATATACTAATTTTAAAATAGCAAATCAAAGATGGTAATTTATCACATCGTATGGCCGCATTTGAAGAGATTAAAAAAGCCTGTCATATGGTCAATGCTAATTATCAGCTGATTGCATTTCATAAATTAGATTTCGATGAAATCAATGCAATCGATGCATTCCATGCGGCCGATGTTGCCATTGTTGATCTATCAATACAGAATCAACAACATTCATTATTTTATCGAATTGGTAATCGTGAAAATTTTGGAATGAAATATAATATTTTGATATTCAATGATGATTCATTGAAAGTAACGATACCATCGAATTTGCCAATTTCAACATTTAATCTAATCAGTTATCGTTTGTCACCGGTGGATAAAAAATGTTATTACACTGAATCTTTGCCAGATAAAAATAGTCGAAACAATTCTAATCCAAATATTCGATCATCAACAAATCGACCACCACCATTATCATGTGAAACGAAAATTTTACTAAGTACAAAACTACGAAATGCATTACAACATGTTGAAATACAAACCAAGTAAGCCGATCCGAATTGATAAAATTGATTAATTATAATTTTAAAAATCTATATATAGAACACATTTGAAGGAAAAATTCCTATCCGAATTACGTAAAGCACGCGAAACACTGACACGTGATGAATTGACAAAATCATTACATGATTTTCGAAAAAAATTGGAAAATAATTCTAGTCTTATATCGGCCGATATTGTCCATAATCTTCTTGTTTCATATCGTGAAATACAGGATTACGATTCAATGGTATCATTGATTGAAGAGGTACAATCATCGAAATTTGCCTTTAAATTTACGCCACCTTTTCAATATCTGCATGCATTTGCATTGAATCGCCGTAATCAAATTGGTGATCGTGAACGAGCATTGGAAAAAATTCATGAAACAATCGAAGAAAGTTCATACATTGATTCTATCTGTTTAGCTGGCCGCATTTATAAAGATAAATTTATTGAATCACAATATCAGGATAAAGAAAGTCTTGAACAGGCAATCATTTGGTATCGAAAAGGATTTGATCATCAACCAAATGAATATGCCGGTATTAATCTAGCTACATTATTGGTCATTAGAGGTGATGATCTGAATAATTCAACTGAACTTAAAGATATAGCATCCATATTGAATCTTTTGATTGGCCGTAAAGGAAGTCTTAAATCAATACAAGATTATTGGGATGTTGCAACATTTCTTGAAATATCTGTATTGGCTGAAAATTATACAAAAGCAAATGAATCAGCCGAATGTATGTTCAATTTGAAGCCACCGGAATGGTATCTGAATTCTACATTACGAAACATACAATTAATTAATGATTTTCGTAAAAAACCCGAAGATGTACGTCTGACACCTGAAGAGGAATTGTTTCGTTTTTGGATGGAATATTTTATTGAAGCGGCCAAAGATCATGCTAGTCATATAATAAGATTTCCAGTCATTATACAAGAAATTGATAAATCACTGATACCAAGTTATGTAACTGTAAATCAAAATGATCAAGATGGTAAATCATTGCAGATCAATAATATCTGTAAAGAATGTATACGTAATCCAGATTCATGTCGACGGCCACATAATTGGCTATTTCATTCATCAAAAATACGTGGTGTTAGTATGTATAAATCGGATCAACGTTGCCTTTTTCTATACGTACTATCGGATGATTTTCAAATGTTTTTCCATCAGACGAATATCGTAAACGTTTTCATGAACTTGTTCTAGACATAACAGCCAATGAAGAATGTTTAGATTTAGATTCACGTATAATGGAATCGATACGAATTCAATTTGATTATGATTATGATGAAAAAATGAATAAAATTAAATTAGGTGAAGGATCATATGGTACAGTATATGCAGCACATGATAGTAATAATATTGCCATCGCTGTGAAAGAGATACCGATCAAGAATAAAGATGAAGTTCAACCATTACAGGAAGAGATTAAGTTACATTCACAACTGAAACATCGTAATATCGTCAAATATATTGGTTCGATTAATGATGAACAAGTGAGTGTTTTCAAAATCCTAATGGAACGTGTACCCGGTGGTTCATTATCACAATTATTACGTTGTAAATGGGGCCCACTAAAAGAATCATCGATTGCCTATTATACTAGACAGATTTTGGATGGTCTTCATTATTTACATAGTCAGAATATTGTACATCGAGATATTAAAGGTGATAATGTACTTGTTAATACATATACTGGTGATGTAAAAATATCGGATTTTGGTACATCCAAACGTTTGGCTGGTTTAAATCCACGTACTGAAACATTTACTGGTACATTTCAATATATGGCACCTGAAGTAATTGATCAAGGTGCACGTGGTTATGCAGCACCAGCTGATATATGGTCACTTGGTTGTACTGTTGTTGAAATGGCCACCGGAAAAACACCATTTATCGAACTAAGTTCTGGTCATGAAGTCATATTTAAAGTGGGATATTTTAAACAACATCCTGAAATACCGGGAACATTATCGGAAAAATGTCGTAATTTTATTGAAAGTTGTTTTGAACCAAATCCTGCTAAACGTCCAGCGGCTGCTGAATTATTGGAAATGCAATTCATGGAATGTGGTTCATCATCTTCAAGAAAACGTAAACCAGCCAATCAATTACAACCAAAAAATAACAATAAAGTCAATCCAAATCGTATGTCTGTAGACTTTAATCGTTCAATATCGATGCCATATGATCCAACATTGAAATCAACAGATTCATCTAGTTCTACAACCGCCGTTATTGATATTGTACAACAGCAACAACAACAACATAATGGTGGTGGTGGTGGTGGTGATCATACACCAAATTCAATGGATAGCTTACAAGATTCAAATCCATTCACATTAATGCCATCAACAATTAGTGGTTGTGGTGGTGGTGGAAATAAAAATCCAAATAGCCGATTACAAACAAATCTATCATTAAATATAAATAATCTACAAAATTCAAGTGGTGATGAAAAATCACCAAATATAATGACATCTGGATCATCGGTAGCGTATCCGGTAACACCAAATGATTTAACAATGAATGAACATAATATACAAAAAAGTCTTTCACAAGTACTTGATTCAAATACTGAAGATATAACTGAAGTTTGGTGGCGTCGTTTGATTGAAAATTGGCCAGATCAACAATTGTTATTACAATCACGTCATATACAGAATGTATTATTCCCTGGTTTTCGTGATTATATCTCTACAAATAAGAATACATTGTATTTGATGAATGCCTTGTATTCATTGGCAAATGAATTTAATGAAAAATTCAATTCAACCAATGATGATCATGATGATGGCGAAGACAATGATGATCATGATGATGATGATGATGATGATAGTGTCCAACAACAACAGCAACAATCATTGGATAATGATGAAAATAAACGTTTTCTATTCAAACAATTACAGACGGCAATCTATTATTTTCAAGATGCAATTGATTCAATATTGAAAATACAGAATATACCACCACATTGGATTTTTGCATTAGATTCATTGATACGTGAAAGTGTACAGGAAGCACAACGTTTATTACATTTATGTTATAAAAATGTATTTGAAATTGAAATGGCCGGTAGTGAAGTGGCTGTACCACAATCAGCCGGTTGTGGTGGTGGTGGTGATTTAAATCATTTAATCAATGTAACGTCACCATCAACAGCTGATATGTTAAGACATTCACAGGAATCATTATTCAATATGCAATTGATAAAATCCGATCATTTTAAACAAGAAATTAAACATCTATTACAGGAAAATAATAAAACAGTTAAATTATTATCGGATACATTCAGTGAATATCTTGCCGAACAGAATGAAGTATTGCGACGTTTATGTGAAAAAGTACAGAATCAAAATCGTCCAAATTTATTGATCGATAATGCTGTTGTTGTTTCGGCTTCTACTAATGTCCATACGAATGATGATGATGGTGGTAGTGGTGGTGATATCGACAAAAATTCAGATGATAATCAAAAATTTAAAGATGAAACAATGATTACAATGTTGGAAAATGAAAATATTAGTCGTTCAACAATCGATGCTGTAAGTATTAATAATAACATGATGATGATGATGAATTCAATGTCGAATTGATTTTCTTACCATTTTTTTTTTACTTCTAGTTAATTCGTCAAGATATTGATCGAAAAGTTTTATTTGAATTCATAAGCCGTGATGATCTCCGTAAATTGAATCTAACATTGGGTGAAGAACTTCGACTTTGGAATCTCATTGAAAAGAATAAAATTCGTTATCAATTGGTCAACAACAACAATGACAAATATGATTGATTTATAATTTATATAATAATAATAATTAATTTATTGTTTTTTTTTGCAATTTGAAAACAATAAATTACAAGCTTTGTGAAAAATCAAAAAAAATCGGCGGGTTTTTTTTCGAAAATCACACGTGATCATTAATGTTTGACCAATTGTTGTCGAAATAGGCGAACTTATTGCGCTCTCCTTGTTCGATTGTTTTTGTTTTCGTTTTGTTTTGGATTTTCATTTTTTATTTGTAAAAAACTTTTTTTTTGGGTTTACACATTTAATTATTGTGTTATTGCGTCCAGATCATTATCATTATTTTTTCATTGTTGACCATATGAATCCTGTTAATCATTTTCTTTCATCACAGAACCATAATGGCCAAATACAATTCAATGATGATAATGTGGCTCATGCTATTACATCATCAACATTATTATCGTCGATCAATTATGATTATTCAGATTTACAAAATTATTTCTTACAATATCATTATCAACAGCAACAAGTGAACAGATTACCATTATCATCAAAAAATGGCCATGACCAGAATTATCACCAATTACAATCGACAAATTTACCATTTGTCGATAATGTTGGAACAGTCATATTCAGATGTGATGATGAAATCACCGATGTTACTATGGCTGATGATTGTTATTATGATAATAATTCCCCATGCGATCCAGGAGATAAAAGTTTTCTAGCATTAGATGGCCAGCTCAATGATCCGAATTCTAATCATGGCAATGAACAAGAATATTGGCGTAATACACTTGATTGTGATTATCGACAATTGTCAAATGAAGTGGCTCAATCAGCCATTGTATCTGCAAGTAATTTATCCGATACAGATTGTAATAATAGATTTATAAGTGAAAAGCCACCTATTCATGATGAAGATCGAATTGAAAATGCAATCGATAAACTAATTCAATCATCAAAGAACAATGTTATCATTGCTGACAAACCCCCGAAACATTTAAGTCGAAAAAAGAGGAAAAAACTATACAGAAAATCCAAAGGAATAGATTTGACCAATAAAAGTAAATCGAACGCAATAAACAATGAGCAACAATTGGCAAATATTGATTTGGATTCGGTTGTGATTGATGAGGATGATGACTCAATAAATATCGATGGTATTGAGCTAGCTGATATCGATAAATTGGAATTTGATGAACTAATAACATATTACAATAAATTAAAAGAAGAGTTTACATTATTAAATTTTTCAGAGCAATCAGAAGTGTTGGATAAAGATGATGGAACAACAGTAGCTGCAACGGAAATACCAATTTTAGATTTTGATGAGATTAGCTCAACCGATATTGATGATAATGACGATGATGATGGATCAGATTCAATGGCAGCACCATCAATGCAATCGGTGGATTCAAATTCTAATATCTGTCTCGATGATGTGGTTGTTGAACAGCCACAACAACCATTATTGGACAATGATGATGATAATGTCAATAAAACAATCGATGAGGTTATTCCGAATGCGACTGAAGATGAAAGCCATCAACCACAACTGGAAGAAAATTCAAACAACGACAATTCAACCAATTGGTTATTGAATGAACAGATTTTACGTGAAAAATTAATCCGTTCGATGATGGAAAAGAAAAAACAAATGACAAATGAAAATTCATCTACAGAATCACCACCACAAACGCAGCAACAACAACAACAGCGTGGTAGTCCATTATCTGTAATCAATTGTAATGGAAATTCAACTTCGACTATAGTATCAAATAATTTGGTCATCACAGAATCATCGAAACCAAAAATAGATTTATCTCATTATCGATTGGTAATTCATCTTTCATCAGATGATGAATCTGAAATAGAACTTGTTGAAGTGAATAAATGTTCAAATACTGTGGTTATGGCATCGACATCATCATCATCATCAACAAAAACGATAACATCAGCAACAAATGCGAATACATCTGTAATAAAAAAATTAAGTAAAAGTCAACAACAAGAATATGAAAAATTACGTAAAGAAATTGAACGTCGTGAGGCATCCGCTGTTGCTCAAGAAAAAATGTCAATACAATCGAAAAAAATGGATTCACTTCGAAAATCATTGAATGCACATGAATCTCGTTATCGACAAACAATTGTAAATGTGGAACGTAAAAAAGGATCAATCAATGGATTGAATAGAAAATTTGTTACATTGAAAAAGAAATTGACAAAATCCAAGAATCGATTACTCAAGTTAAAACATTCATATACTTTGGCACAGAAAAGTCATAAATTATTGGCCATACAATTACAATTGTCAATGAAAGAAATGAATGTTCCTGAAACAATCAATGTCCAATGATTCGACTGAATTACAAAAACATCATACGGCTTGTATGCGAATCGGTCGCCAATTACATGGACCACAATATCAGTTAGCAATACAGCCATCAAAGTCTCAAAAACAGCTAGTTTTTTCAGAATCTCAGCAAATAAATGGCAAGAAAAAATTACAGAAAAAACAGGCAGAGAAGAAGAAACAAAAGGAAAATCGGTTACAATCGTTACGTTATTTCCGAAACCGGATTCAATCGTCTATGAGAAATTTTGCAAATGCGAATACAGTATTCATTCTGTTACAACATTGTGTTCATTTTAATTTTCGTCTTATTCATTCTTCACGTTTTTTTCAATCAAAATGTTCGATACCTTTCAGTGATTTTACCGAGAATAGTTCACAACGATTGGATTCAAATCAACTAGATCGTTATTGTACCGGTTTGGATTTCCATAATTACCAAAGTGTTCTTTGTCATTTTAATTCATATCGTTTTGCCGATATGGACGACGATTCAATGTCCGATAGATCGACAATGGATTTCTGGTCAAATGGTCTATCACCAATGGCTAGAATTTGTCATTTTGATTTAATGGGTGCCTGTAATGATCAAACATGCTGTCATCAACATCAAAAAGATTATCTTTATGGTCCACGAGAGAAATTACTCGATATCTTGGCATATTCTGAAGAATTTTCTGCCGAAATTCCGTTAGATGAACTGAAAAAAAATCCACGATTATTAGCTGAAAAATTGGATGAATTTCTCCGCCGTAAACAGCTAACGCTGGATGACAAATTATCGCTAAATGAAATTGCCAAAAAATTTGCTCAATCTATATTTTTGAATGATCAATCAAAAATATCCCTCTCAAGTCTATTGATACGATTGTTTCCCAAAGAAATGATACAGATTTCAATGGCTGCTGATCGTAATAATTCATTTCAAACGAAAGTTCCATTCGATGATTATCGTTATCGTTTTGATCATCGATCATTAGATGATCTATTTGATTTAAAATTAGATAGATTAGTAAATGATTATAAACAGATTGATCCCGATTTATTTATACAGTATCGTTATTTTGCACCGGAAGGTGTGCCAATCACTGCCCAGCTTGAATCATCCTTGGCTATAGATCCACATAATGTACAGATGTGGATTAATCTTGCCTATTATCATCTGAGTAAAATTAGTGCAGCAAATGAAGATCGTCTTTATTGTATGGATTCAGCATTAAATGTCCTTACAAGAGCATTGGAATCGAATCGTAACTGTGGAGAATTGTATGAACATTACCTGTTGATATGGGTGAATCGATTGGATTTATTACACGATGATCCAAAACAATTGAAGGAACAAAACAAAAAAATTTGTCATCAAATTTTGAAGAATTGTTCCACTTATCCATTATGGATTCGATATCTACATCTTTGCACAACAGTTGTAGAGAAATTATCAATATCGTTGGAAATATTGATTCGATTCATGCAACCAAATGGTATTGAATATAAGAATGATAATGAACGTTCGTTACGAATCGTTGAAATGGTATTTTATCGTATTAATTTAATGCTTCATTTGAATCGTCATCAAGATGCAGTGAAATTTTTCAACGATATTTTCAATCCTACCTCATCATCAATGGCTATTTCTACCGATTCGAATACAACGACAAAAACATTGGATTTTGGCCTACTTAGTTCGCTGGTAATCGCCGCACATCGTTCATTTGCATGGCATTGTTATATTCATCTTGTCCTTTATTCATGTCTACCATATCATTGTTTTGATTTATCCGGTAATCGTGGACAATTCTTACCCTTATTGAATACTGAACCATTTATATTTGAATGGAATGATAATGATGGTATTAATCGATCAGAACTTTTAATGATTAAGAAAATTTTTAAACGTGCTCTTCGTAATTGTTGTCTTAATGGTTCGAACGACAATGATTGTACATCCAGATGTTCATGTCCGAATCCAATAGATACTTGTTTTGCTTTACGTTTAAATCTAACAAATTTGAACAAAATGCTCATCAAAACTATCGACGATGATGATGGTGATGGTGGTGATATCGATCAAGAGGAAGATGGTCTTGATAATTATCTTGCATTTATTTTCATCGATCAAAATCGAAATAGTCGTTTGCTCAATGATCTACATATTCTCCATTTATTCGAAATTGATCTGGAAACCAATTTTGCCACCGATAATAATGATAATGATAATAATAGCAAAATGTTGACATCTTCTGGAATGGTAAATTTGATTGAAAATTTTCATCGTAAATCATCATTGAAATCAAATCATGATTCTGTAAATGCTGAATTATCTATCATTCAAACAAAATTAAAATTCAATTATTGGTTGGCATTTTATCATCAACGACTTGGAAATGTAAAGAAATGTCGTGAAATTCTTCGACAAAATCTTTCATATTTTTATGAAGATTTTCATAACGTGCAAAACAATAATGATAATGATGATTATTATATCCGGCTATATGAAAAAATTCTATTCCATAAAGATGTTCTTATGATAATGATTGGTGGACAACAACAACAACAATCGATGAATTTAGATTTAATTGATCTACGTTTTCGATTTCCAAAGTCATCGCAACAGCATAATTCGCTTTACCTTTATCTATCATACATGTTTGTTGCTTGTATTTTTTTTGATATTTTTTTTTGTTGATTTTTGTTTTTTTGTAGGCTTTATAATCACATAACCACCTCGGATGATGGTGATGGAGAAGCACATTTTCTTCGATTAGATACTATTTACACAACTGTGATCAATTCCTCGTGGAATGATAATGACAAGGATGGCAATTTTGTCAAACTTTTATCGTTCAAGTCAGTCATTTCAATTTAATTTTTTCTGTATTTTTTAAAATTCTTAATGTCCTTTCATTTAGCCATTTTCTTATGCTTTTGGATTATCCATCATCAACAACATTTTGTGATTCATATTTCAAAATTATCTATGAAAATCTTCGCCATATTTGCCTTACATTCGGTGATTGTGATCCAACTTTCATCTATCATCTGGTTATGACTGTTGGTGATTTTATTCAACCATCTGATCGTCTCTATTTTCTCATTGAATTATGTCGACTTAATCCAACGAATATGATGTTAGTGCTTAAAGTTTGTAATGAAGCTTTACAACAAAAGAAAAAAGAAACACTTTGGAAATTGATTGCCTACATAGTTTATGAACGAAAAATTCGTCTACATTGTTTGGAATTTTGGAAAATGTATGTAATGAGATGAAAAAAAAGACAACAAATTTACGGTTAATCGATTTTTTTTTTTTTTTGTATTAACAATCAGTGCCATTTCATTATCGGTCGAACGTGGTGATCATCTCAATGCACATAAACTATTTCAATTGGCCATCACGTTAATGCCGTACAATACAATCTTATGGGATATGGTATCATTGTCGTTTTTCATTGATTATTTTTAATTCGTTGTTTTTTCTTCGGTTTTTTGTTGATTTTAGCTAAAAAATTATGAAAAAAGCATCGATCACCAGGAACATTTGGCGCAGATACTATCCTATTATCATGATTCATTAGGCATGGACAATTTTGACGATGGTAATAACAATGTTAAGAAATCTAATCAATCCCAACAACAACAACAACAACAACAATGATGATGACCAGATGAGAAATGATTGAGAAAAAATGGATTATCATTTTTTTTGTGTAGGTGTGTCATCAAAGGTAGGTTAGTAAGATAGTTTGTGGATTGGGATGAAACATTGAATTGAAAAAAAAAGAAAAGCCTAAACTAATTGGCCGAATATAGAGACTACCATATATACTGATAAATTGATTATAATTATTTTTTATTAATTAAAGTTATGAATAAAATAAAATTTATTTATCAAAAAAAAAAAAAATTCAAGTTTTTTATTTATTAAAATGTGAAAATTCCTACTTACGAGGTAAAATTGTCACGGACTTGTTCGTAAGGTTTTAATTTTTGATCTATGAAAATTAAAATTTTTAATATTAAAAAAATAAGATACAGCTGATAAAATAGTGAAAATTTAAATGTAATTAAAATTGATGATTAAACGAAAAAAATTATAACATTTTTTTTAAATTTTTAAAATGATTAGATGAATGGATTATTATTCAATTACTCAAACCAACCGGGCATCTTTGGCCAATGCATAGAAACGTGATTGTCGATTAGCCAATAATTTTTGCGGTGAATCATATTCAACAACACGACCTTTATCCAATACTAATACACGATTTGAATCGATAATTGTATTTAAACGATGTGCGATTGTTAATATAGTACAATCAGCAAATTCTTTACGAATTGTTTGCTGTATAAGGGAATCGGTTTCCAAATCGATAGCAGCTGTTGCTTCATCCAATATCAATATCTTTGTTTTACGTAATAATGCTCGTGCCAAACAAATTAGTTGCCTTTGTCCTACAGATAAATTTTCACCATTTTCAGCAACCGTATAATCTAATCCAGATTCTAAACCTGAAACATATTGTTTCAGATGTGAATGTTCTAATGCACGCCATAGTTGTTCATCACTTTGTATATTGAATGGATCTAGATTTGATCGTATTGTTCCAGAGAATAAAACCTGAAATAAATAAAAACATTTATTATTAAAATTTCACCAACAAAATGATAATAGAAACACATACAGGATCCTGTGGAATAATTGAAAGTTTTGAACGAAGTTCATGTAAACCAATAAGACTGATATCGATATTATCGATGACAATCTTGCCACTTGAACATTCAAGTAACCGAAACAAAGCCAATGTTAATGTTGATTTACCAGCACCGGTACGTCCAACGATTCCAATCTATAGCAAATATTGAAATTTTCGATTGTTAAAAAATTCATATATGTGTGTGGTATTATACCTTTTCACCACTTTCCACTTTGATAGTGATATTATTCAGTACCAATTTAAGACCATCACGATATCGTATACAAAATTCATCAAAATTAATTTCACCATCTTCGGGCCATTTTGCTGGTATTGCTGGACCAACATTCGATTGTCGTGTCCATTCACGTTCCGTTGGTATCTGACAATATTCATCGATTCTTTCCACCGATACAACATTTGTTTCCATTTCCGATGTCATACGAATTAACCAATTCAATGTTTGTGTAATACTCATTGCATAGGTCATGATTAGACCTGCAAACCCAGGTTGAGATTGAAAGGTATCACGAGAAAGGACGGAAAATGCAGCGGCAAAAAATGTAATCATATTACCACAAAATTCTAAACGTACAGCTAACCATCGATTAGCAATGAATGATGGAAAATAACAACGTTGATTCGTATCGACACGTTCATTTGATTCTTGTATGAATCGTTTCGAACAACCATATGCACGAATCGTTGAAACACCTGAAAGTGTTTCACCAAAATGTGAATAAATTGGTGAACGTGTTACAGATTCCAAACGTTTTAATTGTCTTGATGTAGCCACGTAAAATTTCTATATAACAAATCAATAAAGAAAATGTAATGATTTTAAGATTTAAAATACAATGAAAAAACCTATCCACATACTTGAATAAGATAATAGAATAGAAATAATGGAATAGCAACCAATAGAAATATATTGATTTCAATGATGATCAATATAAATGTAGATAACACTTGAAGAAAGCAACTAAGCCATCCTCTAAACGTTTTAAAATTAAAAAAAACACAATTTTAACTAGAAAAAACAAAAAATTGAAAGAAATTCATTCATTACCTCATTGTATGTGGTATGGTTGAATCAATGGTATCAATATCTTTACTAAAACGATTCACAATACGTCCTAATGGTGTTGTATCGAAAAATTGTATCGGTGAACGCATTATACGTTCCATTAATAATCGATGCAAGGTTCGTGAACTTTGTACAACACCATTTGCGAAAGCTATGGCACCAATCAATACACATGATGCTTGTATGAATCCAAAACCACCATAAACGGTAAGACGACGATTTCGTAATTGAATTTCTGCATCGGTAATATTTGCCGATATCTGATCATTTGACCATATAGCTAGCCATACATTTGAAAATACTGATGCCGCTTGCATACCGATAAAACCAACTAATATTATCGTTACCCATAAACATGTTAATGAACGAAAGTAAGTGATATAAACGGATAATTTCACTTCTCCTGTTTCGGTTCTTTCCGATTCAATAAGTTTATTATTGTCAGATTTTTTAGCCGGTGTAATCGGTTCATCTTTACTTAAACTTGATGTACGATGTAATTCTCCTGCGGTAGAATCAGAATCGGCACTTTCTTGTTTTTCATTCGATGCGAATTCACGTACAAATTCGGAAAATTTTCCAGAACTTGCCATCAATTGTGAATAGGTACCTATTTCGCTGATTGCACCATGATTCAACACAATAATCTGATCAAAATCAGGTAGTAATGAAATATTATTTGTCACCAGGATGCGGGTACGATTTTTTAGATAACCAGTACGATTCGATATAACACGGGCGAATATATGTTTTGCAACATGTGAATCAACAGCTGATAATGGATCATCCATTAAAATTATATCAGAATGTGCATAACAAGCTCGAGCTATTGCAACACGTTGTTTTTGACCACCGGATAAATTTATTCCTTTTTCACCAATTTCAGTCTGGTCACCACCGGGTAATATACTGATATCTGGTTTCAAAGCACACATATCTACAATGGAATTATAACGGCTTTCAACAAATGGTTTACCAAACAATATATTATCTCTTAGTGTTGCATTCTGGATCCATGCTTGTTGTGTAACATAGGCAACTGATGAATTATGATTAATCTGAACACGGCCATTGATACAATTCATTTCACCAAGAATTGCCGAAATCAATGAACTTTTACCCGATCCAACATTACCAACAATAGCTACTAATGAACCTTTTTGTATTTCCATATTTATTGATTTTAAGGTTAATGTTGTTTGTTTCGGGATATTTTCATCATTCATTGACAACAATGGTTCTTGATTTGCATCACCATTTGTTTTGGTTTGTTCATCATCATCTTCATCATCATTGGATTTATTTTTCTTTTTCTTGTTCTTTTTTTCATCATCATTATCATCGGTTTTTTCATTTTCCCAACAGAACGTTCCATTTTCAATACGTATATCTAGATTATCCATTAGTTCTTCATTACGTTTAACATAATTTTCCAATTGTGGTGCATGAAGAAAACGATTTAAACGTGTTATCGATACTGAACACGAGACCAACATTGATATTAACATCGGTAACATTGATAATGGAAATCGTAACAGATTAAATAATGATAATGATACAAAAGCTTTTTGTGGATCAAGAATATTATCTTTGGAACTCAATACATAGATAGTGAATGTAACAAATGATACCATGAATGGTGCACAAGTCCATAAAAATGATGTAACAGAATGTAGATAACCAATCTTTTTTAGATAATCAATTTCACTATTACGAATTGTACTGACTTTACGAATGAAAGGCACTTCCCATGCATATAATTTGATAACACGAATACCATTTAGTAATTCATTAATAACTTTAACACGTTCATCTTTCTTTTTCATTTGTTTCATTTGTAAACGTCGTTGATAGCTAGATATGAATCCATTAATCGGTATCATTAGTACCATAACACCAAGACCGGCCAATACTGATGGTCCTAATTCCATCCATAAGAAATAAACAGTCAATGCAATTTGTAATGGTGATGACCAGATAAGATTTAAAAATGGTAAAACATCAACAAATCGTTGGGCATCCACTGACATTAGATTAACTATTTCACCGGTAGTAGTTTGTTTACGTGATGCATTACTTAATGTTAATGCTTTACGATAGATAGCTGATATTAATGATGTTCGTAATCGCATACCAATTAAAAACATAATGTAGAAATAATAATTTAACATAAATGATTGTACGGTAGCTGTAAGAAAAAATAAGACAGCTATAAAATAACCATGCCATATAGGTTCTTCAGTGGATGGTTTCTTAACGAATGCAATGAATAATTTCAATAATTGTGGTGCAACAAATTGCAATAGATCATGACCCAATTTGAACATGGCACCAGATATGAATAACCAACCAAATGTTTTACAAATCGCCCATACAATATTGGCAGTTTTTGGTTTTATAACATCGGTGGCTGTAGCTGTCACAACTATCGGTGTATCAGGTATTGATGATGATGATTGTTGTTGTTGCTGTTGCTGCTGCTGCTGCTGTTGATATTGTTTTTTCATCAACTGTGTCTGTGATTGATGGGATTGTGATCGCCAATGACGATCAAATTTTGGTGCTACATTATTTGTTTGATCTTTTGGACGCAATTGCCAAAGATCATCCATTGTTAATGAACGACGAAAACCAGTGATGGCCATCGTATTGAACCACCAGAATGTTATCTGCGATAAAAATGATGATCGTAATTGTGGACATTCAATTGGTTGATGGGATTTTTTTGCGGTTCCAAGTAAACTTTGATCACAACTTGCCGATGATGAAATTGTTTCCTCAATAATCGTACCATTCGGTTCATATGGTGAATTCATTTCAAATGAATCAACATTATTCAATATTTTTGATCGTTGCATACTATTTACACTATTATTCAATGTATAATCATCATCATTGATTGATGTTTGTGTTTGCAAAAGCAATGTTGTTGGTTTTTGATCAGCAAAACAAGTCTGTAGAAATATTATGATCAACATGATTGTATGTATTAGAAATATAGCCGACAATATGGTTCGATTATTTTGATTGACTAGGCCAATTTGGAGGTAGACATTTTCATTGCTAAAACCAAATAAAATGAATGTATAAATTATTGGTAAAAATGATAGAATCGATATAATCATGAATATCCATGCAACACCACTAGTATGTTTTCCATGACGGCGATGAAGCTGTGTAAAACAGGCAAAGAAACTCTAGGAGTGGAATTTTTTTTAGTTGAAAAAAACAATCAATCAATCATGATGAATACTTACAAAGGTGATGATATTCAATAATGAAGCTGAAATATCAGCAGATGTAGCTAGTTTTACATCTGTATCAATTTCGATTTGTTTGTTGATTAGATCCAAAAATGGATTATAATAACAGAGATCATGAAATAGCTGTGCAACATTAGCAATGATCAATAGAATCACACAGAATAATCTTGATACATTATAAAAATTGTATGGTATTGTAATTGGTTGTCTATTGCCACTATAATAACGATTACTTGATGCAAAACGTTTTTTCAATAGAAAATAAACTTCAACCGGTGCAAATATCCAAAGAAAAAATGATGGTATCCAAAATGGTAATGTTTTTAATGAACATTTTGAAAATTCTGGCACAGTAGAATTCCATAGTTGATTTAAATCCTAGTAATAATTGTAAATAAAAAAAAAAACAATGATAATGAGATAATGATGACACAATTTGATAACAATATAACAACATAGACAATAATGGTAATCATTATATATTTGTTTTTAATCAAATCAACAAAGTGTTTATCAAGTTGCTCCGGTGATAAACATTTGATTTGATTTCGATTAATCCCAAATGACAATGACCGTTGATTATTGGAAAAAAATTAATCAATTTAAGCAGACAACATACCAATATTGTTGTTGTTGTTACTGATGATCCATCATCATTGCCACAAAAATATCGATCTTCCATCTTTAATTGATGTGATGATAATAATGATGATGAGAATTTTTTTTATTTCTATTATTTCTATATATTCAAATTATTTTGTTTGTCCACATGTGTTTGGTGGATATTTGATAACTAAACGACGACAATGATGATTCAATCAATATGCAACCACTATTAACAACAAAAAACAAACAAATGCAAAATACGAGAAATAAAAATGAAATGAAATACAGCAGTAACCAGAAATTTATGATTCTTTTACAAAAAGGTGAAACACACACAAACACAGATGCAGATACACTCACAAATACTTGACATGAAATTGTGGTAGCAGCAATTGAAATAATTGTGAATTTATGATTTTCACATTTTTTTTGTTGTTGTTGTTGTTGTCAACATACGTTTATTTCAATAGAAAATTGATTTTTGTTTTTTAGGTGGATAAAAGAAAAAACCTACTTGTATGATGCTCAGGTAGATGAATAGGACATAGATGAAAAAAAAAAAATAATTTCCAATCACATCACATCCATTTGACATTGAATTTTATGATGCAATGAATGGTAACACCGACAACAACAAAAAAAGTCGATTCTATCAATCGAAAAATTAGGTTAGATAATAGTAACGGGTGCCAAAAAAAAAAATAGAATAAATAAAATAAAATAAAATCCAAACGAATAACCAGAAAAGACCAGAAAATTGTGATTCTTTGATTTTCTTCAACTCAGCAACAGCGGCGGCATGCCAACAACAGAATCCTTGTATAGTGCGAATTAAAAATATTATTACGCATGTGTGTGATCCATCCGTATGTATTCGTATATGATCACGTGATTCGAATTTCATTTTTTTTTTGTTCTGTGCGCCGAAAAGTTTCAAGAAAATTTTCAATATATATCCAGGAAATGAAAATTTCAATCAGACAAAACTGGTTCATTTTTTTTGCTTCAATAATAATAAACACACTTACAATAGAAATAAATTCCGGTAGTCAAAACAAAAATAAAATTGTTGAAAATATGAAATTCTGGCGTTACACAATAACAATAACATAATAATAAAACATGATTATTTTAGAAATTACTGTTCCACAAATTATTAGATTGATCGATTGGATCGATCGACAATTATGATTGACAAATAAACGGCGGGACGAATAACAATGAAAACTGAAAACGACTGTGGTGAAAGAAATATTTTATATTTCCGCATGGATTTATTTTCATTCGATTCTTACCATTCATAAATGACATGATTATTCTGTATTCATTTAATTTTTTTTATTTATTTATTTAATCAATTAATTAATTAGAAATTATGTAATTAAATTTATAAAATCAAAAAGAAGAAGAAGAAGAATTAATGAACAAAACAAATGAATTGTTTTTTTTATCCACAAAAAAAAAAATAAAAAGAAAAAAAAAAAAATCAATTAATCAATTGAATGAATATTTTTTTTTCTTTATCATTTAAAAACATATATATATAAATATATATATGAGACATGTGATCACTGTAATTGATTATCATTATAATCATCATCATTATTAGCAACAACAACAGCAAAATTAGATTATATCATTTTAAAGGAAGAAAAGAAAAATTTAAATTTTGGGCCTGTTGTGAGTGTGTGTGTGTGTGTGTGTGTTTTCAAGTGTTTTCAAGTCATTTTCATTATCATCATCATCATCATCATTATCATTATTTCAAGGTATTCACATTGCAAGAATAAAACATTCATTTTTTTTAGATAGATGTGTATATGTGTTGTGAGTGTTGTGTTGATGAATTGGTCACAATTCTTATTATTATTATATTATTTATCTGAAGAAAATAAAATTGAAATCATTTTATGATTAATCAATCAATCAATCAGTAACATATTATGACATTGAACTACATGGAACACGTGGTGAACCCATCTGTGTTAATACACGATCTAACCATTGTAATGGTCCATTTAAATGTAATTCAATCCAACATGGTGTACTTGTTACCGTTTGACGGCGATATTCAGCACCCCATCCTTTTACGAAACTCATACGTATTGTACACATACGTGTTAATTGATAAACAGCTTCAAAACCTTGTGATACTGACTGTGCTAATAGCTGGGCAAATTCTTGATTATTGAATATTTTCAAATTACAACCTAAATTAATGAACAACAATCAAATAGATCAATTTAAATTCCAATAATCTATTGAATCTTCTTACCGGGAGGAATTTTACAGACTGTAGCTGGATGCCAGCCATATCTTTGGTTACAATTAGGACTTTGAACAAATATAGCACTTTCACTAAGACATTCGGCAAACACTTCACCACCAATATAATATAAACGTACACCACGGCCTATTTAAGATGAAAGAATGGAATTAATTTGGAACAGAAACAAAAACAACAAATAAAATATATATACCAATATGGCGTCTAGTCTGTTCAACAGTTGGTATACGATTTATATTGGATAAAAGACCAAGACAAAAACGTTCCGATGATGATGGATCAGTAAAACCATCCACAGTTAATGATGGCTGTGATGCATGAAATGTTTCACCAACACGTGTATTGAGCTCATAATATGAAATGGAACACCAATATGCTGGTTCCGTATATGTCACTGGTTGTACATCTAAACAACCAGGACTTGGTGTTGCTGACATCAATGATGTTTCTATTATTAACAAAATTTTCAAATTAGATTTTCATTATCTTTCATAAATAGTTTGAAATACACATACCCATACGTTCATCATTCTGTCCATCACCATCTTCGCTCATGTAACCGGGCGGTGGTGTTTCTAAATATATCGACCAAAAAAAAAAAAAAAAAAAACAAAAACAAAACATTCAATTAATTTATGGATCAAATATATTGAATGTAAAACAAGTAGGTGTGTAATTATGATATGAGAAATATGATTAGATAATAGACATAAAGAAAAGAAACACAGAAAGGAAAATTGAAAAAAAAACATAAAGATAGAAATAGAAAATAAGAAAGTAAGTGAAAATGAAACCTGGAAAAGCAGTAGAAGAGAATGTAAATGTGAATGTATCATGAATATTTGTTGTTGATTGCTGACTGGCAGGATATTCAGATGGTGAACGTTGAGGATTCTGTTGTTGAGGAAGTTGTGGAGGCTGCTGTTGTGATGTATCCGTTGTTTGTGTTTGACCGGTATTTGTTGTTGTTGATGGTGATGGTGATGAATGTTGCTGCTGTTGGTATGGTGATGATGATGATGACGATGTTGTTGTTGTTGTTGTTGATAATGGATCATCGGTTATCATTGAAGACACTGGTTGTTGTTGTCGTTGTTGATGTTGTAAATGATTCTGTATATTATTCGGTGAAGATGATGATGTTGATGATGATGGTGTTGTCGGGCCACTTGTTGTTGATGTTCCAATGTGTTGTTGCTGTGGTGGTGTTGGTGTCATACCATCAATCCTAATTGTTGTAGCAATCGTTCTACCAATTTCATCTATGCTACCGAAATTTCCTCCAGCCCCTCCCCCACCACCACCACCAACACCGTTGACAACACTACAAATGCCACTATTTAATTCTAATCCACTGTTATTAGTACTATTATTATTATTACAATGACCAATAACACTAACCACACCACCAACAGGTGTGGCTGGAATTAATTGATGATTATTATTATTATTGATTGAATGATGAAAAAATGGTGATGATGATGATGATAAATGATTTTGTTCAATCGATAATGATTGTTGTTGTTGTTGTTGTTGTTGTTGTTGATGATGATGTTGTTGTGGTGTTAGTATTTGTTGTTGTTGTTGTTGTTGTGGATGTAGTGATGTTGGATGATTAGGATGTGGATGATGGGGATGATGATGATTAGCGGAAGCTAAATGATGATGATAGGCTACTTCAGTAACCACCATTCCAATGTTAGGAGTATTAAAGGTGGTGGTGTTATTATGATTAATTTCTAGGCCACTTTTCAATAATGATGATGATCCAAAAATTGTTTGTGTCGTTGTATTCGTCGTAGTTGCTGTTGTTGTTGTTGTTGTTGTTGTTACAGTTGTTGTCAATGTTGTCGTCGTTGTAGTAGTATTCGTAATCGATTCTTGTGTAATAAAATCTGAGGATATATTATTAATCGATGATGGTGGTGATAATAACAATGATGATGATTGATTCGAAGCAGATGATGAACCACCGGGTGAACCAATACCACCACTTGATATACTTGATTGTGGTGAATTTGCCGATTGAATTTGTTGTGTAAAAAATGGTGATGATGATGATGATGATGAAAATTGATTTGGAAAATTATTATTATTATTCAATATTGTTGTACCACCAAATGTTGTTGTATTATTCGGTGCAACCGTTGTAATCATTGACATTACATTCGAATCAATTGTTTGATTCGATAATAATAATAATGATGATGATGAAGATTGATGATCAAAAATTGTCGATGATGATGATGAGGATGATGGTGGATATAAACGTGGAACAAAAATTGGTTGCAATTCTGGTGCCTTTATACGTTGATAATGATAAGGATTGATACATACTTCATCACGTTTCAATGCAAATGCATATTGACATTGTTCAATTGCTCGTAATTCTTGATGTGATTTAAGATCAGGCCAACGCCATAAACGACAATATATAACATGTGGTAAACCTTTACGATGTGATACTTGTAAACGGCCATCTAACGATCTATCAAAACAAAACAAAACAAAACAAAAAAACGAAATGATAAATAATCAATAAAAAAACAGATCGATAAGATAGACAAAGTTCTTGGAATACCGGATACCATTTAGTGGATAATAAATCGATCCAAAAAGAACAACAAAAACAAAAACAACAAAGATGACGACGTCGACGACTAGGAAAAAATCACGACATTTTCGAATCAAACAAAATGCCAACACACACACACACACACACACACAAAACACAAAAAAAACCTGATCATGCAATATTCAATCAATCAATCGACCAAATGGTAGATATATTCAGCTATCAATGTGTTTTTTTTTATATTTTAGCATCAAAGACTGACGACAACGACAACGACAACGACGACAACAACTGACTAACTGACGACGACAACAATCAACCATCATCACACCTCTATATATATCACAAATTATAAAAGCAAAAGTAAAATAAAAAAAAATTTTTTTTTTTTGGGAAAAAAATCAAGGCAAAATAATATCACCAGAAAAAAAACACTACTACTTTTTTATTTATTTTTTTTTATCACACACACACACAGAGAGAGAGAGAGAGAAAGAAAACATGTATACATCATATGTATAATAAACACATCAACACACACACAGTAACCAATATGACAACAACAACAACAACAACAACAACAACAACAACAAAAACACATCTCATCAACCATTCAGAATGGATGATGATGATGATGATTGTTGTTGTTGTTGTTGTTATTATTATTTAGCAAAAACACATTTCATCATTCGATGACGATGCTTTTATTTTTTGTTTTATTATTATTCGTACATATATTCTGGATGGATATTTTTTGTTGAAATTTTTTTTTCATTTCAGTTTAAAAAAAAATTTTTTAAAATTATAAATAACGTACCGGAAATCATATGATTAATCGATGATGATCATGTTGATGATTGTTCAAGGAAATATTAAAAAAACACACGCATCTATTCTGATTGAAATTCATTATTCTTGTTATTTTTTTTTTATTTTAGATTCTTGGTATTAACACACACACACATCACACCATACCACCATACATCAACAAACATAGTGACTAGAGAATGAATGAATGAATTTACAAAACACAAACACACACCATATACACCATAAAGAATGTGTATTGAGAAGCATAACAAAAAAAAAAATACTGCACGATGATCGCGTGTGGTGGTCGTAAAGCTAGAATTTCAATGAAAAAAAAAAAAAAATGTAGGCATGTAGCGATTCTTAATTATTTTTATTTTTATTTTTTTTGATTATCGATTGCGCCTGTGTGTAAATATCATCATCATCAACATCATCATTATTATTATCCATTAAGAGAATTCATACATCTACTACCACCACCACCACCAATGAAAACAACAACAACAATAACGATGATGATGATGATGACTACTTGCATTCAAACACTTGTACACAGTAAACCATTATTATTACTATTGTAGGAATCATCATCAGAGATTAAATAAATTCAGAGAAACAGAACAATTCAAAAAAAAGCAGCAGTAATCAGAATGACTATTTTTTTTGTGTGTTTCAATGAAAAAATCCGAGAATATTTTTTTTTTGTTCAAAAGAGGCGTGGTGGTAATATTAGTCTACCCCTTTATTTTTTTGAACATTTTTTACATGTGTTAAAGTAGAGGGTGGTGGTGGTGATGATGGTCGAAGCAAATATCACACATATGGCGCCTAAATTCTTTCTACCATACTACTACTACTATACTATCACTACTACTAGCATTATTCTTATGTATAATAAATAAATATATCCAATGATGATCATATACAAAAAAAAATTCAGATAATTTGCTACTTTCCATACAAAAAAAAAAAAACACATTATGTTTTGTATCCATTTTTATTGCTTATAAAAATAACATCATCATTATCATCAAAATGACTAGATCCATTTATTTGTGTGTGTGTGTGTGTGTGTGAACAACAAAAACAACAACAACAACAAAAAAAAACATCGAATTGGATACATTTATTTTTTTGCTTTGCAAGCAAAATATGGTTTCTGCGATTTTCTATTTAGACACACACACACACACACACACACAATAACATGAACAAATTTAACCCATCAACACATTCAAACATAAAAAAAGAAGAAAAAAAATTACAAAAAAAAAAAACGATACAAATGTACAGAAAAACAAGAAAAAAATAAATACATGCTTAAAGTAACTATAAAAAAAATAACAACAAAAAAAACGAAAATCCAATAGAATCTATATGACAAGCACATGCGTAAATCATAAACATCACAATTCATCATCAAAAAAAAAAAAAAAAAATAAAAACAACAACAAAAATATCCAGACAGATAAATTGAGATGATTATTATTATTATGATGATGATGATCATAAATATGGTGAACATGAAAACACCAATAACCGAAATGTCCGAGACACACCCACAATAATATATAGAATACATAAAGACAATAACCTTATAAATCAAACAAAAAAAAAAAAAAAAGAATTCAAATTGAAAATGAAATTCGATTCAAGAAGTAGAAAAAAAAATTCCAATAATTTGAATAATATTGGTTGGTCATTCATTCATTCATTTTCAAAATGAAAAGAATTCCAATGAAAAAGAATAATTTTTTTATTCATTCAAAATTCTTTTCATTCTTGTTGCTGTTGTTGTTGTCATTGTATATATGTTTTATTATTCTCTAAATATATTTATTCTGATGATGATGATAAAATTCTTTTGTTCAAAAAATTTTTTTTTCTTTGAAACCAGACATGATTCTAGAATATAAAAGCTGTAATAGTAGTATAATGATAGCAACAAAAGAATCGTTTTTTCTGTCTGCATATATATATTGTGTCAATGTGCGTATGTGGAAGCAAGGATGCAATTGTTGACAATTATTATTGATTGATTGTAATAAGAAGCTATTAGAAAATCAAAAAAAAAAAAAAAAAATCATCAATATGGTAACAAACAAACAAAAAAAAAATGACAATGAATGAACCATTTTTTTCATCTTGTTAATTTAAATTCATTTTCAAATTGGCAAAGTTTTGCAAAAAAAAACAACGAAAGAATTGTTGCGCCATAATAATAATAATAATAAAAAACAACCAACCAGCCAACCAACCAACCACGAAATTCGAGGTTCAATGAACCAAGCACATATATAGTGGCATATCATCTGTATATAGTGTTGTCGGGAATGGATGTTTTTTTTAGTTGTAGAACAAAAAAAAACTTCAATATTCGGTGGTGGTGGTGTTGGGTTGTATGGGGGTTTCAAATATATCAAGAATATATATGTGTCTGTGAAATGTTTCGCACACTTTGGTCATACATACATACATACATACAATACAGACATAGACTAATTTTATCTGCAAAATAAAATGTCTGTCTGGATAACAAAATGAAAAAACACACACACACACACACATACAATTATGATGATGCAATCTGATTAATTCATTGATCAGAATATAAAATTCATATATATGGAATTTTTGATCATCATCAACAATAATGATGATGATCAAAAATGACCTGATGTTGAAAAAAAAAAAATGCCGAAAAAATCGATCAAAATTAATGATAAGAAAACCAGATACAGGTTGTAAAAATGTAGTTTCAATCCTTTTTTTTGCTTCGAAAAAAATTAAAATTAAATTCCAATGAAAAAAAACAAAATTTTTTTTTCTTTCTCACCACTTTTTTTTCGTCTGGTAAAGGATTTAAGAAATTTTTTTTTCTTTATTATTCACTGTCGAAAATACACATGGTAGGTAGGTGTGTGTGCGTGTGTTTGTGTGGAAAAAAAGAGAATTTCAATTTCAATTTAAAAATTCTTTTCACAAAAAAAAAATTCAATTTTGAGGAATAAAGATGAATGATGATGAAAAAAAAATTAAATTTAAAAAGTCACCAACAGTTACACACACACAGAGACACACGAAAATGAAAAACTGAAATCTTTTGATTTCAAATAAATAAAATTTCAATGAATACCAGATATAGAAGAATCGGTTGAAATGATTCAAATGATGAAAATAAAAAAAACAATTTACATGTTGATCATCATCACACATTGGATTGAAAATGAGCTAAAAACAAAAAAAAAGAAATAGAAACCCTTCGAGTAAATCAACATTTTGGTTGTGTGTGTGTGTGTGTGTGAAACCTATCACTCTTTTTTTCTCTTTTTCAATCACAACAACAACAACCAAAACAACAAACATTCAAATCTTTTTGAAGCTAGGACCAAATTAAAGTGAACATGTGCCTTCACATACAATGAATCACACTGGGTCAAAGGTCAAAACACACACACACACATACTGAGAAAGAGGAAGAAGGAGGAGATGAATGGTTGAAGCTTGATATATTTGAAGGTGAAGGCCATGTGTGAGTGAGAAAAAAAAGAGGTCAATGTACAATTATACATAGTCTGTGGTTTTACCTTGAAAACAACAGCAAAAAAAAAGAAAATTTTTAGTTTCACCTAAAAACGGTTCAACCAGGTGTGTTCGATGATGGTGGTGGTGGTGGTGGTGATCGAAATCATCCGAAAATGGTGGACGGAAATTGAAATGAACTGTTCATCATCATTATCCATTGAAAACAACCACAGAAAAAATGAAAAAGTTAACTTTTTTTTCATCTCGGTTGTAAATTGTAAACTCTTCATTACAGTTATATTTTCATCATCATCATCATCATAAAAAAACAAATCTCACCCAAAAAAAAATATATACAATTTCATTATATATTACGATTGTTGATGAACTATGACCTTTTTACTTACTCCTCCTTTTCTTAATTCTAATAAAAACATATGGACTTTTTTTCTTGCTTATTTTTCTCGAGAAAAAAAAATAAATAAATAAAATGAATGGAATGATCTCAATAATAAAATACACACACACACACACATATATATCGAGGTCATAATCATCATCATCATGAGTTTATAGTGCTTTGACCTTTGTTGATGATGATGATGATAGGGTTACAACTGGCAATTTAGATAAAGAAAAAGCCATGAAACACACACATGGTCAATAAAGATCTAATTTCACATCCACATAAGTAGAATTTTCATTTTTTTTTCTTTCTGGACTGTTGGTCCTTGAAACTTTTGCTTATGCAAGCTGTCTATATATTATATATTTGTAGAAAAATTTCTAGATTCTTAATTCAATTTAAAACTTTTTTCTTTGTTGATTCAAAAAAACCAAAATAGATGCTGATGATGATGATGATGAAATTAGAAAGAGTAAAAAAATAGAGAAATGAAAACCACCAAGATAATTGTGTAATTGGATTTGATTTGTGTGTGTGTGTGTTGATGCCATATATTTCTACATTGGATAATAATTGTTTCCATTCGATATATGGCAAGATTACTCAAAGTAAATCGGGATTAATTCGGATAAACCATTCTGATTTTTTTTTCAACGGGATTTTCATGCAAAATTACATTTTTTTTTTTTTTTTTTTGAATACAAACTGATTGATTTATCTCGACTTATTTCGCACTTTAATTTTGTTTTTTTTTTTTCGTTGATTCGCATCGAAACAAACGATAATTTCCAAAGAAATTTGTCTATAACCTTGTTATTTATCGTTCAAATGAAAATAAAAAAACATTATGAAAGTGAAAAAAAAGTCAAATGAAATTTTTTGCGTTGAATAATAATAATGCCCATGTGTCCAATTATATATAAATATATATGATATTCATTTCAGTTACAAATATAAATTACAAATGTTTCCATTTTTTTTTGCCTGTAAATATAAATGGTGATGGTCATAAAAATATCCAGACATAACACTAAAATATGACAAAAAAAATCATTTATTTGAATGGATAAAACAACAACCAGAAACAAATAAACAAAAAAAAAATTTAGGTCATCATCAATGGTCATTAATACAATATGAATGCGTGTGTGTGTGTTCATAACCTAGATATTAACAAATAAATGAAACACATCTTGAAACCGAAACCAATCACATACATACAAATACACACACACACAAAAACTAATTTATGATTTATAGAATATAAACATAAACCATTGATTTTGCTTACTACAAACTCGGATACAATTGCAAATAACAGCAACAACAACAACAACAACAACAACATATTGTTATTGATTCAATTTGTTACATTTATTATATTGTTATGGATCATAATCATAATAATCATTCAAAAAAAAAACAATAAACAAAAATAAAAATTGTTTTGATTGGATGGATGGATTCCTGATTGTTTATATGAAAACCGTATAAAAAAATTACTTTGTATATATAAAACAGAAAAGAAAAAAAAGGGTTAAAAATGTATTTATATAACCCCATTTCCTCCATATGGCATCATATTTGTTGTTGTTGTTGTTATGGTATGATTGGATTATTTATATTTCTTTTGCCTGAACATTTTTGAATGATGATGATGATTCATTATAACATTTGTCATTCATACAAAATGAATAAATTCATGTCCAAAACAACAAAAAAAAAAAAAAATCATAAATCATACAATTTAGTCTAACTAGATTATTTCCATTTTGTCATATCAAACAAACAAAAACAGAAAACGAAATTGTAATTGTTTCTTTTTTCTCCTGGAATAATAATAAGAATAAATTTCAATTAACAAAACATTTGGATATAAAGGTTTACAAGGGTTGACAATTTACTACCAATCACACACACACTTACACATAGTAATCTCATTAATCATGCATTCATGATGATTATCATTCATTTGATTCTACCTCAATAAAGCTTTGTGTGTGTGTTCATTTTGCATTATAAAACAAAACATGAAATGTAATGTAATGAAATCAAAAAAAGCAAAAAAATCGATTGAAATCAGACTCATTACATAATGATTTATTTACAGCCACGATGGTAAATTAATGTTTTTTTTTTGTTTTTATTTCTTGTGAAACATACACACACACACACACACACACACAAACAAAATTAGATTCAAGAATTTCACAATAATTCTTGATAAATATATATACATAGACACACAAACACGGAGAAAATTTACATTTAAAAATTAGTTTTATGTTTAAAAAAAATAATAATAATAAAGGTTGATCTATTATTATTATTATTACTAAAGAATCCATTAATTTTAATGACTTTTATTATTATTATTACTCTGTATATTATATTTCAGATTGCAAGTCTTTTAGCTGTTCGTTGATGTTAGCCAGAATATTTGGAAGATCTTCTTTCCTAGTGAATTTGCTAACTTTCTTCAAGACGATGGTTGGATCAAGAGGTTTTGGAACATAAACATCGGCAATTTGATTGATATGATCTTGACTTTTGAAATAATTGATTAGAATGTTTAGGTCACTTGTGTGGGGGATTTTGATGATATTGCCCTTATTATTGCGAATGATTTTGTTAATTTTTAAATGGGGTTTGTTTTTCCTGACTTCGGATATGGCAAAATTAACTTTAGAATTGATTTCAACATTGGCAGATTCATTTTTAGCTTTGATAAATAGAGCCAAATCATTGGATTTCTGTTTCAACTCATTAGGTGGCTGATATGAATTTTTTGAGGCTGCCAAATTATAGGGAACAGGAGCATTAAGTTTATTTTTGATTTCAAGTAATATATTTTTAGTTTCAACAGAATTTACGTTGACTTTAGTTGAAAGATCATGGAACTTTATTTTCATGTTTTCAGCAGCTGTCACAATAACATTTGCATATTTTGCTATAGTTCTTTTATCCTGTGGATTACAACATCTATGAATGATATCAAAACAATCAGAAAAATTGAGGTCATAGATCTTGCTTGGATCGTCAATATATTGGTCCATACTATCATTGGAACTTTTAAACATGTCAGCAGAAGCCATATAGGAAAATCAAGCAATCACACACACACACACACACACACACACATACAAACAAAATTAGATTCAAGAATTTCACAATAATTCTTGATAAATATATATACATAGACACACAAACACGGAGAAAATTTACATTTAAAAATTAGTTTTATGTTTAAAAAAAATAATAATAATAAAGGTTGATCTATTATTATTATCAATCCATTAATTTTAATGCAATCACATAATCATCATCATCATCATTATAATGGCTTCCAGACGAATGATCATGATGATGATGATCATCATCATCATAATTCAAACAACGACCACAGATTACTATCATCATCATCAAGATAAAAATTATTAAAAACAATACACAAATTGAAGAAAACTTGATGAAAAAAAAAATTTTAATTCCTTTTCACATGATGGTTGTTGTAAAGCGATAAAAAAAATTGCCTAATGTGTCTAATACAAGTGTGTGTCTTGTGATTATTGGGTCCAAATTTCAAAGAAAAAAAAATTCGTTTATAGAAATTTTTTAAAACAAAATTCTTTTCGTTCAAAAATCCAAATCTATACACATGATGAGAATAGCTAAAAGGAATTTATACACAGTTTATATACAAAGTTTTATTCTAAATGTCAAATGTCGAAAGACTAACAACGACAACAACAATAAAAAATAATCTAATCTGATTAGATGGGAAAAAGGGGTTTTCTCTCTCTCTCTCTCTCTCTCAAAAAAAGAAAAAGAAAATTAAACAGAAAAATTGATTAATTTAAATCTTTTTCAATTTTAAAATTGTAACAACAACAACGAAAAAAATTCAATTTGCACACTCAATCTCCATATACAAAGAATTAGACAATTGAAAAATCGTTCCATCAAAACAATTGCAACATATTCCACTTGGAAATGAAAAGTTCAATTTCAAGTGAATAAATTTTTCTTTTTTCTTGTTCATCAAGCAGACATCAACTTCAAAATGATCATTTCGAATCAGTTGATTTTTTAGGAAATTAGAATTTTTGAAATAAAACAGACCAATTAAAGGGGATTAATGCTCCAAACAGAGAAAAAAAATGAAATTCATTTCATTCACAGGTCACTTGACTACAATTGATGTGAATAATTTTTTTTTGGAGAGAAAAAAAAATCAGGAAGAAGAATAAAAGTATGTTCTCTCTTTTATTTTTTATTTCTAGTTCACTGAATCACAAATGCAAAAAAAATAATGAGGCGAATAAAGGGGATGAAAAAAAAATTCCGATTCTGGAACATTCATCATGAATCTTGTGACCGATTTGGAAAGAAAAATAAAATTCTTATGAGATGAATGTAATAGTTCTTCACATATATAGTGTTACAATGTAATTATTATTAACTTGATGATCAAAACAACAATGGATATAAAGGACAAATTAAATCCATTCAAATTGTCATTGACAACAACAACAACAATAACAAAATTAAATGGAAAAAATTCCAATGAAAAAAGTCTCAATTCTTTTTCTAGAATCTCAAGTATCTCTCTTTTCAACTTTTAGCAAAAACAACAACAACAACAACAACAATTGTACAAAATTAAGCCATCCAATTAATAAATGAAATGAAATTTCAATTAATTAAACAAAAAAATAAAACAAAATCAATAAAATTACCTTGGTATTGTTATACATTTTGTATTAACATTTTGTTCAGAAATGGCACGTTCCAATTCATCAATTGTGCCGGTTTTTTTCAATTTTTTTACCAATGATTTTACTGCCTTTTCCGACCATTTATCATTATTATGATCATTAAATTTTTGAATAAAATTCGTCGTCGTTGTTGTTGTTGTTGATGATGATGACGAAGGTGATGGTGATGATGATGATGATGATGACGATGTTGATGATGGTGGTGATGATGATGATGATGATGATGAAAAATGTGGCAATGATTTTATTGTTGTTGTTGTCGCTGTTGTTGATGTTGTTGTTGGATCACATTTTTTCCAACCAAGTAATCTTTTTACTATCGGTGATGATGATGATGATGATGATGATGATGAAGAAAATGATTGCAACAATGAACTCATGTAAAAAAAACAACAACAATTTGTTGTTGTTATTGTTTTTTATTATTGCCCGAACACAAACAAACACACAAAAACAAAATTGTTGCCAGAATATTGGGAAAATTTCTGGAAATAATTTCAAGATTCTAGAAATTTTTTTCAAAAAGAATCAAATTTCCATTCGATTTTCTCTGAACACACACATGCGCTGTTTATTGAACATCATCATATGTTTATTTCGTTGTTTCATCAATTTATGAGTCTGGTAATCTGAAATTTAAAAAAAAACAATAAATTATTGATTGAAAAACAGAGTTAAACAAATTTCAATAAAATCAAGTAATAATCGATCAATCGATCTATTCTATCATTCATTATTCATTCACAGAGGTAATAATATAACGATGATGAAAAAAAAACTTCAAATCACCATCATCATCGCAAAGTTCTTAGACCTCTTCATTCATTCTATCAGTTTACAGAATGGAAAAAATGAACAATCAACAAACATGATGATTGCAAAAAAAAAAATTATTGAATAATATAAAAAAAAAATTTCGGAATTTTTCTCATTTTACATTCATTATTCAATACACTCGAATATCTATTGTTTGATTGTGTTGTTATAATACACACACACACACATCGACCACAGTCAGACAAACATAGAGACATTGACAGAAACAAACAATAGAAATGGTTTTCGAAAAAATAAATCTTCGTGGGTGATGGTGATGGTGGGCTTCAAGGGTGGTTCGTTTTGTTTTGTTTTTTTTCATTATTTGAAACATTGTAACAATTTTAATTGGTAGAATTTTGTTTTTTTTTCATTGAATTGAAAATTTGATTTTCCATTCATTAATTGGAATCAAATTTCAATTGATTTTTTTTTTTTTTTTGATTTTAAAACAAATATAATATTCATTGATTGGTTTTTTAGGATTTTTACCTGTATAATTAGAATAAAAAAAATTCATTCAGTTTAACTCCTCCTTGCTTTCATCGCCGTTGACTAATTATGGATGTCAACACTTTTTTTTTAACAAGACAACAATAATTAGAGGTTAATTTTCAATTCAAATGAGAAATTAAACAATGTGCATGAGATCTGTCTGTCTCTCAAATGAAATGGAATTAAGAATTGAAATTCCAAAATAAAAGATGCCACAACATACACACACACACAAACACAAAATAATAACAAAGAGTCGCTCACAGATGATAGGACCCAAGATTTATTTATATTCTGATGATAATTGTAAAATCATCACATTCGATAATGTTCCAAACAAACAAACACAGACACGTGCCCGTGTTTATTGTCAACATACCTTTTATTATCGGATGATTGATTTTGTTAATTACTTAATCAATCAATAATTTAATCAGTTTGCTTGAAATTGATGACAATTGTTGAATAATTAGTAGCAGTGAAAACAAAATTATTCGATGGGCGTCAAAATTTTCAAGTTTTTTTATCATTCGAATGCAAATTTATTAAATGATGATGATGATGATCATAAACAAGAAGATGAAGATTATTTTATTTTTTCATCGTTTGTTTCAATGAAATATCGGTAATTGTTGTTGTTGTTTCCGTTTATTGAATAAATGAATGTTGACAATACGCATAATGTAAATGCGTAATGAGAGAAAAAAAACAAAAACAAAATTTAAAAAAAAATGGTAATGATGGAACAACAATTAAATATCAATATATCAATATATATAATGGGGAGAAAATAGAATCATTTTATTATTAACAACGACGATGATGATGATGATAACGATAGGTTACCATTCGAAAGACAGATGGACAGACGGACAGACAGACAGACCACCATCAGCAAAAAAAAAAACATTCAGGATTCTATTTTTTTTTTCATTCGCAATAAAAATGAAAAACAAGCGTCATTAATGGAAACCCTTCCTCCATTCTTTTTTTTTCAAGGATTCTATGATCCAGGTAACTATAATTCATGCTACTACTACTAGACATTGTGATTACAATAATCCAATTCGTAATCATGATGATGATGATATCCTTTTTGGATTTATGGTCCTCCTCCTCCTCCTCCTTCAATATATATCGTGGAAGAGGTATGTGTATGTGATAAATTTTGCTACTACTACTACTACTACTACTACTACTGGTACATCGAAGTAAAAAAAAGGGGTAAAAATTTTTGTTAAAGCATAAGTAGCGCAAATTTTTGTGGTGGAAGCATTTTACTTGTTAGTTTTAAAATAAAAATCCATACTTTCACTGTACATTTCTCACCCTCAAATGAGAAAAATGAGGAAGAGTTAAGTAGGGGGTGAACGAAAAAAAAAAACAAAATGTGATGTGGTTGATGTAGTGGAGGATGTTGATGATGATGGTCAATGAATGTCTTTGACCTTGAGACAGGATTATATTTTATTTTTATTTCATTTTTTTCGTTTTCTTTTTTTTTGATTTTATTTTTACTCTTTTTTTTCCCGCCATCCTTTTTTTCAGGATTGTTTTTGGGACTTGACAACTCTTTTATTGTTTCCCCACCATCAATTACCAACTCACCCCCCCCCCGGGATACAAGAAAAGTAATTTTTTTTTTATTATTATTGCACTTAAAATGTGATGATTCGACGAATTGCGCATTTCACGACACAACACACAACACATCTGTTGGTTGATTTAGTTATTTGGTTTATTGATTTGATTTGATTTGATTGACTGAAAATAAAAATGTTCACTCTCCCTTTTTTTATGCATCAATAACTTTTAGATGTGAATTTTTTTTTTTTGTTACAACTTGAAAAATGAACAAAAAGCTTTTTTCGTTAATTAAAAAAAAAATAAAAATAAAAACAAAGTATAAATTGATGATTTGATTGGATTAATTTAATTTAATTTTTTTTTCAATTTCATTTTCGATTCAGGTGGTTTGATTTTATCGATTTTTTTTTTGGATTTTGATTGAATTTGAATTACTGTCTACTGAGACACCACCATCTAGTGTTGGCCAATATGAATGAAAATATTTCGAATCTATTATTTCGTTCGATTTTTGTTACCACCACCACCACCATCTAATAGCATGTATTTATATTCCAATATTTTATCAATTTCTGGTTCAGCAAAATTCGTATCAAAACGTGGATCTATATCACCCATTGTACTTTGATATGATTGTTCCAAATCTATTTGTGGAAATATTTTTTCAAATTGTTGTCGTACTTGATCCATTGTTGATGTTGATTCAATACCAATTTTAGCCACTGTATCATAACCAAATGGTAATAATATTGGTTTGGCTATATTTGTTGACACTGATGGTTTACTACGATCTTCCTGGTCAAATGTTAATCTATCAAATGCTAATGATTCAAATGCTTGATTAACGCGTTTGGTTAATGTATCCGATCGATTTGAATGATAAATAATTTGTCCACCTAATTCATATGATATTGTCCGTAAATAACGTGTAATTTGTTTCTTAATCTCTGGATCCATATTTTGATATTCATCATATTTACTACCAATAATTGTTACCGGTATTAATAATGGATTTTTTGGCCGATTTTCATTATTTTCATTATCAGAACGATAATAAATTGAACGTTTCAATGATAATTGTTGCATTTGTTCACATGTTTGATGATCAATTGGACAATATTGATTGTAAATGTTTACGAATCCATTTTATTATATTGTCCAATAATGTTGCCATTTTATTCGGCTGTGTTAGATCAATCACAATGATTAATGATACATTATTATTTATTATCGTATGATTGTTGATGGTAAATTTCAATAGATCAATAAATAATAATTCATGGCCTAGTTCCCAAATATTGCATATTTTCATATTGTTTTCATAGAATAATTGATCCTGTTGTTGTGTAGACGATTATCCATTGCGGATGAATCAATTTGTCTACATAAATAACGATATTCCAATGCAATAGTTTCTTCATATTTAGATAAATCATTGGTAGATTTTGTTTGATCAATAAATCGATTTATAATTGAACTTTTACCCTAAAATAATAATTTTTAATAACAAAACAAAAAAAAACTTTTTCATCACTTGAAACAAAAAACAGAAAAAAAACTTACACCAAAATGTGAACCAATAAACACTAATGTTGAATAACCATAAAGATAACCGTGTTCACGTTGTACATTTAAAGATGTTTTCAATAATTTTTGTGATTCAATCCATATATCTGGCCGGTGGTCACTTTTATCATCATCATCATCATGATGATTACCGGCCATAATGTCTCAATGGACAATGAATATGAAAAAACATTCGAAATTCAAAACCAAAACAAAACCATTGAGTTACCAATGGCAACCGACCAATGTCTGTTGCACATTTTTTTCTTTAATTCATCAGCGAAATAATAGAGAAAAACATTACAAAATTTCAACTTCCGGATTTTTTTTTTTGTTGAAATGAAAAAAAATATAAACATCAGCTATTTTTATTAATAAGCATATATTGTGTGTGTGTGTGTGTGTGTATTTTTTTCTTCTCGTTATTTTCATTTTTTGGTTATATAAAAGTGGCATTTTTTAAAGTTTCAAAAAAAAGAAAAAAAAAATTAAATTCAAATTATGGGGTGTGATGTGTGTGTGTATGTTTCGCATTCATTATCAATTCTGTTTCAAATCACTTTGTTTCATGAATCTTGGCAGCTTCATCAAAATTCTGTACCAATTCCGGTACTTCATCATCATCTTCTTCTTCAATAATCGATGATGATGTACCAGTAGCAGCAGCACCAGCACCAGCACCAGCAGCAGCACCAACATTACTACCATCCGATTGTTCTTGTTGTTGTTGTTTTTGTGCTGCAGCAGCTGCAGCCAATAAATCGGCAACATTATTTGATTGACCACCAGCACCGGCTAAATCACTGAATAAATTATTCAAACGATTTAGATTTTCCGGTCGTAATTGATTCAATATACCAGGCATCATATCCGATATACGTTTCTGTTCCGATTGACCAGTTATAGCGAATGTATTGGCCGCCAATGATGCTTGTACTTTTGGATTTGTAAAATGTATAACAGTACCATCCTCTTTGAACATATTAACCTTTTTTTTGAAATAATGTTTTATATATAGTAAACAGGCAATGAATTTGATTAAATCAATCATACCTCTTCAATACCAGGAATAGAATTAACGGTCAATTTTTTGAGCGAACTTTGTAACTTTTTATCATCAGTTGTTGCTGTACGATGGACAACCTTTTTCTTCCTACGTGCTGTACCCTGTATTGTTTTCACAACAACAAGAACCATTGATGAAGATCATTTGTATTTGTGGAATTGTATAGAATAATAACACTTACCTTGCCACCGATTCGAACTTGTGATTGAAGTTTGCTTAAGTTTTTCAGCATTCATATTTCAAAATATGATTATGGTTATCCTATGTTATTAAAAAAAAAATCAAACATTAGAAAATCAAAATTTGGTCAAGATTTTTTTTTTGGTTTTATTACCAAATAAAAATTCAATGATTGATTGATTGAATGACAATGACAACAAAAAAAACAATGGATTGTTTTTTCCTTTTCGTTAATTAATTTTCTGTTATATAACAATATATATAATGATCACAGAATGAAAATTGAAAAAAAAAAAAAATTAATGAATCAAATCAAATTACTGTTTAATGAATGAATGAATGAATGGTGATTATGATGATGAAATGTTCCAATTGGAAATTCTCAATTCTCAATTTGTTGAGAAAAATTTTCAGTTCGGCGTGCTTTTTTTTCTCTCTCTCTCTCTCTTTTTTGTTGCTGTTGCTATTGTTATTGCTGCTTCTGGTGTATTACACATATACACAGATGGATGGATAAATTGAAAAATATAGGAGGAGTAAAATGAATCGAGTGTGTGTGTGTGTGATTGCAAAAAACAAGCATGTATTTTTCCCACATTCTATTTCCACATAACCCAATATATTATATTGAATGAATCTAAAACAGACACACACACACAGAACACACAACACATACACATCCTTTCCCGTCTATTTTGATCTGAATAACATTGTCTATGAATTGATTCATATATATTTATTCAAATAAAAAACAAGAGAATTGTTATCTTATTATACAAAAAAAAAAAAAAAAAAAAAAATATATCGACTATTTTTATTGACTAATTTGATTGAATAATATTCGGAAATGATTTAGAATAAATTTTTTTTTTGTTTTTTGTTTTTTATTTTGAAAACGATAGCAAACTACCAAATGCTACTACTACGGTTATCACCCTCGTCAACAAAATTCGGCATCAATTGTTAATTGTATCAACATTCATGGATGCGGCCATTCATGTATGCTACTACCACTGGCCAACCACCATTATTGATGTGGATGTTGTTCTTTGATGAGCACGTTTTTTTTTCTCTCTCTCTCTCAATCTCATCTCCCCTCTCCCTTTCTCTCTCTCTCTCAAACTTTTGCTCACTCACTTATTCTCATTATACACGATCTCTCTCTTTTTACGAAAAAAAAAAAAAAAAAAAAAAAATTTCTGAGCAGAATTTTTTTTTATCCAGTTTTTCTCTCATCAAATCGTGTGTTGGTATACATACAACATTTTTATTTACAGAATCTGAATGTTTTTTTTTCCTATCTCAATCATCATCAGAATTTCATAAAAAAAAAAATCTGATTTTTTTTTTTTTTTGTTCTCATTCATTGATTTTCATTTGCTATAATCATCAGATCATCAGAATTTTTCAATTTCTGTTTGTTGTGTAATTAATTGTGTCGTGTTGGTGTCTGTTGTGTGTGATCCACGCTGTGCATTTTTTTTTTTTTTAATTTCTGGATCAAAGTTTTCAATAAACATAATTTTGTCACATTCAGTAATTGGATCTTAGATCCGGATCTATTGATTTTCATCATTATTTTTAAGTAGTGTTTTTGTCGGTCCAAGTGCTACTGGCTGCTGTGTTTTGTGTGTATCATCCAATTATCTTTTGCCAACAACATCATCATTGATCGATTGATCGATAAAAATTGATTATTGCATCTAAAAGAAAAAAAAACGCATACGAAAATCCGAATCGACATTTTTTTTTCACTTACACCCACCATCCCTAAATTTACCGGTAAATTTTTTGTTTGTCGTGTTTTCCATTGACAAATTTTTTTACTAATTTTATTTTTCCATTGTTTTCTTCAATTGAATTTAGAATTAATTTCTTTTTGTTGTTACTGTTGTTATTGTTGTTGTTTGGATCAAATAAAATCGTAAATCAAATTTTGGAACATTTTATTGTGTGGGTGTGTTTTTCATTGTTTTTGTTTTGTTTGTGTAGCGTCTGTGTGTGCGTGTGTAGGTGTGTTTGTGTGCGAATGTGAATGAAATCAATATGTCTTCATCACAGATTCAAAATCAACAGGCAAATAATGCCGATACAAATAATAGCCAGAATGTATCAGGTATGTAAAAATAAATAAAGAATGGATGGATCTTGATTCTAATCATCATCATTATTATCATATTATTTAGGAAAATCAAAAGGAAAACAAAAGAAAAAAGGTGAAAAATTGGATGTTGATCTTTTCTTTGCCAATACAACAACCAATTGGGCATCAATAATGGAAGATGATTCGGAGAATGATATTATTCCACCAAGTCAATATAATCTTCCGGATGCGCCAAAAGCATTGGTAAATGAAATTGATCCTTCACAATTACCATCGGTACCACCATTTAAAATACATTTACGTAATTTACATTATGATTTGGAAAAAGAAGATCTTGAAGGATTATTTAAAAATCTTACTGTAAGTTGAATTTTTTTTTCATTTGATCAGAATATTTATTTTTTTTCATCTTGAAAAGGTTGTCGACATTCAAATGATCAAAGATCGTACCATACGTACAGCATGGGTCGAATTTGAAACGAAACAAGATCTTATTCAAGCATTAGATCTAAATAATCGTGCAGTTCGTGGTCGTAATATTTCAATGTCATTAGATCGTGGTGGTAGTGATCGTTATGGTAGTGGTGGTAAATTATTTTTCTTCTTTCCGTTTGTTTATCATTATTGATCTGGAATTTTTTTTTTGATTTGATTTATAAATAATAGATCGCCGTGGCCGTAGTGGATTTGGTGGCCGAGATAATACATCAAGTGATTGGCGTTTACGAGACACAATGCCACCGAAACAAGTATATCCACCACCATCAGTTGAATCATATGATCAGGTACCAAAAACCGGCGGATATGGTGGTAATCGTGGCCCAAGACGTTATGGAGATGATGATGGTGGTTATGCTCCACCACCATCACATCGTAATGATTATAGTGGTGGACGTAGTGGTGGATATGATGATAGAGGTGATGATCGTTCCGGCTATGATGATCGTTATGGCCGTCGTAATGATTATGGCCATCGACGTGGTAATGATTCTAGTGGTGGTATGGGTGGTGGCGATGGTGGAAATTGGAGAAGAAATGATAAGCCACAGGAAGAGCCAAGTAATTGGCGACGAGAGGTCCCATCAATACCACATCAACAACAACAAGATCATTCATCGTATGAACAACCACGTGGTGGTCGATCATTACGTTATGATGATAATAATGTATCATCACGTGCAATGTTACCGCCACGTATGGCATCCGATCAACAACAACAACAACAATCATCATATCGTAATGATGATACATCTGGTTATAATGATGATTTGTATTCAACACCATTACCAACTCGTACTAGCAATCAATCAATAGATCATCATACAGATATGCAGCAACCATCTTCAAGAGCATTAAGAAATGAATCCTCCTCTGCATATGATCAGCGACGATCAATAAATGAACAATATTATCAATCAAATGATCAATCACGATCGGGTCATCGTAATCCACCATTAATGGACCACCAACCACGTGAGCGTCTTTCATCAACACGTTCGAATGTATCGAATGTTGAACCACATTCAACTGATGATTATAGTAGTAGTGGTGGTGGGGCTGGTGGATCTGCTCCATCAACAGCTGCTGCACCAAAAGAACGTCGTAAATTCGTCGATACATCAGTGTTGGATGCATTGAGAAAACAGGCAACCGAAACGGTTCAACCAGCAAGAGGTTCAAGTTATAGTTCAATTTTCGGTGAAGCTAAACCTGTCGATACGACGGAAAAAGAATTGGAAATTGAGAAAAAACTTTTAAGTTCAAAACAAGCGGCAATCGCTGCAACAACAGCCGCCAATGAAGAATCCGATAAGTCAACTGATCAACAAGAATCCACAAATGATGTTGGTGGTGATGTATCAGCACCGGCTGCTACTGCTGCTATTTCTGTTTCATCTAATAATACTGCTAGTAATGATCGGCCAAATCGTATTGATCATCGAGAATATCAACATAGAGATCATCGTAGTAATGATCAAGATTCAATTCCACCAAGACGTCGTGCCAATGGTGGTATCGGTTCAAATCGAATGGGTGGTGTTGGTGGCGGTGGTGGAATGCGAAGAGATTATGATGACCGAAATAATGGTGCCTTAGGTGATAGACGCATGGGCGGTGGTATGCGTGGACCAAGAGGTGATCATGATCGTGATCGAATGGGTAATAATGCACCACGTATGCGTAGAGATGGACCACGTGGAGATAGTTATATAAATAATAGTAGCGGTGGTGGTGGATACAATGATCGTCGTAGATTTGGTGACCGCGATCGTATTGGTGGACGTCGTGGTTATGGTGATGATAATGTCGCACCACGATATCAAGATCGTGGTCCACGTGGTGGTGGCGGCGGCGGTTATGATAATGATCGTAATCGTTATCATAGTAGCGGTAGTGATTATCATGAATGGTCTAATGATAGAGATTTAGATTCAAAACAGGTAAGATTTTAAAATTCATTAATTGATAAATTGATTTGCTTGATATTTTTTTCTAATTTTATTGTGAGAGAGAAAGAGAGAGGTGTATGATATGGTAGGAAAAATAATTAGCAGAAAAAAAATTAATTCCACTAATTTTTCGCGTTATTTTATTTTTTCCCTCTTTTTTTTTTTTTTTTTTTTTTTTTGATGTTTTGTGATGGTGGACATTATCTGTTGAATGTTGAATGATTTGAAATTTTTTTGGCACTTTCAGCAAGCAAACAAAATTACTACATGTGGTATTAATATTCATCATTATGATGATCATGATTACAATGATGATATATTGATGACTAATCAATCGACAATTTTTCTATTTATAAATCGTATGATGATGATGGTGTAAATTATGTTTATATAGTTTCATGGAAAATACGACCAAAATGATGATGCGCTCAGTATATTGATTCTTCGTTTATTGATTGTGATTTAAATTATCGTCCAAATTTAATAACACTTTACTACCCACTTAGAATAATAAAAGCTTTCTTGTAATTTTTTAAATCCGAAATTTCATAATTTCTTTTCTTTTTTTCATTATCCCAATATCAAAATAAACAAAATAGATAAGCTATGCATCAACGAACAAATTTGAACATCTTGGTGAAACCGATGATCATGGTTCGGAATAAATAAATATTTTTTTTTTTTTTTTTTGATCATTGATTGTTGTTGTTGTTGCTGCTGCCGCTGCTACTGTTGTCGTTTATGGTGTGTCCATAGGTGATTATCAACAAACAAACAAAAAAAAAGAAGAAAGGATAGCTACAAAGAAAAAGAAAAAAAATTATTTTTATTCCAAAAAAAAAAAACAAATACAAAAATTTACCAACAAATCCTTTTTGATTGAAAGCAGAAAAAAAAAATCGTCAATTTCTTTTATTTTTTTTTTTCACGAGTCTTCATGTTGTGGTGGATTTTCTTCATGCTTGGTGGGTAAGTCGATGATGATTGGTGATGATGATGAATTTGTTGTTTTGTTTTTTTTTTTTTTTGTCATCTGATTTACTGATTTTTCGTTTTATCTTTTTTTTCTCTCTCTATAGATGATTATTTTATTTTCAACTTTTTAAAAATCTCTTGCCACCACAAAAAACACAGACACAAAAACACACGTAAATGAATTCTGATGATTTTTTTTTTTTTTTTTTTTGAAACATTTTTTTATCATTGTCACTTAAGAATTTGATTCTCATTTTCTTCTTATTGTTTTCTTACTCTTACACTCACACACACACACAGAACACAGAACACAATTCTTTGTCTTCAACAACAACAACAATTTTTTTCGGTTATTTTTGAATTTTGATGATTTTCTTATTTCTTTCACACAACAACCAACCAACAAACCAATCACAAACACACATTGGATTATAATAATTGTCTTGATCAATTTTTTTTCGAAAAAAAAATATTAATAATTTTTATCTCATTAATTCAACTTTAAATTACTTATTATATTATTATTGGTGTTTTTTTTTCTTTCTCCCAATCGTCACTGTTTATCATCATCAATCAATCAATTAAATAATCAATCATCGATGATTTAAAAAAAAAAAATTAATTTTGAAAAAAACGACGACAACAACAACAACAACATTGTGCGCACATAGATATTGATCATTTTTTTTTTTGTTTGAATCGAACGATTTACCATCCGGAACATTGCAAAAAAAAATAATCGATTGTTTTTGTCATCGATATCTTTATATTCGAATTTTTTTTTTTTTGGTTCTGTTTCGAATCTCATCTCTAATCTAGACATTTTTTTTAAAATAAATATTCAACACTTTTGAAACATTCAGGAGCTACATTTAATAATCAATTCAATACAAGATACAAAAAAAAAACAACACCAGCAAAAGATTTAAATTACCGATTCTTATTATTATGTTCATTACCGCGAAATATTTGATTGACCGGCTACCGATAGACTTGTGAACAATTCAATTTCTCATCATCATCATCATCATTTTTTTTCAACGAATAATGTGACGATTCTCTTCATTCATCAACAATAAGTGAAACTGATTTTAAATTTGTGTGTAGTAATCGAATGTGAATGATGATTTCTTAATCACTCTCTTCATTGTCTTCTTCATTCATTCATTTGTGCTGTTTGAAACTTCCAACAAACAAACATCTTGACTGAATCAACTTGAAAAAATACTTGTCAACGAGAATTGTCTTATTTATTCTGTTGGTTTTTTTTTATATTTTGTGTATGTAATTGCGGTCGGTTGGTGCATGAGCGTGTGTGTGTGTGTATACAAATTATAAATATTTTAAATGTCGGTTTTTTTTCTTCTTTTCTTGTCCATTGAATTTTTTTTTTTCAACAAACTAAAAAACAAACACACACACACGCCTCTTTTTATACACATAAAACACACAAAATACAAAACAAAGTATAATAATAATAATTAATTAATTAATTAAAAAGTGATTTTTTTTTCTCTCTCTCTCATTCTCACCAAACAATCACCGATTAACATCACAAGATTGAAAAAAAAGAAAAAATGTTTCACTTTTCATATATATGAATGAATGATGATAAATATTACTACTGATGATGATGATTTGATTTATTATTATAATAATTACACTATATATTTATTATTATCAATTATAATTAATAATTATTCTAATTATAAAAAAAAACAAATTTTTTTCGAAAAAAGAAAAACTTTTATTATTCAAAATTATCAAGAAGGATTTTAGCAAAAAAAAAATGGTTAATTTTTCTGAGAAGTTTTTTTTTATTGTATTTCATACATGATTATAAGACAGAGAGAGAGAGGTTAGTTGTTGTTTTTTTGAAAAGATTAAAAAAATGTGTTGATCATGTGTATGTGTGTGGATGGTGGTCAAGTGTTCTCATTCGTGTTGTTTTCGTTGATCAATTGTTGATGATATTATTATTAAAATTATCATAATAATCTTGATATGAAATTGTTATCTTCTCAGATTGATAACGTGTAAGACGTACATCTTTTCGAACCTGTTCAGTGATTTGGCCACGAAAACCACCTTTACGTAATAATGAATCAATTGTTTGTGAATGATTCCAATTTTGTTCGACAGCAACTTCAGGCAGAAATGTAGCTGTACGTTTTGTGCCATTATCCGATCGGAATTCAATACGAATACCATGAATACCAATGATCCAATCTTTATAATCTAAAGCGGATTCAAAATTTATCAACACCGATACGCTTACATGTAGATTAATAAATTCATCTTTTGAGATTGGAGCAAAACGATGATCACGTAGGGCACTTGTTAAGGCATAATCACGTAATCCAGAATGTAATGGTATCGAATTAAATGTTCCAATACAGCCACGTAAACGACGGTCATTGCCAACATTCCATGTAACAAACAATGGATAAGATTTATTAGCAAAATTTGGTCGTCCAGGCGATGATTTCTGATAAAGATGTGCATACAATACATCAAAACAAAAATAGCACATTTCATTCGATGCTACATGGTAGCTATTAATCAATAACGATGACGATGACAATGATTGTTGATTATTTGATTTAAATGATGATGATTTTATATTCAAATGATTATTATGATTATGCAATGATGATGATTGTCGTTGTTGTTGAATAGCCGATGATGATGATGATGATGATGATGAAAAATTTTTTGATTGATCATTACCATCATCATCATCATCATTATTGTCACCATTATCGAATGGATTTAAAAGACGATTAATAATCTTATTGCTAATGCTGTTGTTTGATCCATTATGTAATGATATTGGTGGTGGTAATTGATACGTTTCATATGGATTCGTAGTCGTATCATTTTTATTATTGTTATTATTGGAACGTCTTTTCGATGGAAATCCGTTCATCATCATTAAAACATACAAATCAAGAAAATAAATCAGTCAACAATCAATCAATTAAATTTGATAATTGATCAATCAATGATGGAATAAATTCTGTCGATGGAAAAAAAATAAATCATTTATTTGTTTGTTTTGTAAAATTTGCACATACCTTATTGATGATTTTTTTTTTTGGCAATTTCAACACACAAACACACCACCCGTTTTAGGACAAATATATTGGCAGTGTAAAAAAAGATGATTTTCTCTTGTGGATTGAATTCAATAAAATAATCCGAATCGAAATCGAATTTTATTTATGGAATCCAATCGAATCGAATCGATTCAAATGTCGCTAACGGTATTATGGATGAATGATGATGATGATGATGATGAGTGAGTGTGTGTGTTGGTTACCAACCGTTCTGGATTTTTTTTGTTCTGCGTTGTTGTTATCGTTGGTCAATGATCTTTTTTTTTATTGTAGATGTATTTGTTTGGATTCGATTTTTTCGATGAAATTCTTTCATTTATTTTTGTATATTTTCAATATAAAAGACCAACGAAAAACAAGCAACAGCATCAGCGGCATCAGCAAAAAAAAAAAAACATTTTGAAAACAAACAAAACAAAATAAAATAAGCGAGCCAAAGAGTGCAATGATCCACACGCACATACACACACGAATTACACAAACAAAATAAAGGGTTTTTTTCTGTTTTTCGTTAATATGATCATCATCATCAATAAAAACAACGACAATTTGATTTAGTTAAATTGAAGTGGGTGTGTTTGTTTATCGTTGTTGTTGTTGTTGCTGTTCGAATTCGATTTGAACCCAGTACAAAAATACACACACACACACAAACACACCCTTTGATCGAATTATAATCTATAGAAGATAAGGAGAAAAAAAAAGAAATCATTTACCATTTGTACTTAAAGGATTACTGTGATGAAGAAAAAAAATTTTTTCTGGATAAAAATTGATTTTTATGATCAATATAATCGATAATGATGATTACAAACGAACCCAGAATCAGATGAATTTTTTATCTTGAAATTCCAAATATCATCGTCGTGGTCGTCGTTGACTACGCGGTCCACACACACACACTCACACACACATTCATTTGTTTTTTGGCCTCGCAATAACAACGAATTGTTTTTTTCACTTTGCTTTTTTTCTTCTGGATACAAATCAAATTGAATTCGCAACCAAAAGATAAAAGGCGAAAAAAAATTTTTTTTTTCGAATGTTTGTCTGTTTGTCACTGCGGTGTGGTTGTGGTGTGTGTGTATTTTTGAAAGCGAGGCCAAATCCAAAAAAAACAGACAGAAACATAACAAACAAACAAAAAAAAACCACCCGGTTTTTTTCGGGATGTAGCAGCACAGTTAGTGTTGTTAGTTTACAAACTCAAAGTGTAATAAATCTCACTTATTTTCTATGCTTCCCAAACCAGAGGGGGTTTTTTAAATAATGAAATTTGAGCGTAAGCAAAAAAAAAAAACACAAACATCACAAACAATAATAACAATCAGCAGCAGCAGCAGCAGCCACATTGGAAAATTTTCTGGAAATTGCAAAACAAAAATGAAAATGAAATTTTTTATTTTTTTCCGTAAAGTTTTTTTTTATTGATAATATAAAAAAATAGACAAATTTTGTTTTTGCCATTCACATAAGAACTTCCTTTTTCTTTTGTACAACTGTACCTGGTTTATGTTGGGCATCTGGATGATTCATTAATTCTGGTGGACATGTCGATACTGGACTTTGTAATAATAATTGTTTCAAATCATAAAATAGGCTATTATCATCTTTGGTCACTAATGAGATGGCTTTACCATGGCGACCAGCACGACCTGTACGACCAATACGATGTGTATAATCTTCAATTGTTTTGGCCATATCATAATTGATTACTAATGAAACATTCTGAATGTCGATACCACGACCAGCCACATCGGTTGCAACTAGAATGTCTTTTGATCCGCTTTTCAATGATGCTAATGCATATTCACGTTGTTCTTGACCTTTGCCACCGTGTAATGTACAGGCATTGAAACCCATTTTTTCCAGACTTTTCGCCAAAACATCAGCACCTTTTTTCTGATTTACAAATACTATTACCGGCGGTTCGACACCAGCTTGTAATATTTTTATCAATTTATGACGTTTTTCATTTTCGCTGACCATATAAACAATTTGTTCAGTACGTTCAGTCGGTTTACCAACGGAACCAATATAAACCGTTGCTGGACGACGTAAATAGGAACGAGCTAAACGTTCGATTGCTGGTGGCATTGTTGCGGTAAACATTACTGTTTGTCGATAACGATTACCAGTGGCCATTCTAGCCATTAATTTATCACCATCTTCAGCATCATCTGTATCTGGTTTTAGATTTGTAACAGGCATATGATCCAAAATTTTTTGCACATCAGCTTCAAAACCCATATCGATCATACGATCAGCTTCATCCAATACAATATACGTACAACGTGACAATACTAGATATCTATTTTCGAGAACATCGATTAGACGACCGGGTGTTGCAATAACAATTTCAACACCCATTCGAACACGAAAACCTTGATCTTCACGTGAAATACCACCAATTATGGTTACAGTGCGTATTTCTAATGCTGTTGCAAATTTCATTGTTTCCTCTTCAATTTGTTGCGCTAATTCACGTGTTGGTGCCAATATGATTGCGTATGGACCTTGATCAATTTCTTCTTGTCGTGTGATTTTCGGCAATGATGTTATCCATACTAATAATGGTATAAGAAATGCTAATGTTTTGCCAGAACCAGTTTCAGCTACGCCGATAATATCACGATTCTGTAGACCAATCGGAATGGCTTGTCTTTGGATCGGTGTCGGTTCTTTATAGCCACATTTTGCAATAATATCCAATATTGATTTTGGTAGACCTTGAATTTCATTCCAGCCACGAACAGGATTCGGTATTCGGCCACCTTTAATTGTTATATTGAAATCTTCACGGAATATACGCCAATCACGTTCAGTCATTTCTGATAATGATTTCTGTGTCCAATGACGATCATCCCATAATTGTTTCTCTTCGCGACGTTTAACTTTTTTCAAACGATTCTCTTCCTGTCGTTTTTCCACATCTGACCGGCGTTTTTCCAATAGTTCCCCATAAAATTTTGATTGTTCTTTTCGTTGTTCTTTTGGATCAATACCACCAAGATGACCACGGCCAAAAAATTGTATTGTATGACGATCCTGATAAAGACGATTATAATCAGTTGATGTATCTTCGGTTGCATCCCAATCAAAGACAAATTTACGTTCATTCAATTTACGTGATCGTCGTTTCTTTTTGATAATACCGAGATATCGTTCTTTGATCACTTCTTCTTCTTTTTCTTTTGATTTACCCAATTGTTGACGATCGTCACCACCGTCATCTTCATTGTGATCACCACCACCACCACGGCCAGAACGATAATCTCGATCTTGACGTCCACTGCCTGTAGTTCGATCTGATCTTTCTCGATCACGATTATCACGGCGACGATCAAGGTCTCTATCTCTTCGTCTATCACGATCACGGTCACGATCCCTATCTCTTTCGGAACGAAATGTCGATTTTGCGGCATCCATAAATTGCATCCGTCGACGACGTTCATCATCCTGTTGACGGCGTTTTTCTGCAATCTGTTCCTGTCGTCGACGTATTGCTTCCTGTTCACGTTGTTCTTTCGTAAGGAATACAGGTTTTGATTTTGCTTCTTCTTCTTTCACCAATTTCGACTTAATCTCTTCCAATGATAGTGGTTCTTTTTCTTTACGACGTTTTTCCGCCGCTAATTTCAACATGGTTTCTTCATCCGATTCATCATCTAATTTAGAACGTTTCGTTGGTATATCATTCAAAATGGTAGCCATTGTTTGAGTAGAAAAATTTGAAAAATGTTTAATTTTTTGTCAAAAAAAAAAAACCGATGAAATGAAAAAAAAATACAAACAAGAATCAAATTCTACATTCCAGGTCGCTGATGGGTGTAAATAGTGAAATAGAAAAAAACCAAACGACCCGAATGTTTGATGCCGAACGAATAATTATGCCGAACATCGAATGGCGTGTTAATGTGTTTTTTATTGCTATCCATATCCAATATTGATGATCTTCCTTGGCCTAGATTCTGAATTATTCTCTTCTCACTTTCATTCTAATAACAATATGGAATAATATCTACATTCATTGCTATTTATTTACAAAAACAAAACAGAATATTTTCTAATTTATAATGGTAAGAGATTCTTATTTGTTGGTGTTGAAAAAACTAATTTTTTGTCTTTGAATTTTAAATCCAATTTTTCCTAAAAAAAGGCTGTATTTGGATTTCAATTATTGCTCACAATAATCATATTAAGTATATTGAATAAACTTTCACCTAAATATTCATTTGCAAGATGGATTCTAACGAAAGGGTTTGTTTTTGATTCTTATTTTTTTTGGTTTTTAATTGCCGAATTTTTTTTTTACTTCATTTGTAATAAATAGAGGCCTAATTCGTTATCTACATCCAACAAATGAACAATTGAAAGAAGCCATACAACAACAATCAAAAAATGATGAACAACAACAATTAATGGGCAACAAAAATTCCAATTCCATCAATCATCAAACAAATCAAAATCATCATCGTAGAAGTTATCGTAAAAATCGACGTAATAATAATCATCATTTTGATGAACAACATTCATCAAAACCGGAAACATTTTATGTTCCAAAAAATCTACAATTAGCACTTGATTCAGAACCATTAACATTATTCAATTTGGTTCAATTGCCTTATTATAATGAGCTTCAATGGTTGATTGATTTTTCAATTAGTACAGTTTTTGTTTATTTTTTTACCGAATTTTATTATACATTCATTCGTGATGGTATGAATGATGAATATAATTTAAGTATCATATGGTGTCTATTATCATTAGGTTTTGTGATGAAAATTCTATGCTCAATAACGGCCACATATTTTCGTGGTGAAGAATCAATTGGTGAACGTTCAATTTGTATTGTTTGTTTTTGCATATATCTTTTAGTGGCAATGATAATATTGATTGCTGATGAAGAAACATTGGAATTTGGTTTGATTGATGCTTATAGAAATTTTTCATATAACGCCTATCGTCTATTGGAAACACAAGGTGCCATCGAAAATGCTTATGGACCTAGTTCATTTTTAATGATAAAATTTTGGCTTGCAATTACATGTGGTTTTATTGGTGCTTTATTTGCTTTTCCTGGTCTTCGTATTGCACAGATGCATTTCGATGCATTGGTTTATGCAAAAGGAAATCAATTCATAACCATAATGTTACATTTGGCATTTGTATCGCCATTATTTATTGTATTGGCGTGGATTAAACCTGTTGCACGTTATTATTTTGTTCAACGAAATTCGTAAGTTTTTTCTTTATCATTTGTTTTTTTCTCTTGATTTGTAATTGTTTTTTTTGTTTCCTCCTATAATCATCAAGAATTTCAAACACAACATTTGAAAGTGGTCGTCTAATATTAATATTATTAATATTGGCATTACGTTTTTGTCTATTTCGTCGTTATCTACAATCATATCTGAATATTGCACCACAAAAAATTAGTTATCTACGTAAACAAACTGGAAAAGTAACAAATATTGATATACAAAAATTAATTGCACGTGTTGGACATTATCTAAGTGTTGCATCGTTACAATATTTAACACCATTATTATTATGTTTATTTATAACATTATTAACAAAATCAACCGGTGATTATAAATGGACTGGTACATTATTGTTATCATCATCATTGAATCATACAATCGATAATTATAGCCTGATTAATAATAATGATGATAATGAAACAGCAGCAGCTAGTCATCATTTAAATAATTCCATTATGAATAATGCTGGTGATAATGATGATGATGATAAAACAGCTGAAGATGTGGCAAAATTAGCATTAACAATGTTACGTGATGTATTCAATCCGATTGTATTACGTGGTTTTATTGGTTTCATACTTTGGTGGACATGTTCTTGTTGGTTTTTCACTAGTGTTGTTGGTTTTGTTTATAATTCATATTTTAGAACATGATAAATAAAAAAAATTTGTATTGTAAAAATAATTCTTTTTCCCGATTCTTATTCATTCATTCATCATCAATTTGAAACATATTGATATGTTTCATGGTCATCTATTATATGATATCTGTCTGGGAATAAAATTCCACCAGATTCTGCATTGGATCGACTCTGTGGCCAAATGGATACGGCATCGGTTTCCGGTTTTTATTCATAAAAAAAAATTCTTTGGATCTCTTTTGATTTTGGTTTTAATTTTAATTAAATCATGCCTTCTTAAACTTATGGGTCGCAATTCCCAAAAATGAGGTCGCGTAGCAAAATTCTGGATGTGAATTTGTGCAGTGCAGCCACAATCATAAAATGGGGGTCGTGAATGAAAAAAGTTTAAGAAGGCCAGAATTAAATTATAACTATTATATAAAAATGGGAAATACCGAAGATTGTGGGTTCAAGTCCCACCAGGGTCGTGTTATCAAATTTTTATCAAATCAACCAGAAAAAAAACCAGAACCAAGCCCAGAAACATTGATGTGATCATCATTTGTATGTGTGTGATGTGTTTATATCAACAAAAACAACTGGATCATCAAATAATTACACACATCAAATGTCTATTATATATCTGGACGGAATAATGAAAAAACCCACCTACTACTACCACCACCCCCTTTTTCACATTTTCGATGAGCAGCAGTCAAACATCAAAAATGTAAACCAGTTTCGATTTTGTTTTCGTTAATTTTTATTTTTTTTTTTTTTTTTTTAGGTACAAAGTACACACACACACATTTTGATTTCGAAATCAAAAAAAATCGAACGATGATCATCAATTGATTTAATGTGTGTGTGTGTGTTTTTTAAAACAACAGTTATATATCGATGGGTAGGTGTGTCATTGTGAATAATCATTCAACATTTTACCACCAATATATCATCACACACATTTACTATACATCGCGATTATTTTGATTCGTCCATCACATTCTATATATGATGATGATGTTTTTTATTATTGTGCTCTGAATAAAGAATATTTATATCCATCAAACAACCACAACAACGACGGCAACGATTTAATGACTATCATCCATTGTTAATCATCATCATCGACAATTGATTTTAAAAAAAATGGAATAAAATTCAATGATAATGACATTTAGATGATGCAATGATCAACAACAACAACAACAAGGTAATAATCAAGGAAATTTGATCTGCCATTGATCACTGTTTTTTTTCCTCTCTTTCTAGATAGATTGGATGGCAAAATTTTTTTTTCGTTGTCGTTGTCGTTGAACAATCATCATTATGTTTATTGGATCTGATTTTGATTGTAACTAGGTCATGTCTGTTGTGTCCATCACAAGGACAATGATTATATTTTTCAACGAAATGAAATAATAGTGCCTTTTTTCCTTAATACGCAAATTAGCGAGAAACAAACAATCAAAAAAAAAAAAAAAAAATGTAAACGTGTGTGCCTTTTCTATGTTTTGGTGATAATTTATTTAAACATTTTTTTCAACAAAAAAAAATTTGTCCAAAAAATTAATTTTCAAAATTTTACTGTTCATCATCACTGCTCAGCAATGCCAAAATATGAAAATTTTTTGGGATTCACCAATCGAATGAATGTTTTCAACTGTGTGTGTATCATATCAAATCACTATCAATAATCAATCAATAAGTGAAAATACTTTTCCGTTTTATAAAAACCCATAACACGTGTTATCAACAGACGACATCTTTTTCTCTCTCTCTCTCAGAGATGTGATTGATTGATTTATCCATCATATCAATGTCAATAATAAAGTTCTTTATCCTTATATATTGATTGAATAAACATTAACAACAGCAACAACAAATACTACTAAATGATGTCATCATTAAATGATATAACCACTACAATTATGAATGATGATCAACAACAACAACAACAATCCATAAAAGATCAGGATTTAATGGTAAAAAAATTATTAAATTTCATCAATGAAGATGATGATAATGATAATGTCGAACAACAAAAACAACAACAACAAGATAAAGATTTAAATATTGAAACCAAAATGAAAAATGATACAAATAATAATGATGTTATTATATCGGTTATAAAAAATGAACCTGATGATGATAAAGATGATGATCAACAACAACAACAACAGCAACAGGTTGATAATGATGAACAGACGATAATGACAACAACGAATGGAAATACCACCAATATCAATGGTGATGATGATGATGAAATTGTTGTTAATAATAATGAAAATATCACATTATCAATTATGACGACAAATGTGACAACGACGTCGACGACGACAACGACTACATCATCATCATTATCAATAAATCCATTGGATAAGATAACACAACGTAAATCATTGGATTATTTAAAAGAATTATTCAATGATCGTGAACGTTTATCATTGATGCCAATTGGTATATTTTCACATGCATTACGATTATTGGATCAAGAAATTGTTCGTGTACGTACATCATTGATACATATTGATGGTTCAGCTGATGAACGTAAACCATTACAATTGCCTGAACCGGATGGTGCCATTATACAACGTACTACACGTGTATCTATACCGGTTGATCAATATCCAGAACATAATTTTGTTGGACGTATTATTGGTCCACGTGGTCTTACCATACAAGAATTAGAAGTAGATTGTGGTTGTAAATTATATGTACGTGGAAAAGGTTCATTACGTAATAAAGATAAAGAAGAAAAGTTACGTGGCCAATCGAATTGGGAACATTTAAATGAAGATTTACATGTTATGATCGTAGTGGAAGATACGATTAATCGTGCTGAAATTAAATTAAACTATGCACGGGATCAAATACAGAAATTGATTGATTCGGTCATTATGCAAAAAGATGATTTTAAAATGCGACAATTAGCTGAATTGGCTATTTTGAATGATAAATTTAATATGAAAAAATCATCAATTAAAAATCGTAATCAACAACAACTGATGACCAATGGACACCTTGTATCATCATCATCATCATCATCTACGGCATTATCAGCAGCAGCAACAACAACAACATCGTCATCAATACCAAATTGTCTGTTGATTGATACAACATCTGGATCATTTGTTGGTGGTGGCGGTGGCAGTAGTAATCATACAACAAGTCATCATCAAACATCACCACAAACATTAGCAGCTGCCATATTGAATCATCATGCTAATCAATTAATTGGTTCAACAACATCGCAATATCAACCGCAACAACAACCACCACCACCACCACCATCTTTGTCAACAACCATACCACCTTCTTCTTTGAATTTGGAACAATCATTATTTACTACTAATCAACAATTACAATTTGCACAATTAGCTGCTCAACAACAACAGCAACAAAGATATCAAACAAATGCATTTAATACAGATTTATTTGCTATAATGGCTGCAGCTGCAGCTGCTTCTGGCGGCGGTCTATATGGTGGTGGTTCGACGGCAATAGATCCATCCATATATTCAATTTATAATAATAATAATAATTATCAAAATCAACAACGGCAATCACGTTATCATCCATATCATCATCATATGAATATGAAACGTAAACATCACACAGAATAATGATGATGATGAGCCTTAAAATTTTTTTTTTTTTTTTTGGTTTATTTTCAAAATCAATATCTCATTTTGCATAATATAAAAATGTGTTCGAATTTTTTTTTTGTTCATCATTCACATATTGTGAGAATTATAATTACATAATAATATACACACAAATACGAAAACAAACATGTACCAAAAGTGCCAACATGATAATCAATGTTTTTCATTTCAATGTTTTTCTTTTTCATACATGTGATGTAATAATTTTTTTTTCTACATTGGAAAAAAAAAGCCAAATTTGACATTTGAAAATGTTTTTCTTTGATTTGATATATTGATATATTCATCATTATGATTTTCATTTGAAAAAAAACATAAATTTGAAATAAAATGTCGATTGTTTTTCAATTTAAAAACAAAACAGAAAAAAAAACAAATTGACCGCCTAAATAAAAATTTCGAATGTGGATCAATTTTCATTTGATCGACTATTTCCACCTTGATGATTGTCAGTGTGTTTTGTTTACGATGGCGATGCACAAACACACACACACACATGAATTCATCTGTCTGTCTCTGAGCGCGCATGTGTATTTTTGGACAAATTTTTTTTTTTGGATGTTCAATCTTTTTCGAGTGTGTGTGTTATTTTTTTTGTGTGTGTGTGTGTGTGTTTGTGCGGAGTTTAATAGTAAAAAATAGTGAATGAATAATGAAGCAAAAACAAACAAACAAATAATTCTGGAATTTGTATTATTCTCAATAATTCTATTATCCGGTTATTTTATATGTTAAATGGATTGATCATCGTAAATCACCATCTCCCATAACAGCTCGGACGATGTTATGTCCCAATGAAAACGATGGAGCGTTTTTGCCAAATTAGGTGATTCGAAAGGTATCCTGGACTAATGAAAATAAATTTTAGTAACAACTTAATTACTCCTTAACTTACCAGAAGTCCAGAATTTTTTATGAACAATGACTCCTGGATATGATTGGGGTGAAGCTTTAGCAACGTTCTGAAAATATTGCTCTGTTAAATATAAAGAAGCTTCCCATTGAAGCGTGCGTGCCGCCTTCGAATCGCGCTGTTGAGTATACGCATGAATACTCACATAATATAAGCCACAAATATAAGTAATGACTTATGAAATGTGATCTGCCGTTCGAAGATTGTTCCAACAAAACTAAAAAAATCAAATCAAAATTTTAATATTAATGGCATATATATGTAAAGTAAAAATAAAAGACACTACATGTTGGACTTCAAAATTATTATACCAGGAACTCTTCAGGATCTTCCATTTTCGAAGGCCGAATACATTGAGAAAGATCATGTAACGGAAGTTAAAGATAAGCTCGCATGCTTCTGGTCCTGATCATTCATATCAATGCCGGGAAGAGATTTGAATAAAGACGGCAAAAATTCAAATTTCTGAAATAAACCAGAATAAGTTAATTTTCTTTACCATTTGCACCATTTGCATCGCCTTCCCGTTATTATGTAAACTGGCTCGATTTCACCGCGTATTGACCCACCGGCAATTATTTTCATACTCTGCAACTTCTCCCCTTCCTTACTTTCATGAAAAATCAAATTGATTGAGCATACCGTATCAAATGCCTCCTGTAGCAGCAGGTCGGAGGGGCCAATTTGAATAACAAGCTTTGTTTAAAACTCACTGCTTCTCATAATACTCATACCGCCGCGAATTAAGTCTGGCTTCTGAGTGATTCCTCGCCAGCATAAAATTACATAATAAATTGCGATGCTCCATTTAATATCAACGTCATACCATAATGTTATGAATGGTATTTATGTTCAGCGGTCTGGTAATTGAAGATCCCACTTTTACCGATATTTTCGAATCTTTAAAATAACACATTGAAGCGTGTTGATACATAAAACAAAAACAAAAAGAAAATGAATGTCGGCAGACGAAATGGTGGAAAATTTTGTTTAAGTTCCCAAAAGTTCCGACACCAAATTATCGCCTACATAAGCCAAGTGGACTTTTATTAGATACAATAGCCCAGGACGAATGGTCCTCACGTCCTGAAACAAAGTTACGTATAATAATAAGTTTGAATAATAATACCTCTAGCCGCTTCAGATCCGAAACCAATGGCGAAAGTATTTGTTGGATCGAAGTGGCTTTTATTGTTTTTCTACAAAAGGATCGTGGCAAAATTTAAATCATTTTACAAACCGCCGATTGTAAAAGTATATTCGTTATCCAAATATAACGGTACCCGGTGTTTTCCAGTTCCTAGTGGCCCTGTGAATCCAAAATCGTCACCATACAATACTAATCGCATCGTATTTATCACTTTGCGGTGCACATGTGTGGCAAGCAATGACCAAACTGAAACTTTATATCGTTGACGAGTGGCTTCTCCGACAAGATGCGCGTTTTATTAATTCCCCATATGCGAATAATAAAACTTATGCAAACTTTACAGCAGCCACATGGAAACCAGAATACCGAATGCATGATCGATTTCAACTTACCTTCAAAACACTCAGCAGTTAGCTCCCGAGGTGGAATATATCCATGACCCATCCTGATGAACTTTCGCTGAAGATACATCGACTTTGCGAATTGTATTCGCAACTTGTTGAAGTCTTCTTCATCAGGATTATCAGCGCCGCTGGCTAGGGTAATTTCATATGAATTCATATCAATCTTGGTTCCTTCACCGTTCCATTTTGAGCGAATGTTCAAACCTGTAAAAAAAATTACAAGCCGCATTCTTAAAACTGACCAAAGAATAAACTTGATTCAGAACTACAGCATTGATTTTCATCATCATCATCATCATTTCCGTGAACGCCAACATCATCATCATCATCATCTTCATCAACAACGATCAGAATTACTGATCGATCATCATCATCTCGTTCATCATCATCTTCTTGGTCGCCTCATCAACCCCCGGACCGCCATCACCCATTTAAGGCCAATTCCACAACGGTCGGGGGGACTGCAATAACATCGTCGTCATCAGCGACGACCACTGATGGTTGAACATATCCGTGCTGACGGACCTGGCATATTTTCATCCAATGATCCTGCAGTCACCAATTGGTGTTGATAATTATATTGCCACGTAATATGGTCAACACCAAAACCCATGAAAACGATGGCGTCTTTACTCATCGTATTAGTGAGGCCTGAATTTTTCTGAGGGATCATTGGATTCTTCCGGTTTGAAGCCCGGATATGCAGGTCCGTCCAGGTTAAACGTTGTCGCTCGTAAAGGAAACGCCTATTTTTTAATCTAAAATAAATAATAGTTATTATGAATTTATATTAATTTCGAAGCCACTTACCAATGAAATCGGCTCGTTCGGCCCTTGCGAATTCCAATCGATTCAATCTGTTGATAATTCCACCAGCATTCCGGCAGCTGGTTTTCCATGTACGCCAATTATCTCGCATAAAGTCAGCCACTTTTCAGCCAACGATAACGCAAGCTCAGCCATTAAGCCCACAATGCACCAAAGTGATAACTAAGTTGTTATAAGTAATTAGTAAAGCTTATATTAACGAATATACTCTCACAATCTGCAAGTTTGGTTTGATTTGGCTCGCCAAATGATCGATTCGATCATTTGGTCTATTACAATTTTTGTTACATTTCATTATTAGTCATTATTATGGCAGCAATAATAATAATGACAATAACAAAATTCCTTCAAACGAAAATACCAAGAAGATGATGATGAACGAGATGATGATGATCGAAAACGCAATTCTATTTACTATTCATAATATTTGCATAAGACGCGTTTCATTGAATATTTAGTTGTTAATCACTAAAATTTCTTCTCTCAGAGATATAGTAGATTTTTCATACTTGCAGAGTATGAAAATAATTGCTGTTACATACACATACATAATATAATAAATATAATAATTTTGTCTTTATTCAAATCAAAATTGACTTTATCTTTTAAATTTTATCATCACTGATGATACATGATATATACAGAAATATTTGAAATGCTCCGGCAAGAGACACAGTAGTACCATGCGCATATCGAATCAATAAAGCTTTATATTTAACCAATATTTTCAATAGTGTTCACCCCCAATCATAGCCGCAAAACTACATTTTTATCACGATGATTACGAATAAAAGTTGAAAAACGTAATTCGTTACACATATAAATGTAATGGCGCATAATCATTATAATTGAAGTTGTTTTATCAGACTATCATATAAAACCCTCATGCAAATGTTTTTAATCCAGTTAGCAATCTATAAAAATGAATGAAAGCAAAATTTTAGTGATGTGGATTTTACAAAAGCCAAGCAATAAAAAGCCCTAATTTTTTCCAAAACAATAATTGATCCAATTGATTCAAATACTTTCTTTTGTATGTAGGAGCAAATTTGTTTGTAGGGCCATTTCACATGTTGAAACAAAATCTTCAGGTTGTTAACCAAAAGCCCGTGAATTAGCAGTCCATTTACTTTCCGAATCACCGATATGCACAGCGCATATTGATTTCATTAATAGCTGCAAAATTCGTCAATATTATTATATAATAACAAAATTCTGGCCCAATCATCAAAATAAATGGATACTCAAAATTCCATACATTTATTTTGTTATTGTCCACGTTTTATGTGTTCTCGTTTCCAGATTGAGAACCGGTGTGGTTTATCTTTAAATGAAGAAACTTTGTCGATTTGGACACAAGTCTATGCAATTATCGATAAATCAATCAACCCAAATGGATAAAACAAATGTATTCGATTAATGAATTTCAAATTTTTCATCAGTGAAATTTGTACTTGAACATTTTTGTTTGATTGTTGAATAGGAGAAACAAAAAAATCAAATATCGAATATCAATCCAATCCATCTGAATTTTTTTTCCCATGATTCAATTGATTCACCACTGATCAATCAGATCTATTGATCCGTCATCATTGTTCATCATCATCATCATCATCATAAATGTGAGAATTTAAAGGAAAAAAATTTAAAAAACCTAAATATAGCATTGGGCGAAGAAAATAAATAAATAAAAAAAACCTGTTGTTGGCCACTGTGATGAAGAAATTATCGTTTAAAAAAATCAGAAAACAAACGGGTAAAAACACAGATTATTAAAGTGGAAAAAAATTTGAAATTTTCGCGCCGAAATCTCGGAAAATACGAATTTGAAATTCTCAAACCACCACCACCACCGCCAACAAACACACACACACACATTGATTGTATTCGAATTTCAGAATTAATTTTTTTTTCTCACACTAACATTCGAAAATTATACTTACCTATTTGATGTAATTTTTTTTTTAATTTACAATTAACAAAACAGAAAAACAAATTCAATTATCAAATGTATCTTGATGTCATTGAATTTATCATCATTGATTTCATATGTATACGATATGTATGTTAAAAAGAATAATAATCAACAACAACAACAACAACGTGATGATAATAAAAGAAATAAAAAATCTACATCATCATCATCATTATTATCGAATACAATCGGATCGAAAAAACAAAATGATACGACAAATAATAATAATAATAAACATAATCGATCATCATCATTGTCGACGACTAAACAGTCATCATCAACATTGGATTTACAATCACAAACGACGACAAAAACATTATTGATGAATAAAAATAAAAATAGACAGGAAAAAAATCTGGTCAATGGCACTACATCATCATCATCGTCATCGGTATCGATTTCTGCATATCGAAAAAATCGATCTTCATCATCATCAAATATTATGAGTCAGAAATGTTCGAATTCATCATCATCATCATCATCATTGAAACGTAAACATCAGTCATCATCATCGACAAAAAACAATAGTCTAATTCAACGACAAAAACATCGACTTAATCATCATCATCATAATCATCAACAATTGAATCGTTTTACACATCCTAATCATCATTATAATAATAAAATCTTAAAAAATAAAGAAAAATTAAAATCATCACCGTCACCTTCACATTCATCGTTGGATAAAACAACGGTAGTGAAAAAATTGAAAAATTCCAATTATAAAATACCGAAAAATCGATCATCATCAAACACAACGACGACTACAACGACAACCAGTAGCAGCAATAGTGGTAACGGTGGTAATAGTGGTGGCCAATCGACAAAATTATCACCAAAAAAATGTACAATTAAAACGGAAACAATATTTGAAGGTGATCCAAACATAGATGATGATGATGATGTTGATGTTAATGATGATGATGATGATGAAAACATTGATGGCATGATGGTTCCAAAACAATCATCATCAAAAACATCGAAAAAGAAAAGTATCAATGGACGATCAAAAACATTTATTAAAGCAAAACAATTTGTTGAAACGAATGAAAAATTATATCCAGAATTACGGAAATTACAACAATATGAACAACAGGAACATGATGATATTGAATCATTGAAAATACATTTTAATTCTACACAATGGTCGATTGAAGATCGATTATCATCAATTGTGCAACAAGAATCTGATTTGAAATTGGAATCAAAAATATTTCAATCATGGTTACGTGATGAATGTGGCGTTGGCCATTCGAATAATCGTTCAAATAGTGGTAGTAATAGCAGTAATAATAGTCGTAATCGAAAAACTACATTTCATTCGGTAATTATGATTATGAATTTTTTAAATTTAAAAAATTTAATTCATTTATTTATTTGTCATTTAGTTTCAAAAATATTATAAAAAACGTCGTGATCAAGAACGTTGGAAACAACATAATTTACGTGGTTGGCCATGTAATGGTTCCATCTATGTATCATCTGCGTCATTATCAAAACGTCTTTGGTATCATGAAAAACTAAAACTTAAAGATGAATTACTACCACCATTAGATTCGGTATTGCCTACACCACCGCCATCCACATCATCATCATCATCTTCAATATGTACAGTTAAAACAACAAATGAAACAAACGATGATTTTGATGTTTCAAATAATTGGGAATTAGTATCATTAGAACATGCATTCAATGCCTTTCCATCAACATTTCAAACGACCAAACCAAAAGTTAAATCATCATTATCAATGATAAATATTTGTGATGAAATTATTAGCTATTCATCTGTATCGGATATTGGTGGTACGAATTCTGAATCAACAAATCAATCTGTAAAATCATCGTCAACCATCATAGATAGGAAAACCACAACTACCGGATTGAAAAAGAAATCGAAAAAAATACGAAAGAAAAATCGTACGGCTACAGCCAATGTTCTACATACACCACGTTCATCATCGAAAGCTGTACAGCAACAATTAGCTAGTCAATCAAATGTTAATGAGTCATTAATAATTGCTGCCAGTCAAGATTCTTCTGAATATATGACATTATTTTCCATGGAGAAATGGGAAAAATTTCAAACATTTATTATAAAAACCGTTTTCAATATTGAAAGACGCAATTGGGAACCATTGCAATCCTATTTACGTTTAGCCATCATTGATTTAGTTGGATTTGATCGATTAATTAATCGTGAATTACGAACAGTATGGCCAATAGTTGCAACAATTAAATATGAATCTGAACCGGTTATTGAACCGGAAAATATGCCATTACCAGCTAAACGAAGACGACGTAGTAGTTCAAAAGTATTGGAATATTCTGATTCAAATTCACCTCGTAAACGTAATCGTTTGAATGGTACGATAAATGAATGTATAAGAAATGGATCAAAAAGTCCATCACCACCATCGTGTATCAATCATCATCATATGACGACCGGTGGTAAATCAACTACATTATCGCCGGTAACATTTCATATGCCATTAATGACACGAACACAATCAAAATATTTTTTTGAAAATGTTATCAATGGTGGTGATACAACGCCAGCTACTCCAACGTTTGCACCACCACCCACCACAACGTTCAAAGATGCAAAACAAATTCAACAACATTTAATGGAAACAGTGATTTCAATAGAATCATTGCAGAAACTTTCCAACGATATTTATCACCGTCAATCGGTGTTGAAAGTATTGAAAATTTTTAAAGAATTTTTCAATTTCAAATTTAAATCTCCATATTCTCAACAACAACCACAACAACAGCATCAATCGATTGCCAATCATGGTATGAATAGCACAATCGGTTCGGAAACATTACCGACAACAACAACAACAACAACACCGTTGATGGTCATTGGATCATCAAACATGATGGGAACGAAATCAACCAAAACATCATATCGTATTTATAATGGTAAACGACGACGTCGTAAACGTTCATTGGCATCATCCACAGTTGAACCAATGATGACTAGTCAGCAGCAACAATTATCAAATCAAAAAAATGGAAAAAATTCCACAATTCAGAATCAACATCCACAATGTCATGGTGTTGAATGTTCAATTAGATTTGATATGCCAAACATATCACGTATTGATATGAATCCATCTTCTCTACAATCGATTCATGAACATGATGATAATAATGATCGTGATATCGATTCGATGGATTATAATGAAGATTTATTTGATGGAACAATGGAACTATTGAAACAAACTGAACAGATTTTCATCAATACAGCTGGTAATTTGCCATCAACATTTTTTCCAAGACAATCATTCAATGGTAATGGTGGTGATGATTTACTAACTGGTGAATCATCTTCATGTTCCGAATCCAAATTATATCACAATAGTAGTAGTAGTAGTCCACGAAAATTATGGCCATCATCATCTTCAATCGGTAATCGTAATAATAGTAGTACAAATATTTCACCATCAAAATGTGAAATGAAACTTCGTTCACGAAGCTCAAGTTCCTCATCGAATTCGATACAATTTGGATTGTTGGATGAATCATCACAGGATCGTGAACATCATCATAATAATCACCATCATAATCAACAGCAGCATCCAACAACAGCATTAATATGGGATGCAAATAATTTATCCATATTTAAAAATTTTATTGAAATTAATTTCGATGAAATTGAATCACCAACAGCCATTGTGGATAAATCAAGAATGATGATACGTACACGTGGTGGTAGTAAACGTATAGCTGCTGCGGCAGCAGCTGCCGCCGCCGCAGCCGCCGCTGCTGCTGCTGCTGTTGAAAAAGAATCAATTGTCAAGGATGAAAATTCTAATGCCAATCATATTAAGGATAATAATCAAATCAAATATTTGACCATCATAATTGAAAAAATTGAAAATCAATTACGTGTGTTGTCCATAAGAAATCAATCACGTTTGTCTGCTATATGTGATATGTTCTGTGAGGATTATCATCTTGATCAATTAGAATATCGTTTAGAAAGATTGGATTTTGAAATAATTGATCTCTATCATCAATATTTATTTCGTGAGAAAAAATTCACTGATGAAGAATTGGAATCCTGTTTAGCAAAACTTGAAGATCATGCTCAATTGAATAAAGAATATATAACTAAATCAATATGTTTGATGGCTGTTGCACCTAATTCCCAACGTATGACAATGGCATTCTGTCAACGTTCAAAATTAATGTCAACATTAATGATGATGATGAAGAATAATAATCATATCAATAATGATAATAATATGAATAATCAAGGTTCAATGTTTAAAGATTTATTTGAATCAATAATGATGACAATTACAGCTCGTAATCATGTACAACAATCAGTATCATCATCATCATCGTCATCATCGACATCCTTATTGAATATACAGCAAGAATTATGGACATTGGCTAAACAAATTGATTGGTCATTATTGAATGATAATAATTGTCGATATCATAATAATCAACATGAGTGCAATGAAAATTCTCATAAAGATAATGATGGAATCAATAATAATGGTGGTGGTGTTATTGGTAATAATAATGTAATACAATCATCATCATCATCATCAATTATAAGAAAATTATCATTTGATCAAATTGCTCAGAATATTCTTGCTACTATGAATGATCATCATCATAATAATGTTGATAGAATGGATAATTTGATTGAAACATTATCATCGTCATCATCATTATCATCGAATAATGGCCATGATTTATTTATTGAATGATGATTATATAACCATTGTGTTCATTGATGAATTTTTCAAAAAAAAAAAAAAACAAAATCAAATTTTTTTTTTCACACCCACAATACAATATATATGTAATATGTAATTTATTATTATTTTATTTTTTAATAAACAAAAAGATTTTTCTTCAACATTTTAATTTACAATTTTGCATGATTTGTTGATTAAAAATTGAATGAATCACAGGTGGTTTGTTTTGTTTTTCGTTTGTTTGTTGGTTTTTTTTCAAACAACAACAATTTTAACCAATCAAACAAAACAGGTTCCAGATAAATTTTGATAAACGACCAAATTGATCAATCAATACAGTAAATGGTAAAAATAGATAAATAATCAAAAATAATGAAAATGAAATGATTATTAATTGATAAAGTATACGTATTTTTTCATCACGATCAATAATCTGTTCATTTTGATATTTAATCATCTGTGACATTTCATTGATACAATCATGTTCAATAAGATCACGACGTTTCATTAAACGTTGACAATATAATTTACATTTGATCATACTATCAGGATTATATTGACATTCTAATTGATGTTGATCATATTGTTCTAAACGTATTGTTTGTTCGCAGCCATCATCACGATATGGGCAATAAATTTTTAAACGATTAATCAAATTACGTATAGCACGTGGTGCACGTTTCAACATACAAGTTCGTAATGGACAACGATCAATTGGACATGTATGATGATGACGAAGCCAATCATTAATACATTCATTACAGAATAAATGATCACAATGTGTGGTCAATGGATCTTCTAATACACCAGTACAAATTGAACAGATAAGCTCTTCACTGATTTCTGAATCTTCAAAACGATCTGTATCGAAACCCATGATGATGATGATCCAATTATTGTTGTTTCAATAAATGGAAATTATTTTTAGGTTTGGCCAATCTGATTTTCTGATTCTAATGGTGATGATTCGAATCATATCAACAACGAGGAGGGAGAGGGGTTGAAATCACAAATATATATATATAAACATCATCAGTACGGCCATCTGTTGTAGACCGATGTATTTGATTTTGAATTGAATTTTTTTTTTGCCAATTTGAAAAAAAAATCATTTGACTTATTCGTAGCATGATAGTCCGATGACGTAATAATTCATGTGACATTAACATTGTGTTTTGATTTTTAATTTTTTTTTTTTTGGAATTAATCCAATGTTATTTTGATAGCAAATTTGTGTAAAGGTAATATGTATTACTAATAATCATCGGTTTACCTTGAAATAAATCCTTGATCTCTCTCTTTTTTTCCCGAAGAAGAATGAACAATATAATTTGTGTGAGCGTATGACGTGTATATATCGGGATTTATTCCGCCATTCCATGGTCATCTATTGTTTGTTAATTTTTTTTTTGCGGCGGTGTTTATATATATACAGTGTTGACGTGTAACGAATGACGAATTCTATTTGATTTATTTAATTTGACATCATAATCCAATTTAATCAGTTAATATCTGGAAAAAAAGAAGAATTCCGATTCACATTCATTCATTCATTCAATTATAATTTATTAATAACTATAGCGTGAGTTGCGCACCTTTGCAAATACATCCACACACAATTATATATATATAAAGAAAAATCGATGATCGATTCGTTCATCACTTTCATCATTTATCATATTCTTTTTCCTTTTCAAAATCATGCTACTCACCCACACCACACATACACACATACACACACACCACAACAACTCATTTTTTTATATTATAAAAATATCGATTTCCGTTCATCAATTTTAATCATGTTTTTACAATACCACTACTCTTTTATTTACAAAGGATATCCTTTTAATACACAAAAAAAAACACATCGTGAGCATGCGTAACTCATGAATTTTTTTCAATATTTGTGTCTGAGTGTGTGTGTGACACATCTTCAACCTCACGAGGCAAGTCTTTTTTTTTCAGTCGTCATCTAAAAAATGTATACGTATATAGTAGTAGTAGTAGTAGTAGTAGTGGTACATATTTTAACTGTGTGATGATGATTGCATTACATTTCAATGTATATACGACGTTCAATATATTATTACTCACATTTATCTTGTCCTGTGTGTGTGTGTCTGAAACTTGTAATTTTTTTTTTGTTGTTGATCATTTTTTTTCATTCATTTATTAATAAAAAAGTAAAGGAAAATTTCATTTCATTTTTGGTTGAAAAAAAAAGAAAAAACTCAAGAGTGAGAAAAAGAGAGCTATAGAGAACGAGAGACAAAGACAAAATCAAGTAACATCGTCATTTTTTTTTTATTCATTTATTGCGATTTCATTTTTTTTCCTTTTGGATTTTCGTCGTGGAAAATCATCATCATCATCGTCGACGACATCATAATCGGTTCATTCATCCAGACCGAATAATAATCATACAGCAGACACCATTTATTCGTTCACATTTTTTGTTGTTTAACACGAAAATCCCAATCATCATCAAATCAATTGTTTGAATTGTCACAATTTTTTTTTGTTCATCCTTTTTTTCGATTATAATATTTTGATTTTCAATTCAATCGTTTCGTTGAACATCAAAAGGTAAGATTTTGATTGTCGATGAATGGACACATATTTTTCAAATAACAAACAATATAACACGCACACACACATTGATTTCAATGTGCTTTCCATTAACTCGCACACACACACACACAAACACTGAGAGAGCATAACATTCGATTTTTTTTAGTTTCGAATTTTTTTTTTCATTTTCAAAACACATTTTTTTATGATTTTCATTTCATTTCATTTTTTTTTCATTATAAATACCCGTAATGATCTTCATCTTGCATATTGATTGATTATATATCATCACCAATACCACCATCTCATCATAATCATCATTTTTCCCGATATTTTTCGATTGATTTTTATTTGATTGATTGATAAATTCACAGAAAATCCAAGCGTTTTCTGGTGTGCCCGTTTTTTTCCCTTTTTGTTTCATATTTTATTTTTAAGTTGTACGTATTTATTTCTGCCATTAATAACAATGAATTAATTTATTTTTCATTTTTTTTAATTCAATTTTTTTTTCTGTTTACTGTTCACACTAAATAAATTTCATTATTTATTTAGTAAATAGATTTCTGTATACCATCGATTGTATGAATCAAAAAGCAGAGAGACCAACACTCCAAGGTCAACGAATTAAGACCAGAAAAAGAGGTGAGAATTTTTTTTGTTACAAAATTTGTCTTTGATGATAATCACCACAAATGATATTTTTTCAAAGTTCAATTCATTTTCGATTTTGGTGTGTGTGTGTGTGTTGATGGAAACATACACTTGCACACACACTTACTCTTTTCTCCAAATCTAGATTCAGGTTAACCTAATTTTTTTCCAACTTTATTACATTGATGATATGACTACGGTTCATTCATTCAAAAATAGATTTTTTTTCAAATGTTTATCGTTGTTGTTGTAATGGAATCTCATACTCATGTGGTGATAATCACTTATATTGGATTTTTTCCGGGATATTTGACCGGACAATATAATTGGTTTAAAGGGCTGAAGGGAAAAATAATATAACAAAGGATGAAACTTGTTTGTCCTGTTTTTTCCATTCTCTCTGCCCATTTCGACAAGTTTCGTTTCGTTTCTCAGTGTGGATTGAATTTTTTTTTTCTTCGACATTTTTAATCGGTAAATTATTTACCGGTTCTATTTTTAGATTTGTCCATTTAGATTTCCATCATTTTTTCTGACTTTCAGATTATTCATCTTTGCACTATGGATATTGATAATTTTCACTAGAAATCTGACCTATTTTTTTGTTTTGTTTTGTTTTTTCCTTTTAGATGAAAAAGAGAAATTCGATCCACAAGGATTCCGTGATTCGATTATACTTGGCATCAAAGAAACAAACGGCGATCTTGATCAGCTTTCAAAATTTCTCGACATCTCTGGATCAAAATTAGATTATCGTCGTTACGGTGAATCATTGTGTGACATATTGATTGCTGGCGGCCTACTAGCACCCGGTGGATCAATATTGACCGATAACGAGCCTGAACAAACCTACACCGAATATTCGGTATTTGGACGACCATCTGATGACGAATCAGTGAAACAATTTGTTTCATTAGTATTTGTTCGTCTTATACGGCGATATAAGTATCTGGAAAAATCATTGGAAGAAGATTTGAAAAAGATTGTTGTCTTTTTACGTGCATTTACCGCCGATGATCGTCTTAAATTGGCTAAATTATTTGCCTATCTATTGGCATCTGGTCATATTTCGGTCGCACCATTGAAAAAATTGCTTGAACAAGACCTGTTGATCAAAGAAGGTTTTGGATTTGAATTCCTTTTGCAAGTATTGCAAAGTTGGCAAAATGAGAAAGATGCATCCACAGTGTGGACTGCTTTACGAAAATCGGGATTGGATTCCAAATTGTTGGATTTTCTGCCAAAATCCAAACGTAATCAGGATACATTCAGTAAATCAATGCTTGAATATGGATTACAACAATTGTTGGCATATCAAGAGGCACAACGAGTGGAAACGTTGAAGAAAGAATTATCGCAAGAGATTCAAAATCAAATCAATGAAAATGGTTCAACACCCAAAGAATTGATCGGTATCGTTAAAGATTATATGACAGAATATTCATTGACAGAAACTGAAGTAATTGTTATTTTATGGAATACTCTCATGAGTATGGTTGAATGGAATAAGAAAGAAGAATTGGTTGCCGATCAAGCTATGAAACATTTACGGGTCTATATACCATTATTTGCTGAATTTACTAAAACTAACAAGGCTGAAATGTCATTAATGTTACGTATACAGGATTATTGTTATGAAAATATGAATTTTTTGAAAGCATTTCAAAAAATTATATTTCTATTCTATAAGAATGATGTAATCAGTGAAGATGTCATTCTTCGTTGGTATAAAAAAGATCATTTATCAAAAGGTAAAAGTATCTTTCTTGAGCAGATGAAAAAATTTATTGATTGGCTTATGAATGCCGAAGAAGGTAAGAATAGCATTATAGTATTGTTGTTTCATTGATTTTACTAAATTTATTTTTTCATCAATTTCATTTTGTAGAAGAATCTGAAGAAGAATAAAATCATTCATTCATTCATAACAATCATTCTGTATGTGTGTTTTGTGTATTCCGTTGAAGATGGCCGTATCCATTTAACAATCTTATAGATTCAACATCATATATGAACATTGTTTACAAACACACACACACACCACCAACACCAATTGAACCTTCTGCCATTTAAAATAAACACAATTTGTTTATCCTATTTACTCTTTCTTTTTTCTCTACACATATATTATTATTATTATTATCCTCATATTATTATCCAATTATTAATCCACAAAAAAAAAAAACACCATCCAAACCGTAAATTTATTATTACTTAATTTTTAATTCTTTAAAACAAACAAAAAAAATTTTTACCTGATAAACAGAAAATTTTATTTCATCATTTATATTGATTATTATTTGAAGAAAATGGCAACAACAACAACAACAACAAATATCATCAATCGCTTTTAATGTCTATCTATGTTTTGTGTGTGTTTGTGTGGAATAAATGAAAATAAAAATTTAATAACAACCAATTGATCATTGCCATGATTGACTATTGATTGATTGTGATTAATTATGATTAGAATAAAAATGTATTAATTTATTGGGTCCACCATTATTCCATGATTTTCATCATCATCATTTATTCATTGGTAATGGTATGGTCTTATGGGTTCATCGAACTGATCTTTATTTTCGTCAATCTTGTTATTTTCAAAATTATCGTATCATTTCGGGAATGGTTCCAAAAGAAATCGATGACAAAAAAAGGAGACTAATTGATGTTTTTCATTCAGTTTATAGAAATATCAAATACACAACTCATATTGAACATTATAAATTTATTCAAACGACTGTTCTCTCAGCTTACGACCGATTCTCGTCTGATCACCGAGTTTCAATTTAGAGTTATTGTAAAAATTTACTGAAAAATGCTCAAATGAATTGAATGAAAAAACAAAAATTGTGGCCTTTTTTTATCATTAAACATTGTTACAAGCTTCCGCTTTATGAATTGAGAATCACCCCTGCTCTTTCAGCTTACGACCATATCACGTAGAAAAAACTGGTTCTCGTCTGATCACCAAAGTCAAACTACGTCGAGCCGAGTTAGTACTTGGGAGGGGAACCACTTGGGAACACTCGGTGTCGTAAGCTTTTCCGTTTTTTTTCATTTTTTTCAAAATTTCAATCCGTTACCATCAAAAATCGTATCATTGATCCAATTAATGATAAATAAAGGTCAAGGTAACATGTGTGACAACTTTTTTTTCTTGTTCGTAAGAAAGTTGTCATACTAGCAACAAATATAAGAGAATAATGATTTATTGGGCAAAAAAACTTTACTTTCATTCTAAATTTGAATCTCAATTAAAAAAACGTCGATCCGTTACCATCAAAAATAGATCATTATATACCATCAATTGATCATTGTGATGATTGACTATTGATTTTTTTCTATTGATTGATTGATGATAATCTTTGATATTTTTGTTGTTGTTGTTGTTGCCATTTTCTTCAAATAATAATCAATAAATGATGGAATCAAATTTTCTTCTGTTCATCAGGTAAAAATTTTTCAAAGGCGTCTTAAAAATCTACAAAAAATTAAAAAGCTTACGACACCAAGTGTTCCCAAGTGGTTCCCCTCCCAAGTACTAACTCGGCTCGACGTAGTTTGACTTTGGTGATCAGACGAGAACCAGTATTTTCTACGTGATATGGTCGTAAGCTGAAAGAGCAGGGGTGATTTTCGAAATTTTGCACCACATAAGCTTGTAACAATATTTCAATACCATAAAAAGGCTACAATTTTTGTTTTTTCATTTAATTCATTTGAGCATTTTTCAGTAAATTTTACAATAATTTTAAATTTAAATGTTTGACGAGAACCAGTATTTTCTGCGTGATATGGTCGTAAGCTTCCTAAAGATCATGATGATTAATTGAGTGATGATTCTCAATTACAGGCTATTTACCAGCGATTATATTAAGCTCACATGTGTTTCATATATTTTATTTGTTAATCAAATCTAATCTAATCTAATCTTGGGAACACTCATTTTGACCTGATGAACAGAAAATTTTATTTCATCATTTATTGAAAATAAAAATTTAATTAAAATTAAATGCCATCAATTTTTTTATTGATTGATTGTGATTAATTATGATCTAGTTTTTGTTTTTTTGATTAGAATACAAATTCGTTCATCAGATGACCCGCGCCATCTATCATCACAATTGGCCGGTTAGCTTAGTCGGTAGAGCGTGGTGCTAATAATTTAAATAAATGGTAAAATTTGACGATTCTGATAATCAGTAAAATTAAGAACTAATTAAGTTACGCCAAGGTCGTGGGTTCGATCCCCACACTGGCCAATCTTTTTGCTTTTTAGTTTAATTATTGATGATTGATTGATTGATTGAAAAAAAACTTGGTTGAATTTGGATTGAAATTAGCATTTTTTTATTCTGAGCAAAAAAAAAAAAAAAAAATAAAATTCAGACTTCGATCCCCACACTGGCCAATCGTTTCAATTTTTGCCTTTTGTTCAATTATTGATCGATGATTGATTGATTGGAAAAAAACTTTGTTGAATTTGGATTGTTTGGCCGAATTGAAATTAACATTTTTTTATTCTGAGCAAAAAAAAAAAATTCAAACTTCGAACACGTCCTTTATGAATGGCATATAAAAAACCGTTTTATAACAAAAGCTCGCGCGCTCTGTCGAACTTTTTCTTTTTTTTCATTTTAGCTCTCACTTTTTCGTTAGTTTAATATACTTTTCATCAATTTTTACTTTTATCATTTTCACCATAATTACAATTATTATAATTGTGTTAGTTATGGCTCAAAATTCAATCAATTTCAATGTTGAATCATTACGAAATGAATTGGCCAAAATTTTTAACGAATCTCAGCATTTAAAAAATTCTAAAAAAAATGTCAAAGAATTTATGAAAATCTATAAATCATGGGTATGTTTTATTGATGATGATGATGATGATGATGAAATCTTGATAAATGTTCTAAAATCCAATCTTCTAATTATATTTAGTTTATCGATAATGAAAATTTTGAAAATTTTATGGCAACATTTATTGAAATTATGAAAAATGTTTTGGTTTGTAACAATTCATCACCATACACAAAACGTGCATTAGATTTTATTGCATTAATATTCAAAGAGATAATCTTTTCGAAGAAGAATATGAAAGAAAACGTATTGATAATGTAATTGCTCGTGGTGATGAAACAATCAATTCTGAAATAAATAATGATGCAAGTGATTTTGATGATGAAATTGGTGAGGAGTGTTTTGATCGTGACAAAACTATTATCGATACACGTTTTATTTCAGAACCAACCACCGTAGATTTATTTATACGAAATTATCTGCTAAAATTTATTAAAGCTGATGATGTATTTGTACGTCGTAATTCTGTATTGCTTTTAAGAAAACGATTGATAGTCTTGAAGAAGTGGATGAAAATACATTTGCTGAAGTATTGAAAGAACTTCGTAAACGAAGTATTGATAAAGACAAATGTGTTCGTTCATTAATTATGTTGTGTTTACGAAAACTTCAAAATATTAATAATGATGATGATAATGATGATGATGAAGCCATAAAAATATTGAAATTCCATCTACAATATGATCCTGATTCATTTGTTCGTTCGGTTGCAATGAAAACGATCGGACTTTATTCCAATACAATCGAAGTCATTTATAATGCAACACGTGATATAGATGATGTCGTTAGACGTTTAGCATATCTAAAGATTGCTGAAAATAGTTGTGCAAATAATTTTTCTGCCAATGATCGTTTACAATTATTGATCAATGGCCATACTGATCCTAGTAATCAGATAAATAATATTATCATTAAGAAATTATTACCAACTTGGATTTCTGATGTTAACGATGATATTATTCGATTCTTGGAATATTTTGACATACGTAACGAAACAGATTTTTCAATACATTATTGGATGATTATTTTCAATCATTATTGAAAATTGTTGAAAGAGATGATATCACTGAATTCCATCAATTGGTATTTCGTTTTAAACAAAAATGTATGAATGAACATAAATTTCCATCGATAATTTTACCAAAAGAAGAATGTGTTTATTTGTGGTATAGACTTTGTAATTTTTCAAAAGAAAATAATATCACCTATAAAAAATCAATGCCTATTTCACAAAACAATGATTATGATGATGATAATGCTAATGGTGAATTATCACAACGGCAAAATTTCATCATCAACGATCTATTGGATGATATTTTTCCCGACATTCCTGTTTATTGTGATTACATTGAAAGGTAATGATATAAATAAATTGTTTATTTTTATAATAAATTTCAAATTTTTTTTCCATCCCTACCATTTAGTTTTGTCAACAATACTATTTCGTTGCATAGCCAACAGAAGAATGATGATCAATCACAATCTTCTAAAATTGTTTTTCGTCATAAAGAATTGAATTTCATTTTTCAACAATCACTTAACATTGGTAAATTGTATAAAATTAGCGATACAGCACAATGGAATCGTATTGAACGAACATTTCGTTCAATCATATTGAATGATGATCTCTATACAATGCTCAATGATTACATAGAACCAATATTTATTATTTTCAATAATTATTTTCAAAATGATTGGCAACAATTATTGGAATTGGCATTAGATTTGATCAATACTATCAATTTGCCTGAATTACATTGTGATCGTATACAAACACAGTCACAGTCTCAGCCAATGAATAGTGATTATCAATCACAAACAAATGAACAACGATTGATACCATCATCACAATTGAATCCACAAGAAAGAATCGAAACGGTAAGTAAATGATAATTTGTTTGTTTATTTAATTTTACTTATCCCTTTCCTATATATGTGGTGAGAATAGGATCCAAAAATTTTGGAAAGATGTATCAATATTTGTAATTCATTTCTTCATGTTGGTGGACCAAAAAATTGCGATACATTATCAAGTCTGCGTGGATTGGTCAATAAACTTGTATTACGAAATTTAGCACATCCAGAAAGTGAGAAAATTCGTTTATTATCGGTAAAAGCTTTGGGCAATTATTGTTTCCAATCGGTTGTTACAATCAATTCATTTCTCAAAGTGTTCATTGAAATTCTTAAAGAAGAAAATTATCTAGATGCTAGAGTTGAAGCACTAAAATATATATTCGATTTTGTTGGCTTTTATGGTTTGAGAAAGATAAATTTTGTTGATTCAGACAATTCAAGCATTCGTAATCAATCAAATAGTATGAATAACAGTCATGATGTTTCAAATCGTTATGAAAACTTTTTCGAATTTTTTTCGGAAATGTTATTGGATTTTTTGGTGGAACCATCTATGGAACCGGCTATAATGAAGAAACGTCCAAAAACTCGTATCGAATATGATCTATTCGATATAGCGGTTCGTGGTCTATGTAAAATTCTTTACATTGGTCGTTTTAGTTCATCGGATTTTCTTGCCAAATTAATGATCATATTTATTACTTATAAGAATATCACAACCGATACAAAATATTTTCTACGAATATTCTTTCATCGTTATAGTGAAAATATTGAAGCCTTTTTTGATCATTTCAAAACAAAAAACAGCCCATTCAATGATGCATATGTTCAATGTTTCAAGATGTTAATGGAAAACGATGTAACTAATTTGAATTCATATGAAATGGTTGTCGATATGGTCGATGCTTGTACAAACGATGATCAACGTAATAATTTGGTTAGTAAAGCAATGGAAATATTTACATTGACATCAGAAAAAGATTTGATTCATTTGAATTTGAAATTTATTGATCGAATCATTGATTATAAATGTATTGAAAAATTGGATTTATTGGATTTAATCAAACAATTTGATGAATATCGAAAACGTTATCAAAGAAACAATAATACAGTCCGAAGCAGACAGGATAAATGTATTTTATTATTCAAAAAAATTATACAAAATCTACAACTTGCATCACAAGGTAAAAATCAATCAATCGTAGAGAATGATGATGAAAATAATCCACGTACACAGCGATCATTATCATCAATAACAACAACACCAATACAACAACAACAACAACGGAAACGACATTCAATTGAAAATGTAAACACGAATCAAGAAATCGATGTTACTATTGTTGATGATAATAATGTTGCCAATGGTGATGATGATGATGATAATCATGGCATTTCCGATTTGGACGATGATGATGAAGATAATGATTATAATGATGATTGATTTAATTTTTTTTTTCATTTTTAATCTAAAATAAAAATATCAATTCTTTTTCTTCTTATTTTGTATAGATTCTTTTCTTTTTCGACGTTTATCGATTTTTCGTTTTCGTTTATCACCACCACCCATTAATGATGCAATTTGGATTGTTTGGCCGAATTGAAATTAACATTTTTTTATTCTGAGCAAAAAAAATAAAATTCAGACTTCGATCCCCACACTGGCCAATCTTTTTTCAATTTTTGTTTTTATTTACAAAATGATTATCAATGCAAAAAAAAAATGTTTATTTTACAGGCATAATGATGGTATATAGTATATATGTGGTCAATGTGGATGAAAATAATAAATACTTGTGGACAAAAAAAAAAAAAAATAAAATAAAATAAATAAACCAAAGTGAAAAAAAAAATTTCAAATTCAAAGAAATGAAAAATTATTGATAAATGTAATCATTTGGAATGAAATAATTAAACATTGTATACAATAATCGTGGATACCAATGTATACCAATCGGTAATGATGATGGCGATGGCGATTGATCAGATTGTTTTGTCGTCCTAATAATTAATTGGCTATGATGTACATGTAATTGTTGTGATAAATAATCACCAAATTTGATAAATTGATATAACCAACGAATCGGTATGAATGATAAATGGCTTAATTGTTGGCTATTGATTATGGCATAACAAGATGCAACAATATTGTTTACAACAATTGTACCGGTTACTGTCAATGGGGCATAGATTCCTTTGGATTTTTTCGTACTTATACGTATGATACGTTCCAATCTTGGTGTTGTTTCTGCCACTGCGGCTGCTACTGATTTGTTTTGATTATCAGATTGATTCATGACCACAAATAAATATTGATTCATTTCAATTTTTGATACAAATTCTTCATGTTTATCATCAATGTTTCCTGTGTCCGATATGAATAATAAATGTGATGGTGTGGCCGTAATCATTCGACCGAATTCGGTTTCAATTTCATAATATAACCGTTCAATCGATGGATTACGATCTAAAAACATTATAATGGAACTATATTCTAGATGGCCAGTCGCTGGATTCATTGTCAATATTTCATCACCAATACGTAAATTATCGATATTTATAGTTTGACCATTGTGGCCAATAACAGTGCTATTTTGATCGAAACATCCACCATTACGAGCTGATTCAGATTTTTCTATAAATGATGCAACAAAACGAAACAAATGTTAAAATTTTTAGCAATTTATCGATAGATAATCAACAACAACAACGACAAAAACCAATAACCAATTGAGAGACCGGAGACAAATTATATTGTCGTGGACAAATGACTATTTTTTTCTGATAAAATCAAAAAAAAACAACAAATCTTAATGGTCGATCATCATAATGTTTGTTTGCTTGATTTATTTTTATTATTAATTAAAATGCAATTTTGTTGCAATCAATGTGGTGGTGGTACAACATAAAATTTTATGTGAATTAAATTTGTTTTTTAAAATGTGAATTCCGGCCATGAAACAAAACCAAAAAAAAAAAAAATGTCAATCGTCTGCGGTGGTCGTCGTGAACACACAGACATCATGTCATCACCATATAATATATCGTCAACAATCAAATCATACTAAACATTCATCAACATCGACATTATCTCATCATTTCTATTTTCATTTCCAATGTCATCACCGGTTGTGTCGGTTTTGATCGATCGATCAATTGAATGGCAATGGCAATGGCAATGACGATGATGATGGCGGCAAAAAAAAAAATTTTCTTTCTTTTTTCTTTGTTTTTTTTTTTTTCAAAAGAAAATTTGAACAAATCACCATCATCACATCATCATCATAATCATTATAATGATATGATGATAATGATGTGGTATTTAGTCGTGGTGGTGGTGGTGGTGGTCATCACAATCATTCATCCGTTTTTCTATAAAAAAAAATAAAAAATTCGGACACTGACAACAAATCGTCATTGATGGAACGTGTGTGTGTGTGTGTGTGTGTATGCTCGTCGTTTTCCCCTACTCTTCCGCCCCCCGTATATAATGAATTAAGATTTGAAAATTACTTTTTTTTTCTTCATTGGAATTGATCTAATCTAAAATCTTAAAGTAAATAAATAATTTGGTCATTCGCGGTGTGTTTGTTTGTTTGTTTCAGTGTGTGTGTGTGTGTGCGTTAATTCGACATACACACACACACACACCGCAATAATCATCATCATTCAACATTGTTGGAATCACTAATCGAATGAATCGAATTGAATCTATCGACGAAAAAAAAATTTGCAAACTTGCAAACTTATATTCACACAAGTGATGGATGACTTTTAAAATTTATTTATTTATAAATTGAAAATGAAAAGTAAATGAAAAAGGAAAAAAAAATTAGAACTGTGTTGTTCATGTTTGAGGTCGTCGAAAGATTAGCTTTTTTTTTCTCAAAAAAAAAAAAAAAATGACCATCACTTATTCTCAATACAGGGAGCTAACTATCAAACAATCTAGCTCGAATGAATCTAGCTCGAATGAATCTATCTCGCGTTTACACACACACAGAAAAAAAAAAGGAAATCGGATTTAAAATTTTTTTGTTTTCGTTCAATTTTCAAAATCCGATCATTTTCATTGTTTTGTTGCGGCGATTTTTTTTTTTTTTTTTTTGGTTCAAAACAAACAAACAAACAAACCAACGAAAAAAAAATCATTTTGTCCATTTGGAATAATGAATGAATTCAATGGTGAACAAAACGAAAAAAAACAACAACAAAAAAATTCATTCAAATTTGACAATTGAAAATTCCATTCTATTCTGTAATCGTATTACACAATCACACGAAAAATAAAAACAACGACAACAAGAAGTGTCATTTTGCAATCAAATTTTTTTTCACAAAAATAGAAATTACAATTTACCTGAATAATAACCCTATACTATTACTGTGTTTCATTTGTTGTTGTTTGTTGAATGAAAATCAATTATCATACTCTCTCTCTTGCTCACTAACTTTTTGACCGGTAATAATAATAATAATAATAAAAATGATAATCGATTATATCGGTGGGTAAATTCTTTTTCTTTTTTTTTATCTCGACCATTACAGTACCCAAAATCAATCGATCGATTGATTGCCTTGGTTGGACAAAAAAAAAATTTGTCACCAATTGTAATCACAGTGTGAGATAAAACACAGTAAACAGAATGAAAATTATTTTTTTTTTCGTCATTTTTCCATTTCAATCATTTGTTGTTGTTGTTGTTGTAATCATAATAAAATAATTTAATTTGTCCACAACAACAACAAAAAAAAAAAAAAAAAATGCGACAAACACACAAACACAAACGGGCAATTTTATGGCCTCAATTCACCATTGTAATGTAATTTTTTTTCGTGAATGAAATTTGTCGTCAAAAACAACAACAACAACGACAACAATAATCATTATCGATTGATTATTTTTATATCGATATAAATCAATAAATGAATAATCGATCAATAAAACAATTGTCCACAATGTCATTATTTCTCTCTTTTGGGTTTTAATTGGTTTTTTTTTTGTTTTTTTTGGCGATTGAAATTGATCATTTTTTGTTTTGTTTCTCTTACCTGATTTCACTGAACAATGAATATGAAAACGTGATTCATAATAAACCCAATCGAAACCGGCTTCAACGGCTAATCTGGCCAACATACCATATTTAGAACGATCACGATCACTGGTTGTTATATCGACGGCACGGCCTTCATAATGTAATGAATTTGATGCATGTGAACCGTCTTCATCCCAGCCTTCGGTTACACGTAATCGTACACCAGGCCATTGATTCATTACCGATATGGCCAATGTATTTAGTTTTTCTTTTAATCTCTGTGGAGAAAAAACAAGAAGAAAATTTCAAATCAATCAATTTTCGATTCATAAAAAAAAAAAAACAACGACAGCAACAAGTCAATTCAAATGTTAAATTATGACATTTTTTGTTTCTTGTGACATTTTTATCTTTTTTTTTCTCATCTCTGATCGATTGATCAAATTGAATGTTGATAATTGATTTTGTTGTTGTTGTTGTTCTGTAGTTGGTGGCGGAATAAATTAGTTAAAAACAACAACAACAACAATGTAAAAAAATGATATGATATGATTTTTTTTCATGGATAAAAATGACAGCATCATTAATCATCCGTCTTTTTGTTGTTGTTACTGATAATCCAAAATGATAATGACGACTACGATGAGAATTAAATTTCATAAAAAAAAACGAAACAAATCATTCAACTAATTCATTGTGACATGATCATGATCATGATCATCATTTGGCACCTTTTTTGTCTCATCGATTGATGTTATACCGGCTATACTTTCAATGTTTATTAATTTGATTAGATTTCAACAAGGATTATCTTCAATAAAAAAAACAACAACAACAACAACAACACACACACACAGAGCAATACAAAGAACAGGTGTCGTTTATGAAATGAAAGTAAAAATGTACAGTGAATTCCAGAAATTTTGTCCAAACAAAACAAAACAAAACAAAAATCAATCACAACCACCCGGTAGTTGGTGTTTTGTTTCCTCTCTCTTTCTCTTTCTCATTCAAACATTGCCATATGAAAATGATTTAATGACTAATGAATGAATTAAACCTACTGAATATTTGTATATGTGTGTGCGTGTGTGAACAAACAATCAAAATTAAGAAAAAAATTCTTTACATTCTACACACACACACACACACACACACACACAAAGTACAGGAATCAATATTGTTGTGCTTCTGTTGTTGTTTACACACACACACACACACTTTTTTGTTGTTGTTTATGTTTGTACATTACATTATCAACTTTGTTGTTGTCTTTGTAGTTTGGGTTTATCTTAAAACAACAACAACAACAACAACAACAACTAGAAATGAAAATTAAAATGACAAACAATTTCCAGTGTGTGTGTGTGTGCGTATGTTTTGTCATACAGAACGAAAAAAAAAAAATTACCTGTATAAATATACCGTGAAGATTAATATTTTTATTTTTCACAATAAAATAAAAGAGAAATATGCCGAAACAAACAAACAAACAAACAAATGTTGATGGTGTATTTAGTGAATAAAAATGCAAATGAAATGACAAAACGTTCACTTACACACACACACACACACACACACACTATTCATTAAGGTATTTTGATTGGATCAAATAAATATTTTGCTTTTTCTGTCATTCATTCATACATTTTTTCAGATTAGTTTTGTGTGTGTGTGTGTGTGACATATGTGACATTCATTTCATTCTGTTTTTTTCGGGATTAATTTTTTGCTTTGTTTTCTTTTTGTTGTTGTTGTTGTTGTTCAGATCTGCTTATATTTCATAAATAAATTGTGTGTGATCACTGAATTCTGCATATATAGAGTATAGTCAGTGTTTTCAATTCTTTGTTGGCTAATAATAATAGCCGGAATAAGAATTCAATGTGGAACAAGTAGAAGTTTATTATCTCAAAATATTTGGCAGAATTTTTTTCTTTTTTTTCAATTATCTATTGGCCAAAAACATTTGGACAACAAGTGTTTGCACTAAATTGAATTTATCAATCAGAAGATTTATTGACTTTTGTTGTCCAGTTGTTGTTGTTGTTTGCTGATTGTTGAATTTTTAAATTTCTGCTGTTGTTGTTGTTGTTTAAAAATTCAAATCAAGTTTAGTGAAAATGAAATAAATGAATAAATAAATAGTTGAACCTGTACTTTTGCATTCTTGACCTGGTATATTGACCTGAGAGAGAGAAAAAAAAAGATAGAAAAGGTCAAAGTGGCTAATATTCTTATTTATTCAATGGATAATGGTAATAATCACAACAACAGAATCAATAATTGATTGGAAATTACCAAGAAAAATCTTTCGATGAATTTCAAGTGTTTGTTATTGTTGTGGTTTTTGGTTGCAATGTGTTTGCAAACAAATTCAAATGCAAAAAAAAAGAAAAATTTGAAATTTTTTTTCAAACAAAATTCAAGTACATTTTTTGTTGTTGTTGTTGTTGATTGAATCGAATGACCTCCTGACACCTGTCAAAATATTCCAATTCCAGCGTATTACTAAACTGGTTAATTTAATTTTGTTTTCAACAACAACAAAAAAAAATTCACAAGCAAACAAACAAACAAACAAAAAATTCATGCAAATCAAATTCTTATTCATCTCATTGAAATTAGCCAAATTAAATTAAAAACTTTGTCGCAACAAAATGAAAAAAAAAAAAAAAAAAAAATTTTCTGTCTAACGATTCATTACCCGAGACCAATTGCAGGTATACATAACACACACACACACACACATACAGACATTGCACCAAAGGTAATTTCACGGACCTAGGACCAAAGAGACAAGATACGAAAGCAAAACGAAAAAAAAATTCAATCGAACCGTGAGAAATTTTTTTCCCCGTTGTTGTTGTTGTTGTTCGTATTGGAAATTCTTCCTACGGTGCCATGAGCCATAAAACACACACAAACACACACACAGAATGGTTGTAATCAATAACTTTCTCTTCTAAAAATTTAAATTCCAGAAAAAAAACTTGGACAACAACAACACAAAAAATTAATTGTCAATAGCGGCAACCAGAGAAAGAAACCCAAAAGACCTAAAAATTTATATGTTTATGACCGCCAATACATATCACAAACGTTTGTTTTTTTTATGAATTGAAAGTGATTATCGATCAATGATGATGATGATGATGATGACCATTATCATTATTATCATTGGCCACTGGGTGTCTATTTTATTCGTTTGAATACTAAACAAAAGAAGAAAAAAAATGGTGGTGGGAGTATGTGCAATGGATGTGTAGGATAAAAAAAAATCATTATTTTGGAATGCAAGTTTCTTACCATCCAGTTTTTTTTGCAAGAATTTTTTTTTCATTCTCAAAAAAGAAAAAAAATTTCCAATGATAAATGATTGAATTTACGAAATCAATGGTTGAATGAATGAATGAATGAATAAACCACCATTACCATTACCACCACCTTAATCAAACTATCATCATCATCATCATCAACAACAACAACAAGGATATGATGGTTTAAACTAACTATAAAACCGTACACATATACATCGTGCATCGGATACAAAAAAAAAACATTCAACAGGCTGCCATTGTGCGTGCATGTGTACAGAATAAATAGGGTGAATTGAAGTAAAATGGTCAAAACAAAATTTTTTCAGGACCAACTTCAATGAAAAAAAAGAAACACCCAATTTCTTTACTCACACAGCAGAAATATAATTTACCATTTTTTTTAAAGGGGGTAGTAGTAGTATAAGGTGGGAAACGTCTTTCGTCGTCGTCATGAAAGCTGAAGGTGAAACACACATACACAGTGTGCACGAGTTTTTTTTCTATTTCTAATAATGATTTCTACTACCTACTATTTATCCGAAAACAACAACAACAACAAAAAGTCATTGTGAACAACAACAACAACAAAATGAAAATGAAAATTTCAAAAAAAAAATTCAACCAAATTTCAATGCAGAAAGAAAAAGATAGAAAAACAGAGTGCACCCAATACTATCATCATCATCACCATCATTTGATGATCGCTACCTGTGCTGTGCTGTGCTGTGTGTGTGTGTAAATGATGACCACCTAGCTAGATGTGCACATTTGAAAATAGCCATGACCTGTGTATGTGTGTGTGTATGTTTCTGTTCTTTGAACTTTTTTTTTTCTTTCATTTAATGGAGCACCAAACATACTAAGAATTTAAGTAAAGTGTACACACTTAAACACCATCATCATCATCATGATCAGTGGCTGTGGTGGTGGTCGATGGCCACCACAGAGAATTTTCGTTTTTTTTTTTGTCGGTCGGTCGGTCGGCCACCATTTGATGATGATGATGATCATCATCATCATCAATAGCCATGTAACTTGTTAGCATTAACTTTTCGATCATCATCATTGACGATCATGATGATGATCGAGTTTTTCATCATCAAGGTTTTTTTGTTGTTTGTTTCGGTCATGTTTTTTGTCCCCCTCTCCTTCTTCTTTGTTGAATTGTAAAATGGAATGAAATGAAATGAAAAATTCAATTTTTTTTCGAATGAAAAAAAAACTACGACAACAACAACAAAAAAGACCGCTTGACCATTTCTATATGAGAAAACAAAACAAAACGAAAAACTTGCACGAACAAACAAACAACAAGAAAAACGAAATCAAAACTATATATCTAACACCAACACCAACAACAACAACAACAACAATGGACCAAATGAACGAAACAAAATTTTTTTCAAAGAATGTGACCCTGGCCATCTATCTACTGGTCATGGAAATGGTCAACTACATTATACTCCTTGTTAGTTAATATAGTCCAGTACAGAACGAAAAAATGAAATACCAAGAAACTAGCCATAACCACCAACACCAACACCAACAACACAGCCATTATATCACACTAAACAACACGGATGTTGAATTTTCCTACCTACAAAAAAAAAAACAAATCACAATTGATGAACATAGTGCATACCACCACCACCACCAGTAAAACTGGTGTTGTATATATAGGTGTTAGCCAACAGCAACAAGAAAAAAAACCCTATAGATGAGGTTTTTTTTTATTTTCATCTTGACTTATAACACCAACAAAATAATGATTTGATAAAAATTCAATGGAAAAAAACAAAAGAAATCTCTCTCTCTCTCCATCGCAACCAAAATATCACCTGATTATAATAATTTAGATTTACTGGTGGTGGTGGTTATTTATACTTTTTTTTTTTTTTGGGCTTGTCATATTTGCTTGTGAACATGATTATTTTTTTTTTTTTCATTCACGAACGAAACGAATAAAACGAATGAAAAAAACACCCAGGTAACAAATTTTGTCCATAAATAATAATCAAACTTGAAATATTGAAAGAGATTTGGATGTAAAGAATTTTTTTTCTGGGCATTCATTTTATACCGAATTAAAAAAAAAACAGCCGGAATGCTGTGTTCAAGATACCATACCATATGTCATTTTTTTTCTGTGTTGTTCTGTTATTAAATATGAAATGATGTTGTTCGGCGGCGGCGGCGGCGGATGATGTGTTGTTGTTGAGAATTTCAAATCTCAAGTTTATAGTTTTTTTCTCTCTCTCTCTCTCTCTCTCTGTTTGTTCGTTCAATTTCCATGATGATTTATTCGGTCAATCAATTAATTAATCACCAGTCTGCGAGTGTGGTGGTGGAAATTCATTCGTTTTTTTCATCATGATGACAAATGTAATCTCTGTAGATGTTTAAAAAAAATTTTTCGGCAAGAAAATTTCTTGAAAAATTTCTCAAACAAAATTTAATTGGCCAAAACACGACACCTTGTTGTTGTTGTTGTTTTTGTCATTTAACAGAGAAAAAAAAATTTCCCACGATTATCGCAAACACTAATTGGTGGTCATTTAATCTGATCTGGTCAAACTTTATGGAAAAAAAAGAGTTTTTTTTTGCACAAAATCTTGAATTTAATCTGATTTTTCATTTCAATGATGATGAAAACGAAACAACAACAACAACAACAAGATAACAACAGACAACATTAACATTCCACTTTTGGTAATCAATTAGTAGTAGTAGTAGTTGTTATTGTGGCCAAATAACAAATAATTAAAAACAACTGAATGACCTTTTTTGCGTTTGTTTGATTTATATACGTGTGTGTGTGTGTAAGGTTAATAAATAAATTTTTTTTGGACAAACACAAGACAGGATCTGAGTGATAATAAATAATAATAATAATAATAATAAAATTGTCAACAACAAACAAGGTGTTGCTGTTGTGGCATACATATGTTTTTCATTCATCATGACCTATGACATTTTTTTTTCATTCATCATGAAAAAAAAGGAAATACGCCTTTCTATAGAAACTAGAAAAAACACTTGATGACATTCTTGTTTTGCTTCAAATTGGTTGTGTTTGATGAAAAAAAAAATTTAATTTTCACCGGTCAACTTCATCATCATCATCATCGTCACCAGTAAATTTGATCCTTCTTTGAAGAAGTAATACTTTGATGAACTTCAACCTTTAATGGTCAACCATGACAACAACAACAACAACAAAAATATAACCAGAATCTGTGGATATATAAAAAAAAATAATAATGAATTAAATCCATCGACGACGATGATCATGATGATGATGATGATAATCAATGATCTTCAGTTTGTGGTTTTTAGCTTAGCTTTAGCCATATGAAATGGTCATTAAATTGTCATCATTCTTCAATTATATTGGCGACGGCGACTATGACTATGACGACAACGATGATGATCATCTCGGTTTTCTTCATCATCATCATTCAGGTTTTTTTCTCTTCAATAGAAAAAAAAGATAAATTAAATCCAGAAAAAAACATATTATACATCATCATCTTCATCATCATCATAAAAAATCAACACCAAAACAAAATTGAGGGCCATACATCATCATCAAATCTATTTTTTTTATATGGTCTCTGTATGTAGTGGTAGTGGTGTGTGTGTATGTTTGGTGAAATATTTATGGCCATTTTTTTTTGGACGATGATGATGATGATGATGAAAATAATTTAAATGTTTTCGTGTTTCTGAATTTAAGATTTTTTTTTAAATTTCGGAAAAAGAGATAGAAAGATTTGCAGGAATCGATTTTCAATTCAAATGATGATGATGAAGATGATGGGCGAAAATGTCATTAATTTTTTTTCACACACACACACACATGGTAATTAAATCCTTTCGATTCGTTAATCCATTCGAAAAAGTTTTTTTTTCAAATTCAGAATATGTGTTGATGCGTGAATGAATAAAATGAATTTTGAATTGAATTTGAATTTTCCAAAAAAAAAGTCATAAAAAATCAAATCAAAGACAAAAACAGTTCATAAATTAAAAATTCATGAATAAATTTAAATGGATGACCATATGACCATGACCATTGGCACAGCTAAATTTGAAAATTTATAATACATGCATAATACATACCTGTGTCATAAGACGATCAGCACCGGTACCTTCTTCATCTTTAAACAATATATCTTGGTTATAATTTGGAACCAATTCTTTAAAACGACGATGATTACGTGTAATTGGACCTTCGTTTAGGCCACTAGCACCTAATGTATTTTCCGATACATTTGGTACATGTTGTTTGAATACTAATGGTATTAATTTACGTGGACTACGGCGTCGTGATCCACCACGTCCTGGACCACATGACATTGTTAATTGTGATTGTTGTATTATTAACATTATGATTATTATTATGGACATTAATTGTTGTTGATGATCAATAATCGATATCGTTGATGATGATGATGATGATCTTGACCTATGATGATATGGCCTATGATGATTTTGATGATGATGATGATGACTATTTAGTTGATGTTGATTTGATTTTTGTTGAGATCTTTTCATTTCAAACATAAATGATAATGGTAACAACCATATGATGAATTTCAATGTATCGATCATTTTCAATCTAACATTTATTATTATATCATTTGATTTGGTTCTAATTTCATTCAATTTATTATATTGATGATTTGTTTCATTATCGATCATTATTATTGATCTATTGCATTGATTATCATTATTATATTATGATGATGATTTTGATTATTATTGATGAAATTTGATGATTTTTGCCATATTTGTTGATCATGATAATGATCATTGATGGCAATATTATCGTTATTCGTCATTGTTTCAATGTTATTTTTTTTGTTATCGATAATCATCATCATCATCATCATGGTTAATGATGTTGATTATGAATTTTATTAGTGAACCAAGAATTCACAATGTTTGTGTGAATACAGATCTAGTAAACAAAAAAAAATTAACCTTCGAACTTTATCAATGATGATGATGATGTTTATATAAATAAAATTGATGCTGATCGATTGATTTTGGTTGAGATTTCAAAAAATAAGTTGTGATAGGTGATGAGAAACAAGCAAAGCAAAAAAAAAATAGTTCAAAGTTGAACCATATTGATTTTTGCATTTGAAAAATAATTAACAACGACGACGATGATCATTAACGTTTTGAATGGATGATTGGAATCATTAATGATAAGATGATGATGATGATTACAAACAACAAAAATGGACAACAAAACTTTGAATTTGAATCAATTCAATCATTTTACTCCAAAAGTCTGTTGTCGTTTGTTGTTGTTGTTGTTGTTGTGGATTCGATTGAAAACAAATCAATTTTCAAACGTCATCATATCACTCAACAAACACATCACACAAAATGGTAACAAGTGACAAAGATTATGATGATGAATGTCGATCAAAAAAAAAAAATTGAAATCAATCATGGAACCAGCCAACCAACCAACATACACACACACACACACATATGCAACAAAACCAGAAAAGAGGAACCTGTTTAAAAAGACTCAATAATAATCCAGAAACAAACCAAAAAAAAAAAATCACCATCGGTAACCACGAAACACACACTTGAATATTAACCGAAAAAAAAGAAAACCGACACGTACAAATAAATCAGCAGAAAGAAGGCAGAAATTTTTTTTTCTGTTTGATTTTAACTTCTAAATAAAAATTGTGTTAAACGTCATCGTCTTGGTTTTGCAAATTTCTTGTCGTCGTAGTTTTTTTTTATTTTGATGTAATGTCTAGGGGCCGTGTAAATATTTACATAAATGAACAAGCACACACACACACACACATACAGACAAGCACACCGGTGGTATTGGCTGATTTTGTATTTTCAGAATCAATGAAAAATAAAACAAATTTGGTTGCTAAAATGATGATGATGATGATGATTATTATTGCTGCTGTTGTTGATTTTTTTTCTGTATTTTATTTTGCAAGTTAACAAAACAGTTTGTCGGACTTTTTGAACGATGATGATGATGACGGTGGTGGTGGTGGTGGTGATGGCGGTTTTGATGGTCATAAAACATAACACAAAATAAAATCTTTGTTGTTGTTGTTGTCGAAAAGAATTTAGTTGGTTTTTATCATCACTTTATTAAAAAAAAGTGGCCGAATTCATTCATTTAAAGAATTGATGATTCATAATGATCACAAAAAAGAGAGAGAATTTAGGTGTGAAATGAATTCAATTATCATTCATTCACCTTTTTTCAAAATGAAGAATTTTTTTTCAGTCTTGATTCGATTCTAGGCTAATGATAATGATAATAATAACAATCGTCAAATAAACACACACGAACAAGAAAATTTACCTGTTTTTTTTGCTATCATTTCTACTATTTTGAATGGTTAAATTGTTTTCTTTTCTCTTTTTTTCTCTCTCTCTCTCTCCTCGTTCTCACTCATTCAATATCAATATCATTCAGTTGTGTTTTTTTTTTTCATTTCTTCAAAACCTGTTGACAATGTATTTGAATCAATCATTATCAACAAGTGTTTTGTTTGTAAAAAAAAATATATAAAAATATTCTAGCCAATGAACTAGCAAATGGTCAAATTGAATGAATGTTGTGTGCTGTGTGTTATGTATGTGTAACAAGTGAGAAAGGCGTGGCCATCATGATAATTTCACCAATTATGATTGGATATTATTTAACTAGCCACAATTGAATGTGAATAGTTCAAGCTCCGCCTGTTTTCTTCTATTTCTAAGCAGCATATATTTGTATATATTCGGGAATTTGGATTGTTGTTGAATAAAAATTTTTCTCATTTTCATATCAGAATCATTTTACACCAATTGATAATGGATGATTAGAATGTGTACAAGAAAAAAAGAGAATCATCATTCATCTATGCTTCTCTCATCGTATTTTTTTTTTTTAGGTTTAAATTGAAAAATCCTAAAAAAAAAAAAAGAAATCAAAAACACAAACATACCACCAGTGAATTCCGGAAACTTTTCGGCTAACCAAAAAACCACCAAATTATAATGATCAAATTTTTTTTCTCATTGGATAATCTGAAAATCAAACAATGAAAACAAAAAATTCAATTAAAATGTAAATTTTGTCGTTGTTGTTGTTGTTGTTGAAAAAATTTGTAAAGAATTTCAAAAAACGAAATAAATAGATGAACAACAACAACAAAAAATGAGATAAATAGCGCCCGACACACACACACACACACACACACACACACACAGATCGATTTCATTCAAATAATTCAATAAATAGAAAAAAAATTAATTTGAATCAAATCTAATCGGATTTTCCACCACTATATAATGCCGATAAAACAAACATGCTCCTCCGCCCTTCTAGTCCATTTTGACCAGATTTTTTTTCAATTTTTTTTATTCAATCAAACAATTTGTTTGATCAATATCTAATTCACAACCACCACCGATAATAGTGTGTCACCTATTTAGTGATTGGTCATTTTTTTTAAACGAAAATTCAATTTTTCAGCTCAACAAATTCCACAACAACAACAACAACGAAAAACCGATTATTTGACAATTGAAAACGATAACAAATCGGTTTTCACTAGCAGAGAGAAAAAAAATTTGTAAAGTTTTCATGAATGGGGTTTTTAAGCAAAAGAAAAGAAAAGAAAAAAAATTCTTGAAATAACTTGAAAAAGAAACCACCAACCGCCTTATTTTCTGATCCAAATTTAAATTTGATGATGATCCATAAATGACACACACACACACACACACACACACACTCAAAACTTGGGTTGCCGCCGCCACCAACATTTTGTGGTGGTTATATCAATTTTAAGTTGTAAACCATCATCATCATCAGCAAATAATAAGTATATATAGATATACAGCTGTGGCTGATCCTGCCAAGTTAGCCATTCAGCCAGCCAGCCAGTCAGCCAGGTAGGTCCGAATAAAATTCAATATATCAATATCAATATCAATTTCTCGCTATGGGTGATCTCATCACCCAAACAATAAAAACAACAACAACAACAACAACTTGTTGCGGTTGGTTGACCTATTGTCTGTGTGTTTGGTCTTCTTGTCAAAACAACAATTTTTTCCAATACAATACAAACAACAACAACAATAGAAGCACCCACACACACACACACATACACAGGTATCATTTTTGGTCACTATTTGATTGAATAAAATTTTTTTTTGTTCGAACAACAACAACAACAACAAGGGACCCAAGTTGAAAATGGTGAAAAAAAAAATTTTGAATCGAATCGAATTTGTGTGTTTACAGGTATGTTTTTTTTTGGTCGGTTGGTTGATTCGTTGGTTTGCAACCATCACCAATGAAATAATATCAATTATTGAACCAAGAAAAAAAACCGACTTGTAATGTCGATGATCATCATCGTTTAATTCAATTTTATTTAGATTTGAAATTGAAATTTTAATTGAAAAATTGAAATATCTGGAAAATATCGAGTTGACGCCACAAAACAAAACATGTGCGCATGTGTGTGTGTGTGTGTGTGTGAATTCAATTTGAAAATTTTTTTTTTTTAAACGAAAGAATTTCTAGAAGAAAAAAAAATTTTTTTTTTTAAAAAAAAGCTCAACCCAAATATCCTTCAGGCCATCAGATTTCATGTGTCGTTCATGGTGGTGGTTGTGGTGGTGGCGGCCCTTGTTGGACAACAGAACAGCAATTGAAATTGAAATCTTTTTTTTTTTTTTTGGTACAATTCTTGTATGGACCATTGGGTGCACAATACCACCACCACCACCCATCTTTCTTGCTTCAATAAAAAAAATAATGTGATGATGATGATCATCCATCACACAAAAACACAGTAGAAATACAATTGTATACCATATTTAAAGTAGCAGCTCATCATCATCATTATTATTATTACCTAAAAATTATTGTTATTATCACCATTATTATAAAAAAAAAAAAAAAAAACGAAAACGAGAAAAGAAGAAATATTCTAAATGGTAGGGTGCCCAGTCAAAAAAAAACGAAAGAGCCCCTGCTGATTATTATTAGCAGTTTCTAGTAGTTCTGATTCGTTGATTATAGTAGACAGTGTATATTTGCTTCATTCATTCATTCATTCATTTTATTCAATCATCATTTTCACCATCATCATCACTATTGCCACCTCTTTCAATTGTCTTTGAATGATCAGAAAAAGAAATTTTAACCAAAATCTAATTTGATCTGATAAGAAATCTTTGAACTGCAAAAAAAAACCACACACATGATGATAATCGGGTTTTGATGATGAAAAATCAATGAATACTCGTTCGATTCTAACTAATAGTTATTCTGATTAGAATTATGGCCCGAATTTTTTTCTCTTCATCCTATGCGATGGTCAATGATCATTTAATTTGTTGTAATTAAATTTTTTTTTGTTAATTTAGTTACCCGAATTATATGATTACTAGACGCAACGCAAACACACACACACAGACAGAAACAGACATTAATAAACAAAATGTTTTTCAACAACAACAACAAGAAATTTTACGGCAAAAAAACAACATCTGTACCTGTGTGTGTGTACAAAAAGGTGTCGTCGGCCTTCACAAAAAAACGAACAAGGAACAACAAGAATTTCTTCCATCAAAATCATTGAACAAGAGTCGTAATTTGTTTTCTTCTTCTATTTTTATATATACGACAAACATCGTAAAAAAATTTGAAATTTTGTTCATTTCGGTTTTGCAGCGCTTGATCATCATCATCATGATAATAAAAAAATTTTCGGCAAATTTTTTTCTGGTTTTGTTTTTTGATTTCAGCAAAAAAAAAATTACAATGTTTGAATGAATGAATCGATAGATATGGATGTGGAATGAAAAGAATGTAAATGTTTTATGTGTTCATTTCGATTGTGGTTGTTCAATGTTTGGCCAAAACATTTACGATTATAGCTGAAGCTGGTCAATAAAGGATGGATGAAAAACACCAACCAATCAACCAAACATAAAAACCTCTCAGAGTCATTTAAACATGAAAAAAATCACAAACGAAAAAAAAAAAAACAAATTTTCATTTTTAATAAATTTGAAAAAGCAAATTGTAAAAAAAAATTCCTAATTATAACAAATACACAATGTGTGTGTGTGTGTGTGTGTGAGAGTAGAATTCTGTGAATATTCTTGTTTTTTTTGCAAAAAAAAAGAAATCAATCAATCTATGGACAAATCAATCAAATAATGTGCCTAAATTTCACAATAAATGAGAAAAGAGAGAGAGATAAAGAGAAAATTGAAAAAAATTTTTAAATTTTTAATCTGTTACAGCAACAGTGGCCGCAGACTCATTGGTTTCCAATACAAAACAATGGTTTACATGGATGTTCAAATGATAATATAAATCAATAGGAAAATTTATTCGTTTCTGTACGCAATTTTTCCATCAATTCAGTAATCATTTGAATACTGTTATTATATAATTCTTTTAAATGGGCAACTTTATTCCAAAAATTTGGTTGATCCGAATTATCACTGGCTTCTTGTTTGGCCATTCGTAATTTTGCGCTCAATTGTAGACGATTTTCTTCTTCATCTTGTAATGACATGATCAATGTGGCCAAATAATCATGACCAACATGGCGAAAATATTTCGATACATCAATCATACCGTTTGTTATGCGTTTAAAATCTTTAGTTGCATCCGTTACTAGTTGACGAAATTTTGTTGGATTACAATTTGATTGATTGCCCATGTAGATTTTATATGCTCTATATATTTTGAATAGAGAAAAATCAATAAAAAATTTTTAAAAAAAAACCAGAAATCAATAAAAAAAACCTACTCATCAAATATTTTAAATGAATGTTCACGTTCCTCTTGTAATTGAAATACTTTTTGTATCATATGAAATGTTTCGGCATCACAACTCTATTATGAAATAATGATGATGATTAAAATTAGTGAATTTTTTTTTTTCTTTTGAACAAAATTTGTATTACCATGATTGATTCGGTTTATGTTTCGAATTTCGGAATAAAATCAATGAAAATAAATAAACTCTCTACATATAAATGGGGAAAAAAATGGATTTTATTAGAATATTTAAATAGATGGATGGACAAAAATTATTACCAGAATTTAAATTGTTTCAATACGTTTTTTTGTTGTTGTTGTTGTTCCCGTTTAAATCCGCAGATGATCCAAATAATGAGTGTGTGTGTGCGAATGGATCAAGTTACTGCTTTTGTTTCGTATGAAAATAAACTACGTTGATAATGATGATGATGGAGCAAATAAATAGCGAACAAAGAGAGAGAGAACGAAAAACGTGCTTTGTTGGCCAATAATGGAACAACAACAACAAGTGGCAGTCGAGGTTGTGGTGGTAGCAAACACACAGTGGTAAATAATAATAAAAGTATTGAATTCGTCAAAATGTCGAGAACGAGAAACAAGAAATATTTTGTTCGTTGCTATGCAAAAAAAAAATTAAATGGCGAATAGGAAAAAACAACGACGACGACGACGACAATGATGATGATGATGACTTGTCAGACCAGCAAGTCTTGTTTTAGTTTAGTTGGTTTGAATTTGGAAATCGAATCGATTAATTATTAATGGATCAATGTGAATATGAATAATTTGAATAATTAAATGCATGCATTAGCCGGCAAACAGACAGAAAAACGGCATGGTTAATATATTATCATACGCACACACACACACACACACACACATAAAGCAATGGCAGTGGTGGTGGTGGCACGACATTTTTCAATGTTTAAAAAAAATGATTTAACATTGACTGACAAAGTTTCTTGCTTTTCATCATTTTTTTTACTAACCATTAATGATGACGATGACGATGATTTCTATGTTTGATGTATAAAAAAAATGAAATAATGTTGATGATGATGATGATTTCAATATATATCATTTATATGTATTGAACTGTATAGATTAAATTTTTTTCCTCTCATTGATTTCATAGTCATCATTCGACCGATATGATTGTAAAATCGATAGAAGAAGAAGGAGGAAAAAAACGGATTTCATTCTATCAATCAATCATTAATCAATAAATCATTGCTGAGCCAAAAGCAAGCACAACAACAACAACAGCAATATAATAATATAATATAACCGGCTTTAAATTGATTAATAAATCAGGATGATGATAAACTTGTTAAAACTTGTTGAGCAAACGTTTTTTCGCTGTTTACAAGTTTTATCCGGTTAATTTATTTTAATGTTTGTATATATTAATTTGAAAAACAGAAAGGGATAGAGAAATGATTTATTCTGGATTTTAAAATTAGTTCTAAAACTTTTTTTAAATTGAATTTAAATTGAAGAAATTTGAATTTGAAAAAATTCAATTCACCTGTTGATCATTATGAAACGTCATCTATGAACAGGGTTTAACATGATGTTTATTTTATTTGGCTCTTTTTATAAAATTCAGGCATTTGGATTGGTTTTTTTTCTGTTTTATAAACAAAAAAATGGCCGAAAATGAACAGAAAATATTGACACCAAAAGATAAACAAATATTGGATCAGAAAATTCGATCGAAAAAGAAACAATTTATACGTTTTTTACAAAGTAATCAAAATTGTTTACCATATTGTACAACGATTACGAATGAATTTCAAAAAGAATTGGAAACAAAAATTGAAAAATTGATTGCCAATAAGAAAAAAGAAAAAGACGAAAAGCTTGAAAATGCATTGGAAGAATTTGAAGATGAACCAAAAAAGTTAAGACAATTGAAACATCAATTGAATCGTAAAGCTATTAAATTTCCTGAAATAATATTCGGTCTGAATGAAACATTTAAAATGATTGAACGTAAACAAATATCGATGATATGGTTGGAGGAAAAATCATTGGCAATGAATATAAAGAATATCATACAGAAATTATGTGCCGATAATCAGATAATGTGTTTGATTTTTGAATTGAAAAATTTAAAAACACTTTTCAATGTTTCTTCATTGGCCATCATGGCTTTCAAACAAACAATAACAGTGGCCGAATCTCAATTCAATGAAATCTATTCATTTGTACGCATGAATCGATTGACAAAACCTATTGAAACACAGCCGGATAAAAGTGAAGAAAAATCGTCAGCCAATATTCAAACAACAATTAAACAAATTATCGAATCAAAACCATTCAAATTAAATCCAAATAATTCAAATGATCAATATGGTGAAATGATGAAAAAACGTCTCTTTAATGGTAGCCAATCGGAATCATTGAATCATCCCGCAAAAGATAAATTGGAATTTGTACGAAATGAATCATTTATTGCTTTTACCACCAACAATGATGATGATGATGACGATGAATATTTTCTTGATTATAACAATAAACAACAATCATTCAAATTGGAAATTGAAATTATATGGCCAGATCAATCACATATTGAACAACGTAGACAATCATCAAAAAATTTTGCTATTCAATTATATGAATTAGATCAATTTGATGAAAATTCAAAAATTGAACCATCAAAAACAAATTTACAATTTAAAACACCAAAACAAATCAAAGGACATTGTGATGAATCATTAATGGGTGGTGGTGGTGGTGATAAACGAAAACGAAAAATTGATAAACGTCGAAAAAGAAAAGAATCTATACAAAATAAGAAGAAAAAGAATTGATATTTTTATTTTAGATTAAAAATAGAAAAAAAAATTAAATCAATCATCATTATAATCATTATCTTCATCATCATCGTCCAAATCGGAAATGCCATGATTATCATCATCATCATCACCATTGGCAACATTATTATCATCAACAATAGTAACATCGATTTCTTGATTCGTGTTTACATTTTCAATTGAATGTCGTTTCCGTTGTTGTTGTATTGGTGTTGTTGTTATTGATGATAATGATCGCTGTGTACGTGGATTATTTTCATCATCATTCTCTACGATTGATTGATTTTTACCTTGTGATGCAAGTTGTAGATTTTGTATAATTTTTTTGAATAATAAAATACATTTATCCTGTCTGCTTCGGACTGTATTATTGTTTCTTTGATAACGTTGTCGATATTCATCAAATTGTTTGATTAAATCCAATAAATCCAATTTTTCAATACATTTATAATCAATGATTCGATCAATAAATTTCAAATTCAAATGAATCAAATCTTTTTCTGATGTCAATGTAAATATTTCCATTGCTTTACTAACCAAATTATTACGTTGATCATCGTTTGTACAAGCATCGACCATATCGACAACCATTTCATATGAATTCAAATTAGTTACATCGTTTTCCATTAACATCTTGAAACATTGAACATATGCATCATTGAATGGGCTGTTTTTTGTTTTGAAATGATCAAAAAAGGCTTCAATATTTTCACTATAACGATGAAAGAATATTCGTAGAAAATATTTTGTATCGGTTGTGATATTCTTATAAGTAATAAATATGATCATTAATTTGGCAAGAAAATCCGATGAACTAAAACGACCAATGTAAAGAATTTTACATAGACCACGAACCGCTATATCGAATAGATCATATTCGATACGAGTTTTTGGACGTTTCTTCATTATAGCCGGTTCCATAGATGGTTCCACCAAAAAATCCAATAACATTTCCGAAAAAAATTCGAAAAAGTTTTCATAACGATTTGAAACATCATGACTGTTATTCATACTATTTGATTGATTACGAATGCTTGAATTGTCTGAATCAACAAAATTTATCTTTCTCAAACCATAAAAGCCAACAAAATCGAATATATATTTTAGTGCTTCAACTCTAGCATCTAGATAATTTTCTTCTTTAAGAATTTCAATGAACACTTTGAGAAAAGAATTGATTGTAACAACCGATTGGAAGCAATAATTGCCCAAAGCTTTTACCGATAATAAACGAATTTTCTCACTTTCTGGATGTGCTAAATTTTGTAATACAAGTTTATTGACCAATCCACGCAGACTTGATAATGTATCGCAATTTTTTGGTCCACCAACATGAAGAAATGAATTACAAATATTGATACATCTTTCCAAAATTTTTGGATCCTATTCTCACCACATATATATAGGAAAGGGATAAGTAAAATTGAATAAACAAACAAATTATCATTTACTTACCGTTTCGATTCTTTCTTGTGGATTCAATTGTGATGTTGGTATCAATTGTTGTTCATTTGTTTGTGATTGATAATCACTATTCATTGGCTGAGACTGTGACTGTGTTTGTATACGATCACAATGTAATTCAGGCAAATTGATAGTATTGATCAAATCTAATGCCAATTCCAATAATTGTTGCCAATCATTTTGAAAATAATTATTGAAAATAATAAATATTGGTTCTATGTAATCATTGAGCATTGTATAGAGATCATCATTCAATATGATTGAACGAAATGTTCGTTCAATACGATTCCATTGTGCTGTATCGCTAATTTTATACAATTTACCAATGTTAAGTGATTGTTGAAAAATGAAATTCAATTCTTTATGACGAAAAACAATTTTAGAAGATTGTGATTGATCATCATTCTTCTGTTGGCTATGCAACGAAATAGTATTGTTGACAAAACTAAATGGTAGGGATGGAAAAAAAATTGGAAATTTATTATTTTTCAAATTATTATAAAAATAAACAATTTATTTATATAATTACCTTTCAATGTAATCACAATAAACAGGAATGTCGGGAAAAATATCATCCAATAGATCGTTGATGATGAAATTTTGCCGTTGTGATAATTCACCATTAGCATTATCATCATCATAATCATTGTTTTGTGAAATAGGCATTGATTTTTTATAGGTGATATTATTTTCTTTTGAAAAATTACAAAGTCTATACCACAAATAAACACATTCTTCTTTTGGTAAAATTATCGATGGAAATTTATGTTCATTCATACATTTTTGTTTAAAACGAAATACCAATTGATGGAATTCAGTGATATCATCTCTTTCAACAATTTTCAATAATGATTGAAAATAATCATCCAATAATGTATTGAAAAAATCTGTTTCGTTACGTATGTCAAAATATTCCAAGAATCGAATAATATCATCGTTAACATCAGAAATCCAAGTTGGTAATAATTTCTTAATGATAATATTATTTATCTGATTACTAGGATCAGTATGGCCATTGATCAATAATTGTAAACGATCATTGGCAGAAAAATTATTTGCACAACTATTTTCAGCAATCTTTAGATATGCTAAACGTCTAACGACATCATCTATATCACGTGTTGCATTATAAATGACTTCGATTGTATTGGAATAAAGTCCGATCGTTTTCATTGCAACCGAACGAACAAATGAATCAGGATCATATTGTAGATGGAATTTCAATATTTTTATGGCTTCATCATCATCATTATCATCATCATTATTAATATTTTGAAGTTTTCGTAAACACAACATAATTAATGAACGAACACATTTGTCTTTATCAATACTTCGTTTACGAAGTTCTTTCAATACTTCAGCAAATGTATTTTCATCCACTTCTTCAAGACTATCAATCGTTTTTCTTAAAAGCAATACAGAATTACGACGTACAAATACATCATCAGCTTTAATAAATTTTAGCAGATAATTTCGTATAAATAAATCTACGGTGGTTGGTTCTGAAATAAAACGTGTATCGATAATAGTTTTGTCACGATCAAAACACTCCTCACCAATTTCATCATCAAAATCACTTGCATCATTATTTATTTCAGAATTGATTGTTTCATCACCACGAGCAATTACATTATCAATACGTTTTCTTTCATATTCTTCTTCGAAAAAGATTATCTCTTTGAATATTAATGCAATAAAATCTAATGCACGTTTTGTGTATGGTGATGAATTGTTACAAACCAAAACATTTTTCATAATTTCAATAAATGTTGCCATAAAATTTTCAAAATTTTCATTATCGATAAACTAAATATAATTAGAAGATTGGATTTTAGAACATTTATCAAGATTTCATCATCATCATCATCATCATCAATAAAACATACCCATGATTTATAGATTTTCATAAATTCTTTGACATTTTTTTTAGAATTTTTTAAATGCTGAGATTCGTTAAAAATTTTGGCCAATTCATTTCGTAATGATTCAACATTGAAATTGATTGAATTTTGAGCCATAACTAACACAATTATAATAATTGTAATTATGGTGAAAATGATAAAAGTAAAAATTGATGAAAAGTATATTAAACTAACGAAAAAGTGAGAGCTAAAATGAAAAAAAAGAAAAAGTTCGACACACCCTCGAAACTGAGGAGTGAACAAGAAGCATAGAAAATAGTTACGAAAAAAATGAGAGAAAATTTGTACAGCCAAAGTAACAATGTTGGAAGCATAGAAATGAACGGTCAGAATTCTCAAAAAATCAGGTGAGTCGCTTTGGGCGACTTAGCCGATGGTATCGCAATTTTTTTCGATTGTTTTTAGTTTCAACAAATCACGTGACTTTCATGACAATCGATAGTATGCAGATTTTTTTTGATTGTTTCATTAAACGATTGTTTTATTGATTTTCGGAATAAATCCGGAAATTAAAAAATTATTATAAGATAAAATAAAAAATAAAAATTCAAATTAAAAGTTTCAAATTGATAAAACGGTCGAATTTTGAGGTACAATCAATGTAATTTGCATTTGTTTACATTGATTGTGATACCGTTTTGTTGTAATCGGTCGAAAACCATTTTAAGATGCTCTTTATGTTCATTTTCATTGGTGCTGGCTACCAAAATATCATCTGAATTCTGATAATCCAATCGAGGCCTGCGAATGAAAAAGATAATTAGAATCAGAATTAATAGAAATTCAATAATTTACATTTATTTCGAGAATCTCCATTCGATTATCCATATCCTCAGAAATGATGGTGATGAAAAGTGGAGATGGTCAGACAAATGGCCAGATTGACTTATTGATGATTCGGCGATCTTGCAGGAACATTTATTGATGTCTAAGAAAAAGAATTGTAATTAGAATCTGAGTTGATAAAAATTCAATCATTTACCATTAATCCAGAATGTTGTATTCCTCTATGATGATGTTCAATATTTTATAGTTATGATCTGAAATTAGAATGTGAATGAGAATTAGAATAAGTCACGTTGAAATAAAGAAATTTACCATTAATTGATCAAAATCATGACAATTCTCTGACACAAATTCAAATTAAAAGCCACAAATTGATGAAACGGTCGAATTTTTGAGATAAATTATAAAATGAAGCCAGAGAATTTGGATAATCCAATGGATGCCTGTGAATGGAAAAGATAATTAGAATCGGAATTGATAAAAATTGAATAATTTACATTTATTTCAAGGGTCTTCACTCGGTTATCCATATTCTGGTAAATGATGATGAAGAAAAGTTGAGATGGCCAGATTGACTTTGACTGATTGATCATTCGGCGATCGTGCACTTGTTAATGTCTAACAAAAGAAATGGTAATTAGAATATGAGTTGATGAAAATTCAATCATTTACCATTCATCCAGAATGTTGTGCTCATCTATGATTTTCATTATTCCCAAGTTACGATCTGAAATTAGAATGTGAATGAGAATTAGAATAAGTCACGTTGAAATAAAGAAATTTACCATTAATTTAAAGATTCGCCTGAATATCCAGATCCTTTGATCAGAGCGATGAGAATTCGAATCCATCGAAATGATTTATTTTCATGTAGCCAATGTGTGTGACGGATGAATGTGGCAAAGATTGAACTTGATCGTCAATCAATAATTATGATTCATTGATTGAACATTTCGAGACAGAGATGAGCATTTTGATGAAAAGTCGATTGGTACAAAAATCAATCAAGTGAATAAGTCAAAGTGGCCAAGTCAAAGTGGATGTCAAGAATCAAACATGTCAACAAGTGGCCGAGTTCAAATTGGCAAGTCGAGATAACAGTCAATAAATAAATAAGTCAAGTTATGTACGCATATGTTTCGACTAATCATAATGTTCATCTCTGTCTTGAAAAGTAGCATCATTGAATCAAAACGTTCAAAAGAGACCAAGTTCAAAACATGCCTTTGAATTTCTTGATGATAATTTTACATCTTCAGAGTTTTGACTAAAAACCTGAAAAAAATGAAGAATAATATGGAAAAAATTATGTATTTCCATAACTGACCTTTTGTTGACAACAATTATCATTATGAGAAATCGGAATGATTGATAGATAAGAATATTGATGGAATACACTTGATTATAATGGCTCAATATTAATTATTTCACGAGTTTTTTCTTCGTAACAATCTCGAGGTATTTCATTCAGCGAATCTTGAGTCAAGAAATCATATTTTTCAAATTTGGTAATCAAGTTTCTGAAACTCAATTATAAAAAATGTCAGATTGAAGCTTTTAACGAAATGTTATACTTACTGAAAAATCGGGAATGGCTAAAATTTGCGAGTGTGGATTTTCAATGAATAATCGATTGATAATCCGAGTTGACTGAAATTCGATCAATTGATTTTGAATTTTCAATTATTTTCAACGTTGGAGAGAGTTATGATCTGATCGGGAGGATAAGAAAATAAGAAAAAGAATAAGTGTTGTTGAAAATAAATTGATTACCATCAATTGAAGATTCATTCGAACCATTGATCAAAACGATGAAAATTGAATCCATCCTATTGATTGATTTTCGTGTTGACAATGATTGTACTTGGTCGCCAATCAATAATTTTAATTCTTAAGAATTTCCTTACGAAAGTTGTTAATGTTGCCTTTCAAAGTCTTTCGGTAAAAATTCATGACAATTCAACATTCATATCTTCAGTTTTGACTTGATGTTTTTCGTAAAGAAATTTCTTCCGAATTGGCATGGTTTGTCAAAGTTCATTGCTCAGATTGAAAAATGAGAATTAGAAGGGTTGTTGTTAAAATAAAGAAATTTACCATCATTTGAGCTTGAAAAAGATTCATTTGAATATCCAGATCCATTAACCAGAACGACGAAAATTAGAAATGATTCATCTTCATGCGAGCAATGATGAACGATGAATGAGGCACTGATTGAAAAATGAAAAATATCAAAAAAATCCGGTATTTACATAACTTACCTCGTGTTCACAATAATTCTACTCGGTCGTGATAAATTGGATCAAGTTAGAAGAGTAGATTGATGGAATGTAATTCACCGATTGGATAAAGAGCCATTATTCGTTCAATATAAACTTTGAGAAAATAAATACTTTTTCTTTGACTGTCAATTTCGATGATTTCGGCCAATATAAATGAATCTTGGGCAAGGGAATTAAATTGCTCAAATTCGGTAATCAAAATTCTAAAACTCAATTAAGAAATGCCAGATTACCTTGCTAACGAAATGTTATGCTCATAGGAAACAATGAGGGTTTTTTTCGGGATTTTTTTTCGGCATTTTGAGAGAGCACCAACAATGAGAATGGCCAGAATTCGCCGTTGTAGTTTTTCGGTAAAAATGATCATCGATTGATTAGGTCTTTATCAATTGATTTAGTCGTTAAAGCATTCGAATCAATTTGAAGTTTCAAGCCTTTGTTTAATTCGTTTCATTGAAATGGTCGTCAATTAAGTCTCAATGTGACCCTGATATGATCATCGATCAGTCATTTAGAATAAATTTTTGATTATTCATTTATCAAAATTGGAACAGGTTTCATTATGTTCTATGAGGTTATTAGGAAAGATGATGATAAAACAATACCTTTCCAGCCTTGAAAAGTGGTTGTCTAAATTGAAACAAAAATGGAAATTCGGTTGAAATTTATTAAATTTTTGTTCTTACTTAACTTTAGAAATAAATCCAGTTGATCGGTTTGATTATCGGATTCCAACAGTTGAAAAAAATTGATGAATATTGCCATGATTCATCATTTAATTTGAGTCTTTCTTGAATATGAATTTACGAAGTCAAAATTCACGAAATTAAAATTTGCACATGCAAGCAAAATTTCGAACTCGAAAACGAAACGGTCAAATCACTTGTTCGAATCATTTGCGCGGGATTCGGTGCACTCGTTGCCGTTCATAAAGGTTGTTACGCATTTTTTGCATATTGATTTGAAATTTTTTTAAGTTTGATTTATAAATATTTTTATTTTATTTTGAAATTCTTCAATTTATTTTATTTTTTTATAAGTAAATATAAATAAATCAACGAATCTCAATAAACAAAACTTTTATATGTCAAAATTATAAGGATGAAGATCAATATAACAATGAAACAAAAATGAAAATGAATTATATTGGATAGAAACGATATAACGATGGCAATTGACATTATAAATGTTGAAATCTACCCATAAATAACGATGATGACAACGTACATCGGAAATCCATATCCAAATTTTGTGATGGAGTAATAAGATTGACATAATGGTCGATCAATCGATTTTTATGACTTCTCCCAGTCCGTCGATTGCTTCAGTTGATTAAACGAAAATTCCTTTTCTTCGTAAAAATGAACTTCAGCGGGATTGAAAAAGATGATGATTGTCGCAATAGTTTTTTGATTGATGGTCACAAGCATAATTGAAAAATCGTGGACCCATTATGTCGGCGAGTCCGGCCAACCACTTTGAACCCATGGATCTCCTTTTATCAATCAAGATGAAATTCATGATTCGTTGTTTTATAAGGTGAATCCATGGGCCCAAAGCAGTGACCGGACAATATGTCTGTGCCAAAGTTTGGGCCGGTTAGGAATGTCAATATGTTAATTTAAGATCATATATATGTAATAATTTACGATGATCTCGACATCATCGTAATGATTGTATCGATGATAATACGTTCGCAGCTATGGTTGAGGATTGGACACTATTGAAATATAAAGCTTTATTGATCAAGTATACGTAGATCATAGATCCCAGATACTCGATGGATAATGATAATTTGGGATGGGTTTAAATACTAAATTACAATCAATTAGAAACATTAATCAGGTTATAACATTCATTAAAAAATAATTAATTTGTTCCAAGTTTGACAAGTTTGTTTATTACAATGCATCAATACAGCATTTTCTTGTCATGAATCACTGTTTATCATCCAGGCAGTTTGGTTTTTTACCTCAACAATATGCGGAATTGGCTCTAAAGTATGCTGATACAATTCATTCAATTCATAGAATGGACATCGCTGGAATTTAACTTTTGATGCCGCTAGATATATTATTCTTGGAAACTTGAGAAGTTTTTCTGTTCCGCCAAATATTTATGCTATTATTGTTGATTACTTTCGTGATCATTTGGTTGAATTGCCATTGATAGATCATACGTCTTCTAAAATTGCTACTGGTGGAACTCCACAAGGTGGGAAGATTTCACCATTATTGTGGAATGTTTTATTGGATGATTTATTAAAGCTTATGCAGATGATTGTTTACTAATTTGTGAACATCGTGATATTGAAATTTGTGCAACTTTGACCAACAATGTTTTGGCAATGATTTCAGATTGGGGTACTTATAATGATCTGGTCTTTAATCCTGTTAAAACGAAGTGTATGCTTATTACAAAACGCCGTAAATTTAATTTGCCACAAATTACTATGAATGGCCATTTGTTAAGTTTGGTGTCCAGTATGAAAATTCTTGGTTTGGTTATTGATTCAAAGCTTACTTGGAATGGTCATATTGATTTTGTTGATTTTGTTGAATCTAAGGCACTAAAAATTTATAATTTTATCAAACGTAAATTTGGTTCCAGATGGGGTCTTTCTTATGATGTGCTACGTACAGTTTATCTTCAAACTGTTGAACCAAGGATACTTTACGCTTGTCCTGTGTGGAGAAGTGTTTTATGCAATGTTACAAAGCGGAACCGATTACTGAGTTTACAACGTCGCTTTGCCGTTGGTATGATTCGAGCGTATCGAACTGTATCGTTGGAAGCATCTTTGGTGATTGCTAATATTGTTCCGATCGATTTGAAAATTCAGTTTTGGTGTGAAGTTTTTGATGCTAAAAATTATCCTTCTTTGATGTTTGGTTCTTATCAATTACCATTAAAATATGCTGATACAATTCATCCGGCTTTGATCACCTCTTTTGATGTCCACGGAATTAATGATGGCATTATGGAATTTTATTGTGCTAAATTTCATTTTAACGCAATTCGTTTCGAATCACGGAAATTTTGGCGAATACCTATCCCGTTTTGGCCTGAATAATTCTGATTGTTCATTTTGCTCCTCATCGATGCAGTCCTTGTTGCATTTGTTGCTCGAGTGCCCTGCTTTCCATTTGGAGAGATTCCGTTCTATGATTGATGCCAATTTTGATTCTACTAATGTTGATATGTCTGCTTTCCTCCAAGGTATTACTATGCCTTTATTTTTGGTTTTCGTTAATTCTATTTATTCCAAATTAATTGTTCAATGATTGTTTTTCTTTTTGTCTTATAATTTATTTTGTAATTTTTCTTATTACCCTTATATTTATAACGGAATAAGGGTTTTTCGTTTTGTTTATAAATAAATAAATGATCTTAAATTCAATTATAACTATAACTGTATGATTGTTGTTAATAACTCAACTTCAACACATTGCAATTAGTATCTGTAAACAAAACGAATTTATAATATTTCCTGTAACAAGAATACATTTATTGGTGGAATGTGATCTGAAATTTTATCCATTCGTGATCATTTCGCCCAATGTATAAAAATGCGAATTTTAATCGCAATTCAAATATCCCTTCGATCGTGTGAATGGTTCGAGCGATTATTATTTCGAAAGCAATAATAATCATTATCCAGAATAAAACGATAATAATAATTATGATAACCATTATCCAAATATCATTTAAGATGTACGGAATTGAGATTTAATTTCGATTTACAATCTGAATAGATTTTTTTTATTGACGATCTTAAGTGTCTTTTTCATAATCGGATTCATTTGTTATAAAACGGTTTTTTATATGCCATTCATAGAAAGGACGAAAAATCTCGCATGTTCAGAAGTTTGCCAATTTTTGCATGTGCCTCTCCTTTTTTTTGCTCAGAATAAAAAAATGTTAATTTCAATTCGGCCAAACAATCCAAATTCAACAAAGTTTTTTTCCAATCAATCAATCATCGATCAATAATTGAACAAAAGGCAAAAATTGAAACGATTGGCCAGTGTGGGGATCGAAGTCTGAATTTTATTTTTTTTTTTTTTTGCTCAGAATAAAAAAATGCTAATTTCAATCCAAATTCAACCAAGTTTTTTCCAATCAATCATCAATAATTAAGCTAAAAAGCAAAAAAAAATTGGCCAGTGTGGGGATCGAACCCACGACCTTGGCGTAACTTAATTAGTTCTTAATTTTACTGATTATCAGAATCGTCAAATTTTACCATTTATTTAAATTATTAGCACCACGCTCTACCGACTAAGCTAACCGGCCAATTGTGATGATAGATGGCGCGGGTCATCTGATGAACGAATTTGTATTCTAATCAAAAAAAAACAAAAACTAGATCATAATTAATCACAATCAATCAATAGAAAAATTGATGGCATTTAATTTTAATTAATCATGATGTTGATTTTGTTATTGATTAGTTTCCACTTTAGGAATTGAGAATCATCACTTTACTTCCAGCTTACGACCATATCACGCAGAAAATACTGGTTCTCGTCAAACATTTAAATTTAAAATTATTGTAAAAATTTACTGAAAAATGCTCAAATGAATTAAATGAAAAAACAAAAATTGTAGCCTTTTTATGGTATTGAAATATTGTTACAAGCTTATGTGGTGCAAAATTTCGAAAATCACCCCTGCTCTTTCAGCTTACGACCATATCACGTAGAAAATACTGGTTCTCGTCTGATCACCAAAGTCAAACTACGTCGAGCCGAGTTAGTACTTGGGAGGGGAACCACTTGGGAACACTCGGTGTCGTAAGCTTTTTAATTTTTTGTAGATTTTTAAGACACCTTTGAAAAATTTTTACCTGATGAACAGAAGAAAATTTTATTCCATCATTTATTGATTATTATTTGAAGAAAATGGCAACAACAACAACAACAAAAAATATCAAAGATTATCATCAATCAATCAATAGAAAAAAATCAATAGTCAATCATCACAATGATCAATTGATGGTATATAATGATCTAGTTTTGATGGTAACGGATCGACGTTTTTTTAATTGAGATTCAAGTTTAGAATGAAAGTAAAGTTTTTTTGCCCAATAAATCATTATTCTCTTATATTTGTTGCTAGTATGACAACTTTCTTACGAACAAGAAAAAAAAGTTGTCACACATGTTACCTTGACCTTTATTTATCATTAATTGGATCAATGATACGATTTTTGATGGTAACGGATTGAAATTTTGAAAAAAATGAAAAAAAACGGAAAAGCTTACGACACCGAGTGTTCCCAAGTGGTTCCCCTCCCAAGTACTAACTCGGCTCGACGTAGTTTGACTTTGGTGATCAGACGAGAACCAGTATTTTCTACGTGATATGGTCGTAAGCTGAAAGTACAAGCGTGATTGTCAATTCATAAAGTGGAAACTTGTAAAAATATTTCAATACCATAAAAAAGGCCACAATTTAATTTTGATATGGTCGTAAGGTGAAAGAATGGAAGAATTTCCCGCACTTGCTAGAATATATGACCAATGCTTATAAAATACTTTGCTCGCATTAATAACCCTACGATATTTTTCTTTTTTTTCTTATTTTTGTAAAATTTTTTTCATTCCTATAACTATTGTTTCCGATAGTATGATAATATCAATGAATTCGTTATTCCACAAGAATTGAAAATTTTGAAAATGGTCAACAAATGGTTACTGATGGATACAAAAAAAATTGGGACATAATAATGATGATGATGATAATCAACAATGATGATGTTTAGAGTGATAAATTTGCTCATCAACATCATTGATTGATTGATTAACACCATCTGATATCGGTGAAACTAACTATGAATTGGTGGAAAGTTTTCTCCACAATTCTTCTATCATTTCAATCGAACATTTTCGGAAACATTTCTTTTCCATGTTCTCAATCATCAATCTATCTCTATATGCAGCTGTTTATATATCTATCGAATATAATATTGATTAAATCAACATTTTTGATTTCTGATTATTGATCATCATCATCATCATCATCATCGTCATCCACCCAATTGGAAAAAAACATTACAATAACAACAATTGCATCTTTTCTCAAATTAAAATCTTAAAACACAACGAAAAAGGTAACAATGTTTGTCCGGTTTATCAATTATTTTTTTTTTTTTATTAATTTTTCATTTCCCACGTATATTATAGTTATGGTTTTGATGCAAGGTCCATTATTAAAATGGACAAACATGATGAAAGGCTATCAACAACGGTGGTTCGTTTTGGATGAAATAAATGGATTACTATCATATTATACAGTTTTTTTTTTTTTTTTTTAATGATTATACCATGTCTATTGATTGATTTTATATTTCAATTCAAATCGCCCGAAAAACAACAACAACAACAAAAATTAAAAGTCACCAGAAAAATTGGTACGTGGTGATCGTCGTGGTTGTATACGTTTACGTGATGCAATAATAGGTATCGAAGATGATGATGATACAATATTTTCCATTACATCCGATACTGAAGTTTTCCATTGTAAAGGTATGTTGAATTATTCAATTATTGAATTTAATATGTACTTTATGCTATTGTTCAAACAACGACAACAACAAAAAGATTTCAATCATTTTCTTGTCATTATTATCGATCAGAATTCATATATATTTTATTAATCAAATATGAATCCAATATTAACCACACTTATTATTCGTCGTCGTCGTCGTATCCAATGGACACACATTCTCTCTCTCTGTGTGTGTGTATATATGTGGAATATTCATTTTACGATATCGACGTCATCCATTTTATTGATGATGATAATAATGATCAACACTCTGGCAATGAAAAACAAAAACCAATTTCATCATTAATTGAAAATGAATTTTTTGTTTCTTGTTCTTGTATTTGAAAATATCTAGCCCTATTTTTTTTTGAATAGTTTGAATAGCAGAATTCTGTTCACGCCATTTCAGTCCACGACTATGACGACGACGACGACAATATATCCTCAAATTGTCTATGTCTATGTGTGTGTTTGTGTCTTTGTGTATATATTTCTATTGATTTGAGCGATGATGGGCGCAATAGCCATTAATGTGAATGAACAACAAAAGAAGAAACACCACAACCATTTTTTATTATTATTACAATATATAATACATACAGTTTCTCAATTTTCAACAACAACAACAAAACGAAAAAATATTTTAGATTTAATATAATTCGAACGAAAAGAGATATAGATAGTTTATCTGCTTGTTTCCATTTGATAAATGTCGTTTTTTGTTGTTGTTGTTGTTGTTGACAGAATATGAAAAGTTTAATATTTGTATTTTATTTTTCCATTTTTAATTTCGAAAAATGGAATGAAATGAAATGAATAAATTTTTTTCTGGTGTATATATACATAAGTGATGATATCAACAGAAAATTGAATCATTTTTCTTTTTTACTATCCTACTAGCACATTCAATGAAAGAACGTGATGAATGGATCAATTGTTTGGCCGATATAATACAATTATTTCAACGACAACGTAAACGTTTTCGTTATAAGAATAAAGCAGAATCGTATGCCTTATTATTGCCTACACAACAACAACAACAACAACAACAACAACAGTCATCATCTATCGATAATAATGATGATAATGAAAAAATATTGAATCAATTTAATCAACGTTTAATTGAAACCGATTCATATCTACAGATATTGATAAAACAATTTCAAAAATTGGATTCAAAAATTATTATTCATGATAAATTGAATAATAATAATGATCAAAATAATTGTAATGATCATGATGATAAACAAGAAAAATTTTCAATTACAAAATATGAACAAAAACGTAATGAACAATTGAAAAAATTAAAAGAACGTTCAACATATTTTCTTGATTCAATTAAACATACGATTGTTTTATTACAGATTGCCAAGGTATTTGATTTCCATTTTTTTTTTTTTACTTTACTTATTTTTTTGGTCGTATATTGTATTACAGAATCTTAAATTTCCAGTCAACGGAATATATCGCCAACAACAACAACAACAGAAAGAACAGCAAGAGCCACAACAACAATATGAACATCATCAGGAACCAAGAAAATCGTCATTATCTACAGTTAATGAGATTAATGTTTCACCAACAATAGAATCGACAACAACAACGACAACGTCAAATGATGATGATGAAAAACAATTTGTTGTTCCAGTTTCCGTTTCTTCAAGTCCACAACAACAACAGCAACCATCATCTACATTTCAATCGGCTAAATCAGCCTTAGATGTTTTTGTTTATAGTGATAATTTTATAAAAAATTATAACCGTAATCAGACAGTGCCAGATTTATCATATGCCAGTAGTGATGATGATTTTTTTGATGCTAATGATGAATCAGAAAATTCAGATTTAGATTTGAAAAATTCATCACTATCAACAACAACAACAACGACAACAAAAATGCCTTCAACAAAGAAAACTTTACGAACAACAACATCGACAACATCATCACGTGAAAATAATGATGATGATGATGATCAGATAAATTTTGATAAACTTTATGAATCAAGTGATGATTCCGGTGATGATCTATGTTCAATATCATCACATGGTAGTGTTATATCACATTTGATTGCACAGGTTAAAATTGGTATGGATCTTACAAAGGTTGCCTTGCCAACATTTATACTTGAACGACGATCATTATTGGAAATGTATGCCGATTTTTTCGCTCATGCAGACATTTTTTGTAGGTATGTACCCTTCAATGATTTTTTTTTCATATTTTGATATTTTTGCATTTTTAGCATTCCTGATTATAAAACACCAGAAGAACGAATGATACAGGTAACACGGTGGTATCTATCCGCTTTTCATGCTGGCCGTAAAGGATCGATAGCAAAAAAACCATATAACCCAATATTGGGTGAAGTATTCAAATGTTATTGGAATCTATCGCAGAATAATGATTCAACCAAAAGTATTGTATCAAATAATGATGGTGGTCAATTACCATGGGCTAAAATAAGTGATTTAATATTTATTGCTGAACAAGTATCACATCATCCACCAATATCAGCATTTTATGCTGAAAATATTGACAAACGTATTATGTGTTGTGGTATGTATTTTATGATTTTGTTTTTGTTTTGCATTTTTTCATTGTTTTCATTTATTTCCTAAACAAATAGCACAAATATGGACTAAAAGTAAATTTCTTGGTCTAAGTATTGGAGTGAACAATATTGGACAAGGATCCATATATCTTTTAGATCATGGTGAAGAATATACATGTACATTTCCAAGTGCTTATGGTCGTTCAATTCTAACGGAACCATGGTTTGAATTTGGTGGTAGTGTACAAATTGAATGTCAAAAATCCGGTTATTCAGCTAAAATTGATTTTCTTACAAAACCATTTTATGGTGGTAAACGAAATCGTATTAATGCCGAAATATTCGATCCAAATAAAAAAACAATGGCCACAATAACCGGTGAATGGAATGGTAAAATGGAAGCAAAATTTTCAAATAATAAATCTACAACAAAATCCGAACCATTTGTTGATACGAAAACATTACCAGTCATAAGAAAACAAGTGAAACCTATTAATGAACAAGATGAATATGAATCAAGAAATCTTTGGAAAAAGGTTACATATGCATTGAAACAACAAAATGTTGATCAAGCAACAGAGGCTAAACATGAAATTGAACAACGACAACGTGAACTAGTTAAAGAACGGGAACAAAATGCAATGAAATGGCAGAATAGGGTAAGTTGAATTCAATGTTGTTTTCAATGATAATCATCAAATCATCAATCAATCAATCTATTTCTATAACAGATGTTTCATAATATTGGTGATAAATGGGCTTACAATGATCCATTAACAAATCGAAAACCATCCAATAGATAGCCTAGAATCATATCTCTTTTTTTATCTTTTGTCTATTTGTAACAACCCTTGTTTCTTATTATGGCCATTTTATTATCATTTTTGTATTTGTTGTCTTTCTCTCTCTCTCTCTCTCTCTCTCTTTTTCCTTAATTGAAATTAGTTGTTTTTGTAAACCTAAATGCGATATATATACTTTTATTATTATTATTATTACTATACATCTTATTTATTTATAATTAAATTTTAATAATACGAAATAATTGAAATTGGTCATTTGAAAAGTTTTCATTTTTGACAAAATTTATTTTTTTTTCTTTTCAATAATTGAAATTTACAAAAATTGATTAATGTTGATGTGAATAATAATGAGAATAAAGATAATTTTTTTTTTCAAATGAAATTTTTGATCACATTAATTAATTAATTATTATTATTATTGTTGTTGTTGTTGTTGTTGTTGTTACTATTACGAATTGAATCCGATGTGGATCGATTTTGATGATGATTAGATCTTCGATCCACTTCCATAAGACATTCACGAACTAAATGTCTAGCCTGATTTATTTGACGCCGTAAACGATCTGAAGCAGTTTTTGATCCAGTATATAATGGTCGTACATCACGGCCAATTTCACTGATAACATCCATTAATTTTCCATATTTAATTTCTAATTGTTTTTTTGACGATTTCGATGATGACGACGATGATGATGATTGCCCATTCTGACCATTCGGATTTAGTCCTTGTTGTTGTCCATTGTTCTGTGGTTGAAATGTATTGGTATAGCCTAGATAGGAAAATATGGTCGGCAAATGTAATGTTGGAACACCTGATGCCATGGCATTCTGTATCACATTAAATGTATCATTCTGTTGTAACATTGAAGCCATATATTGCATTGATAATTGTTGCTGTTGGATCGATGATATTGGCTGTTGTTGTGGCTGCTGCTGCTGTTGTTGTTGTTGATGATGATGATGATGATAATGAGGATTTGAATTTGTCGATTGTATCGGGTAATTATTATTGCCGGTAGTTGTTGTTGATGATGATGATGACGATGATGCAGAAGAAGCAGCAGCAGCAGCCGCTGCAGCCATCATTGCCGCCAAATTAGCCGCTTGTTGTCCATTTGAAGAATGATGTGCAGCTAATAAAGCCTGATAATTGGCTAATAAATTCTTTTCATCGATCGGCATATTACGAGAATCCATTATGAACAAATAGTGTTAATTTTATCTGATAATTTTGGATTTATGTGACAAAAAAATTTTTTTTTATTGATCAAAATAAAAAATGAAACAAAAATTTTCAACACTCAACAATCACTATATTACACACACACACACACACGTTTTAATGCTTCTATCTCCAATAGGGTAGTAGCATATAGTTATGTTCAAAGTAAAATTTTAAATTAATTGTTCCTGTTCATAAATGAAATGTTCAATTGATTTTTAAATGGATTATTTATATTATTATCGATTAGTATGCCTTTTACGTATTTCCAATGCTTTTTGACAGATAAATATTTGCATTTCAGCCAATTCTTCGGCTGAAAATTGTTCCCATAATTCATCATGAGATTCAATAAATTTTCTCATTCGTTCACATTTAGCAGAAATTTTTTGTTGTTTCTCCGAAATTAATTCATTGTTGACGATGATATTTTTTCTTTTCTCTGCCCTTTTTATTTGTTGCTGATGAATTGGTGATGAATGATAATTGTGAAAAGTGGTAATTTCATCATATGGACAATCAATATTGGATATTGTGGCAGTAGTATTCGTCAATGTTGATGCAACCATTTGTTCGGAATCAGAAAATGTAAATGATAACGGCAATGTTGATGGTGATTCTTGATTCGATGTTGTTGGCGTTACATTTTCATTTTCAATCGATCCATCTTGATCATTTGTTTCATAATTATAAGCTAAAAATGATAATGGCATATAATATATCCATTTAACATGGTTCATTTCCATATTTGGATCAACGATAGAACCATTCCTTTTTCTCATAATAGATTTATGATGACGACGATAAATGGTCAACAATGAGGTCCATACTTTCTTGATTTCTTTGATATCATCACAATAAATGGTTCCACATACCTCTCTGCAAACTTCCTGCCATTCTTTGTCTCTTTCGTTTTTAGTAAAATTTTTGTTCTTGAAATCCCAAAGTGGTCGACGTTTTCGTACTGCCGATATAAGTAATTGTTTATCGATTGACATTTTTCGATTGAACAAATCGAAAAAAACAATACTCAATCAGATTTATAGTACTATAGTTCTATTGTGGCCAATTAGAACATTCATAATTTCGAAAAATTTTCTTTTATCGACTCGGTTTTGATATAATCAAGTTTAACCACGAGTTTTTTGAGATATCGATTACTTTTTTGAATAAGTCCATTGGATAATGTGTGGCCAACGAATTCTTCACATCAATATCCGAAGAATTTAAATCAATTAAATTGGATTCATTTGATGAATTTTAATTGACAAAATTAAAAAATTTTTTCGTCAAACATTCGACAATGTTTTCATTCTGTTAATTCCAAAATATTGGAAGGTAGTAGTAGTAGCACAGTTTATTGTTGAAAAGCAAATTTTAAAGCAATTGTTCCTGTTCATAGATGATATGTTCGAATGATTTAAAAAAATTCAAATGTTCATCATCGCATAAACTTGACACATCAACATCATCATTCGATGACCGATGACTTTCTTTTGCGGGTTTATGGACTATAAATACGCGATACAATTTCCATCAAAAAAAAAACATCAAACAATCATTTTGTTTTAGCAGCTCATTTTGGCCACATTGTATTTTTTTTCGACTTTGTCAATTTTTCAACAATTTTTACAATCATCCTTGAAAATGCAATTCTCAACCATTGTCATTGTCGTAGCCATTTTGGCTGTTGGCGTCGTTGATGGCCAATCTAGTTCGTTGTTTAATCTACCGATACCTGAAATGCCATCATTCAAAAATCATTTTAACCCTGCACAATCACGTATGACTAATGTTGGTGATTGTATGGCCATTCCATTGCCGAATCCATTAAATTTGGACATTTCCGTTTGTGGTCATGCTGCTTCATTCCTATCCGATGGTTGTATTCGTATTAATCGACTACCATATGGTTATTCATTATCGATCTGCGCTGCTAATGCTAATGCTAATAATGGACGGCCACAACAAAAATTACCACCGAATTGTATACCATTCAATATTCCAATGGGTTATAAGGCCATTATTTGTCCACCATGATCAGCGTTTGATCATCATAAATTCTTCATTTTTTTCTCAGCCAAAACTATTGTAAAATCATGCTGACATTTCATTATTTCTAATGTAAACTTTTCGATCAATTTTTTTTAGCTATCATTTCAATTTCAATAATCAAATAATAAAGACAAAAGATTTTAATTTTAATCAATTAATCATTTTTTTATGTTGTTTCAAATCCAAATATCCGATGTACAATCACCATCGGGATAACGCATTTCATGCGCTAATGCTGGCCCATTTGGTTCAGCACCAAAATCAACAAGAAAATTATCATCTAATTCTAAACTATTTCTACCTGAATCATCATTGTTGTTGTTGTTGTTAACATTGATTTTGATTAATTGTGATCCATTCTGATACATATCCGGATAGAATTGAGCATCCCATGATGAATACAATGAATTTGTACAATACAAACGTTTTCCATCTAAACTAAGCTGTAACATTTGTGTACCACCACGAATTTTTTTTCCCCGAATCTGCCAATGTATCATCGATTGTTCTAATGGTTCTTCATCATTAATTATTTTGATTTTAGAATCAATCCCAGATGATGCAAGTATACCACCTACACGAATTCGACTGACCATTTGCAAATGATCATCTTGTAGACCGGTGTATTGGTGAATTTCACCAAATGCCCATGCTGATAGGAAAAGATATTGATCATCCATTGATATGAGTATATCGGTTATTAATGCTGGTAGAAATTGTCCACCAATAAATCCTTCAACTTTTTTTGGTTTCAAACGAATAACTTCATCAATTTTTAATGGATCTTCAGCATCTGTTGCATCATAACGGAAACGAAATACATTGGAACTATATGCACAGCCAACAAATCCAATTGGTGATGTTGGTGAATGTAAAAATCGACATTCAAGTGGCATACAAGCATCATTACCATTGGATCGAAGATCAACACTTTTCAGTAGTTTTCCGGTTTTGAATTCCCAAAGATGTATAGAATGGCCATAATGATTATCAATCCAACCAGGTTCAGAAAGATTTCCAGCAAAAAATCCTGGACGAAAAATATTTGGCGCAGTCCATTCGGTGCTGACCAAAATATTCAATCGTGGTTGATACCAAAAATCATAACCATAATCAACTGATGTTTCACTATTCCAACGAGCATATGGTTCAAATTTGGAATTCAATAAAAGGAAAGCACCTTGATTATGGCCATCACTGTTGCCCATACAACTGATCATAACATCACCACTAGGTAAACAATGTGATGTATGTGGACCACTTAAATTCAAACGAAACAATTCTTCAGGTTCGACTGTTTTGAATAAATCAGTATGTGGTCCATCCACATTCAATACATAGATTCGATTCGAACGTAAACATGGTAATATTATTTTATTACGATTTTTACAACAATCATTGTAACAACTGCTACAAGCATTCCATCCCTAATATATCAAAGAAAAATTGATTGAAAATATTCTTGAAAAAAAAATTAATATACCGAATGATGTAATTCATCGCCAATATTGGACATATATGTACGATGTATCACATGACCATATGTATTGGAATTTTCATCTACATCCACTGTGGCTAAATAATCTGGACATGATTCATCTGGTTTTACACATGTTACATAAAGCCATCGTTCGTGTGGTCCATTTTTGATTGCATCCAATGGACTTGAATAACCGGGTCCATGGTTATTACTAGACATTTTTATCCAGAAATTTATGCAAAATACAAATATTGGATGACGACAACAAATGAATGTACCCCGTCATTCGAATATCATCACAAGCCATTCGTTTGCATTTCATTGATTTTTTTTTATTCAATCAACAAATAGTATCAGACCATTGTGTATCAATAATACTGTGGCTACTATCATCAATAATGGTTGATGGACCTGTTTTTTTTTCACCCAAATAAAATCATCAATAATTGATTTCATTCAAAATTGATGTCGAAGCCAATATACACAGAAAATATGAGCAAATGTAATTTGTTCATGACTCATTATCAATCAATACGTATGATTATCGTCATCGTTGTGAAAGCATGGACTTGTAAATTTCATATATCGATGTTTGTGAGTGTTTAAAAAATTCTAGAATGGTCGAGAATGAAAATTGTTAAACTATAGTCTATCATTGCTTTATGATCACTATGGCCAAAATGATATGAATTTCCGTTGTTTCAATGATCATATCATGAAAATGGAACTTGGAAAATATTAAAAACGAAATTTTGGACCAAAAAAATCCAAAGGAAACGGGTGAAATGTGTGTTTGAACAATAGAAAGCGTATTATGACTGTAGTAATGGTTTTTCCGCCTATGTTCGAGAATGTTCCATTCGAAGGCAATGCTGCATGCTTGAAAAAAGCCAGTCACAACGGTCGTCATAGTGTTCATTTAACAAATTTAGCTTTACGTTTTATGTCGTGTGATTTCTAATTTTTGTTTCAATCTTAGAAATTTCATTTCATTTCATTCTAGTTTCTTTTTCGAATTGAATTAAATTTCATCAATTTTCTAATAATTTCAATTTAGAAATATTTATTTTAATCAATTTTCTCAACCATCTTCCTTGAATAATTATCATCAATTTTATTAAGAAAAATGGCAAAAACACCGGCAATCGGAATTGATCTTGGTACAACATATTCATGTGTTGGCGTATTTCAACATGGTAAAGTCGAAATTATCGCTAATGAACAAGGTAACCGAACCACACCATCATATGTTGGATTTACCGATACTGAGCGGTTGATTGGTGATGCGGCCAAAAGCCAAGTAGCCATGAACCCAAGTAACACTGTGTTCGATGCAAAACGTTTGATTGGACGACGATTTGATGATTCCACAGTACAAGCTGATATGAAACATTGGCCATTTACTGTGGTCAATGATGGTGGAAAGCCTAAGATTCAGGTATGGTTTTTTATGATTATTTTGGCTTTTTCTGATGATTGTTTGAAAAACAGGTCGAATATAAAGGTGAAACAAAGAAGTTCTTCCCAGAAGAGATCTCATCAATGGTGTTGACCAAAATGAAGGAAATCGCTGAAGCTTATTTAGGCAAGACTATCACTAGTGCTGTAATCACAGTTCCGGCCTATTTCAATGATTCACAACGTCAAGCTACTAAAGATGCCGGTACAATTGCTGGTTTAAATGTTTTGCGTATCATCAATGAACCGACGGCTGCTGCCATTGCTTATGGTTTGGACAAAAAAGCCAAAGGTGAACAAAATGTACTGATTTTTGATCTTGGCGGTGGTACTTTCGATGTTTCCATCTTGACCATCGAGGACGGTATCTTTGAAGTAAAATCGACAGCTGGTGACACCCATTTAGGTGGTGAAGATTTCGATAACCGAATGGTCAATCATTTTGTCCAGGAATTCAAACGAAAACACAAAAAGGATTTGACCAGCAATAAACGTGCACTTCGTCGTCTCAGAACAGCTTGCGAACGAGCCAAACGAACCTTGTCTTCTTCAACACAGGCCTCAATTGAAATTGATTCATTGTTCGAAGGCATTGATTTCTATTCGACCATCACTCGTGCTCGTTTCGAAGAATTGTGTGCTGATTTGTTCCGTTCAACATTGGATCCAGTGGAGAAATCTCTTCGCGATGCTAAATTGGATAAATCACAAATCAATGAAATCGTATTGGTTGGCGGCTCCACTCGTATTCCTAAAATTCAAAAATTGTTGCAAGACTTTTTTAACGGTAAAGAATTGAACAAATCAATCAATCCAGATGAAGCTGTAGCCTATGGAGCAGCTGTTCAGGCAGCCATCCTTAATGGTGATCAATCGGAAAATGTTCAAGATCTCTTGCTTCTTGACGTTGCTCCTTTATCGTTGGGTATCGAAACAGCTGGTGGTGTGATGACCCCATTGATCAAACGTAACACTACCATTCCAACCAAACAAACACAAACATTTTCAACATATTCCGATAACCAACCTGGAGTACTTATACAGGTAAGATTTTTTAAAATGTTGAATCATTAGTTGCTAACTATGGTTATTGATTGTCTTATACAAAAACAACAGGTCTATGAAGGTGAACGTGCCATGACCAAAGACAATAATTTATTGGGCAAATTTGAATTGAGTGGTATTCCACCTGCTCCACGTGGTGTTCCGCAAATCGAAGTCACATTCGATATTGATGCAAACGGTATTCTTAATGTATCTGCTGTAGATAAAAGTACCGGAAAACAGAATAAGATTACGATTACAAACGATAAAGGTCGATTATCAAAAGACGATATTGAACGTATGGTCAAAGAAGCTGAATCATATAAAGAAGAAGATGACAAACAACGTGACCGTATTTCGGCTAAGAATACATTGGAAGCATATGCATTCCAGATTCGATCTACGATCAGTGAAGATGCAATCAAATCAAAAATATCGGAAGAAGATCGAAAAAAGATTGATGATAAAGTTAGTGAAGTGCTTAAATGGTTGGATGCTAATGCTTTGGCAGAAAAAGATGAATTCGAACATCAACGTAAAGAATTAGAAAGTGTATGCAATCCGATCATTACAAAATTGTATCAACAAGCTGGTGGTGCAGGCGCTGGTGGTATGCCAGGTGGTATGCCAGGCGGATTTCCAGGTGGTTTTCCCGGTGCTGATGGTTCTGGTGGTGCCGGCAGTGGTGATGGCGGTAAATCTGGACCAACCATCGAAGAAGTCGATTAAATAGAGTAGGATTTTTTTTGTAATTCGATTCTCATCTTCGTATTGTGGTTTTTATCGTTTAATCATGGATCATCATTCATGTTGTATCCATAAAATCTTTCAATATATACACATACACTCATCTATCCATTTTAGCCATCTTTATTGTTAAAAAAAAGGAAAAAAATTTTCAAATAAAAAAAAATACATTTTTATTTGTGGAACATAATTCGTTCTTCAAATATGAATAGGTATTATTATTAATTGAATTTTGAATAAAATAAATAAATAAAATTTGTATTTCTAATCAATTTTTAAAAAATTTTTCAAATTTTTTAAATTTTATCCAAATCTGAATTTTTTTTTTTGGTGTTGGCCAAAACCATTAGTGTGGTGGAAATAGCCAATAATAATTTTAACCTAAAAACACGATTTTTGTGATCAGCATTGAAAATGTACCGTTCATAAACATATGTACACATTGATTTATATGCTTCATCATGGTCAAATGAATGAATCATTCATTACTTTATTAGGGTAGAAAATTCGAGAAAATTCTTCAACACATGCGTATTTTGGTTAATGTTAGCAAAACCGGCAAGGCAATTTTCGATGTGGTTATAAAGCACGATAGTTATATGCTATACAGTCTATTACTATAGCCTTTTGTTCGATTTTTTTTTGTTACTTTTAATTCAAGTCACACCACATTTATAACCGACCAAGCAGCAAATACACACGCATTCATTCCTATTTCTTCATAATCATCACTGCTATTGTTGTCAACGATCATTAATTTGGTTCTTTCGTACTCTTTTTTAAAAATATAACTTTGATTTTTTTTCAAATTGAAATTATTTGTTGCGATATTCAAGATTGAATAATGGCAAAAACACCGGCAATCGGAATTGATCTTGGTACAACATATTCATGTGTTGGCGTATTTCAACATGGTAAAGTCGAAATTATCGCTAATGAACAAGGTAATCGTACCACACCATCGTATGTTGGATTTACCGATACCGAGCGGTTGATTGGTGATGCGGCCAAAAGCCAAGTTGCCATGAACCCAAGTAACACTGTGTTCGATGCAAAACGTTTGATTGGTCGACGATTTGATGATTCCACAGTACAGGCAGATATGAAACATTGGCCATTTACTGTGGTCAATGATGGTGGAAAGCCCAAGATTCAGGTATGATTATTCTTGACTTTCAAAAATATCAAAACTCATTCCTCTTATCCATAGGTTGAATATAAAGGTGAAACAAAAAAGTTCTTCCCTGAAGAGATCTCATCAATGGTGTTGACCAAGATGAAGGAAATCGCTGAAGCTTATTTAGGCAAAACTATCACTAGTGCTGTAATCACAGTTCCGGCCTATTTCAATGATTCACAACGTCAAGCCACTAAAGATGCCGGCACAATTGCTGGTTTGAATGTTTTACGTATCATCAATGAACCGACGGCTGCTGCCATTGCTTATGGTTTGGACAAAAAAGCCAAAGGTGAACAAAATGTGCTGATTTTTGATCTTGGCGGTGGTACTTTCGATGTTTCCATCTTGACCATCGAGGACGGTATCTTTGAAGTAAAATCGACAGCTGGCGACACCCATTTAGGTGGTGAAGATTTTGATAACCGAATGGTCAATCATTTTGTTCAGGAATTCAAACGAAAACACAAGAAGGATTTGACCAGCAATAAACGTGCACTTCGTCGTCTCAGAACGGCTTGCGAACGAGCCAAACGAACTTTGTCATCTTCTACACAGGCCTCAATTGAAATTGATTCATTGTTCGAGGGCATTGATTTCTATTCGACCATCACTCGTGCTCGTTTCGAAGAATTGTGTGCTGATTTGTTCCGTTCAACATTGGATCCAGTGGAGAAATCTCTTCGCGATGCTAAATTGGATAAATCACAAATCAATGAAATCGTATTGGTTGGTGGCTCCACTCGTATCCCAAAAATTCAGAAATTGTTGCAAGATTTTTTCAACGGTAAAGAATTGAACAAATCAATCAATCCAGATGAAGCTGTAGCCTATGGAGCAGCTGTTCAGGCAGCCATCCTTAATGGTGATCAATCGGAAAATGTTCAAGATCTCTTGCTTCTTGACGTTGCTCCCTTATCGTTGGGTATCGAAACAGCTGGTGGTGTGATGACCCCATTGATCAAACGTAACACTACCATTCCAACTAAACAAACACAAACATTCACAACTTATGCTGATAATCAGCCTGGTGTTTTGATTCAGGTAAGTCATTGCTACTGAAATATGAATATTCGCTAATTTACATCCTGTAGGTCTATGAAGGTGAACGTGCCATGACCAAAGATAATAATTTATTGGGCAAATTTGAATTGACTGGTATTCCACCTGCTCCACGTGGTGTTCCGCAAATCGAAGTCACATTCGATATTGATGCAAATGGTATTCTCAATGTATCGGCTGTGGATAAAAGTACTGGCAAACAAAATAAAATCACAATTACAAACGATAAAGGTCGATTATCGAAAGACGATATTGAACGTATGGTCAAAGAGGCTGAATCATATAAAGAAGAAGATGACAAACAACGTGACCGTATTGCAGCCAAAAATTCATTGGAAGGTTATGCTTTCCAGATGAAAGCCACTTTGGATGAAGAAGCAATTAAATCTAAAGTTTCTGAAGAAGATCGTAAAAAAATCCTGGACAAAGTTGATGAAGTGCTCAAATGGTTGGACGCTAATGCTTTAGCAGAAAAAGATGAATTTGAACATCAACGTAAAGAATTGGAAAGTGTATGCAATCCGATCATTACTAAATTATATCAACAAGCTGGTGGTGCAGGCGCTGGTGGTATGCCAGGTGGTATGCCAGGCGGATTTCCAGGTGGTTTTCCCGGTACTGATGGTTCTGGTGGTGGTGCAGCCGGTGGTGATGGTGGTAAATCTGGGCCCACCATTGAAGAAGTAGATTAATTTCATATGGTAGTCATCTTTTTGTCTTCGCGCCGACCTTCCTTATAAGCATTTTTTTTATCCGAAAACAAAATTGGTCTGTGTGTGTGTGTTTTGAAAAAAAAATTCAAATTTAATTCTTCATTCTCCATATATATGATAATTGCTTTTTTTTATTCTCTCTTTGTAATATCACTATGAGATGATAATTTTATTAATTCTGAATGTCGTCGTCGTCGGTTATAGTCAAGCATTTTAAAAAAAAAAAAAATTTGTCATTTTTATTGAATTTATTTCATTGTATAATTTATAATTTCAATTAACTTTGAATTCGAATAAAATTTAAATTCTAAAAATCGACCGACTATTTTCATCACCATTCCTTGTGGTTTCACAATTTTCGCCTATTTTAACCTGATTATGCTATTCTCTTTCTCTTTTTTTTTGATGACCAATTTTTTTCTCATTTTCGCATGCTATTTTTTCGGTTGTTATTGTTGGTTTTTTTTATTGGTTATTTTTTCACTGTTTGGTTTTGTTTTACAACAACAGTCTGACAATTCATTATGAATACCGATAATCTTGTTGTGGATTCATCATCGACTGAAGATGAAGATGATGGTGATGATCGAATCGTTGATGAAGATATGAAAGAAAATGTCGTAAACGAATCGAATAATACAGATGTTGACGATGAAATGGCTCATATACATAGTCATCTACATGGTGGTGATAATGAAGATGATCAATTCAATGGTTTAATTCTTGATCAAATGCAACCAGGTGATGATAATGATGATGATGATGATGATGATGTGGATGGTCAAATGACAATGGAAAACAAAGAGAACGGTACGTTTGATGGTAACAACAATGTAGATGATGATGATCACGATGATGATCTAGAATCGGATGATGAAACAGATGAAGAAGAAGATAATGTTCAAATAACTATTGGTGAAATTGATTTCAAAACACCGTTGACACAATCATCTGGATATTTGAATCTAAATCTTCAGAAAGGCGGCCGTCAGAATTCTACGGCAACAGTGGCCAAAAATATATCGAAAACAGCATTAGATATGGATGCTGTCGGTACTTATAATGGAATGCAAATCTATGATGTAAATCTTGATTCAATCGAAGATAAGCCATGGCGTAAACCTGGTTCGGATATTACCGATTATTTTAATTATGGTTTCACTGAAGAAACATGGAAAGTTTATTGTGATCGACAACGAAAAATTCGTGCCATGAATCAAAATGGCCAATTCGATGTTAATGCTGCGCTCAATATGACACAACATTTACCTACTTATTTAATGGCCAATAATCAAACGATAAATGGTTTGGCAACAATCAATTCGAAATCTATGATGATGAATGATCAACGTGAACCATTAATTAAATCAATACCAAACAACAACAACAACAACAACACTAATAATAATAATAATCAATCGAATGATCAACAATTCATTGATAATTCTAAATTTTCAAATTCAATTATGACAATTAATTCACAGCAAGGAATGAAAAAATCATCTCTTTGTATGCCACCGCCTCCATTACCATCGACGAATTTAGCAACAGCCAGTTCTTTACGTAAACATACAATCGAGGTTCTTGGTGCAAATAATGCCACCACTAATAGCACCCAAATCGGTCAAGGTCCACCACAATTACCGATTGTCCCACCACCACCTCCATTACCAGGATCTGCTTCCGGACTATTAGGTTCAAGACCTTCGCCTACTTCGCCATCATCATCACAACCGAATCAGGATCGTCTTGAGCCAAATTCGATATCAGTAATTGGAAATCGATCAAACATTCCGTTTCCTCCGCCTCCTTTACCCCCGTTTGCATTTCCACCTGTCGATCCTCATGTATTTCCACCTTCATTGCGTCCACCTGTACCAGTACCACCACCACTTGGAATGTTACCACCATTAGGTCCGAATGTACAACCACCACCATTTGGTAGTGCAGATTTTCGTCCTTACCCACCGCCACCTGGTTCGGGAATTCTACCACATCCATCAGATCAACGAACATCATCATATGATCAGGATTATGATGAACGTAGCCATAAACGTTCACGATCTGATTATGATGATTATGACGTACGATCATCTCGATCATCCGATCGATATGGTCGAAGTGGTAGTGGTGGTGGACAAAATGATCGAGATTATGATGATAGACCAAGTGGTGGTGATCGTTTTCAATCATCATCAACATCATCGTCATCATCACGTAACCATCAATCGACATCCAATTATTCATCGTCAAGAGAATGGGATCACTATTCTGATCGAGATCGTGAACGAGATCGGGAAAGGGAAAGAGACCGGGATCGAGATCGAGATAGAGAACGAGAACGAGATTTAGATCGTAATGAACGACGAAAAGAACGAAGCCGTGAACGATCACGTGATCGTAGTAGTAACCAACATGAATCAAGTTCATCAACATCATCAGCATCACATCGTCATAATCGAAGTAATCGAGATCGTGATTTACCTACGGCTTCTACTACTACCACCAATATCAATACATCATCATCGTCATCAAGTCGTAGAGATAAAGATAAAGATCATAAAGATCGCGATCGTTCAGATAGAAATGATCATAAAGAATCATCATCGTCATCGAAAAATCGATCATCAAAACATGAATCTGATCATAAATCATCATCATCATCATCACATCATCGTTCATCATCATCAACACAATCGCATTCACATTCATCGTCAAGTAAACAAAAATCAAAATCATCATCATCGCGTAGTAAAGATTCGAAAAAAGATTCTGATAAATGAATAATTTTCTGTGTGTGTTTGTGTGTGTGTGTGTGTAAATAAATATTTTTGGATGGCTATATACATTGTCGATTGCTTGGATGCTTTTTTTTCATTTTTATATTTTGTTTGTTTGTAATTCAGTTTATTGATTCATAAATAATTTATCTTTTAAATAAAAATGAATTTTTCAATCCAACAGGTTCAGGTTGTTTTGTTTGTCCATATATATTCTTAATTATCCATTTTGTCGTGACAATCGATGATTATAAAATAAATTTGAACAAACAAAATGATGGATAATTGGATTACCTGGTTATTTGGCCAATGTCCACTTTCTCTTTCTCTCTGTGTGTGTATAAATGAAAAATCATAGGTTTGATGAATACGACAACAACAACAAAAAAAAAAGAGAGTAAGTTGAGTTGAGTGATCAATTTCTGGAATGATCGATTTTTCCTGGATCACCATTTGATTAGGTAAATGATTTTGTTTTTTTTTGTTTCATTCATTTAATTATTAACTTGATTTGTGTTCAACGGAAACATCGGAACGATGGCAATTGGCCGTTGGGTGAGGCCATCATGATGCTTTTGGCCATTTTGGAAAGAAGCAGAAAAAAACGGATGATATGATCCAAGCAACAAATATATTTATGATACAGTTGCAAATATCGTTTGCAATTTGATGAAATGAGGAAGTTGTGATCCGTGTTTTTTTTTATTTTTCAGTCGGGAAATGTATATTTATTCAGTTGAATTAAAGATTAGCTCGTTTGATGATGATGATGATGACCATTGGTCAACAACAACAACAACAAATGCCAGTGAGTGCAAAAAAATTTTTTCTCAATAAATTTAGATCAATTTTCATCATCATCATCATCATCATCAGCTGTAAAAATATGATTATGACGATGATGTTTGATGCATTTCCTGTTTTCATTCGAATTTGTTGCTGCTGCACCTATTTTCACTATGATCGGTTGAAATTGGTTGAAATCGAAATCGAATCTATCGGATCAATTCCAAAAATAAAAATAAAAATTTTTTTTTTTGATAAAATTGAAAATTTTAAATTTAATTTTTTTTCTCAAAAAAACATGATATTTGAATGGCCAGATTTCAACGGAGGTGGGATATGCAAATTTTAAAAAATTTCTGTCTGTTTTTGTTGCCATTTTTAAAGAAAAAAATTTGAAAATGAAGGGAAAAAATTAGAGTTTTTTTTGGATCAAAGATTCAACAGTAAAAAAAACGATGAAAAATGGACGCATGATAATGAGAGAGAGAGAGAGAGAGAGAGAGAGAGAGATTATGTCACATTATTTTTGGCATGTGTGTAGGTGTAGGTGAAATTGATTGAAAAAATTTGATGAAAAAATTGATGAATGGATGACTACGATTCAAAGGACGATTAGACAGAATTTCGTGTGTGTGTGTGTGTGTGTGTAATGGTTGAAAATTCAAAAAAATTTTTTTTTTTTTAACATTGAAATCTGTGGTTAGATGTGAGGATTTTTTTTGGCTCTAGTTTTACGGATATGACAATGAAATTTGTAACGTATTTTATGGACAGGAACAAAAAAAAAATAGAATTTAAATTCAATGAAAATGATGAGATTCAATGATGATGATGATGATGATGATGAGCATTAAAAAAACGATAATAGATAGTGGATGAGGTATGAAAAATGATAATGATGATGATGAGGATGATGATTTGCTACCTGTGGATGATGATGATGATGATGATTTTGGCCGATTTGATGATTAGAGATGAGAATTTTTCCGAAATTTGGCTGTTATTTATATATAGTAAGTGTATGGATGATCCATTCTGGATAGCCGTTTTGAATAACCAGCTTCACAACGCTATCAGATTAGTTCTAAATCCATCATATATTTGATTGATTAATTATTTTTTCCATATCGATCAATATTGATTGATTTATCAATATGGACGACCACCACCACCATAATGTGGTGGTGCCGATGCCATTGGTGATGGTGGCATTGCATATTGTGCCATATTATTACTGCCAGATGCTGCATAATCACCATGACCACCACCATAACTGCCACCATGGCCATAACCACCACCACCACCGCCACCATAGCCATGATCAACGCTAATTAAAAAATATTCATTAAATTCATGACAATCAACAAACATTATCATTCTGGATACTCACTATACTGGATAATGATATGGTTCTGGATATGGAATTACTTTTTCATCTTTAATTGGTAATGGAATCTATTGATTAATCAATTATGATAATGAATTGAATGAATGAATTGAAATTATGATTGATGAAAGAAAAAAAAAATGCAATAAAGAAACACATACCGGAATTGGCAATGGTAATGGTTTGAATTTTTCTTTACTGGCCAATAATACACCCAACAATAATGGAATCAATGTTTTTTTCTTCATTTTTGCTGCTTCCACCATTTGTTGGTCAGCTGGTATCAACAATATGGTTGCCGCTATTAAACCGACAAACATTATGGCAAATTTATGAATGAATTTCATTTTTGTTGCTGTCGTTGTTGTCGCTGTTGTTCGTTTTTCGTTGGTTAATTCAATCACACAAAAAAAATGAACACAAATTCACACGCAAAAAAAAAATAACACACATATGATAATGGATGGATGAATGGTGAATAAAATTTTCATTTGAAAAACAATCGGTTTTTATATAAAACAGCCACGGTTATTCAAACTAACAAGTCCCGTTTTTTTCTGATAAATTTATTTTTTTATTTTTATTTTCGGTATAAAATATCCAGTAGCATCATGGCTCTTTCTCTCGCATTTCAATAATTTTTCTTCATTTTGAAATTTCTTTCCTGAATGAATGATGATATGAAGAGAAAGGTTTGATATCAGTGCATAAACAGTAGCCAGTAGCAAACAAAGAAAAAACAAAACAGGTAGAAACAGAGAGAAATTGAAATTAAATCCAACAAATGCCGTTCAAATAAACAAATGTGTAATGATCACAATAAATTGAACAAATAGCGAAAAAAAAATAACACACTAACTGAATTAAAGGAGAAACAAACGAAAAAAAAATTTAGAAATTAAAGGAAGTGCAAACAATTTGGCTTGAGAAAAAAAAATCAATCAGTCTGACCATTGGCTGTTTTGTATCATTTTCATGATTATAAAACCTTCGTCTCCCCCCTCCCCACAAAAAAAAAGAAATCAAACAAATCGGGAAATTAAATTGATGCAAACAAAAAAAAAATAATCAACACACACACACACAAACATGTTTCGCAATCTTATTTCTGACCGGCAAAGGGGACGAGAAAATAAATTCGGATCAATTAAATCAATTTCGTTCAATTTGCTGCCGTTTCGTGGATGTTGTTTTTTTGTTTTTAATTTCATTCAAAATTTTTTTTTTTTTTTTTGGAAATTTCCTTCAAATATCCGGTTTTTGTTTGAGAAAAATGAAAATTTTTTTTCTCTCGTTTTTTTTGCATGAAATTTTCATTTTATTTAATAATTTGTATGGAGATAAATTTTATTTTTTCGTGATTTTTTTTTTTTCAAAAATCCTAACTACTGAAGAGAAGAATAAACGAATTGATTGATCGATATATGTCGAACATCGATAATCATATAATCGCCGTCATTAACTGGACGTTTTGTTTTTTTTTTACATTATGCCCTAAATCGCTTGTTTCACATTCTATTATCATGACACGATGATTGATTTAAATGTAAATTTTGATCCATCCAATTTCCAATGATAGATCATGTCTAGACTGGTTTTTTTTCACCACTCCCCCCAAAAAAAAAAAAGTAACGACAAACCAAAATTCATTAATCATAATGGAACATTTTTTTTATGATGAAAAAAAATTTGAAATTTAAAATTTAAATATAAAATGAATGAAAATTTAAATAAAATAAATATATATTGACAAAACTGGCATGTTTATAGAGTAAAATGGGCAATAAAAGTGTTAAATTTTACAGATTTTTTTTGTTTGAATTTTGAAACAGATCAAATTTTTTGGTTTTTTTGTTTGATACAAATAATAATGATGATGATCGATGAATGTATGAATGTGAAATGGTGAGCAATGAGAAATGTGATAATGAATGAATTTTGTGCTATAAAATTTGGAAAAATTGAAAATTTTTTTTTTCTCGTTTCGTTTCGTTTTGTTGTTCCTATTGTTGGGAAAAAATGTAGTGAATTGGAATGATTGGTGTAATTTGGAATTTGGAATTTTGTATCAAAAAAAAAAAAAAAAAAAATTCTTGGAATGAATCGCATTTCCAATGATATGAAAATTTTTTTCAGTTTACAATTAATAATAATAAATGATGATGATGATGAGGTATTGAATGAAAATTTTTTTTTCCAGTGGAGATATAACAAAAAAAACGGTTTCGGTTCCGGTTCTGGTTTTAGTTTTTTTTTTTTTTTTTTTTGGTATGGGGTGGGAAGCAAGGAGGTGTGGAAAATTAAAAACTAGAAAAGAATCGAAAACTGTATGAATTTGATAATGATCGACTTGTGGACAATTAAAAAAAAAACTGGACTTGAGACTATTGACAAAGACAATTATCGATAATGAATGAATGATGAGGAATGATGGATGATGATGATTGATGATAATAATGACATAGATGATGATGATGATAATGATAGAATTAGGATGATGATTGGGTCTGTGTTATAGATTCATTTTGAATCAAATTTTTCTAGTTATTGGTCAGTTTTGCCCCATAGATCAAAAAAACCAGCATTCCAATCAATGAAACAAAAGGATAACCAAATTGATTCATTCAGCTATAAACACACACACACAAACATTTGTTGATACTGGGTATATCAAAAAAAATCATGTTTTCCGGTCATGGTTTCCAAAATAATCGGTAGTTGTATCAATATTGATAATGGGCTATGGCTTCATTTAGTATATTCATTTAATATGGACGGAAACCTTGTGGTGGAAGTGCATATTGTGGCATATAACCACTGGCAGCAGCATAATCACCACCACCACCGCCACCACCGTAACCACCGCCGTAACCACCACCATGTTCATAACCACCGCTACTATTTTGTTTAATTAATTAATTAATTAATTCATGATCCATTTTAAATTGATAATAATGAAAATACTTACTACACTGGATAATGATATGGTTCTGGATATGGAATTACTTTTTCATGTTTGATTGGCAATGGAATCTATATAAATAGATCAAATCAAATCAATTTGAAATGATAATTAATCAATTACAAAAATTACTGACCGGCAATGGTAATGGTAATGGCATCAATTTTTGTTTTGAACCCAATAAAGCACCTAATAAAATGGCTGTCAATAATTTTTTCTTTTTAGCTTCAACAGGTGCTGGTGGACCAACAAATAATGTGGCCATCACCAAACAGGTAAACACAATGGCAAAACTATGAATGAATTTCATTTTTAGGATTTTCAAATTTTAATTTGAATTTATAATATTTTCAATAACACAAACACACAAAATATACACAATGAACACTTTGGGAAAAAAAACAAACAGAACAACACACTAGCCAAACAAACAAACACAAGATTTTTTTTTGTTTTGAATCATTCATCGATCGATACACATTGCTTTTATAGTAATGGTCAGCAGTTATCATCATTATTCAAACGAATGGAAAGAAAGAAAAAAAGGAAGGATGTTTCAACTCTTCAATGTTTGTTCTGTGTTGATTTTTTTTCAATTTTGCCTTAAACTTGTTCCAGAAATGTTCAAGTTACCTTAATACGAGCATCTCTCTCTCTCTCTCTTCATATTAATCGATTAATATTGTTGCTGAAACTGGATCGTGTTCCATTCAGGGTGGTGGATTTTTTTTCTGGCTAAAGGTTGAACAGCAGCAGCTGTAGATTTTTGATGATAAAGAGACTAAATTTTTTTTTTTTTTGTTTCAAACGAAATCCAAACTAAAAAAAAAACGATGCAATCATTTATTTATTCATTGAAATAAAAAAAAATAGAAATCCGATTTTGATATCCGGTCATCATCAATTAGAAAAAAAAATTAGGAGATAAGTAAAAAAAAACTCTGCTGTCCACTTTGATAATGTAATTATATTATAGAAGTAACAACAACAACAACAACAGCAACAACAACAACAACAACAACAACAACAACAACAAAATTAAACCGAATGACCGAAACAAACGAAAAAAAAGGAAAAAAAATTTGATGCTGCTTACGGGCATTATCATCATTATTATTATCGTCATTCGCCAATCACAACCATAACCGTAATAATGACCACATTGGCTATTAGTTAACATTTCATTTCATTTTGCTTAAAGCTACGGAAACGAAATGAAAATTTTCATTTTCATTTCGTTTTTTTTTGCAACATTTAAAAATTGAATTAAAATAATAATTTTGTCAAGTTTTCATTTTCAGCTAAATATCAATCAAACGAGAATGAGATAGAGAGAGAGAATGGTGGATCATTTAAGATCCAAAATGGACTAAACAACAAAAAACATGGGAAACGCATGTCATCATTTTGTGAATCTTAATGTTTTTCTTTTTCTCTAAATTTCCACATAGTCATCATCATCATCATTACAAAAAATGGTCATCACACACACTCACACTATGGTGACATATACACAGGTATATTTCATATATGTGTACTGGTGATGATGATGATGACAAAATTTTAATGGTCATCACACACAAAAAAACACGTGACACATCAACTTTCCATTTTCTTCGTCTTTATTGTTGTTGTTGTTGTTTGATGATGATGATGATTGATTAATTAATTCAGTACAATATGTTAATGTCTAAATTGTGCTTTTTGGTCAGTTTTTCGTTTTTTTTTTTTTTTTTTGAAATTAAAGTATTTCATCATCATTGCTGATTATTGATTTTTTCGGTCTTTCACATCACTTCCGTCATCAATCGTATATTATAGTTATTATGATTTGTTCAATAAATTTTTTTTTTTTTTGATTTCGTCGCCACTGGCAAAATGTGTGTGTGTATGTGTGCGAGTCTGATTTCCAGGTCCAAGTCCAGTTTAATCTTGTGTTGTATCAATGTAATGATGATGGTTGAAAAAAAATAGTGAAAATCACCAATGGCCAAATGGCCAAATGTTTTACGTGCTTAGCGCGTGTTTTTTTCGTTTGCTCGACATAAAAATAATGATAATGTTATAATGGCTGAGTTTTTTTTTCTTTTTTTCTTTCTTAATCGTGATTTTTTTTTTTTTTTTGACTTTACATTGATTCGATATCATGGATTAATTCAATTTTTGTTTCAGTTAAATGAAATGTTTTCGTTTCGTCGTTGTTTTTGTTCCGTTGTTCCGTTAATTCATTAATTGATTTCAGATTGATTGAAAATGATGATGATGATCATCATCATCATTATGATCGTTGCTTGCAGCAGTTGATTATGGGGATTAAGCATCGCATTGTCCGGCATTTTTTTTTTTTTCGTTATCCAGACAACCATTTCTGGTTCAAATGTATCAGTTTTCTGTTTGTTTGGTTCGAATTTTCAGACATTTTTTTTGCCCGAATTAATTGTCTGGAGGCATCGAATTAATAAAAAAATTTTTTTTTTTTTTGGAAACAAACAAAGAACTACACTCGTGACTTGTTATTATTATTTTTCTCCACATGAACACACGAAAAAAAATGGATCAAATCAACAACAACAACGGTGCAAAACGAGTCCGAAAAAAAATGATGGCTGTTGTTTAGGCTAGGCCATGGCCTGAACCATCGACAACTGCAACTTTGATGAAGACTACGACGACGACGATAAAGTATCTTGATATCAATTTTCAATGATTTACAGCTTCTTGATTTTCGTGTGTGTGTGTGTGTGTTTGTGCGAGTGTAGATCAGCTGTTTGCATCAGTGAGTTAGAAGAAGAAGAAGAAGAAAAATTGTCCATTGACTTTGGAATGATAATATGATCGGTGTTCATTTCCGTTCCACATTCATTTACATTATTAGATGGTCGATTGAAAAATCTTATTTTTTGCAATGAAAATTCCATCAGTTTTTTCCCACTAAGTAATGCGGAAAAAAAATTCATGAAAGAAAACGATGACCATGAGATCAAATCTGATCAGATCAGATCAGATCAGATCAAATCAGGTTTGAATAATGTAATTGATAGATGGTGTGTGTGTGTGTGTGTGTGTGGGTGGGGATCGTGGTGATGAATGGGGAACAAAAAAGAAGCAGAAAAATTTTCATTTTTATCCAACCAAAAAAAAAAAAAAAAATATCAATCCTCAATTCAATCTCAAAATTGATTGATTTTCTCATTTTATCCATCAAAAATCGATAATGAATGGATGATGAAAAGAAAAACGAAAATTTTTCATTATTCATCATCTGAATCAACGATCAAATGATCGTGATATGATAATCAATATTGATTTTTGTATAAACAAAAGTAATGTAACAGAAATTTGGATCGATCCAAATTGATCATCATCATCATCATCATCATCATTATTATTTTCCATTTTCCATTATCAATTATTCAACTATGAGATGTTGATGATAACCAAATGGTAGTGGTGGTTCCAACAACAAACAAACAAACACGATATTTGGAAATTTATTTTTTTCCTTTTCTACCGATCATAATCATCATCATCATCATCATCATCATTGGGTTGGGTGAGAAAAATTGAATAAAAAAAGCGGAAGAAAATAAAATGCATACGTGATACATATTTATTTCAATCATCATCATCATCATCGGGAATCATTTGATCGAATTTTTTTTTCTGTTGATCAAATGATAATGGATAGATGGATGGATGGATGAAAAAATAACCGGATCAACAACAAGGATATAATTATCGATTATTAACAAAAAAAAATACAAATAAACCAATCACTTGTTGTTTTGTTTTCATCAACTGATCGATTAATTCAAATCGAATAAAATTGATATATCGATAAAAAAAATATCCACTTGAAACCAATGAGATCATCTTATTAATGAGAATAAGATCATCATCATCATCATTATCATTTTGTTATTGTTTTTTTTTCTTGTTGTTGTTGTTCCTGGTTCGATCTGTTGATTGTTATTGATTGATTATTGTCCATTGATTGTATAATGATGATGATGATGATGATAATGATGATTATCATACCAAAAAAAAGAAAAAAAAAGATTTGCTTTGGATATCAGTCAGGTTTGTTTGTACGTTTCATTTCAATGATCAGTTTGACCATGTGAATCGATTGCTTTTTGCTTTTGTTTTTGTTTTTGTTTTTCAACTACTACTGATTATCATTAACATCATCATCATCATCATCATTATTGAATGAGTAATAGACCGGAAGGAAAATGATAATTTATTGACCAAACGAAAAAAAAACGATAGATTAATTATCGATTAATGTATAACAACAACAACAACAACAGCAACAGCAAAAATAAATAGATTGTTTGTTTGTTTGTTTTTGTTGTATTTCCGGATTTTTTTTTTTAATTTTTAAAAAAAAAAGAAACAATTGAGAATTATATCGCATATCGGTAAACAAACAAATTATCCAATCTGTTTCATTGTGTATGTGTGCGTTCACTTCAATTCAATTCACTGATGGAACAAAATCATTTATCATTTTTCTTCACAAAATTAGTCGCTGTTGAAATGTGTGTGCACGCGTGGAAAACAATAACCAATTTAATGATCAAAAATGATGAAAAATGGATTCATTCATTCACTGTGTGTATTGTATCGCATTTCAATTTGTTTCCGTTTCCCAAACACACACACACACACTCTGTCTTTCCATCACCATGACAAAATTTTCAAAAATTTTTTGAAAATACGGATTTGCACCAAAAAAAAATACGATTATCAAAAGATTGTAATCATTTTTATGATGATTATCAATAATCCGTGTGTGTGTGTAAAGATAAATATAAACAAATCATTTCAGTGTACCAATGCAATATGATGAATTTATTTTTTATTTTAAATTTTAAATTTCAAAATTTCAAAATTTTAAAACTTTTTTTTCCCCTCACAAACATACAGACAAACAAACACGCGTTTTAAAATATTGTAATGATGACGATGACTATGATGATAATGACGATGATGATGATGATGATGATGAGGTAAAAACACACAAAGTGAGAATTTGGACAGTAACAAAAAAAAAAAAGAAACAGCGGTGTGTGCGACAAATATTTAAATAAAAAAAAAAAAAATTTAGATTCATGTCTGGTAATAATGGTAGTAGGAGTGGCAGTGGTAGCAGTATAATGAAACAAATTTTTTTTTTTTTTTTTTTTTTCATAAAAAAACTATAAATTATTTAAGTAGGAATTTTGTTTTCATGTACATGTGTGTGTGTGTGTGTGTGTGGGCGGATGTGATTGATGTTGATGGTGAACAATTTGAAAATTTTTTTTTAATACACTAACAAAGAAAAAATTTACCGAAAAAAAAATGTATTCAGGAAATGTGTATGCAGGTGGGTGTAGTAAAAAAAAAAAAAACAAAACAATGGACAAGATGAATACGAATGGAATGAATAGATGAATGAATGAAAAATGGTCGAGATTTGTTTTTTTTTTTTTTTGTTTGTTTGATGATAAAAATTAATTATTTATAACGAGATGCTTAGAGATGAATTTATTATGATGATGATGATGATGATGATGATGATAATGATTCGGAAACATTATAATTGATTTTCACAGAATGATAATGATGAGAGACATATATTTCAAAATTCGTTGATTGATTCGTTTTTTTTTTTAATAATAACCACCATCATCATATCCACCGCCATAACCTCCACCACTATATCCACCGCCATAACCTCCACCATAACCTCCACCATAACCGCCATAACTTTTTTCAATACTAGAATTTGTAAAAATGAAAACAAAAAAAAATTATTTTCAGATTTCAAATTTTAAATTTTTAAAAAATATTTAAATGTTTAGTGTGATTCCAATCCGATAGATGGCAGCAGCAGCATCAAGAAGTATATATATTTACTTACTATATTGGATATGGTTGTGGAACCGGAACATATTTCTTTTCTTCTTTTTTGATTGGTATCTGGAGTAAAAACAACAACAACAACAACAGAATGATTATTAATCAAATGAAAAAAAATAATGAAATTAAAAATCACATACCGGCACTGGAAGTGGAATTGGTAATATTTTCGGTTTAGCCGCTAATGCAGCGCCAAGTAATAATGCAGCTAAAATTTTTTTCTTTTTACCGGCTTCAACATCCACTATGAACATTGATGTGAACATAAGGCTGGCAAACAATATTGCCATTATGGTTTTATTGATTGATTTCATTTTCATTTATTTTTATCAAATTTATCAAATTTTTCAACAGGTTGAAATGAAAACACCGAAAAAAAAACACTGGACAAAAATATCTATTTTATCTTTGAAACAAATTTTAAAAAATCTATGATTCAATTAGTGAATTCACAATGTTGTTTGATTTGATTTGATTCGTTTTATATATCGCTTTATATATGACTGTGAAATATTTTCATTTCCATCATGGGTCATTCAAATTTCTGTGTGTGTGTGTGTGTGTGTGTGCGTGTGTGTAATTAAGGCCGAACATTTTGGAACTTTTTTTTTAGACTTTCAAATAGTAGACACACACACACACACACACACACATATGAAGGCAAGAATGTAACAAAACAAAAAAAAAGAAGAAAAGAAAAGAAAATTGAATATATCGATGATGTAAACGAAAGACAGAGAAAAGAAAAACAAAAAAAAAATCATCACCACCAATCGCTACAAGTAGAAAGAGCCCATCTTTATTCCAATCATCATCATCATCATCAACTATTCCAATATATCAAAGTGGGCATTTCATGAGCATGCGTGTGTGTGTGTATTTTCCCAGTGTTCCAGAAACTTTTTTTTTTGACATTGTTTTTTTTTTGGGACTTTTCCCCCTCCCACCATTGAAATGTTAAGCACACACATTCTCTCTTGCTCTCTCTCACTCTCTTGTTTTCGCTATCTAATTTCTATCTTCACTTCTGTGTTTGTTTGTTTGTTGTTTTGTTTTTTATGATGTCCATTAATGAATGACCATTATTCCATGATGATGATGATGATGATGATGATGAAAAATTATCAATTTAAATCGATTATGTCCATTTATATTTGTCTATGATACTACTTGGTTGTTGATGATGATGATGGTGATGTCTGTCAGTTTATTTGTTGGCCTTTTGGCCCATTCAAATATTAGTGCTGAATTTTTTTGTTTCATATTTTCATATTTCCATCAAAATAATTATTGTCTACCGGGTGTCCTTGACAACAACCATCACCAACATCAACATCATTTGTCATATAAAATTTGGAACGAATCCATAAAAAAAAACATAACGGAAACGATTGTTTCATTCAATTCATTATTGTGGTCATCGAATACAAATAAAAAAACACACACACACATTGTAACAAATTGATTTCCTTATTCATTTTTTGTTTATGAGTGTGTGTGTGTGTGTGTGTGAAAATGTATTTCCTGTACCGAATATTGTACCAATATTTACGGAATGAATGAATGAATGAATGAAGCAAAACCATTGAAAATTCATCAAATCAAAATGGTTCCAAATGGACAACAACAACAATCCAGTATTTAGTTAAATCACGAAATAAATTATAAAAAAAAAGTCAAGGCCATCTATCTATCTTCTTCTATGAGATTATGTTTGATATATTTGAATTTGGATCAAACATCCCATTCAAATTCATTTTCATTGCCTATATTTGTTGTTGCTGCTATAGTTGTTGTTGTTGTTGTTGTTTTTGGCCATTGGCCATTATCTCTGTTATTATTATTTTTTTGGATTTATAAAAAAAAAAAATTAAATCTGATCACTTTACACACACACACACACACACACTTGGTGAAATGATGTTCTCGTTGTTGTTGTTGTTGTTGTTTTAATTTATTCATCATATAGAACAACAACAACAACAAACGACGACGACGACGACGAAAAAGGATTCAAGGAAAACGAGATAAATTGAATGGATTAAATGTTCATTTTTTTTGAAAAAAAAGAATCAGAAACAAAAAATTCCAAGTTCATGGTTATCTTGAAAAACAAAGATGAGATAAAGATGTTTTGCGGTTTGTTTGTTTTTTTTTTCATCGAAATTGATTCATTTTATTGAAAAATTTCCCCCGTCTTTTGTTCGCTTTTGTGTTGTGCTGTTGTTTCTGGGATTTTCCAGAAAAAGTTTATCCATTCAACAGGTGTTTTCTGTTCATTTTTTTCCAAACATAACATCTAAATGTCTAAATAGCCAAAAAAAAAGCCTGTCAGCCATATATTTATCCATCTATTTGATGATTTATTTGCTCTACTTTTCTACATTCAAAATCATTAATCTAATTCAATTTTTTTTTCATCAATCAATCATCATTCAGTTAGTAATTGATAATTTTTATGATTTAAATATCAAAATCACGCTACAGGGTATCACAATGGCAAACACAACATGAGATGACCAAATTTGATGATCTGATTCTTCAGAACAAACAAAAAATATTGTCTATTTGAAATATGATCTCATTTTCGGTCATCATCATCATCATCATCTATGAGGATATTTGTCCAAGGTTATATTCATTCTGTTTGATTGATTGATTCGATGTTCGGACACATATTGTCATTTGTTTGTTTGTTTATTTGATTAATCATTCATTCAGTTTTTTTTGTCAACAAAAACAGCTTTGTTGTTTGCTGTTACCAAGTTTTCGGTACATTGATATTGGTATTGTTTCAATGTCGATGTATGGACAATGTTTGTGGTCATGTGTGTGCTTGTGTCCAAATGGGAATGGTCATCCAGTCAGTCACGATCAGATTTCAAATTTGAATTGAAATGTAATGTAATTTGGCATTTGAAAAATATATATATTCGGGCAAAAAAAAAACGTAGACATTTCCGCCATTTTCACGAATAAATTTCATCCACGATTTAATTTTTTCGTCCAGTTTAATTTACATTTTTATATCTACATGGCTTAAGATGGCCAAAAATCTTGATTACAAATTCAACAAATTGACCAAGTGATAATCAATGATATATGGTAATTTGTTGAAATAAATCTAAAACTAAACAAACATATCACCATAATCAGAATTACATTTACAACGATTAAGATTCTTTTTTTCCAATTTCACTTCCTTATATATCATATATTAATTTGATTAAAAATCAAAATCAAAATCAAATCGACAGCTCTAGAACATCATCAAATGATGATCAACAATTATGTTTGGGTGATTAATTGAATGAAGAAAACAACTTTCACTGTTTAAAAGTTGATGAGCAACAAATTTTGTTGAAACACATTGTTGCTGTTACCGTAGCGATGAGAAAAAAAAAATTTGGAATTTTTTTTTTCTACCCGGAAAAAAATCCAATCATCATCTGATTGTTGTGGATCTAAATACCATAATCGTGACTTGGATTTTGGACACACGCGAAAAAAAATGAAACAATTTTTCAAATTGTTTTTTTTCTATTTCTTCTTTCACGTGGTTTCATGCCTAGTTTCATTGAATTATTAAATTCAATTTTACAATCATCATCATCATCATCATCATGTTATTTATCGTATCAATCAATCGATAATTGATCTTGTACCAATTTCAATAATGAAGAAGAACAAGAAATTTTCTCGCGTAATTTTTACGACAACTATTCGATCCCTGTTTGTGCTGGCTCATCGGTTTAATTGGCACGCCATACACTTTGATGTGAAAACAGCCTTCTTACATGGTAAACTAGATCAAGATGTATTCATTACTGTTCCTGACCCTCTAAAAACAGATGGCTTCATATTTAAGCTCAATAAAAGCATGTATGGTTTACGACAAGCTCCAAGGGTATGGTTCAACACGCTTGTTGATCATTTGAACCGTATTGGATTGGTTCAATTAGATGGAAACATTTGTGTGTTTTCTGATGGTGGTCCAAATATCGAAAACTCGCTTATCATTGCTTGTTATGTGGACGACATTCTCTGTTTTGGACCGTTGTTAAAAATTGAAAGTTTCGGAAAGAGGATTAGTGGTGCGATAAAAATCAAAAATCTTGGTCCTGTTCAGAAGTATCTGGGTATCGAAATTATCAAAAGTAATGATGGATTTCACTTGTCTCAATCAAAATATATTGAAAGTTTGAGTGTACAATACCAAGTTAATGAAGCAAAATATGTTAAATGTCCCCTTCTTAATTCATTATTGGTGGATTCAAATGATAAATCAACAAATTTCCCGATTCGTAATCTCATTGGGTCGTTATTATACATTGCGAATTGGACAAGACCCGATATATGTACTGCAGTAAATCAGGTGTCCCAATATCTCCATAAACCAACAGACAGGTTGTGGCGACATGCACTAAATATCTTGAAATATTTGAATTCTACGAAGAATATTTCATTACGTCTCTGTAGTCAAACAAATGAAATCATCGGCTTCGCAGACGCGAATTTCGCTACGGATTCGATTGACCGAAAATCTATTTCCGGTAATGTTGTTTTCCTATTTGGATCAGTGGTGGATTGGTCATCCACTAAACAAAAAATTGTTGCAGAATCAACATCGGTTGCAGAATTGATTGCCCTTCATGGGTGCATAAAAAAATTGGAAATTATTTACTGTTGCCTGGTTGGTTTAAAACTAAAAATTGATTTTCATTACATCATCATCATCGTTGATCATTGATCATCATTGATGATGATGATGATGATGACCTATTGCAACAACGAAAGAGTAACACTTACGTACACACACACACACACACAGTGTTTTTGTGATCCATCAAGCGATCCATCAGAAAAAAAAACATTTCGGAAAAACCCATGAAATCAGATGTGGAATGTGAAATGGAAAATCCGTTTTTTTTGTTGTTTCTCTATTTTCTACACAAAAATAATTTTTTTTTTATTTTATTTTGAGCCAGTGAAAAAATTTTGCATTACAAAATTGATGACAATTTTCCATTGGTTAATTTGAATTTAGTATGAAAATGAAAATTTCAATTTGGGTCAAGGTTTTCAATGTCGGTCACATGGTTGTGTTTGGCACTCTTTTTTTTTTTTTTGTTGTTGTTGTTTCTTTTTGGAGCTAAGTAGTTTGGATGATTTGATGTTACAGATCAGCTACACAGTTTTTTGTTTAATTATTATAACGAGATCTTTTTTTTTTTTTTTTTTTCATTGTACCATTTGTAGCCTTACAGAACCGAAACTGGATTTTTGATTTCCTTTCAACAATACCTTATAACGTGGATCGTTGAAATTTGGTCTATGGTTATAAAGTAAAAATGAAAAAAAAAATCAATTAATTTTCCAGGTTATTGAAAATTCAATAATCAAAATTGTTGATCAATTACTTTTCAATACATTGTCGTAGTATGGTACGGCCAACCAAACGTACTGGTAATAATTTTCGTAAAACAATTTCTGAATCACCATTTACTATTGTATGATATTGACAATCATCATAATTATTATATGCACGTGGATATTGTTGATATTTTGGTGGACGATAATAACGACGACGTTCCATTTCATTTGTAGCTGCTACCACCACTGGTAATTGTTGTTGTTGTTGTTGTTGCTGTGATTCTGATGCAACATTATCCGATATTTGTGGTGATGATTGTCTATGATGATTTCCCATCATCATCATCCATGGATATGGCATTATTGCCGATGGAGATGATTGGGGTGCTGGTGGTGGTGGTGGCGGCGGAAGAAACGGAAGCGGCGGCGGTGGTGGTGGTAACGGTGGTAACATCATCATTGGCGGTGGTGGCAGTTGAGATGATGGAACTGATCGTTTTGAACGTGAAAGATATGCCAGATTCATTATTGATGAATCGGCTATTTCAGCAACATCATGATCATCATTGTTTTGATGTTCAAATAAAATACGTTGTTTCATTCTTGGAATTGTCGATGATGATGATGATAATTGATATTGTGGACTAATCGAATGCCATATTCGTGGATCTAATCAATAAATGATTAGAATGATTGAATTCAAACAAAATTCTTACCTTGTTGTCCAAAATTGTTTGCAGATCTTGCTGGTTGTGATCCACGAGCTAATAATGAAATATTTGGTTGTTCATCATCGTTTGACCACATCGATGATCCGCAATTAACATCGACAATAATCAATTGAAGAACAGCAACAACAACATAAATGAATGATTTCGATGTCAACGTCATCATTATTGTTTCTTTCATTATATGTGATTTTGATAAAAAAAAGAAATCAAAAATCAAAAACCAAAAATCTGGTAAACACAAATCGTCTCGATCGATCGAATGAATGAATGAATGATGATGATGACTTCTTTTCTCTTTACCTTTCCATTTTTTTCTGGTTAGGTTAGGTTACCACAAGAGAAAACATGGTGGTGAGAAGTGAGTGAAGATGGATGTGTCACCAGACCGAAAAAAAATGGCCAAATTTTCACAATTTTTTTTCCTTCATTCTATTCACTTTCATTTGAATATAAATTTATTGGACATTTGGCAGAAAAAAAAACTACAAAATTCCAAAAGAGAGAAAAAGAGAATAAATTTTCTTTTCACTAACCGTTCGTTTTTGTGTTCGTTAGGTCATTGTTATTTGGAAAACCAGAAAAAAAATTATTTTTTTCCCATCTAAAAATAGTTCAAATAAATTATTATCTAGGCCTTCTCTTTTATCTATTTTAAAAGGTTGAAAACATTTTTTTTTCTGTACTTACAAAAAAAACACACACACACACACACATGATGATGAAATCCATGAAAACCTGGTGCTGGTAGTGGTCAAACCAGTCTAGTTTATCTTTCATTTTTTTCTTTGCTTACTTTATATATAACCAGGCTAACTAAACGAAACCGATCAACATCACAGTAACAGGTTCTTTACCTGTCCAATTTCATCATCATCTAATGCTTGATCGGATAAAATAAGGTAAATACGAATCGGTATCGGTATTAAGATGTGTGTGTGTGTGTCTGTGTGAATTATGAGTGGAAAGAAAAGTGAATATCAAACATGATGATTTCATCAGTGATTTTTTTTTTTTTTTTTTTTGCCAAATTCAACAGGTTTTAGTGAGAAAAAAAAATTACAGCACAAGAGTCGCCATCTATCGACGGAGAACGGAACAATGGCAGATTTTTTTTTTGTTTTGTTTTCCAATTAATTTATCTTCAATCATTGAATGTTGAAAAATATTTTGAAATGTCTAAATGATGGAATATAAATCAAATAGACAGACAGACAAACATCATAACCAATAGGTTATGATTTATTACGTGGCGGTTGTGGTAGTAGTGGTGGCCAGCCACCATTTTCAAATTTTATCATCATGAGATTATCATTGTTTTTTTTCTTTGATGAATTGAATGAATAAATGAATTAATGAATGAGTGAATGCAATGGAAATTATCTTTTTGACCTTTTTTCCATCCATTCATTCATTCATTCATTGACTCATTATTCAAACAATTTGATTCTTTTTTTTTCACCTTTTTCAAAGTTTTCATTAATTCTTTTGTTTTATTTAGCACTGTTCATTCATTCATTCATTCATTCATTTATTTTTTTTCTGGTTGATGTGATTGTTTCGTTGTTTATCATTATTTTGACAGGTAATAAAAAAAAAATAATAATGTCCTGATCTTGAATATGGCGAATAGTAAATGATTGATGAATGGATTGATATTGGTTGTTTTTTTGTTGTTGTTGTTGGCCACCAATATATAATAATAAATCTGTAATGAATCAAAATGCAAACATAATTGATTGCCATCGATTAGAATAGAATTGGATTGAGTGATTTTTTTTTGTTGTTGTCTTTGTTTCTTTGTTTTTTTTAAATAAATGGTGTGATTTTATTATCATCATCATCATTAACATCGATAATGAATGGATGAATGATTCATTTGAATTTATTGATTATCCACAGGTGTGTGTATGTGTAAGATACGGATCGATTAATAATTGATAAAATTTTGCCGTTAAAAACACACACACACACACAAATGAATGTTTTACTGTTTTTTTTCTTCCATCTCTTATATTCCCTAACTAAAAACTCGATACAAGATAATTATCGAATGTAACCGAAATGAAATGAAAAAAAAACATTTCGATGATTGATGATATCGACGAAAATAAATAATAAAAAAAAACAAGGGATAGGTCATCATAAAATGAGAAAAGAAAAGAAAAAAAAAAAAAACTTTATTGGCGGTTGGTTGATGGTGATGGTTTTTTGTTGTTTGCTGGTTGTTGGTTGTCGAATATTAACGCCCAATCAAACAAGAATAAAAATTTAAACCTGAGATGATTGTGTGTGTGTGTGTGTGTGTACAAATATACAATGTTTTGAGGCATTTTTTTTTTTTTTTTTTTTTTGGTCGATTCACAATATTGGTGCATTTTTATTCATTGAAAAGAAATAAATGAACATAACATTCACCCAAAACATTAACAAGGTGTGTGTGTGTGTGTGTGTGCAATTTGCCTTGAATCTTTTCCATTTCTATTTTTTATTCAATCAGCCAAATCATTCGAATGAATGAGTTAGTGATGATGATCCACATTTTTGTTTTGTTTTTATTATTATTCGTTTTCAGCTTTTGATTATTTCAGCTTTTGATTATTTCTGTTTTTTTGTTTCAATTTAACATTGGAAAATGGATTGAAAATGTGGCAAAATAATGAAAAAAAAGAAAAAGAGTTGCTGTTGTTTACTTTTTTTTTGGGTGCCAAACTGTTGTTTTTGAATTGTTGTTCATCATCATAGTCAGCAATGTCAAAAACAAACCCATTATCATCATCATCATTATAATAGAAAAACAATGTTTATCGCTGACTGATTTTTGTTTAAGTGAAGAAAAAAAAAATCTTCTTCTTCTGTCGATTATCATTATTATTATGAATGAATGAATGAATTCAAGTTCTAAAATTATGATTATCTACATCGTCGGTGTGTGTGTGTGTGTGTGTGTATGGTTAATGAATGACGATGACGATGACGATGAAAATGGTGATGAACGACCATTATCACAGTACACAAATCGATCGAGTATAATGAGACCAAAAGAAGAGCAATGATTATGGTTGGTTTTTTTTTCGATTTTATTTTGTTCTGTTTTGATGGCCAACCATTTTAGATTTGATTAGATGATTTTTTCTCCATTTCTTTATTGATCAATACATTTTTTATTTTTCATTAGAAAAAAAAACACCATCATCATCGGATTGAATTTTTTTAAACCAATAATAACTTTATCTTCACACACACACACACACACACACACGCACAATCATTCAGACTTTTAATTTGGTTCAATTGATAGAAATCGCACACACACACACACACTTGGACACAAACTTCGACATAGACATAGTAAAGTAAACTTCTTTTTTTTCTTTTCAGAAAAAAAAACTAAATTTAGATCAAATCAAATCATCACTTTGAGTTTTTTTTTTTCATTTCATTTTATTTTGTTGTTGATCATCAATTTGGCTGAAATTTTTTTTCTTCTTCGTTTAAAAGAAAAAATTTTTTTCATCCAATCCATTTGATCACACACACACACACACGCACACACACACACACACTCAGATTGATGGTGGAAACAATCGACTTTTTTCACCACCGACAACAACAACAACAACAACGGCAACAACTTGCTTAGCCAGCAACAGAAAAAAAATATAGAAAACAAGCAAGTGATAAAACCAAACCAACAGATCAACACAAACAGCAGCAACAATTCTGAAAATACATTGTTATCGATCAATCGATTTGTTTTTTGGTTTTGGTTTTATTTTTCAGAATCCTATCTGTCATTATTTTGTTTTGTTTTTTTTTCTTCTAGTTATCATTATTGTTGTTGTTTCTTTTGTTTTTATACCAATACAATCGATCATCATCTTTATCTTCATCATCAAGATGATGATCCTATGTACACACACACACACACACACACACACACACGGCACATCCATTGTAAGATTTTGTTCAAATGAAGAAAATGATTTGATTTGATGATGATGATGATGATGACCATATTTGTATCGATAATCATCATCAATCGATCAATCGATCGATCAATTGTTCTAAAAAAAATCATAATAATAATAATAATAATCTGGTTTTTTTTCTGATCCTGATTTATATATCCAAAATATAATCGATTCGTTTGTGTTCTCTCTCTCTCTCTTTCTCTGGATGTGTGTGCGTGTGTATGGCGATTTCCCTTTCTTTATTTTTTGGTTTTATTAATATCCTACTACAGTTGTACATTTGGTACATGATAACCACTAGCTTTGTGAACCATATTTAGACATTTTTTTTTTTTTTTGAAAAATAAAAAAAAAAATGAAAACATTGTGATGGCAAAACATCTCAATCATCAAATGTAATTGTAAATGAATAAATGTAGGATATTCGTAGTGATCTGATCATCATAATCTTTTTTTTTTTTTTTTTTTCTTTTTTTTTTTTTTTTTTTTTGATCGATTCGATTTGATTGGATTTCAAATCAAAATGAAATGCCATTTTTTTCCACCAGCGGTTTTTTCATTCATTCACGAGAAAAAAAACACACATTTTTTTTCATTCATTTCAATCAGTCAATAATAATAATATGGATGGATGGATGAATTGACTGAAATATGCAAAGAATATGTGTTGAGATTGATCAATCGATCAATAGTTGTTATTGTTTGATGTCTTTATTATCAATCACGGCAATATTATCATTGTGTGTGTGTGTATGATGAATTCGTGGCCAACCCGCTTTTCGCAACGAAAAAAAAAATTTTGAAAATGATGAATTGAATGATGATATATTAAAGAGGCTGAATAATTTCACCAACATCCATCATAAGCATTTGACAATTGAATATCCGATTTCGAATGATGAAATTTGATGACAAAGAATTTTTTTATTACAAGAGAAAATATGGACAAACAGCCAAAATATAACATCCGGTAGAGAAAGTTTTGGTTTTGGTTTTAGTTTTAGTTTTTTTTTCGATGCAAAAACTTATAAAAGACAAGCCTGTATTTTTTTTTTTTATTTATCATCCAATTTTTTTTTGTTTTCTCTTTTTCTTTTCAATTTCAGTAATCAGTCTGTATTTATATAGAAATATATAGTGAATGTTTTGAATGGTAAAATAGCCATTTGATGATGATGATGTTTAACCATGTTTTTTGTGTGTGTGTGTGTGTGTGTGTGAATGTCCGATCATCATCATCATCATGATGATGATGATGATGATGGTTAGCCATTCAATTTATAAATTCAGAAGAAATAAAGGAGAATTAGTGGTATTCTAAAAATATTTCATAGCCCTGTGTGTGTGTGTGTTTGTGTGCATGAATGATTCATTTCGTTCAAAACTAAATACTGGTTGTTGTTGTTGTTTATTATTTTCATGATAAAATAAGAGTGAAGAGAGATAGATAGACACTAAAAGATGCCAACAAGCAGCATCAGCAGCAGCAGCAGCAGCAGTTTCCCTTTTTTTCTGTTACTGCTTTCCATTTTTAAATGTTAATCGGATGTAATCATCATCATCATGAAAATGGAGAATGAGCCATTTGACGATGATCCACTAATCTTAAGCATTTTTCACCAACCAATGTTAAAATGGTCGTCAACACCATATTATTATTACGTTGTAGGTTGTTGTAGGTTGTTGTTGTTGTTGTTGTTGTTGTATGTCTTATTTGTGATTATATTTTGACTATAGAATGAATGAAAAATGATGAATGAATGATTTAGATGTGTAGGTATTAATAGTCACGAATTGGAAAGTGTTTTTTTTCTCTTTCTCTTCTCTCTCTCTCTTGTTGGTCAACCAACATCAACCAATGACCGGAATATAGAAATTTTTATTGTTCGACAAAAATGATGATGATGATGTAATGTATTTGTGTAATGTGATACTATTTAATATTTTATTGATCAATCAATAAATCAATTGCATCAATTTTATCGATTCCTAATTGGATGGCCAACAGTCTATATTTATATGTCAGACGAATAATAATAATAATAAAAAAAATTACAACTGGTTCAATTTATCTTTATATTTACACATACACAATGAGATTCAAGTTTTTTTTTTTGTTTTGTTTTCGGTATCGATGTCAATGTCAATGTTGTTGTTGTTGTTGTTTTGGCCATTAATTTTAATTCATTTATCATTTCATTGAAAAAAAACGACGTAAACAATTTACTACTGCTGCTGCTGCTGCTGGTTGTTTGGGTGATTTATTGGCCAAAAAACAACCCAAAACAACCATTGTTGTGAATATATATAGCCATTGACCGATTGACCAACATCGGTCATATATTCCCACGCATACACAAAAACAACTAAATTTTTATATGAGAAAAACAGAAAAAAAAGACTGGAATATTCTCAAAGCAACGCAAACAAACAAGTAAACAAACACGAACGAGCAAGAATCAAATCATTTAATATATTAAATAAGAAAGAAATAAAAAAAACATTGAAATTAAATTTTACAAAAATATTAAAAATTTAAAATCTAAAATTAAAATGAAAATAGATAATTTCTGGATAAAATTCGAGCAGCTGATGTGATTGATATCCACCATCATCATCATCATTATCATGTATATCATGTAAATGGTAAGCTCGAAAAGTTGGTTTTGGGTAAACGAAAAAAAAAAAAATTCTGTTTGTTGGAAATGGAAAAATTTTTTTTTTCTTCAAAATTATTCTACATTCATGTGAAACAGAAAAAAAATAAATTGAATAATTCAAATACATCAAGTTATTGATATTTGTAGTCAAATGGAACACAGAATTTGAATGAAAAATTTTCCGCTTTACAATAAGTAGTAGTGGTATTAGAATTAATGAAATAATTTTTAATTTTTTTGCCAATCAATTGTTTTGGATCCTAATTTTGGAGAAAAAAAAAAAAAATACGACTTTATTCGTGTGTGTGTGTGGGTGTGTGTGAGAGAGAGATGTTTATGATGAGTATGATGATGATGATCAATGAAAAATGATGATAAAAAGATGAGAATTTGAAAGAAAGAAAAAAAATCGATGGCAAAAAAACAAACAAACAATTGTGATTAGAAATGATGATGATGATAATGATGACAATGAGCCTGAAAACAAATATTTGGGTTCCACAATCCACATCATTCGATCAAATACGTGTTGCACGTGCCTGTAACACGTACACAAAAGTGGGCTTCACCTTTTTGCATTTTTTTTCCTTTTTATTATATTAACATTGTAATTATGTTGTGTTGTACACAGTACTATTAATATGGGCGTTTCCTTTTTTTTTTTTTATTCCGTTTTCATTGACGATGATGATCGATCAACATCACCATTATCGTTATTATTATTATCATTTATTAAATGATTCGATATTTGTGGTTCCATATTTGATGTTTCTTGATCATCATCTTGATTCATAATTAAATCATTATTAATTGCAGATGATGTCGGTTGTGGTGGCTGCTGTTGTTGTTGATCAACAATATTGATCATTGATGATGATGAATATGTATTTTGGTATTGCTGCTGCTGTTGTTGTGGTTGTGGTTGTTGTTGTTGTGGTTGATAATAGGCAACCGGATATGGTTGTTGTTGTTGATGTTGAGCTTGTTGTTGTTGTTGTTGATGATAATGATACATTAATTTTGGCTGTAAATAATATGTCTGTTGTTGTGGCTGTTGTTGATAATGATGTGGATAATAATTAATCATTGATATTGTTGTTTGACTATTTTCTGATGGCTGCGCCTGATGTTGATCATATTGTTGTTGTAGTTGTTGTTGTTGTTGTTGCTGTAAATGATAATATTGTTGTTGTTGTTGTTGTTGTTGTTGATTTAGATTAGCCGAATAACTATTCTGTTCACCATTATTTCTCGTTATCATCATTAATTGTTGTACATTTCCAGATTCATGTGAATGCGATGGTTGTGGTTGTGATTGTTGTTGTTGTTGTTGTTGTTGTTGTTGTGGTGGTAATACCTTAGCTTCATGTAGATTTGATGCAGCAGCTGCTTTAGCATATTCATCATATGCATATGATGGTGGGTGATATACTGGTTTCTTTTTAATATAAACACTGTTGTTTTGTTGGAAAAGAAGAAATGAAAAAAAATGAAATTAAAATAAAATATACATAACGGTAATAATTCTATCGATCAATCAATCAATCAATCAAATGATGGAGTTTATCATGATCATATCACACATACACACACACACTGTGTATATGTGTGTGTTTAATGAAGCAAAAAAAAAGCATTGAACTAACTACGTTGACAATGATGGTGAATATCAAATTTTTTTTTTTGTTTCTTGATAACACAAAGGTGAAATGTGATTTTTGTGAGTGAGTGAGTGATGAGACAAGAAATTTTCTGCTAAGTTTTTTTTTCTTTCTATCATTCACCAGATAAATATCAGCATGGCTGCTGTTGTTGTTGTCGTTTTTTTTATTTTTCGTTATTAGAGCGTGATACCCTTTTAAGCATAATAATCGATGTGTTTGTGTGTGTGTGTGATATATTTTCTTTTTATAGTAGTGTATATATAGTGAACAACATCATTGATATAATTGGAGAAATTGTCAAAAACATATTATAATGTTGACAATTTTCAACGACGAAAAAAAACAACGACAACGACAACTACAGCAAAAACAATACTGTGAACACGCTGAAAATGGAGAAATTTTCAAAGTGTGTGTATTCATCATATATGAAAAAAAAAATTTTGTTGTTGTTGTTGTTGATCACCATCATCATTATAAATGCCATTGAATTTTTTTTTGTTAATGCTAATGGATCATGATGGTAAACTGCCAAAATAGGTAAATTGACCCTGGTTTGTGAGAATTTTTTTTTGTTTTTGATTTTGATTGTTTGCTCGAATGGTTCACTGGTTGGTTGGTTAGTTGTTTGGTTAATTAGTTAGTTAGTTTGGTTGGTCATTTAAATTTTTTTTTTTTTTTTTTTTTGATATGGCTAGTTAGTTTGTTAAATAATTTAAAAAAAAAATAAATTTATACTTACGGTACTGGTATATGAACTGGTTTTTTAATAATAATTTGTTTATAAATCGGTACTTTAACCGGAACTGGATATGGTTTTGGTACATGTACCACTTTTGGTATTGGATATGGTACATATTTCGGTACTTTTACTGGATATGGAACCCGATATGGTTTTGCAATGGTCACTGTTTTATATACTGGATATGGTTGATGTTTTATTATCGGCACTGGTACTGGTACTGGTTTCGGTACAGGAACCGGCACTGGTTTTGGTACCGGTATCGTTTTCGGTATTGGTATTACTTTTTTTATTGTTTTATATATTGGTACTTTTACCGGTACATATACTGGATGTGGTACAGCAACAGTTTTTGGTACGGGTACCATTTTAGGCACATGTATCACTTTTGGTACCGGTACTGCTTTTGGTATATGTACGGTTTTATGTATAACTTTTACTATAGGTGGTTCATGATATCCACCACCACCACCACCATACGAACCACCACTAGCCATTACAAATGATAAAATATTTGTTACAGCCACCATCACCATCAATAGAGACCATAATGATGGCCTTGATAATCTGTTGTTGTTGCCAAATTTATTCATTTATTTTTTTTTGAATTTCAGGTTGGCTTTGTTGTTGTTTTGATTCTGGATCCGAACGATAAAATCTTTTTCTGCGTAATTAGCACACACACACACACAGAGAGATATATAAACATCATGACCATTCACGATGTCCAAAATGGGGAGACAAATGAAAAAAGTAAAAAAAAAATTAGTGAAAGTTGTTTTTTTTTCGTCTAAAATTGAACTCATAAAACCAGGTGAATGTGTGTGTGTGTGGATGCAATTTTTTTTTTTTTTTGTTGTTGAAAATCGGTCACTTGAAGATTTGGAAAACTTTTTTTTATGTGAATTTTTCATTCAAAAAAAAAAAAAAAAAAAAAAAAAGAAAGAAAGAACGACCAACCACTTAACGGAAATTGCGAAGCAATTTAATTGATTTTTGACTAGTAAAAAAAAAAAAAATTTATTGTTCGGAAACATTTTTTTGTTCAATTCATTCATTCATTCATTCATTCATATGATTCTCAAGTCTGGTGTTTTTTTTTCCATATAAACAAACACGGAATGGAAAATGAATTTTTTTATAGTTTCAGATCCATTGCCATTTGTTTTACTTTATGTTTCTGTGAAATGTATAGGTCATTCATTTATTCCATATATATAACAAATAACAAATGATAATGACCGGTCAACATTTGGAACAACAATGGTGGTAATAATAACAATAATAATGAGAAAAATAAATGAAAAAGAAAACAAACAAAAAAAATTATACCGTCTCTATTCTCTTCTTTTTTTTTGCACCCATTTTAATGCTGGCTAGATTGGTGTGTACAGCTCTTGTTGTTGTTATGTCCATCAAACGATTGGTAATGACCGACAATTTGTATTGTTTATATTTGTTTGTTTGTTTGTTTGTTTGAATGTGTCCTAGTTTGTAGCTGAAAATATGAAAAAATAATATGATGATGATTCTATTCTATTCTCTCATTATTACATATCAATGTCCATCATCATCATCATCATCATCGTTATCATTATTATCCTAGATCTAATTTTTTTAACCATTATGATGATGATGATGATGATGATTTAGACAAAACAAAAAAAAAACTGAATGATATAGTCTTCGTCCCTTTTTGTTTGTGTTTTGCATTGAATTTAGATCAGTGAAAAAAAAAAAAATCGATCGTTTAGTATATTACATCCAATTATCACACACACACACACCAGATACACCAGTGCAAGCACCAGGATTCTCATGATGATGATATCAACACCAAAAAAAAAAAAAAAAAATGAATACAAACCAGATTTTCAATGATAAATTGTCGATAATTTGTTGTTGTTGTCGTTGTTGTTGTTGTTGCTTCGTATATTCAACACCATACACACCTACACATTTGATTTGCTTTTTTTAATTTGAAATGAACAATAATAATGAAAAATGAAAAATCAAAAACAAAAATTGAAAATGAAACAAAACATTCAAATTGATAATCATCGGTCACATTTATTTCACAAACAGAAAAAAAATCCGGTAATAAAAAAAAAATATTAACACCGGAAATACACTGACACACACACACACACCAGAAAAATGAAATACAAACTTGTGAAAAATTTGGTTGAAAACAAAAAATTGAAACAAATCAAGAAAAAAAAATGGATCGAATTTTGTTGTGTGCGAAAAAAATTTTTTTTTTTTTTTTTTTTTTTGATTTGTTTTCGTCAAAACAAACACGCACACGCACACGGACGAAATTTAAAAAAAAAAACTTTTTTTTTGTTACACTTTGGTTAGCTTGATGCTTGTCGATTGATCGAATTGAATTGAATGAATGAATGAATCGAGCGAAAAACAACACAACACACAAAATACACAATACACACAGCTTGCACCGTTAAAATTTTGTTTTTGAATGAATGAATGAAAAAAATGTATGTTTCTGTGTCTGTGTGTGTGTGATGAATTCATTTTTTCATCATGTGTTATCACTCCCTTTTTGCCTCTTTTTTTCTCTTTTTTTTCATTTATTCGTCTCTTTTCGCAATAATAATAAAAAAAAATTCCGTTGTGACCATTTCTCTCTCCATTTCTATCTCGACTTTTGACACACACACACACACACACACACACACACACACACACACACACACACACACACACACACACACACACACACACACACACACACACACACACATACACCTGTTGTTGTTGTTGTTGTTGTTTTGGTTGTAAAAAAAAAATTCGGGTAATTTGACCGAAATCAAATCAGCAAAAAAAAACTCTCTTCATATATAAAGTATAAGTTGAATGACTTCTTATATCATCTCTGGCTCTTTTATTCAATTTTTTTTTCTTTCTCATTTTTGGTCATATTTGGTGTGTGTGTGTGTGTGTGTGGTATTCGGTTATTTCAATGAACAACGACAAAACATGGACATGATAGATTTGAAAAGAAAAGAAGAAGAAAAAAAAATGGATAAATAGATACACGATAGACGATACAAACAAGCAAACATTCCATTTGTAGATCATTTTTCATTTTTCATTTTTTTTTTTTGTTGTCCGGTAAAATCATTACTGAATGAAAGAGAAAGCAACATTTTTTCAATGAAAATGAATAGAAAAAAAAATCGGATCCGGTCATTTTTTATACGAAGATAAAAAATCTATATACCGGTAGAAAGAACAAAACAAAATGACAAAATGACAAAATCCAGATTTATTGACGAAATAAAAAGGAAACAACGGATGATGAATGTATCAATGATGGTGGTCGTCATTGATGACCATTTGTTGTTGTTGTTGTTTTTTTTTGTAACAAATTGATCGGCAGAAAAAAAAGAAGAAAAAGAAAAATATTCACAAAACACTGTGAATATATTTTCATATCTTCATGTCAACATCCTGATGTAATTGATATTTTATTTCACATTATTATTATTATTTTGCCACACACGAACATGGATATGATGATAAATTTTTTTTTCGTTTTTCAAAACAATAAAAAAAAAATTTTCAATTATTTAGGTCAAACATATTGTATATCATTGGTCATCATCACCAATTAGCGAGATTCGATCCAAACAAGTGAAAGTTTTTTCTTTGGTCTTTCATTAAGCCATCATCATCATAAGTGGATATCAAACGGAAAAAAATTAGTGCATGTGCTCCAGGTGTGTTTTTTTTTTGTTTGGCTATATTTGGCATCTTGATACCGATGAAATACGAATGTATTGAAATCACATATCACTATCAGTGGGTCAAATTTTTATGTTTTCAATCATTTTTTTTCAGTTGTTTTAATTAAATTCCAATGGTAAATGAGTGTGTGTGTGTGTGTGTGTGGGCCACATATAAACACAGTGTCATTCTCATTCATTCAATCAATGATGACGACAGCGATGACATTTGAGATGACAGTGTGTGTATTGATGTCATCATCACCGTTACGAAGCATCATTTTTTTTTTTTTGAAAAATCCAGGTGATTTTTTTTCATGTTTACACCTGAAGAGTTCATTGGCCACCATCAACATCACCATCACCAGACATTTTTTTTCTTTTTTTTATTCGGCCCATCAATCAAATCGAATCAAATCAAATCAATCGAATTGTTGATTGATTAGTATATTGATTTTAATAATTGTTGAAATACAGAAAACAAAAGTGAAAACATTTGACAGGAAAAAGAAAAAGAAATTTTTCATTTCTATTCTCGGTTTCAATTATCATCATCATCATCATCATCATCATCATCATCAGAACAAACAAACGATGATTATTATCATCAAGATTTAAACAAACAAAATGAAAGAAATTTAAATAGAAAAGAAAAATGTTGAATGAATCAACAAGTAGAAAAAAAAACATTCAACAGGTTGTTTTTTGGTTTGTTGTTGTTGAAAAAAGAATAAGTTTCTGTTCCATTCATTGTTTCGATTATTTGTATGTAACAAACACAGATTGTTTTCTGCTGTTTGCTGTTGTTTTTTTTGCAATTCATTTGTTTTGTCGTTGTATTGTGTCAGGCAAAATCATTGAAACAATTCACACACACATAGACAGACGAATAAACAAACAGAAAAAGAAAAATTTAGATCAAAAACAGCAAGAAAAAAAGCGAGAGTGACCACCACCACCACCACCACCCATTATTCATTCATTATGATATTTTAAGTAACAAATTTTATGAATGGAAAAAAATTTTTGATTTCGCTCAAGGATGTTCAATGATTTTTTTTTGTTGTTGTTCCTTTTTATATCTATACCATTTATTTATTATCATCATCATCATCGATACCCGATAATCATCATCAATTTGATGTATTTCAACAGAAAAAAAACAAAAATTTTTTTTTTTTTTTTTTTTTGATGAAATAAAATCAGATCTGACAGCAAATGAAATGGACAATTAACAAATATATGTTTTTTTTTCTTATGGATATATCGATATGATCACGATTAACATTATCGATAGTATCGATGTTGTTGATGATGATGATGGTGGTGATTATCCATCGGCAATTAATGAAAAAGATCATGTTTTTTTTATGATGAAAAAAAAATCCAAAATTGCCCACTTGTAGATTTTCGAAAATAAAAGCGAAAAAAAATCATCATCATGATGATGATGATGATGATGATGATGAGCGAAAAAAAAAGATATTTTTACAAGCATCATCGACATCGACATAACAAATCTGGAGCGAGAAAAAAAATCATTTTTTTTCTTCTCCTTTCATGCATATACTTATTATTTTTACGGACATTAAAAGATGCGCAGCAAGCTTGAGCAGCTATAGCGTAGTCGATTGGATATGATAATATTTTGCTGTTGTTGTTGTTGTTGTTGTTTAGGTTGAAATTGACTGCACAAAAAAAAATTGGTAAAAAAGTGAAATTTTTCCCATCAAAACGTGAAAAAATAAATTGTTTTCAATTGAATGATAATAATCTGATTTTTGAATGAAAAAAAAGTGTGTGTGTGTGTGATCGATAAAAATTCAATAAATTTTTTGGCCTGAGAATGAATGAATGAATGTATTGGAAAATGAATCGATCGATCGATCGATTATTGGTGTGTGCGCTTAGGAAACATAAATCGAGAAGAATGAGAAGGGAGCTGCTGCTGTTGTCATTATTGAACACAAGAGGTCATTGGTGGCTACACATAATTCAAACTGCCGGTGGTGTTTTTTTTTTGGCCATTCATTCATTCGGGTTTTTTTTCCTATGCTCACCGCCGGTTACCTGAATATTAAACAAAATCAAAAAAAAAAAAAAAAAGCTTGAAATTTATGGCCAACGTTTGTCTGTAATGGATCTAAAATTAGAACACAAACACACACACACACACTTACACATGCATGCAGACAAAGCATAAATAAATTGAACACTTACGTTATTGTCGTTGTTACATATCAAAAAGGGTAGTCTAATCTCATTTTTTTTCATTTGTATTTAACAACAACAAAAGTTTCATCTATTTAAATCATCCATCAAGTTGTTGTTAAATAATAAAAAAAACAACAACAACAACAACAACAACAGATCCAGATTCAAAAATATGATCCAAAAACATTTGAACATTTAATCAAATATAAATCTCTGTATGTGTGAGAGAAAAAACATCCGGCGTGTCAGGTTTGTTCTGAAAAAAAAACGACTAACAATCGGTCTGTCGGGTGTCCATTTAATCAATCACAATCAATCAATCAATCTACATTTGACCATCACTGTATGATGTATTTGTATTTTGTTCTGTTCTGGTTTTGTTTTTTCCCTCTAAATTTGAAATTAGATAATATTTAGTCATTGTTATATAATGATTATGAATAAGAAAAAAAGGAATGAATGAATGACAGCTGAAAATTGATTACATTTCTGTCTGTTTGTTTGTTTGTTTGAAAGTGAAAATCGATAAAAGTATACGGCACACAAACAATCGGACAAGGAACTTTTTTTTTCTCTCATTCGAGTGATCGATTGTTGTTGTCGCTGTTGCTGTGGCTGTGGCTGTTGTTGTTGTTGTTGTTGTGGTTGTTGTGGTGTTCACCCTTTTGTTCATTTCCATATTTTTTGTTGTTGTTGTTGTTGTTGTTGTAGGTTTCCGATGTGTAGCAAAAAAAAAAAAAAATATACCATAAACAAAAGAAGAAAAAAAATTTGTCTGAACTAAATATTTTCGGTATCAACAACAACAACAACAGGTAATTTCCGGAATCTTTTTGTTTCGAATAAACATTGTTTTTTTTTCTTAAATATCGATCAATCGATAGCCTGTATATTTATCCATAATCGATCCATATGATTTTTTTTGTGTGTGTGTGTGTGGGAAACTTCCTTTTTCCTCATTTTTTTTCATTTTCTAATACCGGCTGATTACATTATTAT